CCACTTCTTGCTGTGATGTCGTTTGGTAAATATTGAGGTGCGCATGCAAGTTTGACATCGTGGCATGAGTAACGACAAAAGGGACTAACTTACATGGCTGCCACCGGTTTGATTTTCACGCAGTCGGAACACATGGCGGCCGGGCAGTTCAAAGAGTGTTTGCACACGTGCTTCATCTCGGCGACCGGCTTTTTGCAGGCACAGAAAGTGCAAGAGTACTCTGCCATTGCAACCCACAACGTCGGGTCGATTCCACGAGTGATTGGGGGCGGGGCCTGAGCTGCTGCGCCAGGCTGCTGCACGGGCGGCTGCTGCTGTCCATTCGGACCGACGGGGGGCGGAGTACCAGACATTGGGTTGGAATACAGCTCGGCGCGATTAGCGAGAGTAATGCGAATCAAGTTTAGAATCTCTTCGTCTGGCGCACGCTGGGTGATGAGATCTACAAATTGCTCACGCCGTAATAGGAACGTACGTAAATCGAAACCCCTCTCGGAAGAGGCCGGGATGACTACGTCCAGATAAATTTGGTTCAGCACTAGTTGGTGTGTCAGCTCGACTGTGCCTGGACCGTGAAACGCCAGCAAAAACTCGAAGATAGGGTTTTTCTCAGGGGTGTGGTGCTCGAACTTATTAAACGACGCGGGGGTAATATGCTGATAGAAGTAGTCGCTAATAATGCTGCACGGGAAAGTCTTGCTGTCCGACATGATCGCTGATTCTGTGATTTTGATTAACCAGGTGCTTGATAGGTATGATGGAGCTGAACATGGTTGTATTTTGTCTGATCTCGAAAAAAATGCGGCACGTTGGCACGCGAAAGGGACAGTGCAACCCGCGGGTCACACAGACATCCCGAGAGGATGAAAATTTTTTTATTTATTTCTGTTCTCGTACGGACAAAAACAAACGATTCCGCGGGTGAAGAAAACCGCTTCACCTCGGTAGAGCTGCAGGAATGCTTTACTCAATCTCTCCCTCGGGCTCCGAAGCTTCAACATCCGACTCCGCCATGAAGTTTCGCAAGTTGTGGAAGCGTTGGTTGCCCGCAGCGAAGATGATGATGAACTCGGAGAATTTGTACTTCACCTCGTGTACCCTCGCGAGAAGCACAGACACCATGTCGTACGTGCGGGCGTCCCCCTGGAGCTGTGCCACGGAGACTTGCGGAATCCCCATACGCGAGATCATGGTGTCCTTGCAGAGCTGCGAAGCAGCGAACGCGGCGAGGAACTCCGAAACACACTGCAAGTCGGGGACGGTTCGCACCGTCAGCTTGCGGATCACCAGTTCGCGGATCATCCTACGCTCGTTCGTATCGGACGAACGATCGAAAAAATGGGACACGACGGCGGCCCACGCGGACTCGATGACTCGGAAGATCTTGTTCCTACCGGGCACCTGATCCACTGCGAGATTGTTGCGCTCCGCAACGTTGTATTCGAACGGATGGACCGAGATTAGATTAATAGTCTGGAAAGATCGGGCGATTTCCCGACCCCGAATTGCTGCATCGCGCGTGACGCCTGGCAGGTTGAAAGTCGCGTCGGCGGCGTTCTGCACGCGTGTCACTGGCTGTGCTTCCACTTGCTGTTGTCCGCTGCTGAAGAAAACCTCGAAGGCTTTCCGGAAGTCGGCGATGCTGGGCATGTTAGCGTAGTGCTAAATCTAACAATTGCTTGTTCGAATTGATTTTGCTAGAGTACTTTTGGTACTCATGAGAGGACCAGTGAAAAACAATGGTCACAGATTTGTGAACAAGAACTACGACCGGTGGAATAAGTTTGTCAGCGTTTCTAGACCACAGGCTGACTGCCTCGTAGTCACAGATCTCCTTGTCAAACTTCGGGCGAATTTGTCCAATGTTGAAGGCGAAATAGAAAGCCTTGAAGTCTTGCCTCCACCGGTCTACTTTTCTCTGAGGCTGTAGCAGCGGTCGCGTGATGCGACGGATCTCGTGATGGATTAAAAGCAACGCTAGATCGCGTTGCGAGATAGGTGTCAGATGCGTGCTGCTGTGTGGCTCGACTACGTTGCTATTAGGCATCATCGCTACTGCTCTGTAATTGGGATGAGAATGGAGATGTTGAGTATTTTCGAAACTGAACAACAGTAAACTTGCGCGTTGACAAAGCGTTACCATCGGTCCAGTATCGGACAAGAGATCTTTTGCGGAGAAGCGAAACTGTGATCAACATGTTGCCAGCAGGTTGTTCTTGTTTCAGATCTATGCTAGTACATTTGGTATGCTCCGCGAAAAGGATATGGTGAAGTGCAAACAAGGATGACCATCGATCGATGGATTTAGCCGCCTCCCTGCACAGGAACTGAAACGTCATGCCACTTCCGTGGTCTTACATCGGTTCCAGTTTTTCGCTAGTCGCAACTAGAACGCCAGCTTCTCCAAGTATTGGTGACCACCGTTGACGCGGGGGTACATGCTGCCGCCCAAGTTCGTCAGCAGACTGCGCCAGTCCGTCACAAAGTTCGCCTTGAACTCGGAGGAGCTGAACCACGGCGGGAGTAACATGATCGGGCAGATGACCAGCAAGTGCTTACTGGCTGTGTTCGCGCGGCGGCCGATCGGGATCGCCCGCAGAGCCTGGGTGACGCGTTCTTCCAGGTCGTTTTCGGACGGCATGTTTTCGCCTCCGTTGGAGGTAGCGAACGCCTTGTCGCGGGAGAATTTCTCGAAGACCTCGGCCCATTCCGAGATAGTGGCGCAGGAGCAGCGGTGCCCGAAGATGATTAGCGTGGCGATGCCGAAATCGAAGGTCGGCACCGCTTTCAGCGCGACGCTCAGTCGCGTAATTTCCGCAGCCATTTTCGGGGTGAACTGGATATCCGCCAAGTTCGCCTGGTATCCGTGGCACGGGGCGAGACGGTCCGCCTGCGCCGTCGATTCCGCCGCTGCCATTTTGCGCGGGGGGTTACTCGGAACCGGTAGAATATCGATGCCCTCGTGGAAGTGTAAATTGCCCGCCTTGGAGCGAATGTATCTTCCAACGTAAACCAAAATTCTTGGCATTCTCTACGAGCAGTTGTGGTTGCTCAATACTGCGTGCTCTGCAGGTAGCGCGGACCAAAACGACGAAAGACGCGAGGAACGCGAACTAGAATACTACGCTTGTGTCAAGCTTGAGTAACTGATTTTAAATTATTGATTCTGTGTGTTCATACTTTATGGATGACTGAAAGCGATACTTGTCGCACGTTGGCAGACGAATACTGGTTTGAATTTCGCGAAAGCTGCTCAACAGTCACATTTCTGTTGACAGCGACAAAGACACAGAAGGCAACGCACTCATCGCAAAGTGCGTGAGTTCTAAACGAGGCAGTGACCTCATGGAGGTTTGCGCGCAACTGAGCCGAGCGGCACTTACTCCACCCGATCAATGGTGAATTTGCTGCAGTGCGAGTGCCCGCGCCCGTCCTTTCGCGTGATGAACACGCTCGACTTGTTGTTGTCGTCGGAGTTGATGGTGATACCTGAAAGAAAACGTTGGAGACAGGCAAGATTTTCCATGGCGTTGCATGGGAACCGAAGACACACGATTATTGAAATGATTGTCACATGAGAAGTTAACATGACACTGCGTGTTGAAAATGAAAAGAATACTTCCCGATCCTGGGGCGAATGCCGACCCGTAGGCGCACCAGGAGGCGGAAGAAGAACTGCAGGCTTTGCTGCAACGGGACGACGCCGGCGCAGAGGCCGACGCGAAGATGTTTTTGCACATAGACCCGGAGTTGTCCAGATCCAGCTTCGTTTTCGCTTGCTTGGCCAGTCGGTTGTAGCGACGCGCAGCTTCGGTGGCGGCTGCCTCCTTGCTGTTCCGTCCGCTAACGGCGGGGGTGTGGTTGCGGGAGGGCCGCTTCTTGTTTCCACCACCCGAGAAGCCGCGGCAAGAGGACCTCTTCTCTTCGAGGGCTCGCAGCTTGTCGCGATGGGACTGCTCCCGTTTTTCTTTCAGTTCCGCGAGTCGGACTAGTTCTTTGCCGACTTGGACCAGTTCCTTGACTGCGTCAACGAGCGCGCGAATCGGGTAGTTGATGGAGTCGCAGATCTGCAGCACGACGTCGGTCAGGCTGTTTTGGATCGCCCCAAACGAGCCCGCGATCGACTGGACTGCGGCGAGTAGGGCTCCGAAAATCCCCATTAACTTGGAACCGATCCTGCACATTTCCGAATTCTGCATGATTCCGTAGAAAGCCAGCGCGCCTGCGACTCCCGTGAACCACGATCCAAACAGGAGCCTCAGCAGGATGGCCAACAGTGCGATGCGTGTCGCGCTGTAAGAATAAAATTTCACCAGCTTCGAGTAGTGCTTGGTGTTCTTGGCGAAATGGTGCAGGCACCCGCGGGCGTAAAGACCCAGAAACACCACTAGCATGATGGCTGTGGCGTGGAGGGACGAGAAATTGTTCTCGAGAACGAAGATCCACGCGGCTTCGCCTGCTGTGGATGCAAACATCTTGAACGCAACGACACGTGGATCCAAATAACAACGAATCTGTGTTTTGGAAATGACGCAAGGTGCAAGATGCGTGAAAAACCTAGGCAGGGTGATCAGAACACTCGAGGTTATTGACATTCACGGATACGGTTCTCAATGTGCACGGTCACACGTACTAAATTCAATTCTCAGAGACAGGCTCGCACTCTGCTTCGTCAAAAGTTGTGTACCATTCTATTGAAAACGTTAGGTTTGTTCGAATATCGAATAGGCATCTGAGATGCGGAGAGTAGAAAAAAGAAGAATAGAGTACCGGGAGTAGAATAAGAGTAGGAATAATCGAATAAGACTAGAATAGGAATAGGAATAGCGATCGCGAATAGATTAGAATACGAATATTGTGGTCACGTGATTTATATACCGGATGCGTGGACCAGACCCCGGTGCGAACACGAACGAACACTCAAACAGAAACACCACAATCTAATTCACTTCTTAAAATTGGACTTCATACGCACCACTGCGCGCTGCTTCAAATCCATAAATTTTGTTCAGCCAGGAGAGCTGCTGACACCGGTCCACGAAGAAACCCAGCGGGAGGCAAAACTGCCGCAAAACCTCCTCCGCCTCGACCAGCGACCGGCCGACAAACGATTCGTGCAGGTATCGGAAGTTCTCGCGCAGACAGAGCTCCTCCTGTTCCCGCTCCAGCTTGCTGCCCAACACTTTCGCCGTGTCGGTGGAGTGCACCGGCATTTTGAACACAGACGAAAATTTCTTGCCCTGCCGCGGGTGGTCGGACGTCGCCCAGCCCTCGCTGTTTTGGATGAAGTAAAAGAACATGCATGTGCTCGTTCACGACTCATAAGAACTTTTGAACCCTCATAGTGTTGACTGTTGAGCTTGAAAAAGCCATCTCTAATATTACCGTCCCAAATGCTTTTTCTATTCTTATTCTCTACGTACCTTTGATCGCAGGTGTTTGTGTCCTGATCCGTCGGTTCAGGGGAGAGAAACAAGGGGGTAAACCGCCCCGTGTCCGACGGTGTCATGGGCACCGCGGAGTCGTGCCCGCGGCTCTCAATTCCCCCGCGGATGGTGGTCGCGGCGGTGGAAGGGGGGAGGATCACTTCGTTGGCGTATTTTTTGAAAACAATGTCGTCGGAAAAATCTACGGGCGCGTACGTGTTGACCAACCGGTGGAATTCTAACGCACCGGAGGTGGTGTTTTCGTCGTAAATTTCCTCGTCCTGCCCCTGCAAGTGCAACGACTGCCACAAAGCCTCGTGCGGGGACTTGGGCAAGACACAAACGGACGAGAGTTGCGACTGCAGAGAAGTACCACTGCCACCCTGTGGCCCGCCGCCGAACGTGTTCTGTCGGTCCGTGAGAATCCCGGATTTCGACCCGGTTGCACTCCTCCTCGGAGCTCCCTATCCCAGAGAAAAAAGCAGGCAGGGCATATCTCTTGTAAGTATATGCAAAAATAAATGAACAATGAAACCCCAAATAGCTCGAAGAACCCTGTCATCTTCCACCAAGTGAAACATCAATGGTGAGGTGCCCAGGGCCCCTGGTGGTGAAAAATAAATACTTAGATACACAGAAAAATCTGCCATGGGCCGCCCCATAGCATGCTTTTCAGGATGCGCAGCGTCGGTTTTTTTGTGCATTTATTTCTGCGTTACAAATATGACCTGCCTGCTTTTTTCTGTGTGATACTCCCATGTGGTTGTTCATAGAAACGCCACTCGTTCCGTACTCGTCCACGCCACTGAGCAACTTCGACTGCGACCTTTTGCTGCTCCTCCTGGTGTTGTGACTCACGCTGGCACTGGACTTGAACTTCTGCGCCTCCGCGACGCGTTTTCGGATCAGGGAGACGGTTGCCCCCGGCTCCAACAGTTCCTCCAACCCGGACTGCAGGGACCCGTGCAACCCCAGGCACTTCGCGCGAAGGAATTCCAGGTTCAAACTCGGGGAGACAACCGACAGCGCGATCAAGACCTCGCGCAGGGATACCCGCCCGCAGCTCAACGGGTTGTCGATGCAGCTGACCAGGTCTTGCACAAAGGAGAGGGGTATTTCGCCCAAAATACGGGTGAAAACGCGGTGCAGTTCCGTGACCGTCAGGTGGTTCCAGGATTTCTTGTCCGGGCCGACGACCAGAAACGCCATGTTCTGAAACGCGTCTACGGTGGACTCGAAATTTTCCAGAATCCTCTGTCGGAGTTGCGTCAGGATCTCCACGGTTGGCGGCGTTACGGAGGTTTGCTTGTTCGTCATCATGGTCGTCGCTCCGGTCGTTTGCAGTTTCTCGTGCGAGGGTGACGCGGGGGAGTGAGCTCCAGAGGAGGTGTTGTTGTGATAATTGTTCACCTCTCCCGGCTGGTTATTTTGCTGCTGTTCTGAGGAACCACCATTACTTGAGGACGAGGATGCGGAATCTCCGGCAAGAATCGGGCTCGACCCCCCAAGGCAGACCAACACGTCCTCTAACGAAACCGTCATGACCGGCGCGTTCTCCCGGAATTTTGCCGGCTTATTCCCGCTAGCACTCGGCTCGAGGTCCTCCTCCTTGCTATCCCACAGAAAGAAAAGCTAGTACAATGCGGCCACATTGATTTGTACTGCAAGAATGAATCCACCGAAAAATCTGCCATGGGCGAGCCTACTATAGTGAACGTGGTATTTAGCAAGGTTTTCGCTTTATTCCTTTTGTTCGTGTAACGTATCTGCTGTATTCATAATTTTTGCATAGTATACAAATGTGACCTGCTAGCTTTTTTCCGTACGATAGTTGCTCCCCAGCGCCTGCGTCGAGCTTCTTCTTGGAATCGATGGCCGTGTGGTCGCGACGGACTTTTCGATCCCCTGCTCCGCCTCCAGCTCCGCCTGCTCGCGTTGGATTTTTTCGAGCAGTAGCACCTCCGGTGGGCGGAGGAGCTGCAATAACTCCTTATTCTGCTCCGCGGACTGCTGCTTACTATCCTTCTTCAGTTCCCCCTCCGCTTCTGTAGCGGGGCTTTTCGCAGCAGCGGCTGCATCCTGTGCTCCACCTATTTCGTCTTCGTCCTCCTCATCCTTCTCCTTTTTGCCAAAACTAATCCCTTTCAACTGCATGGGGTCGGGGTTTTTCAAAAACATTTCCAGCTGTTCGGCACTTATCATGTGGGTGCGGACCGCAATGGTCTCCCCCAACTTCCTCATCTTCTCCTCCCGCTCCTTTTTCAGGCGGATCTCTCGCAGCTTTTGCTCGTCCGTGATCTGGCTCGCCTGCATCTCCGCGATCCGCTTTCTTTCCCGCTCCAGCTCCCGCTCCCGTTCCTGCACGGAGCAGGGCATCTTCTGCGAGCTGGTGGTCTTTTGCAGAAAATCGCTGCAGATACACCGCCGCTTCGCCGCCACGTGCTGCCGGATCAGCTCAAACGCCTGCCTGCCCGTCGCCGCGTCGCACACGCGGCCCTTTTCCAGCAAAATGGTGAAGGTCTGCTTCGTCAGCTGATTCGTCCAGTACGCGCCCGTGGAAACGCCGTGGTTGGACAGCACGAGCAGTCTTTCCAGCGCTTTCCTCACCTGGATTTCCTCACTCGGGTTCCCGCCCGACTGCTGGAGGAGTTTTTTGAAGTCCTGCAGATCAAAACGCTTCAGGTTCATCACCTTCACGATCTTGCGGTCGGTGATGGTCCCCTTCATCGCATCCCTCACCTGATCCATGCACTTCTCGGCGGCCTCGTGGTACTTTGCGTCTTCCCTTGCATGCTGCTTTTGTTCGGCGGCGGAGCTTTCTGCGGCCTTGTGCTCGGGATCCTGGTAGAAGTTTCATTATACGTGAACATGTTGATCTTGTTTCTGCCCCCGCGGAGCACACGCACACCATATCAAATACGTCTGCAAATAACCTCATACTAGAAGACCGCATTTGTTGAGCAACGAGCTTGCTCCTGGGAGACCACAACTAGGTACCCATGCCGCTTTATATTCCGCATAGACAAATACAGCACGAGGACGACTTGCTCACGACGACCCTAACCCTCCTTAATCGACGATCAAAATAAGTAAAAACTCGAGTTGTACCTCTTCCACAGCTTCTTTCCTCTCCGCGTGGAGGTCTGCCGGCCGCGCGGTGCTGATGGCCTCCCGGATTTCGTCCTGTGTCTTCTGCTTGAAAAAATTCTTCTCCAGCCCCACTTCGGTTTCCTCCGCTGGGAGCATGACTTCCAGTGCTTTGTACGCTTCGGACTCCGCCAAATCGAGGATAACCTTCCGCGCCGTCCCTTTGGCCCGCAAAATCGACGACTGGTCTGCGGAAAGTCTGAAGGCCGGGCCCTGCGTGGATTTCGCCAAATTCTTCGGTATCCGGAACTTTTTCAACGAGGCCGTGGACAACTGTTCTTGCGACAAGCTGTGCGGGTCTGCGTTGTTCAAGTTGTCCCCGCTCGCCGAAAGGTTATTTGTGGAGGACATCATGGGCATCATGGGCGTCGCGGGCGAGGTCGCGGCTACGGACGTGGGCGATGGCCCAGCGGTGGTTTCCTCCTCCGCCAGTGGGTCTTCCTCGCTGGAGGGCATGTCCTGCCGCTTGGATAACTCCAGGAAGAAGGAGAGAAAAAAATCGCCCACCATCCGGGGCAGCTGCCGCAGGGGGAGCGGCGGCGGCGCGGAGATGGACTTCAGGACGGAACTGTAGGCGTCCGTCAACTCTTGCACTTGGTCTAGCCTCTCCCCCTCGGGCAAAATCGCGGCGGCGCAATTGTCCGGAAGGCCGGCGCCGACCCGGTGGTCGAAAAAGTAGAGTACGTACCGCAGCATCAGCTGCACCAACGGGTCGTCCTTTGAAAACAACGGGGAGAACTGACAATCAAATGCAAAAGTATCCCATACATGTACGAGTACTTCTTGCAATCACGCGAAGACAAGTCTTGACGTGCCTCGTCAACATAATAACTCAGCATTTGACAAGCTCCATAGCATAATATTTCATGCTGAGCAAATTTTTCGTGACGTGATGCAAGTTGTATTTTTACTACTCGTACGATACAACTTTTGCAGTGCGTAGTGACTCAGCTTTGACGATCGCACGGCGGACGAGTTCTCGACGGCATCGAGCAAGTAGTCCCGGAGCTCCTGCAACAATTTGAAACCCGCTTTTTTGCTGACCCTCTGCAGTGGGTCCACCGCGAGTTCCTGGAGTATTCGCACGAGAAACTGCCCGCTGGATTCCTTCCGCCCGAGCTTGATGCCAATGGCCTGCAGCGACCGGACCTTCTGCCAAACGGTGTGCAGGTACAGAGTTTCCTCCTTCTCCTCAGCCTTGCCGTCATCCTCCACGCGGAAGCTGAATAGCCTGAAGATGTTTGTATTTGCCTTGCCTGTCTCAGCTGCAGATTCTTCAATTCTTTTCCCTTACGTCGTTTTGGTTTTGTAGTCATGCGCGCACGAAACAAGCAGCATTGCAAGCAAAAGTACAGCATTAAGTACTTCCTCTTGGATGTTGCCCTCCTGGCTGCCTCTGCCTCCTCCTCATCAATTGGCGGCTTCGTGTCCGGTTCCGCGAGGCTTTTTATAAAGTGGTCCGAAAGCTTCCGCCATTTCCTCGTCGCACCCGTTTCCTGCGAATTAGATTCATCAGACAGAGTATTACGGGGCGGGTGGAGATCTAGATCACCGACCGATCAGCTAGTTATAGTAGCTGATGTATGATATTATGAAACACTTTATTCCTCACGCGACGCAAAACTCAAATACCGCTTGCTTTCCTGGACTGCCCGGCTTACTGCGCCCGATGGTGCGCGGCTTTACCAGTGTGTACCGGCCATCCGCGCCACCTTTGGGGTCGCTGAAGCCCCGCTTTTTCCTCTTTTTCGCATGGTCGTGATCGTCGAACAAACCGCCAACGTTCTCAAATACGAAGGAATCTTCGGGCAAACCCTTTTCCGACAAAAGCACGTTCGCTCTCGTGTAATTTTTCACAAAGTCCAATTTGTTCGGAAGCTGCTCCTTGAGCCGACTGCGGTCCCGCTCGTCTTGGCTGTGCACGTTGCCGCGGAGCGCGGTCTTCTCCAAGAGGGAGAACTCGTGCCTGACCAGGCGGGGCATGTCGATGGAGCTTTGTGAAGATTGTGCTGTCAGTTAATAGAGTTACTGTTTCGAGGGTTCTTCACATTAGTTTCTCTGCCCGTGCTGTTAGAGCTCCGATGATCGCGATCATGGATAGGTAAAAACAGAAGTACAACCGATGGACGTTAGTATGTACTGTGCAATTACAATGCCACCTGCTTAGAAGCAAAGCAACGACGCCGACGTGAAGGAGCTCTTCTGAGTGAGACGATAAGAGAAGGTCCACGACAAACTGTGAAACTTCTGATTAATACACTTTATTTCACCACACTCTCGAGCAGCTCCACTGGACTACAATATCGACGCACATTTATTTCAAGAACCAAAGTTAGCACTATCTTCAACGACGACGATGGATATGGAAAAATTTCGGTGCCAGAAGTTGTATTGTTTGTTACTAGCGAACCAAAATTAATCGACGTGGACTAAATGACGACTCATGCTCATCTGGTGCCGACTCACTACTTAAATGTACTCCACAGCGAATCGAACCACCACCACGCGGTAGGTTTGACAATTCTGAACGAACAGGCTCGTGCGCTGAAAACAAAGCAAGGTGTAGCATTTGTACGATGGATAGTTATTCTTGTTTCCCTGCTCCATGAATTTATGCGTTCAACAAGGTTTTTTAGAATTTTCGCAACACAGCCAGTACCAGACCTACGCGAGAGCACTCGCCGCTGCGAGAACAGCGATAGCCAGCAGCCCCGACCAACCCCTCCACGATGACTGCAGCTCAGCGCCGGATGTCTCCCCTCCGCCGCCCCCGCTCAGGATCTCATCGAATGACAGCCCGGCGCTTCCTCCAGAACCCGCTGTGAAATCGACCGCAATTTCTTTGTTCTGCTCAGGCCGGTAGTACATGAAGAGTTTGACTTCCTTCTCTTGCCGATTCTGCACCACGAACTCCTCGCGCGCTTTGAGAGAAAGCGTAAACGCTCCACTTCCAGTACTACCGGTTGCTGTGCTACTGCTACTTCCGCCGCTCGGCAACGAGTCGAGGTAGAGGTGCAGGAAGCCTTCGTCTGTATCCACCTCGACGCGGTCGATTTGGGTGCCGGTCGCGGTCGTGGCGGCCCCAGGTGGAGAAGACACAAGCGAAACGGAAGAAGCCAGCCTCTCCCGCTCCGCCGCATCCACCACAGTTCCGGTAAAAAGACCAATACTCAGCATCGTCATTTCGCCGGCATTCGAGTGGTAAGCTGCGGCACAATTGGGGTTTGATGTTGCTGGATCCTTCGGTGCAACGCGGAGAGCGAGGAGGTAGGACTTCGGACTTGTTTGCGACGAGGATGTGGATGATGCTGACGTGGTTGAGGCTTGATTGTTTGCTGTTGCTGCGATTTCGATTTCACTTTTGTCCTCATTGAACCACTTCGCGACGAAATCCAGACAATCGTCGAGTAGAGAAGAATTGTTAGTCGGTGAGTTCTTGTTGCTGTCACGCACGTTGAATTCTTGAAGGACAGACACAACCGCTGTTCTTTCGCTGACGGCCGCACTTTGAGAAGCCGCGACGACGACGGACTCTGAGGAGTTGTGCGCTGGTTGCTGTTGTGGTTGTTCCAGGCTTTCATCAACCAGAGTTTCGTTGTAAATCTCAATCGTGTGGTAGAGCTCGGGGTCAGTCATGTCGTAGTGGAACAAAGCTGATGATGTTGATGCTGATGCAGCCGTGCTTGTGGACGAGGAGGTGCCAGCTGCGGTAATATTATGTGTCACGTCAAACACCATGCTGCCGCCGCCGTCGCTAGTGCTTCCAGAAACAGCCATCTCGAGGAGCTGAAATTCAGCGATCGCCTCCAACGCCACAACCGTGTCTTGCGTCGACCGGAACCCCCCTGCGCTCGACCGGTGCTTTAAAAGCCACTTCACGCCAGAGTAGGCATTGTTTAGATCCCCGGCAGCCACCAGAATCAAAACCGCATACGCTGTGAGCTCTATGGAGGCAGCAGAAGGCTCGTTTGGCTTATTACGGAAATACATTGCGTTCGCACTCGCAACAGCATTCGCTGAAGAAGAGGAACCGCTCTCTGCTGGTTCCTCCCAGTACGTCAGTCCCTCGCTATCGCGTTTCGTCAACAGCAGCACCGACGATTTGGCAAGACTCCTTTCGATTTTCGTGTGTGCGGGCTGGTCGCGTAGAGCAGTTTCAGCGGCTCGAAGCAGTGCGTAGACAGCTATCACCTCGGCAGCCACTGATCTGCTCGCTTCGGCACTCAATGTTCTACTTGACCATTCAGCCTTTACCCAGGCACTTGCTTTGCGTATCGCAAGGACCAGATCTCGCATGGTGGTTTCAATCAGAGTCGTTGGTCCGGTTGCAGCGCTGAGGGAGCTGCTGCCTTCCGACGAAGCCCCCGTGGTGACGACCGACGCTCCGTACGAATAAACGCCGCCGAAGTACTCCCGATCCAGCTCCCGCCAGATAGAGCAGAGCGTCAGTAGGACGAAGGAAGTCAGACTCAGTCGCGACTCTTCAGTACTGCCCATCATGGTTCGGCTGAAGACGCGGCCGCGGCTTACGAAGTAATGCGAAGAGGCATCTTGCGCACTGAGGATGAAGTTGATCGCCGGAACGAGGTTTGGCCAGTCAATCGACACTGCTTGTTGTGCCTCACCTCCCTCCATCAACCTGCCAACGTACCCTGCGCGCCCCACGTCTGCGAACACGCGAAGCGAAAATGCAGTCAGCCACAAGCTGCTTCCTTCAAAATTACCCCGCCGCCCTGTTTCACCATAAGCTGAAAACCCTCCGTCAGATTTGCTTTTATAGTTTAGTTGCCGGACGTAGCCCGTCCGCATGTTGCTGAATAAACGCTGCTTCAAAGCTTTTCCTTGCACACCGCGGTTTACGATATACGCTTTTGAAGCGAGGTAGCGAAAGACGTACACATTGGGGGCGAGGGACATGAGGTTTTGTTCTCCGCAGCCGTAGGGCACGCGCACGAGGCGTTCGATGTTCGCAATCGTCTGGGATAGCAGCTCGCCGGTGATCGCAACCGTGAGACGCTTGCTGTCGGGGACTACTACACCTGCTCCCGCTGACAGGGCGCCCCCTTGTTCATCCTCGCCGTCGGAGGACCACGACAAGCCCACCGTTTGTGATTTTACGCTACCATCCGTCGGTGTTGTGATCAACAGGTTTGTTCGTTTCAGTTTCTTGACGCCTTCCGGCTTGACGAGGAGAGAGCGCTCGATGCGGTCGACATACGCAACACGGGACACCACGCTGGAATACGACGAAGCTGATGTCGACGCCCCGGCAGACAGCACCACAGCGCAGTATACCTCCAGCCGTACCTTGCTCGGTTTCAAAATCGAAGTCCGCCCGGCCGCAGTGCTGACGGGAATCGGGAAAGCGGTCGCGCCGGTCTTCGAAATGATTCTCGCTTTTTTCAGTTCGTAGCTGTTCAAGGCTTCTTTGCCTGTGCCGCCACTAGTCGCGGCTGCAGGTCCAAGTGCAATCTCACCCACACTGTCATACTCGTTCAACAGGTCTTGGAACTCTAATCCTCGGCTGACAGCGATCTGCCAAGTGCACTCGAGGAGGTTCGAGTCCGGCACTGAATATTCTCCCTTCAAGTGCGCTGCGACACTTCCTCGCAGCGCTACCAGTTCTCCTCGCGTGATCGAATACGGCATACGCACGTCTGCAACCACAGGCTTCGCCACGATGAGTGACGGCAATACCACATCCGTTCCCAACCCAATTCCAGGGTGAATGGCATATCCTTGTAGATCCCACGTCGTCAGCGAATCCGGAACTGTCGTGCGGAGTAGCGAGGCATTCACGTAGTTCATGTTTTCCCAAAGCCACGTTTCGGGGAAAAAGGTGCGGAGCTTACTCTGCGCGGCGACAGACGGGGCTCCACTTGCGCTTGAAGAGGTTGTGGAAGCTGAATCTCCACTCCGTGTCGAGTCGGCAGAACTGGGCGCGCCGGCGGGCGTCGCGACTGCTACCTCCACTGTTATCCCCATCCCGCCGTCACCTGCGCAATATCCCCGCGGAAGGATCGGCTCACAACTTGTGAGTGGCAGCGCGGAACCCGAGAAGGAGTCCAATTGCAAAGAGCCAATTCCGAGCTGTTCGAGGACCCGAGCCTCGTCGTAGAACTCGCGGCACATGACACTGGCCGCGCTAGAAGTACTAGTACCGGCAGTGGTCGTGCTAGTTGCCGCAGTAGTTTCCCCCGCAGATTTTGTGTGAGACACAACGATTTTTCCGGATAACAAGTTGGAGTCGGCGGTTAAGAGTGAGACGGCGCGGTCTTGAGCGGAAAAAAAAAGCTTCGTGGCAGTGTCGTTAGAGAAAGTAGATGATGTTGCTGTGGTCCCAACATCAGATGACACTGCAACTGCTAGGTGCGCGTTCACTCCAGGCAGAACAGATGACCCATTTAGCGGCACCAGTTCTGTAGAACTTGTCCCCTCCACCGCGTCGGCCAGCCATGAAGCACTCACACTGCCAAAACTCGTTTTATTTCCAGCAAATAATGAAGCCGATCCCTCCGCTACTTCGAAACGCACACTGTCTGCAGCCTTCGCGGATAACGCTGTCGTCGTGTTTTTCGAAGTAGGAGTAGCGCTGATCAATGTCACTACTGCGTTGAACTTACTCCCAGGGCGCGAGAAAAGATTTGCACCAGATGTTGAAGACGCATCCAGCACCAAATCCGTGATGTTGACGCTACCGACGTAGTAGGCTACGCTTTCAACGGTGCCCACTGCGCGAGTGGTAGTAGTCGTCGTGGTTGTGACCGCCGACGCGCTCGTTGCTGTGACACCATAGTAGTGCGGGTAGCTCGCTTGCGGCCTCTGATGCACAATTACAGAATCCGTGACTTGGCGCAAAGTGATGTTACAGCAGGAAACATTTTGGGCGGAAGCGAAAAGGCGGGCTGGAGACAGGTTGACGGGGTAGAGAATGTAGTTCTTGCCCGAAGCTAAAGCACCCTCTTGCTCATCCTCATTTGACAGTAGCATCACGTTCACCGACGTAACGTGAGGAAGTGTTGTTCTGAAGTGCACGACGTATGAGTCTACTGGTTCAGTCGCATTGTTCACCTCTACTGCGCTCATCAAAAGCTTTCCTGCGGTCGCGTAGTGCCCTGTCGGAGAGTACTTCCGATTCGCACAAGCCGTGTGCGAGTCCGATCGAGTTGTAGCTCCCCCCGTAGATGATGAGCCCCCTGCCGTCGTAATTTGCACGCCATCCACTCTCACGAACGCCCTCACCGTCTGCACACAGCAACTTATCTTTACGTGATCCGAAGACCACGCGTTCAAAGGTCCGGTCGCTGCGGAATACGCGCCAAGATCGCAGCAAGTTCGGTCTGTTTCAACAGGTATCGGAACAGTGAATAATTTGCTTTTTAAAGTCTTCAGCTTCATGTTCGACGAACTGCTCGTAGTAATTCCCACTGATGTTGAACTGCCATCTTCCAAAAACGGCCCCAGGTCCACCTCCACATACTTCGGGCGCGCGCTATAGCGCTGATGAGAAAACTCCACATGCAGCTCTACATCGGGTGAGGAGGAAGAAGTTTTTACAAACGCTGTGAGGTCCTCTACAAGCACATGGAAGGGCAGACCGGGTTGAAATTCCTTGTCGGACGTGACCCGAACCGCCGTCGACGCGTATTTTATCTCGATACCCTCGCTGCTTCGCATCTCTCCAGACGCAATGTCCGTGCAATTCGCGGTTACCCGGATTGCGTCTAGATTTCCATTGTCATGCTCCTGTTTGAGGAGGTCGCGGAGCGTTTGCGTAGGTGAGGTCGTCGTCGCGGCATCAAGGTCCACTGTGAAGGCAAATCGAGCGGAGGGGGCTCCTGCATTACTACTCGTAGCAGGTGCGGCATTTGTAGGACCACTAGCGTCTACCTCGATGATAGTCAAAACCGAATCCGTGCAGATAGAGTAGGGTGGGGGCGACGACAGCTTCCTTCTTGGTTCTTTATGCGTATTTTGGGAAATAACGACAGACTCCAAATCTTGGCCGTCTTCTCCATCTTCTTCGGCATAATTCTCGGGTTTTAATACTTCGCTTGCAGCTGCACGGCGTCTGAACATAATCTCCGGCATGAACGGCCCACTGCTCCAGCCGTACGACCACACCGGGCACTTTCTAACAACCTCGACGGATATTCTGTCGTCTTTGCACTTCACGTCTCCTCCATAATTGTACGATGCGGTGACAAAACCCTGGATCGCGGTGGGCGAGGAATGCTGGCTGATGATCTTAGAGTATGAAGTTCCATCATCTCCAAGTTTGAGGTCTACACTGAACGTTGGCAGCACATATTCTTCCACGTTCCAAGTAAGTTGATTCGATGTCGCAACTTCCCGCGTAGCGTTGTTCGTCGCTGAAGATGCGTTCGGTACCCACAGCAACTTCGCTTTTGCGGAGTACGTATCCTTGTTTCCACCTGCAGAAGCACCACCGATGTTTGCCGGCAGCGGAAATTGCAAGTGGTCTTCGTTGTCGAACACGCCGTAATAAAGAGAAGTGGATATTGTACCAGTTGAAGAAGACTCCACCGCGGTCGAATTCTGTGTCGTCGATGAAGAGGATATTGGTCCACCAGTTGACCGTAGCTTTGCGATCAGCAGCTCTTCACTTTCCGAAACCACTTTGCGCAATTGGATCTCGGCTTGCCAGGTTCCAGTTTCACCTGACCACGACGATGACATCAAGTCCAGCGGCTTCGACGTCACTCTGTCCATGGCAACAGCACGAAACTTTACCACCCCACCCGGCTTGTAAATCGCCTTGTCTGCCTCCAGGAAAATCACTTCGCGATTCGCAACGGAGACAGGCACTTCAAGTTGTACAACTTCCGCGGCGACATTTGAGGCTGAGGAGGTCTCAGGCATCTTAGTTACGTGTCGGAAACGGAAGGAGTGCTGCGCCAACGTCGTTGTGCCAGCGGAAGGTGAGGATGACGACGGCATGAACGGCAGCAGCGTGCTGAGTGAAGGGACTTGAAGATCCACTAAGCTGTTTCCTGAGGTCGTGCCTCCTTCGGAACTTGCGCCTCCGCTTACCGCCGTGCTGTTTGCAAGAACGACTACGTCGCCGCCAGACAGCACTCCTGCTCCGCTAGCTGTGGGTCCTCGTGCCAGCAGCTGTACGAACGAAGTGCTGCCGTTTTGATCAGTTGGTACTAGAATCTGAACCGTATCACCAGGGAAAATCGACTTTGGAGGAAGAAAAGCCGCGGACGCGAAGACGCGCGAGAGGGCGAGTAGGAAAAAAGACTGATGCTTGAGTCGCATCATTCTAGAGTGAAACTGGTTCAGAAATTGCAGCGAAATATTGCGTCCTGAGATATCGATATGCACGGTAGATCTGATATATAATGGGTAGTACGGGGCCTGGTGCTGCGGAGAATGGCACGATGCCGCGAAGTGAGATACTAGCGCAAGTAAAGACGAAGCCGATAGACATCCGACATTGTTCCACTCGTCTGCCGGGGCAAGTAGATGAGTTTTGAGTACATTTGTGAGTTTTGACCTGCAAGTTACTGTTTCAAAGGTTCTTCACATATATTTTCTCTGCCCATGTTGGAGCTCGGAAGATCGCGATCATGTTCATGGAGGGGTAAAAATGGAAGTACAACCGAGACCGACGGACGTTAGTATGTACTGTGTATTACAATGCCTGCTTAAAAGCGAAGTAACGACGCCGACGTAAAGGAGCTCTTCTGAGAAGGGCGATGAGAGAAGGTCAACGACAAACTAAAACTTCTGATTAATACACTTTATTCCACCACACTTTCAAACAACACCACTGGATTACAATATCGACGTATTCTCAAGAACCTAAGTCAGCACTATCGACGACGACGATGGATATGGATATACTGATAATTTCGGTGCTAGAAGTTGAAGTTGTATTGTTACTAGCGAGCCAGAATGAATCGATGTGGACAAAATGACGATTCATCTGTACTTCACAGCGAATCGAAACACGCAGTGGGTCTGACAATGCTGAACGAACAGGCTCGTCCGCTGAAAACAAAGTAAGTAACATTTGTACGATAGTTATTCTTTTTTTCCATGCAGAAGAAGATTCCGAGCCTTAGCACTGCATAGTACTGTTCACGAAGCAGTAGATGAATCGAAGCGAGTCTTTGGTCGTGTGATGAAGTTGCCCTCAAGAGTAAGTATTTTACAATTCATAAAAAAAGATACATTTTGAATTCACTGATTGTACAGCCAGTGCTACCACATCTGAATCATACAAAATCTAGTGGGTCTACAAATAAAAGTTCAGCTATCGTATATTCAACGAGAGTACGAATTTTTCGAACGGAGTCTAGCCGCGGTCATTGCTCATGCAACATGATGAGGGCGACTGATTTTAGCTGAATCTTACATGAAGAAGTCTTTTGATGTCCTTTTCATTTTACAGTTGTTGAGCTGTTTTCCATCAGAAAACAAAGTACTTTAATATCGTCACGCATGTCAACATCGCAACGGGGCCGCTACTTCTAAAGGTTCATACTGTTATATATTTCATGACGCTTGATTGTTACCCTAGCCGTTTTCAAAAAGCTGCAACGGTGAAGGCCATCAATGTCGCCCATTTAGTACAAGTAACGGTTTATGCCTATCATACATAGTTTGCGATTTTTTGGCTTTCACAGAAGAGTATGGGCTGCTTTTGGCAGAAAGGGAACGAATGCATCCGCGTCCAGGACTACTTACAAGAGTAGTACTAGTAGAAGTGGAATACGTTTACGTTCGAAAAAAGAAGGCAATTTGGTCTGTCAAGAGTCTGGTGCGTCTGCGTTTTACAAAAGTAAGTTCTTGGAATGGAGGTAATGCAGCTTGCAGCTTTCATCAGATGAACGATTACAATAGGTCCACTACCTAACCTCCAGCTGCTTCACGACAGTTTTTCCGTTTTCCTCTTTGCTGCCGCTCCGTTTATCAAACCACAAGGGACGGCGTAACAACGATCCCACCGCACGAAAAATGCCAGATGTTGCCTCTGGAATCGCCTCCATCTTTTCCACGGGCCCGCCGCCAAACTTGTTCGGAAACTCTCTGGGCTCGAATTCGTAGTCTGCAACGAATTTCTCGCCACTTTCCTGCTCCAACTTCGACCGCTTTTCCTGCTCTGCCTTCTGGCGCTTTTCCTCTTCGTCCGGCGTAACTGCAGCGAAGCTGTCTTCCCGGCGGTACCACCAAGGCAAATCTCCTGCGCCGGAGAGGCCAATGCTGTACGTTATTCGTTCGTGCGGGATGTGCATCTGGTACGACTTCCATTCCTTTGACAAATTTTCGCCCGCTGCTTCTGCATCTGGGTCTTGTAACAAGTGCGTGTTGCCCAGAAAGTAGTCATCGGCCCGGTTTCGGAGTCCCGCGAAGCTTGGTCGTTCCGCGTCTTTTTCACAAGAGAAGTCTTCCAGTAAACGCTCCAAAGCATCCAGCTCGTTCGTGCCGCGGTTTCGCTTTTCGGTTTGCCAGTTGTTTTTGGAAAGAGAAGGAGCAGGATCTACAACGGCCGCGGGAGAAGCGACGTGGTAAATAGTAGGCTCAGTCGTAGATGATGCTCCTGTCGAAGGGAAATGCACAGAACCTGTTGTAGCTGGCTGCGGCCGTTCACGATACTTCTTACGCGCGAAGACCAGAAGGTCTGGGAGCGTTGTTCCTGGTCCTTTGGGGAGAAGAGATCTGCAGATATCCGCTTGCGGATCGGAAGCAGAAGGAGAAGCCAAGTCGACAGCGTCTTTCTCGACAGGAGTTGGTACAGTTTGTTCGTGTTCCGTTTGCATCATAAGTTTGTCACCTTCTAGTGCTCCCGTGGTGTCCTCCTTTGGACCACTTCGTTCAGCCGCAGCATGTTCTGTACTGGTAGCCGCGCCAGCAACAGAAGAACTCGATGACAGTCTTTCCAAGACCTGTTGTGCATGCCTCCGCTCGTCCGCATCCGGAAATTTTCCGGAATGGTTTTCGGCCACATCCTGCCAATTGACAAGCGACACTGCATCCGTTTCGGCGAAATCCTTCAGCAGTCTTATCCGCAGCTTCAACGTCCTCAGAAAAATCGTCTCCCAGAGGTGTTTCCGCGCGTTTTGCTTCACGGGGTTCCTTTTGCCGGTTGCATTTCCACCACCAGCAGTCGTTGCGCTGGCGCTAAACGGCGGGTCTTCCGGTTCCGCCTTACCAGGAGCCTTTCCCGTTTGCACTCGACCGCTAGGACCGAAGATAAGATTCGGTGCTGTGTAGTTCGATGCAGTCTTTTTTATCGCACCACTGTCCTCTTCATCAGTCATCGTTGTGTCCATCGGTTGTAGTACGGGATTTTTGTGCAGCTCTACGTCCTTTATTGCTGCGGCTGCTTCATCGTCGTGTTCCTGTTCTAGTACTTGACCGACGATAGAAGAAGTGGAACTAGACTCACTACTACTTCCCGCCCCCGCGTCATTTATTTCATCAAAAGTTCTACGCTTTTTCCGAGCCGGCTCTTCCTCGCCCGCTCCTTCGTCTACTTCTGAACCGTCCTGTGCTTGTACTTTTCTCTGCTCCACTTTTTTATCAGCAGCTCCCTGTTGTTGTTTCTCATCCACCTCCGCATCGTTCCACTCAAAATCCTTCCAAAATCCCAACTCGAGACAGGTGGTCACAAAATCCCTACACGGCTCCAGCACCCCTTCCCGATCGACTGATTTCTCGCACATCTTCCAAAAACGGCCCGGCTGCAAGTAGACTTGGCAGACTCTTGCACCTAATGGGTTAAGAAGTTTCAATCCCTCTTCAATTCTCCGCTTTTCCGTCTCAATTGATTTTTTCTTCGCCTCGAGCTGGACCAAAAGCCGCTCCTGCGCGTCAATCCGGGAGGAATAAAAAACTGCTCCGGAAGAAGTAGAAGTTCCAGTTCCTCCTTCTTCGTGTAGTTTTGGTGTCGAATAACGCCTCGCAGGAGCAGGCGGGACCCCGAGCACTTGTCGCGGACCAACCTGCGCCGGCAAAAGCTCGGCGTTCGGCAGCAGCCCAGAAAAAACAGCACCCATCTTCTGTAGTTCCAGAATAGTAATATCAGGCAACGACGACCACGTGGAGAACCTCTTGCGCTTGTTGTTCTGTGGTGGGCCGCTTCTTGATTGTTCGGGATTTGGTTCATCACAAGAACCTGGGTTCCTTTGTACCCCGCTTGAAGATGGCGCACCTCCTCGTCGTCCCTCGACGGCAAAACTTTCCCGTGAAGCAGGAGCAGTTCCTCCGCTGCTCCCTCCAATAACCGTATCCACAAACCTGCGCTTGCAAGAGTTCAGGGCGAGCCGCTTCTTCATTTTTCTTTCCGCGCGCATCTGCTCTATTTTCAAGTTCCGTAAATCTTCCTGCGCCCTCGCAAGCTGCTTGTCGGTTTCGGGGATGCGGGATAAGGTCAAAGTTCTCAACGTTTCCTTTTCATTTTTCCAAAACATCCGATCGAAACCATCCAGAACTGCTTGCACGATCTTTTTCTTCGTCAGACCCGAAAAAGCAGAGGTGTTTTCATCCTGGTAGTTCCCTACTGTACTAGCGCGTGGTGTAGTTCTTGTGCTCCCATTTTCATCGGAAGTTGTAGAGGGAGGCGATATAGTCGGGGAAATAAACTGTGCCTGTGGAACTGGAAGAAATTGGTCCGCATAATTTTTCACCAGTGTGTCCAACTGCACAGCGCGGGCTTTATTTCGCGCTGCAAAGGCATCGCCTTCCTTCTGTTGGGGAGGCGGATATTGCAAGAGCTCTACTGCTTCACCCTGTAACTGCAAAGGAGAAGAGTCCAGAACCAAATAGGGCAGCTCATCACTTTGTTCCTGAAGCTTCTCGTTCTTGACCGTCTGCTTATCATGATCTGCAGGGCTAGGCGGAGAAGATGAGGATGAAGCAGTTTCTTTTTCAGACGGAGCAACAGTACCGCCCAGGGAGCTCGTAGTAATGCAAGTTGTGGAGCCAGGAGCTGCAGCGGCACTGGACGAAGCCGCGCTACTGCTACAGCTGCCGCCGTTTGATCTTCTGCTCTTCGTGGTCCTCCCAAGAAATAAGCGAGCGTCAATAGTGCCTTCTTCTTCGGAAGCTTCTGCACTGACTGCCTTCATCTCGAGAAACGGCCTCTTTTTCGGCCCGGGGGGAACCACAGCTTCTTCTACTGGTGCAGCATCAGCAACTGGATGATATAGATCGGGAACATCAATTTTTTCTACTGCTGCGTCTGCTATTTTCTTTGCCAAGTCGTCGATAGTACTTTTGAAAGAACCTCCGGGATTGGTCGTGGAGCTACTGCTACTAGTACAAAAACCTCTGGGCAGTTGTGTTACTGAAGTAGCGTCGCTTCTGTCCAGGTCACGCCACATCTGTGCCAGCTGGTCTTCCATTTTCCGGTCAACCACCTTCAATTGCTCGAACATGAGTTTGTTGTTGTTCGCTGGAATCTCGGCAATGGATGGAGCATCTACTCCTAAGGTTTTTTCGTGGAAGTCAGACCTCGCCCCAGCGACCGGAAGGAGTTTCCTTCTTTTACTTTTTTGTGAATTGCTGAGAGCACCTGCAACATCGTCATGCGTTTTCTCCTCAGAGCTCCCGCTCGTCCACGGCTCTGATCTGCTTCCGAGGATCTTGTGCTCGTTTACCACGTCGGTTGCGCTTTGTCCTTGTTTGTTCTCGTCGTTGCGTGCGTTCGCGAAAAGCGCTGCAGCTCTTACGCCACAACTTGCGCTGTTGACTAAAAATGTTGTTGCACACAACGCGACGAGACGCAGCCAGGCGCATGATAGTCTGAGCTGGTGCGGCATCTTTGTGGTCTACCGATTATTTGGGACGAAATTTTTTCAAAATACGGCTTGCTGCGTGGAGGAGCTCTCTATTTACTTCATCTCAGAAAAAGAGTACTTACACACCTAGTGGACAAAGTTGTAAATTGGAAACTTCACTACAAAAAACGTACTGCAATACTTCACTACAAACAACTACAGTAGTCAAACCGCAAAGAAGTACCTGACTCGATACAAACGCGTGGATGTCTGTGATGTCCTAGAAAAGTAAGTAGGAGATCGTGAAAAATAGTAGTGATCTTCTCGTTATGCCCACGGATCGTGCAGCAAGAAATAGTTTTGTTTTCGAACACGCTTGAAGCAGATCTCCTCACTCATGCAAAAGTTCGCACAGCAAGAAAATACTGCTGCCTTGTCTGTGGTCTTTCGGATTCTCATCCATATGCTCTGCGACTACGCATCATGGCGTGGGAATGTAGTAATAATCATCTGAATCTGTACCTGAAACAGTAAAAGTCAACTAAATAAACCGTACTGTCGTCGTGGAGACTCATTTTCTGAACTATACTCGATGAACTTGAATCCTGTGTCTCGGGTTGTAGTTGAAATCAAGAATTTTATGGTCATGCCATATTACTATTGGATGAAACTGAGACGTTTAGAATCGCAACTATGCCAAACACTTCTAGTGCGGAACGCTAACGCAGCAAGCTGTGGATTTCGATTTAGATTTCACAGTCATCATACAATGTCTTCATCAGCCGCCACTTTCACTTTTATTTACGCGTTCCGTCGGAACAAGGCATCCAGGCATGATCCTGGTCCTCAATTGTAGTGCAGTGGAAACCCGTGCCCGTACCTCCACGCCTCCGGGTTTTCCACCGCCTTCCCCAGTGGAGCCACAATAGCTGCTTGCCGGTAGGACCCAATCTTCCACTTGGGCTTTGGGTCGGCCGCGATATTAGCTGCACTGGCTGCCGCTTTATTGGTTGTTGAGGCCACGGTCGTGGTAAGTTTGGCGGTCCGATTCTGCATGTATTCCCGCATAATGGTCACCTTGTATAAGAAGTGTGGTTGAAGTTTCAGACTTTGCTTTGAACTGAACAGAGAACATGCTCCTTCAAACAAAAGCACCTCATGAACAGAGACACAAAGGAATTTCAGTACACTACCTTCTCGTCCTTTGCGCTCAGTCTTTTTTCTACCTCATCACTGTCAAGGTTGGAGGTGGCGTAGCTCGCCGCCCGCTTCAACGAGGGAGAAAAATCCGGAACGCCCGCACGCGTCTCCCGTGGCTGCTGGCTGCTGTTTGTTTTGCTCGACGGTGAGTATTACAGTGAAAAGTGCCCCCCACCCCTGAAATTGCAAAAATTTGTGATGCGAAGTTTCCAAATGAAAACTTTTTGTCATGCATGAAAGGAGTATGAATCTTTCTGATGCAGCAGAGTTTAGGCGTGTATCGCATCGCTTGCATGACAAGCGCCGCTCTTGCTGGGGTCTTTTGCAATACAAATTTTTGCTATTCACGATTGGAAACCTGTGATGCTGATAGGTGCAAGAGGGCGAATGTTTCATTTGCCAAGGTTTGCAATACAAATGCTCCCAAGTTCGGGGGTGGGGGCATTTTAATTTTTCATTGTAATAGTGAACTGAATTTGTTCTTGTTTTCCGGACTGCTGCCCTGGAGATTCAGTGCGGCGACTAGCACTTGGTTTATCCCCGTGGGATATCAAAAGTAAAAATGTCTGGGTCTGGGAACTTGTGATGCTGGGTGGCGTCTCATGATGAGGCTACAAATGCTGGCTCAGCATGGCAAGTTTCTGAGCTCCTAGGTGTTGCCTATTCTGCATGACAAACTGCGCTTCTGTATCACAGAAAAACGGAGCTCTTGGGTAACGTGCATGACAGATTTAAGAGTCATACCAGACAAGCATGACAAACATGAATTCTTCCAGACCCAGACATTTTTACAGTTGATATGGGACAAGTTGTCTTGAACGGGGAGGGACTGGAGGCAGAAGAACTACGGGCAGCAGGCGCGGTACTAGCGGAGGTACCACCGCGGCTAGTACTGTTGTTCCGAATAAACTCGTCATCGACTAGCGAATAAAACCCCGGCGACTGATGGTCTCGCACAGCAGCAGCAGCAGCAGTTCCAGTTGTCCTTGGGGTCGTCGCTACAATTGTTGTTCCGGTCTTGTTGTAGTTCCTTCGCGCGGACCACAGCACCTCACTCGGATCGTTGTCGTCGCCCTCCACCATGACTACGAGTTGGTACATTTTCTGCACGTATTTCTCTAATTTTGTTGTCAAGTGATCAACCTTCTCCACGCGCACTTCTTCAAAGGCCGTCGTGAGCAGGTCCCCGTACGTGGTTAGTTTCTGCAAATCCTCTACGATGCTAGCGTGTATGGAGATGTGGAAAAAAGGCGGCTATCTAGTGCTCTCCGGCGCGCCACAAAGCCTCATGCTCAAACTTCGACGTGAAGGTGAAAGACAGGGAGAAGGATGAAGATGAATTTAAATCTATCGCGTCGCATAAAACTACACTCAGTGTAAATTAGGGCACGAGCACGACGATAATTTGCCGGAGCAATACAAGTTCGCTTTGCGTATGGCAGGGCACAAGAACCCATTTTTCTGCTGATAAAAGACTCCGCGATTTCACAGTCCATGCGGTCAATGCGTTCGCGGTGGCCAATGCTGTGATGTTTGGGTTTTTTGTGTTCTTCGTACGACCAGTATAGTGAAAGACCTTTTCTCGTCCAGGATGCTAATTTCCATTTTATCTCTTATACCAAAAATCGCTCCTACCGTGACTCCGTTCTTCTTTTCGGCAGTTCTCGTTCTACTTCCAGCACCTTCTCTTTGAATGCCTGCATTTTCCCCCTCAGCAACTTGACGTAGTCCGGCAGAAACGCGCTTTCCTGCTCCTCTTCCTCCAACACGTCGATGAGTTTTTCCAAATTCCTCTTCTTCTCTCCCTTCTCCCCCACCCGGGTCCGACAGTGGAGCTTGGCCTCCTCGGCCCGCCGTTTGATTTGCGAGAGCTGCTTCAGCGCTTGCCCCACCAACCTCTTCTCGCTGGCCGACACTTGATCTACCGTCTTCTGGGCTTTCTTCAGGTGCAGCTTTTGCTGAATCAATCCATCCTGGATCAGCCGGTCAAGTTATGCAAGCAGACAAATCACAATTTATGTGCTCATGATCAAGGTCAAAAAAATAATACATTTCTCATGCAAAAAAGTTGCCTAAAACGCAAGAGCTGTCTTGGTCTCCTTCCTTGCTACACGCAATAATTATGCACAACTTTCTATTCTACACAAGAAATTCACCGCGAAGCTGCAGCACATGGTGATTTTCCATCGCGCACGAGTCGCTGGCACTCCAGTTCGTAATTGGATTTCTTGGCTTTGACCACCACCACCCTGGTGTTCTGGGTGCTGAAGGTCTTCCGCTTGTCCTTCTCGAAGATGTCCGTGGTATGCATTTTTGCCAATATGTGTCTAGGTCTGGAAGACTGCATGCTTGTTGTGATGCGTATTTTAGATCACGCAAACATCTCTCATGTATGAACAGCAAAACTTGCCCACTTCTTGTCAGCAAAAGAGCGGATTAATTTGTCATGAGAGTTCGACATATCAGATACTGTCTCAACACAAATTCTGATGCTAGGCCCTGCATGCCAGACCTTCTGGGCCGGCGTGCATCACCAGCACAACAAGCATATTACGCACCCTTCCCGATGATCCAGAGGACTTGTTTTCATTCGATACGTGGGCTTACTGTTCCACTCCGGCTGGAGCAGCGGTATTTTCGCCTTCTTCAGCTCCTCCCGGATTTCTTGGATCTCCTCTTCGTCTTCGTCGAGCTGTTCTGGATTTTGATCATGAAGTTGTCCGACATCTTCATCTTCTACTTCTGCTTCCGTGTATGAACAAGAGCTGTCTGAAGATCTGCTGTGCGCAACTGTTACCGCAGAAGTTACCTGTGAACTACACTTATTGTGCGAGGCGCTCCTGCTTTCCGGACGAGCAGCATCTTCGGAGTTCTTGTTGTTCCACCCTATAATCTCGTCCTCTTCGTCCACCATTTTGGAGGGGTGGGTCTTGCGCACGACGGTGGCGGTGTCTACTCGCTTCGCCGGGGACGCGATGCTCTCTAGGTCCATCGTCTCCAACTTCTGCAGAACTTCCGAACTGCTCGCGAGGAGGTTCTTGGCCTTTATTTTCTCTTGTTCAAGCAAAGAACTCCGCTTCAGCATTTTCCCCGCGGAGGAGGAAAGTAGCGCGTCGTCGTCAGTGTCAGTGGCAGTGCCATTGCCCTCGTCCTGTGGGTCCTCGTAATAGGCGAGCACTGGCTGTTGCTGAGACGAGAAGCCGCTTTTTACAGTTTTCGTTGCATGCTGGCGGAATGAAACAACCCTGCTGCCAGTTTGGCTGGTGCCAGGATGTTGATGGGTCGTGATGTAGTTCTTGCTACCCGTGGTCGAATTATACACATTGCTTGGAGGTGCGTTCCCGAGAATTTTCGTCGGATGGGGCCGTGTCTGGCTTTTCGAAGTAGCTCCATTGGAGGTCACGATTTTCATCGGGCGACAGCCTTGAGCTCCTGCCATGTTCAACATCTTGTCGCGGTGCTCCTGCATACTAGATGTAGTTCTCGCGGACAACAGAGACTCAGTTGTCCGCTCCTGTCCACCCGGTTCTTGCGAGAGTACGTTATCAAATCTGCTCTCCTCGCGACTGGAGGGCACAGTGGTCGGCGGCCGTGAGCTGAACAGGCTGAGCGTAGTGCTGGCGTTCAATTTTGCGGCGTTCAAGTTGAGCCGCGGAATCGCAATCCCGATCGGTGGCGCGGCGCGGTTATTTTGCCGTGTAGTGATGACAGAAGCGGCTGAAACTACAGTAGTGGCTGTTCTTGCTGCAGCTACCGGCGGAGCGTGCTGGACGGCAGCTTGTTGCTGCAACACCGCCGTCGTCGACCCGGTGTTAGTACTATTATCACGTCCTTCTCTGCTGGTACCACTTATTCTCGACGTCTCCTCATTGTGAAGAGAATTGCGGTCGTCAAAAAGTCCAGCCGGGTCGTTGCGGTGGTTCTTGCCACTAGTGCTTCTACCCGTGCAGCTTTCGCTGAAGCTGTTCGCTGTACTGCTGCTGCTGCCGCCGCGCGTTGCGGTGGTCCGACCTCCTGGTGCAGCAACGGGTCTTATTACAGCTGGCTCCAACCGCGCGCGCGCAGTGAGGTCTTTGTGCGTCAACCCGGCGGTCACCTGTAATGTATCAACTGCAAACATGTCTGGGCCCCCTGGAACAATGCCCGTATTTCTCATGCATGTCTTGTATCACTCAGATTGGCAGCTTTGGCGTTCATGCAATACAGATTATATTTTGATGTGCGAGTTGATGTGCGATTCAGATTTATTAGCATGACAGGTTGCAGTGTTCTTCCAGAGGACCCAGACATATTATTTGCTCTTGATACAACTGCGGCATCGTCTGTAAGGCCGGGACCGCGACGACGCGGGGGGTCAAGCTAGTAGTTGCGAGACTGCCCAATTGCTGATGCGGCAACACGAAGTGCCCCGGCACGGACGCGGAGAGGTTCTGCGCGTGCTGTTGATGAAACAAAATAGGGCCCGCTGTCCCTGCGGCTGTCGCCGTTCCTAGGACCACAGGAGCAGCTCGGCGCGCGGACAAAAGAGCTTCCGCGGCGGAGGCAGTTTCTATTCCGGCAAGACCACGACCTTGTTTACTCGGCGCAACCGGCACCGAAGGAGTGCTAGAGTCGGAAGTAGTGAACAGAGTCTTCGCTACCTGGGAGGCGATCTCCGTTGTTTCCTCTACTTTTCGTTCCTCGCTCCTCTCCCGCTTCTCGCGCCCACTGCTGTCGTCCACAAGTCGCTTCACTTCGTGCGTCGCTTCGTTTTTACCCGGGGATTTTCTCGTCGTGATCTCGAAGTCGCCAACTACGCTACGCACCACCTCTTCCTCTCTCTGCGACACTGGTTCGTTTCCGTCGGCCGCACCGCGACCTGTTTCATCTAAGGCATGTTGTTGACCCGCGCTGCTTTTGGCAGGAAAAGGTTGCTGCTTGTCCATGGTCGGCTTCGAAGCGGATGTTGCGACAGAGGCTGAAGCGGTGCTCCGGGCGGTGAAAAGACCGCTACTTCTCGCCGAGGGTGGGTTCGTAGCACCAGGAACTGACGCCGAGTCGCGCTTGCTCTTAAACGACGCCGTAACCCACCTTGGCGCGGCAGAAAAGGGAAAGACCATGCTCGTTTATGTATTTGTCACTGGAAAACTAAATCCACCAAATGTTCAAAAGACCAACACTTGTTGAAGACTATGTGCATGTATACATCAAAAGTGGTACGACTCGTCGCGTTCGCGTATTTCTGTGCCTTTCGGTATTCAAGCAAAAAAAAAAAGGCCCAAGCAAGAATAACGCTGTGAAAAAAAACATAAAGACAAACACGTAAAAAAACAAAACAACATCGACGTCTTCACGACAGTTCTAGTCGCAATCGTTTTCTTCTAAGTCAGATTGAGATTCAAGTAAAGCTGCATAAAATCAAATTAATCGATTGATTCACGGATAAAAAAGAAAGCGGCGTCACCAGTCAAAGGGAGCACGAACGATTGGATCACCAGTCTACACGATTCACTGAGAAATGGTCCAACGACGAGTAGTACTAACCTAGTAGCCCAACCACTACCAAAGAAAAAAAAACGACCGACGGAGCACTGAGTTTGAGTTTTCCAGTTCGAAAGCAAAAAAAATCAAGTTCCAACGATGTTTTTCGCCGATTCCAAGTCAGTTCTTCGCAACACCTACCAGAAGATTGACGTCGACATTGAAACACGACGGCACCGCTTCTTCTATCACTTCGCATCCTTCTGACAGACACTTTCACTTGTATCAGACAGAAGATAATCCATCACTACAGAACACAATACTCCCGCGCAATGAGAAAAAACTCCCATAGGGTGACCAAAACAAAGAAGAGGCCGGATTGATAAATGCTTTTATATTTCCTGCGTGTGGCTTATCCGTACGTACATGGAAGTACAAATCCCGAGGATAATGATCTTTGTCCTGCATCATCAGAAAAGTTGTTGCTGTACACAACAGACACTACTTTTTGTTCTTCTTGCCGCTTTTCCTCGATTTTTTGTTCCCTTTCTTCTTCACCTGCAGTTTCTTCGCTTTGTTGCCCCGCTCGGGCGCCTTCCCCGTGACGGCCTTGAAGGTAGAGACCGATTTCTGCTTGAATTTTTCCTTCATCAACCGCGGATTCAAAGCCACGTAGGCATACGGCTCGTGCTGTTGTGCGTATAAAATCAGCGTAATAGAATTTTTATTTTTTCAAATGCAAATTGAAATTTCTCATGAGTCGTCGATAAGCAGATTTTTGCAGTGAATTGTTGTGAGTGGTTCCATGCCGATCAAACCATTCCAGTATTCCTATTGTTTATGTTGTTCGTTTGCCAATTTCGATTCGTAAACCATCAAGTACAACTCTGTACTGTCAAGCAACAATACTACGGAGTGAGATGAGTTTTTTCCACATTGTCGCGACAGGAAAATCAAAACTAAATAAATCCGTCTTATACAACAAAAGAAAACACAAGCTAAGAGTGCTACCTGTGCTCCCCGCGGTTTCGCGTCTCCCCGGGCCTTGCCCTTCGTTGGCGCGTAGTGGGTTACGCCGCGGACGGTGTGCTGCTTCTTGTCGCGCTTCTGCACCAATTTCTTCAGCAAGCGCTTCTCGCGTTGCGCTTTCAGCACTGCGAGACCCTTCTTGGGCGTGTCCTGGAGGAGGTGGTTGATTGAGGAGAATATCAAGGATTTCATGATGCAGCTTTGGTTCTCGTCTCGAATGGGCGTGAAAAAACGTTGTAAGTTTTTCTTTACACAGCAGAAGCAGCAGGAAGGAAGTGAACGCCGGAAAAAAAATACCACCTTCAGAAAAGTACACAAACACAAAGACAAAAACCTCACAGTCAATACCTTTTTGTGTCCTGCCCCGCCGTCGTCTTCCCCGTCGCTGTCACTGGGTTCTTCCGCCACGAGCATTTTCCCGTCGGGTCGGAAGCTGACGCCCCGGTCGTCGTTCTTGGACGAGTCGGCCGTTGAACTGTCGCCCTTTTTCCTCCCCAAAGCGGATCCCGGCTTCGCGGCTCCGGCACCGGCAGCGCCACTGCTGCTCGCGGAAGCTGTGGTTGTGAACAAATTGTGCGCCAACGATCGCAGGTCCGACAAGTCCAGAACCCCGTCCTGCGTGAAGCTCGGTAGCTGGCAATTCTTCCGGAAAATGGAATCTTTCCCCGCACTGAAAATACTGGTCTTCGTGCAGTCGGTCGCAGATGCTGTTTCCTTGTGCAGCCGTCTGGCGCGTTTGCGGTTTCCCGACTCGAACCCATCGTTGTCGCCTTGGTTTTCCCACTTGTCAAGCAGGGAAGACACCGCGTCAGGGGCGTCTTCCCCCATCATATCCACATCGTCCTCGTCGTCAATTTCCCCGCCCCTCTGTCGCCTCTTCTTCCCGGATGAACTAGAAGATTTGGTCATATTCCTACCGGCTTTGTCGTTCGTCGTTGCGTCCGCAGCTTCGTCGTCGTCCTTAAAAAATTGCAAATACGACTTCTTCACCTGCTCCGTCTTTTCCTCCTCGCGCGCCTGCAAATTCTTCCGCGCCCGCTTCTCCAGACCCTTGAGCACGTAGTCCAGCTGGGGCAGGTGCTTATGCGGGAAGGACTGGAAGTGGGTCGTGTAGAGGGGTTTTTTGAACGCTTACAATGAATTCCATTTCATCAAAGTCAAACCGGTCTTTAATATAGGGCTTGCTTCTACAACAAAAAAAACATCGATTCATCACAACATCAACTCAAACCTACGAAGCCGAACATATTGAAACCACATCTTTGCATTATTTTTAAGTTCGTACCTTTCGGAAAGTTTCAAGGTCCACCTCCTCGTCCTCGTCCTCCTCGTCCAGGTCTTCTTCCGCCGACATGTAGCACAACCGCTTCAGCAGTTTCTCCACGATCCGTCGCTTCAGCAGGTTGCAGCTTTCCGAATTCGGGTTCGAGTAGATGTCGTGCAGGAACGAGCTCGTCAGGGCCGCCACCGGATTTTTCCCGTCCTGGTAGAAGATCGTCCGCCGTTTCAACACACTCACGGGCGCCACGTAGGTCATCACCTTTGCGAATTTCAACACGGACTTGAACACCTGCTTGTCCTTGTCCCGCAGCAGAATGAAGACCACCTCGCAGATCTGCTCCAGAATGTCGTCCTCCATGTCCTCCGCGTGCTCGTACAACAGCTTGGCCAGGGCCTCCACGCTTTGCGCCCGGGTGGCGACATCGGACGACGTCAGGTCCGCGCCCAGGGCGCCGATCAAGGGCATGCCCAGGTCGTTCTGCAGGCACGCCCGGTAGATCTTGAACAGCGCCTCCTCGGACAGGATCCGCACCTGCTTGTTCTTTCCCACGGTGTAGGAAAGCAGCTCGGAGATCAGAAACGACTGCTTGCTGTCCCCGTTGAGTTGTACTTGCAGGAAGTTCTTCTGCACTTCGGGCGAGACGAAGATGACCTTTTTGGCACTTGATTTTGCTGTTGAATGGTCCTCGAGACCCGCCTTCTTGCTGCCGTCCTCCTCATGCGACTCGTCGGATGAGTCCTCAGCTGTTGAAAAGTCGTCCTCGTCCTCCTCTTCCTCCTGAAAGATCATTTTCAGAAAGCTCAGGATCGCCTTCAGTCGACTCTTGAAGGCGCCCTCCTCGGTGGCCAGGCGGCTGCTGTTCAGAATGCTCCAGTACTTGTCCAGCATATTCTCCGACACTTCTTCCACCATTCGGTGTTCGAACACGCACTTCACCCCCTTGTAACACGCCCGCTGCACGGACCCCGCGGCCCGGCGCCCCGACTCCAACCCCATGGTGGTCTCGAAGGCCTTCAGCGCAACTTCCAGTTTGTCCGTCGGCAGGTTCGGGACCAGCAGGGCGCACAGCTCGCAAACGTACGCCAGTTCGTTCTCCAGCAGCGTACGCTTTTGCAAAAGCTGTGCGGTTGTTGTTGTGTTCGCAGCTTGCTGCGGATTGAAGATGTTGTTGTTGTCCGAGGTGGACCTATTACTACTTGATCCGCTCAACTCCGCGTAGCAGTTGGCCAGTTCCTGGTTGGTCTTCAGCATCCGTTCTGCCGCTTGGCCAAACAACGTGGCCACGGAGTCCGGGCGTAAAACTCCGCTGTACGCCTGAATGGCCTGTCCCAACAAAGCGGAGGACCGCGACCGCGCGGAGGCGTCGTAACTGAGTTCCTTGTGAATTTGCAAAAAGCACTGGAACATCTCCGGGATGATTTTCGGCGCCAACTTGGACAACGTTTGCTGATCTCGCGCGCGGACCTGCTCAGACCTTCCGGTCATGCTCGTGGTGTTTTTAATAACCGTGGCGCTACTACTTCTTTCATCGGATGCTCCACAAGAAGACGAGGAGGAACTACTCACCGAGCATATGTTAAACACCGCCTTGCTGCAACTGTCGCGCAAATCCGGGCGTTTCGTCAGAGTCATGCACACCCGCTTCGCCAAGGCCCCGCCCGATTTCAAGAACGTGTCCGAGAAATCGTGGCAGGATTTGAAGAATCCGGGCGCCAGCGACCACAGCTTTTTCGACAGCAGCTTGCACTCTTTCGCGAGCAGCTGCTTGTTCTGGCTCTCCGCCTTGACCGCCCGGCTTTCCAGCTCGTCCGCTAGGGGGAGGAGCTGCGTCCGAAAAAAATCCAGCGACGCGGGTACCATCGGGGTGGCAAAGTCCTCGAGCACGGTGAGCAGAAACCCCCGCGACTTCCGCGCGTAGTCCGGGGCCAGGATGTTCGCTTCGAGCAGGCGCAAGGGCAACACTTCCAACAGCTTCTCCGGCCCGACCGCGGTGGCGATTATGAACTGCAAAAGTATCGTATTCGTATAAATGCATTACAAATTTCCTCAGCATGAGAAATAAAATTTGTAATGCGGATTGACCTTAGCAAAAGGATTTGTAATGCATGAGTGCAATACGAGTACGATACTTTTGCACAGGATAGCGATGTTCCGCAAACAATCGTGGAATTCGTCCGCGAGCTGCCGAAACTGCGGCTCGGAAATAGTGTCGTACAGGTTCGCGATGGCTCTCAGGAGGTTCAAAACCAGTTTTGACTCTTGTTCTGTGAAATCCGACGTGGCGATCACTCCTTCCGCCATCAATTTTGCGAGCACGGCGAACAATTCGGAGGTGAGGAGCAGCTCCGGGGCACGGATGATGGGCGCGGTTGATGGACCTCCACCTGACGTTGTACTACCGGAGGAAGCACTAGAGCTGGCTGCACTTTTGCTCCCTGCAAAAAGACCTTGTTTCGACACTGTATCTACTACTTCGACGTCCCCACCTCGCAGTTTGGTGGTCAAAAAGGAAGCAAGCAGACACCAGATTTTCAGATTTGGGACGGCCGCGACGATGTCGAACAAGCACCGCATGATGGTTTCGTCTTCGGTACTGTAGTCCGCGACCAACTGCTTAAACGGAGCGAGAACATCGTCGTGAAATAAATCGGGGGACGAAGTTGATGTCGTGCCCTGCATCTTCCCGTTGCACGGGGAGGACGATGCGCTGTACTCCTCGAAGCAGCACAACTGCAACCAAGTGAGTGCTTTCACCACAGCTACCACCTGTTCGCTGTTGTTCGTGAACTCCGGCGCGGGCTTCACTTGCCGGAACTTCTGCAGCAAAAAGTTTAGTAGCTCTCTGCGAGGAAGTGGTTGTATGGGAGCGCAGCTAGTGGTCCCTGACTGTCTGCCTTGTTGGCCGTCCTCAGGGATCATGTTCATCTCGACGTTAGTACCCGTGTTTGGCACGACGAGTTCCTTGTAGCAATCCTTCAACAGTGCGCGAAAAAAAGTGTTGTAGATTTGCGCCGGGAGTGCAGACCCCGGGATCTGGAGCGCGAGGTCAAACATGTACTGCGCGAGTTCTCGCAAGTGCTTCACCTCGTGTACGTGCGGCAGACACCGCGTGACAAACATCACCAAGTTTTTCGCCACCTGCTCCGGATTTGAAGATGCCGTTGAGGAATTCATGTCGTCGTCTTGGCTCAACCTCTTCCCTGTTGACGACGCAGTATTATTCGTGTTCATCGAACAAGTCAAATAGTCCTGCAGCACCTTCCTCACCGTCTGTCGCACCCGCATCACGAGCAGGGCGGAAGCGGAGCCGCTAGCAGCAGTTTGCAACTTGGTCAGAAACACCTGCTGTGCCTTTTTCGCAACCTGGGCCGAGTATAGAGTGCTGTATTGTGTGTCAACACAAGAACTCTCGACATTATCATTCATCGACGTCGTGGCTGTACCACTACAAGAACTCATCCCGAGCGTGTACTGCCAGCAGAAGTGCAGCGCCTCCTTCTGCGTTCCCTGCGTGCTGCAGGTGATCAAAACCGCTAGAATGTCGAAAATCAGCTTCAGAATCGTGGACGCCTCCTCCTGGAACTGCTTTCTCTGCAGGGTCTGCTCGGGCGGTTGTTGGCTGTTATTTATTTCCATGTCGACATTATGATCTGCGTTACCGAGGATATTATGACCGTTTTCCCCGCTAGACCCGGCGGTGAGCGAGCACTTGACCGCGTCCGCGAGGGCAAACAGCGCGCGACTCAGCTCCGGCGCGACACTGGCCTGCATCTATCAAAAGGAAAAATCCCCCCTCCCCATATCAAAAGGAAGTTTCCGATGCTGGATTTGCGTACACAAATCAGCTTTGTATTGCAGAGAGGCATTGCGGGCAGATCTCCAGGCTAGATAGGGGCGTATGTGTCTAGTTGCTCAGCATGGCAAACGGCTCCCCTTTAGGCCCAGCAGCATGACAAATCGCCTCCATAATGGGGCGAAAGCTCCTGCCCTTGTCTTCTTGCAATATATGATTTGTGACCTCAAATCAGCATTACAAATTTTCGATGTCATACCTTTTCAATAAGGGGAGGGGGGATTTTTCCTTTCAATAGCATCCCCACGGTGACCTCGGCGAGCGTGAGTTTGACAATGTGCAGCAGGCACTTCAACACCGACCAGCTTCGGTCCCCGCTGCTCTCCTCCTTCAGTAACTGCGAGGCGTGCGCCAGGTAGCTCGCGGGGCAGGGGGTCAAGCCGCGTTCCCGGATCGAGTCGGCCAGCCCCGCAAGGGTGGCGAGGATGGTCTGGTACAGCTCCTGTTCCCCGCCATAGCAGGCCTTTTGCTGCAAACGGGTCAGAAACTCCTCATCCGCCAGGTGGGCCGGGGTGCCAGCTGCGGTGCTCGAAGAGACCATGTTCGCGACCATGGACATGGCGTGCTCAGTCCGATGGTCGACGACGTGTGTAAATGGATTTTTAGAAAGGTTTAGGTTTTGTACTCGTCGTGTTATACGAAATAAAACAAGGCTTTCTAGAAATTCAAATATCGATCTGTGTCAGCTTGTTCACGATAAAAATCTACATTGCATTGGCATTGTCCGACCGCGAGCGCCTGTGATGTTGAAACACGTTTGAAGCTAGCTCGATCAAAGACCTTTCGTGCTGCACAAGCGCGAAGAATGATGATTTCAATTTATTCACGTAGGTCAACATGATCCGTGTAGAGATCATACCTAAACAATCGGCAGAGGACACAGGACAAGAGCAGCAGATTGAGATTGTTGGGATCTTCGTTAGTGGGGTGCGAGAAATCTCGTCCGAGATCAGAAACATTTGCACTACTTCCCATGAAGACCTCATTTAGATTTAGTACTAAGATCTGCTTCTGCATGGTGGATCTGCGACAGCGGAAGATCCGATAATTTGCCTGTGTTCATCGAGGGATCATGATGCGGAAGGGTCGTGGCGTACGTAGTGAAGACAAGATCGTCAGCATTAGGATCTTCTATCACTGTATCCATTCCAGCGAAAGAGCTGGAGCAGCCACTGGTATCTGCCACCAAGAAGAACTGGCTTATGTCGTGCCGTTGAGTCGTTCTTCTTCTTGATCTTCTTTTCCTCCTCGACCTCGTCAGTCTGATTTGATGAATCTCTGCTTCATAAAAACGATCGAAACTTTCACGCGCTCGTAATGTGCGATTTTGGTGCATTGATGCGAAACGTTTTACTAGTACATTTCTTCACTTCCTTTTCGGAATCACAAGTACATTTTTTGGTTTTTTTCTTGTCGGAGCAGTCTGTTCCTTTTCGGTTCCATCCGCCTCCCTGTGGCGCGCTTCTTTCTTGTTATCCTGCTTCTGGTTCTGTTCCTGCTCTGCTGCATGACAACTGCTGGTACCTCCAGTTGAAGATGAAAATGTTGTCCCTATCAACAACTTCGCGCTCGGGCCACTTCTGCTCCGGTGGGGAACTTTCAGCGTGAATTTGGTTTTCGGCAGGGCCTTCGCGGCCGCGGACGTGCTCATGATTGCAGAAGCTACACCAGAAAAAAAACGGTCCTTCTTCTCGTTCTCCTCTGTTGTGCTGGGCACGAGGACCGCTTGCTGAGGTGCTTGCTGCAATTGATCCCGTGGTTGTCGCCCCGCTCCCGCCCCTATCACGAAATCATTCTTCTGCCCCGGCAGGAGCGACTCTTGGGAATCGCCAAACAGCATTTTCCCGGGCGAAATCACTTCAGACGATCGCCCATGATCCTGTGACAAATCGCAACTCTGGGAAGAGGGCGGGAAAAGGCTAAGTTCATCCCACAAATTTGGAGACGAGGCCTTGGGCTTTTTCGTCAATTGGATCGGTTCATGTCTATCGCGAGGGGAATAGCTGATGACCGGTGGTGGCGGGTTCTTCTGTCGTTGATCAGGAGGAAAGATCGGCAGTCGCGTCGACCCTCTTCCTTGTTCTTTCGGCTCCACCGCCACGGAAGACGACTCTAGTATTTCGTTTCTTTTCGACTGATGTTTGTTTTCCGCATTCGTCGGCACAGGTCCTCCAGCAGCAGCATTTCGACTTGGTGGTCCACGTGCCGCACTACATACTGGGATGCAGCTTGTCGTGCTGCAAGTTGAACTTTTCCCAGCAGTGGCGTCGCGTTCTTTCGACACGCCGTGGTCCACAAGGAAATTCACAACTTCATTGTCTTCCTCCCTCTCGTCCCCGTTTTGAATATTTCCGTTAAATCCGGGCGGTAATGCCCTCCGGGGTGGGACGACCACTTTCGTCTGCGCTGCCGAGGCTTTCACGAGGACACCGACCTGTGAATAAGGTTCTGCTTTTTGTGATGTTGTAATTCCTGATCTGAGTGCGTGATGAATCTTCGTGTCTGCGTAATTGTTTTCACCACAGCTTTTGCTCTTCGCCTTTATCGCTTGGGTGGTTGCCATTTTCGCGTTCGCCGCCTTCGGTGGTCTACTACTTGCCGCACTGCAGAGGTCCTTCTTCCCGAGGTGCGCAAACGGCAACTTTCGGTCCTTCTTTCGTTGCTTCTTCGCAGAGAGAACCACCGACGAAGCAGGTGGGTCCTTCTTCATGATTTTTCCGGAAGTGCTGGTGCGGCGGCGAGGCTCTACAACCAGTACCGGTGCAGCTGTTTTCTGGTCTTCGTCGACTGGTAGTACTGCGCCGTCCGTGTTTGATTCTGCAGCGACCACTTTTCCTACTGCTCCTTCGGCAGCAGGCGGAGCAGCATCGAATTTTTCCGGGTGGAGAGATTTTGCTGGTGTAGAAATAGCTTTTGGACTGAAGAAAACTGCAGATGTAGCAGTGGCACTACTTGCCGGCATTTTTTCAACCGCGACATGGTGCTCGTTCTCCATCTTATGGTTCACCCCGTCCTCCTCCTCATCTAGGATTTCAATCACGGTAGGAAATCGAGCATCAGGTAACTCTTGTTGTGCAAGCGCTTGTACTACACGTGGATGTGGTTGACCATGACCGCCCGCTGTTCCTTGTTGCCCAGAGGACAAATCTTCAACCACACTCTCGGGCAGCGTTTCCGTTTTTCCGGTCGCAACCGAGAGCGGCAGACTCTCCGTCAAAGTCGCATTGCCCTGTGAAAAATTCTGGTCCACTTTGCGGTTGTGTTGACTTTGGTTCTGGTTTGTAGTTTTCGCACTGGCGTCAACAGCGGCACCGGAAAGATGAGAAGCTGCAGGAGGATGAAAATCATTATTTTCTAGTCGTAATACAGCAGGTTCTGGCAAAAAGGCAGCTCCAGCAGTTCTTTCGGATTGTCCTTTATTTCTTTCCTCGACCTTGTCATCGAATCCGTGGTCCTGCTCGTGTTTCATCTCTACATCTGAATCTTGTTGATGTTCCCCTTGACCCGCAAGCATTATCTTCATGTTGTCCGCCACCGCACGATCCTTATTCTTTTCCTCTTTAGCGGCGAAAAACTTTTCTTTACCCCTTTCCCCCGAGTTGTAGAAAAGACCCTCGTCGTGTCCCACCTGCGCCTTGATTTCGGCCAACAGGTCGCCCACTATCCCATCGGTCCCCCGCGACAGGTCGGTGCCGAAAATATTAAAGTCGTCCCTGCCTTGCGGAATCGGCAGCTGCCCACTCAGCCCCTGTTTCAGCAAATCGCTGTTCCCGCTATCCGGTTCGAGGGAGGACGGATCGAAAAGATTTCTGTCGTCCACCTTCCCTCCGCCCGCCCTGAGAATCCTTTCCACTTCCCTGTCCTCCTCCTCCCCAATGTCCTGGTTCATTTTCCGCTCGATCTCTTCATCCGTAAAACCCTGGCCCCGTAATTTCGCGCGGTACTCGGATTTTCTCAACTCCGCAACATCCAGCGGTTGGTCGGACGCGTATTTGAACTTCTTCCTCTTGTAGTATTTCTCGTTCAAAACCGCCAACGCTTTCTTGTTCGCGGCGTGGTCGATTTGAATGTTATCGCCCTTTAGCGTCGGGTCGAACCGGTTGCCGTTGTGAAAAGTCTTGACGTTTATCGGGTTTTTAATATTCCCGGCAAGATTAGGTGTCGCGCCAGGTTGTTGTTCTACTTCTACGCCGTCATGCATCTCCTGCTGCTCTCCCCGTAGCCGGAAAAAGTTGCTCAGCAACGCGCGCCCCCGTTTCGTACTTTTGTCCTTCTCCGCCCGGGCGCGCAGCTCCGCGAGCGAGGCTGCATTGTTCTTTTGCAGCGGTGCGGCGACCTTTGCGAACGCGGATTCGTAGTGATGTGAGGTGCTGCTGTTTGGCGGTGCTTTGTTGCTTTTCATATCCTTACTTGTTCCAGCGGTAGACGAGGATGAAGAGGCTAAAAGTACTGGAGCCCCAGAACCTGGTGGCTTTGAAGATGTTGCGACGTCAAGATGTGTAGTTCCGTCAGGCAGATTATTCTTGCCCTCGTCCATGTTGCTGCCTCCTAGCTGTCCCGCGGCTTTCTGTTCCTCTTCCCGTTTTCGTTGTTCGTAGGTTTTGGCGCACAGGTTCCCGTGTTTTTCAAAATTCAGCCGTCGCTTTTCCTCGTCCGCGGCGTTCAGCTGGATGATCGTGTTCTTGTTCCCGCGGTGAAACACGTCGATCGCGTGCCGTCGCTCGTTTTCCGGGGAGAACTCCACGCCGGACTTGATGCCGAAAAACAGGCTGCTTCCGTCCTGCTCATGAACCACGTTCTTTCCGGTGGCGCGGATTTTCCGCTTCTTCTTATTTTCGTCCTGTTGCTGTTCGTATTCCAGCGCCTTCTTGCTATCCAGCGGGGAACCGAGAGATGGGCGCTTTTTCACAACAACTTCAACGGGTCGTGGTCTCTTTGACAGAAGCTGTGCATCTGCTCCATCGTTCTGTGCTTGCGAAGAGGCGGCTGAGTCTACTTCTACTTGTTGGTCTGTTAATATTTCACGCCGGCGGGGGGCTACTGCACCACCGGTGGCGTCTTTTGATATTTCGGTCAACGCCAATGCTTCGTCTACATTTATTTGAGAACAATTCTCCTCCCCCTCCGGTAGCACTTCTTCGCAAAAGTCCCCAAACAGGCCTTGGAAACACTTCTGCGCGTTCGTCTTGTCCTGTTCGGTATCAAATGTAAAAATGTCTGGGTCTGGAAGAATGCAAGATGTGTTATGCATATTTCTCATGACGCATAATGCCTGTAATGCTTGAACTAGCATCGCAGACTTTTAGAGAGCTTCCTGATGCACCTTCCGCATGAGAAATGGCCCGTCTGTGTAGCAAAAACTGTACCCATTTTGCTGGTCATGCAACACAATTTTTTTTAGAGTCCAAAAACAGCATGACAAGTTCCAATCTTCCAGACCCAGACATTTTTACATTTGATATTCGGTCACTTCGTAGTGGCCCGCCTGGATTACCGCACACACAGGCTTTAAATACCGCGGCTTCACGTACTTCGCGAACAGCCGGAGCTCCCGCAGCGGCGAGTGCATGGCCCACAGTACCCGCCAAATCCCCTGCTCGTCCACCACCGCCGGACACACGTCGGCGCAGGCGCCCAGCTGAATCAGCAAATGCTTGTTATAGCACCACCACATCGTTGTGCAGGAAATCTCGACGAAGTCCTTCGTCAATTCGACCTCCTCCACCGCTTTCGTCCTCCCTACGGCATGATTATACGCGCTTGACTTTTTGATTATATCCACATTGTCCTGCGGCACGCTCTTTGCACTCGACAAGGTCGTCGTTGTTGGGCCCCTCGACGCTGGTTGTTGTAGTCCCTCTAGATAAGAAGCTCCGGCGCTTCTTTGCTGCACTTCGCGAAACACCCGCTTCCGTTGCGCGCTGTTTTTCACGATGAAGAACCGGACTTGTTGCAGGTTCGGGTGCGAAGTCGAGTAGTTCAAACACCTTCGCCGCAGGTCCTCGCTTTCCAAGGCGCCGCACACCCGCAACTCCAGCCACCGTCGCTCGTCCGCAAACAGAAAGGTCTCTTGCTTGAACCGGTTGAAAACACCGAGGAGAAGCTCTTCGTCCCCGAGACCGTAGCTGTGCAGAAAGATTTTGGTTTTTTTCCTTCTATTGGGGTCTGCTAGAAGTAGATTCGAAGATGTTGAAAAACCATCTGGTGTGGGGGTGGATATCGCTGCTGCTGTTGCTGATGCTGTACTTGTTCCGTAGTAGTATTTCTCCACCAAACTTAGCAACCGATCTACCGAAGTCGGCTTGTCCGGCAGCCGGTCGAACGAGTCATCCGCCCACGAAAAGTCCATCAGAAGTATCTCGACCTGCTTTTCTAAAAGCATCTGTTTTGCCGCTGCTGTTCTTTCCATTTCAGACAGACTGGGAGAAGTAGGACTAGGTCTAGGACGAGGACCGGCTCCGTCTGCATTATTTTCATTTGTCGGCATTGCGCTTATTTTATCCTCCCAGAGATCCAAAACTCCATGCTGCAGCCCGAATTCGACCATGTCCTTCCAGGCCCGATCGCACTTCTCTTCTATCTCTGGATAATACCGGAAATCCCCTGTGTTCATGTATTTCTTCTTGCTTTTCAACACCAAAATCAACACCACCGCTGAACCGGGACAGTGGTTCGCGTCGACGAAGCAAATTACGTAGCGTTTTCTCACGTCGAAAAACGGCTGGGAATACGGCTTTCCACACACGAGACCAGGCCGCAGGTTGAACAGCATTTCGAGCAATTTACCGGACGTGTGGGTGCAGTAGATTCTCGCATTTACTCCTGTACTGGCATTACAAACCGGTGACTCCCAGTGCTTTTCCATCCCCATGTAGTGGTCGGAGTGAAAATGGGACAACAGGTACACCGGCGGATCATCCGCTGGGAGTTGCACTTCGGTGTACATCGGCTTGTTGTTAATATTTGACGGATTATTCTTAATGTTCGACGTATCCTTTTTACCATTCTCGTCGCTAGCGCTGCTGCTGTCCGCTCTTTCATAGCTGCTGACATCCTGCATCAGTGTCCGCGCCTTCTTCACTTTGCCAAAGTAGTCCACGAAAATCCGGGTGCCCGGAAGCATGTCCTTGAAGAGAACCATTTTGATATTTTTATTCGGTATTCATTAAATTTTCTGCGGTAAAAGTAGTATCGAGATAAAAGTAAAACTAGATGTAGTTCCTGGGACCTAATAAATGTAATAAGTTTCCCGGTGATTCAGGTACAAAACCTTCGCAAATGCTGAAACGGAATAAGCAGCATTGTGCACGGCTTGTCCTCTGTGCAAAATTGAATTAGGATTCGAATTGCAAGTGACTGATTGAATCAGGTACAAAAAAGCGGTGAGAAAATATCGAATTCAGCAAACTGGACTAAGTAAGCATTTACATGGGGCCTGCCAACAAATATTCCTCGATTTAAACGGATGCAATCTTGTTCACCTCTCGGGGTACAGCACTTCCGCACCACGTAGTACCTTTGTGTACAACAAAACCTAGAGACTCTCGTCCCTTTTCCGCGGCCTACTTTCACGCCGCGTCTACAGCACGAATTTTGCGCAACCAAAAGAGGCCAGGCTCGGGCGAGAACATCTTCCATCTATATACTGCGAAAAACCGCCCACGGTCACGATGATAATGGGCACTTCATCAGTGCCGCCAGGGTCAGTATCATTGGAATGGAAATTACTTGAAACCCATTTGTTGTTCTTTATGAAACGAGCAAGATATTCTGATCACTTCTATGGCGTAATAATCGCCAGCAGGAGTAGAAGCTCATCATGTATAGTCTTCGTCTTCGTAAAACCCGAAAAATTCAAGTTCTTATCCCAAAAACTTGAATCTGATATAGCGCGAACTGCTTCGCGCACCGACATCAGCAATAAATGCCAACGGACATAGATCTCCACAAAGCACAACAAGCACAACAATTATTATCACAAGCCGCCACATTTCCTTCCTTGCTATCGCCCCTACACCGATGCACCATTCTCCGTCTACTTACTTCAACACCAACAGAGCTACAGCAGTGTCATCAACCCCGGCGGTCTCCGAAACCCCGCTTGCGCCATACAACTACCCTCCAACGATTTTCCGTTCGCAAACTTCGATAGATTTGTTGAAAATGATTCTCCTCGGGAGGTACTAGAGGTAGATCTGCTGTCTAACCACGTCGCGTCATTCTCGACACTATTCAGACGCACTTTCCTGTACCCGTGCTGCTCCAGAACCTGCTCCAATTCCGGCTTCGCGCGCTCCACAGTTAGGACCCGGAACCGGAGCTCGTCCCAGGGAAAATTTTCATCCAGTACCAAGCCCTCCGCTCCCTCCACGTCCAACGAGAAGTAGTCGATTTGTGTCGGTGCGTTGAAGTGCCGCCACACGTCTGCCAGGGAAACTGATTTCGTTTTTTGTATTTTCGTGCCAGCACTGTGGTGCGGCTCCTGCACCTGCTGTGAGGAAGTGCTGTAAAAATCATCTCCGTCTTCTTTCTTGTTGTCGAAATTTTCGCCGACGATTCCACTCAATCCGTTTGTCGCCCCGGCAGGGTGGAAGGCGAACTCGACCTCTTTCCCGGTTGGAGAGCTGCCAATCACGTTCTGCACCAACTTACACCTCTTCCGGTGTTTGTACCCGTTCAGATACTGTGGGTCCGCTTCGAGGCACAGTCCCTGCCAGTGAAAGTTCTTCTCGAGCAAGAAACTGTTTGAAAGAAGCGTCGCATCGTGCGACCCAAGCTCGATGAAAAAGCCGTTTTGCTTGCAGTTCAGCAACGTTTGCACCAACCAATCCTGGCCGAATTGGCTGTAGGTGGTTTTGTTCATGCGGCTTGATGTTGATGTTCTCTTCGCAGAGGTCGTGGAGTCCTCGACTAACCCGCCGGCAACGGAGATTTGTGGTGGGAAAGGGCTTTCGACCCACTTTTCCTCAGCGAAGTCGAAATGGTAGAAGGATTTTGCGAGGTCGCTGTAGTCAAAGTTGAGATGATAATCCTGGCGAGGTTCATTATGGTCTTCCTCCGCATAGGAGAATGTGGTCGCGTTCTTCTTTACTTTCACTTGACCACCGGCGTGTAGAAATTGTTGGCTTTGAAGATGTTGATCTGCCGCGGAGGTACTCGTAGTAGCTGCTTGCGTTATTGTTGATAGTACCCGCAGGCGCTCGCTTGCGACAGCATGCTTCGTACCGCTTAGTTCTTCGCTTCGCCAAAGCAAACTCGCGACCGCGCCAGCAACAGGAGCAAAAGGGCATGCTGCGAGATGGAGGAAGGTGGTGTTTTTGAGAAACTGCCGTATGCGCATATTCTTGTCAATATGTGTGCTACGGTTCCGCCCGATTTGATGTTGTTTTCACGGTCGTGTGCTTTGTTGCTTGTATCTCGTCTGTGACAGAAACGCTGACACACAGGCTTGTCGTCGTAATTCAAAACGCCAAAACTGAAACCTCTTGAAGATGAGCAAAACAGCGAAACTCTGCTTACTTTCTTCAACGTCCACCATATGTTCGATTTTTCTCGTCTGCTCAGTACCCCGAAACTTTTTCATAATTTTGGTTAAACCAGGTCGCACTGCATTGAATCACCTCTAATGTCTCTTCTGTGCAGTTTTTAGAAGTAGGAGCAGAAGTTGTACTACCGAAACCGAAACCAGAACTAGAACCCGCTCCAGAACCAGTAGAACTACTCGGTTGATACTCCTCATTTTTGTTGCACTGATTCAGGACCGAAATAACGTCCTGGCACATTTTTCCGATCTCCTTCTCGCGGTTCGTCAATTCCAGGAGAAATCCGCTCGCGTAGTTCCAGCTGCATTTCGCGATATTTTCCACCTCCTCGAAACAAACGGACTCGTCTACTTGTGCCGCTGTAGTTGGTGCTGATGCGTGGTCCTGAAAGGAAAAGGAAGGCGTCGTGCTGTAGCCTCCGCTATTGAACTGGTTATTTTTACCGCTACCTGTTTCTTCTTGCGCAAACACGGTGGAGGTGGAGGCTGAATGGAAATTGTCACGACCCCTTGACGTTCTCCCCCGTTTCCATTTCTCATAGTCTCCGCTGTTCTGTTCGAGCCGTTCTCGCGAGAGCGCGCCGAGCCGGTGCCGGTTCCGGCATTCCTTGTATTCCAAGCCCTCCTTTTCGCAAAACTGCAGAACGCCGGTACCGGAGGCGAGAATGTCCGCGGCTCCGCGGACGCTGTCTTGCCACATTTTGCCACTTTGTCTTTGCGTGCTAATATCGTGTTGTTAGAAATGGCCAAACCGATCTCAAAAAGCACGAGACAAGCTCTCAGCCCCCAAGTAAACGAAAAAAGAAAGCCTCGCGTTGCATCAGCAGAACTTGCTCTCTTGTTCCCATCCCTCGTCCCAAGGTCCCGCGCGCTCTCTTTCCACGCCCAATCAAAGAGCCGCCACCCTCCCCTCCTGCAAGGCTCTGACCCTTTGCTTTCTTGCTTCCCTTCGGGGAACGGTGGCCTGCTATTAGAACAGAACAGAAAGAGATCCTTAATAAAAAATGTATGGCGCTTAGAGGCGCTTTCACTCCTATCGGCGATCGGCGCCATTCATTGCCACCACCCCATGGCCCTTCATATAGGAGCAGAATGCCCTTTGTTGCAAGTAAGAAAGTCGCAATAGACTGGCTACGCAGATGACAAGAGAAAGAGCGACACTGGCTGCCACTAAGCCGGGGCATTTCGCGACCAGTTGCGCCCAAACACCCGCCCCGGGCTGCACAGGCATACAACCAGCGGCCCCCGGAGTGGCCGTCTATGCAAACGCGCGCGCGCCCGCGCGCCCACCCGCCCACCCGCGAAGACTGCGCATGGCCGGCAAGCGGCCTCAGTCGCGATAGGGCCCCGCGGGGCCCCCTCTCTCGTGGGTCTTCCAAGCGGGCCGCGGCGCCTGCTGCCGCACGTGCTGCGCGAGGGCCGGCGGGGGGGCCAACGATTGCAGGGCGCCTGTTTCATGAATAGCGTCGCAATAGCTGGCAATCGGATTACCAGCGGGCGGCTGTTTGCGCGACGGCAACACTTTTTCAGCAAGGGCACTGCTCTGGAAGTGGTACCAAATAGCATCCCCTTGGCAGTTCGATGATGGTGCGGCCTAACGCCCGGCAGTCTTGGCCTTTGGCAAACTTTACGAATGCCGGCGAAAGGCCGGCGAGAAAGGGGGGCGCGCCGCTTCGCAAGCGGGCGCGGGGTTTCCCTCGATGCGCCGGCCCCGCCCGCTCCAACCTTCGGCCCGCCGCCGATCTGAAAACATCCGCAGACCTGTCCCGCTCAATGCTCCCGGGGGCCCCCCAACAATTTCCCCGCCTGGGGCAATACGGCCGCAATGCTCCCGGGGGTCTTTGTTAGTCGGGCCCCTACCAAGCTCCTTGGCCGAATCCGCTGCCCACTTCAGGCCCACCGCCAGGGCTATGGGGCAGATGCGCCGGCATCGCGTTGCATTTTTCCGGCGTTGCCAGCAGCCCCCCCCCCCGCTGCTTTCCTTCTAGGGCGCTGGCTTTTCGCCCGACGTTCTTGCAAGATACCGCGCACGCGGCCAGAAGGGGCAGAACGCTGGCGAAGCGCTCCCGCCTTTCGTTTCCGGCTTCGAAGCGCGCCGGGCGTTTCTGGAGGTGCATCCCAAAAGCGCCGGGCCGTGCCGCCGCAATCTCGCGGCAAGGGAGCGAACGCCCCGCCCGGCAGGAATGCCGTGGCCGCATCCGGCCCGGAATAAGCACACAGCACCGGGGAGAAGCCCGCAAACAACTGCGCGCACCCTCTCAATCTTTCAGGCGCATAGTCAGAAAAAAAGGGAGAACTCTTCTCGCCCCCGGTCCTTTTCTCGCTCTCTCTCTGTTTTCAGAAAAGGCGTGAAGCCGTGGCACTGTACGTAGAATCAGGAACAAAGGTCGCCCGCTCTGCAACAAAAGTCAGGCTCGGTTCGTTGCGGTCTAGCTGTACGTATCCAAAAGAAGCGAGCTTTAATGGACGAGGTATTCTTTGAGTCGTCAACGTCGTCGTGCACTTGTTTTCATTGAACTAGAGCCGAAAGAACTGGCTCAGTCATTCGCAAACATGGATGTTTTGATGGGGTGCAGCGCGCTAGTAAAGCCAAAGTATTCGTAAATGACGCGACTCTCGCGAACAACAAACGATAAAGAACTCAAATAGAAGGAAAAGAACTACTAAACCAGAATAATCTACAGGGGATCTCCTCCACGAAAAGGTGCGCAGCTAAAACTTCTGCAAATCTTCTATCTCTTGATGTGGCCCCCACTCTCAAAACCACTTCTTGTTTTTCCCGTCCCAATACAGGTGGTTCTTCCCGTCTCCCACCATCTGCCCCTTTTCCAGCGGGTACTCTTTCAGCAACACCGCCGCCGCGCACTCCTTGTATTGGTACGCGTTTCGGCTGCTGCTCTCGTACTCGCCCTTCTTGGTCAGTCTATCAATCAGCGGATTCTCCTCCGACGCGTGCTTGGCCCGGGTGCACTGCTCGCGCCGCTGGTCCCCCTCCCACTGCTGGAAGTCCTGCTTCGACAGCGCGTCGCCGGTGAAGGGCAGCGGTTTTCGCTTTGGAACTTCTTGCCTTGGCAGGGGCTTCGCGAGCTCCTTCTTGTCGAAATCCGTCTGGTTGGTGGTTACCCACTGCCCCTTGTGGGTGTCCCAGAACTCCCCCCCGGGACTCATGGGGCACAGCTGTCTCTTCGCGTCGCGCGCTTCGTCCGGGGAGAACTCGCGGAGCTGGGCGCTGGCCTCCGAAGTACCCTGGAAGGGCAAAGGTTTTCGCCGGGGCGGCGGGGGGGAAAAAGTCGGCTTCGCCATCTCCTTCTCGGTAAATTGGTTCAAATACTCGCTCCCGTAGTCCCCGTGCGCGTGGAGCCGCTGCGTCAACGGGTTGTCGTCGGAGGTCTTTTTCGCGCGGGAGCACTGCTCGCGCCGTGCGTCGGTTTCCCAGTTCGGGAAATCCTGCTTTGAAAGGGCTTGGCCTGATGTGATATTAAAGATTTTCTATTCCAAACAGTATTCATAATTCTGATCCAAGAAGAACATGTGTACCTACCCGCGGCTTTGAAAATGAACCACGAGTCGTGGACATCATGTAAGAAAAATCCCCTACTGAGAAGCGTCGACATCACGACTCTTCAATGCCACAATTCAGGAGAAAAATCTATCAGAAGCTAAAGTCAGAACCTGCTATGAAACAAATTACTTCAAAGTCAAACATGCCCCTAAAAATTGGTGCGTCTGCCAAAAACCCAATACCTGTGAATGGCAGCGGCTTCCGCATTTTTGGTGGTTCTTGGAAACTTCGTTTCTCCAGCGGTTTCGGGTCAAAGTCCTGTTGCGCGGTGGTCTTGTAGTCGTTGCTGTTGCCGTCCCAAAAGTTGCCCCCGTCGTGCAGCGGGCACGGTTTCCGGAGCGCCATCTTGGCCTCGTCGGGGGAGAACTCGCGGTGCTGCGCGTGGTTCTCGGACTCGCCCTTGAACGGAAGGGGTTTTCGCTGCTTCACCGGCGGTGGCGGGTCCCGCTTCTCCAAAGGCCACTGCCGGTAATCCTCCTTTTGCGTGCTGTCCGCCGTCATCTTGCCTTGCGCAAGGGGGTAATCTGCCGACTCGCGCATCGCATTCACGTCGCCTGCATTTTGCGGCAGTGATCGTATTTTCATTCGTAGGAGTAAGTAGGGAAGGAATTTCTCATACTTACAACTGAAGCTGCTGCAAGATAGAAGTAAGTAAAAGTAAGTAAGTATGCGTAGACAGCTTCGCGAATCAATTGCCGAAAAAAAACCTTCAAACAAAAAATATGCAAAGCAACACACCACCAGATACGCATGTAAACAATGATCAATACCTCGTCGCAGCGCGTTTCTTCTCTCGTCCGGATCGAAATCTCGGAAGTTTGCGCTCTCTGGGTTGCCGTTGAAAGGCAGCGGCTTCCGCATCTGCCGTGGGGGGCGCGGCGACTGGTGGAGCCCGCAGGTGCAGAGGTCTTCCAGCGTTGGGTTGTCCGCTTCGTTGCTCTCCAGCGGCTGCCCCTCCGCGTCGTGCCGCCGGGCATGCCGGTCCTGCGGGGACAGTTCGCGGATACGCGCGTTCGTCATTTTGATTCGCGGGGCAGCAAGTCGTGGTTATTTATTGAATGTATGATCAATAAATTTAGCGTAACTTCAACTTAAAACGTCGTGAAGGCAAAGGTTCGGAGTAATAAATCATGCGGAAATAATGGGGTAAGCTTCTCCACGGGGTGGTCGTGTCCCTGCAATGAAAAAGTAGGGGGGAATAGTTTTTGCTCCGACCGCTTTGCGCGTGATGAAAAATATCGGAACAGTGAACTTTGACCAGAACGAAGACGATCGTTTTTTCGAGAAAAAAACCTTCCGGACAACGAAATAACGGGACGACAGAACGAAAAAAGACCACAATTGGCTGTACGAAAAAAAGCTACAGAGACGAACGAGGCTAAGACTGTCATTGTGCATCATAATGCCTAGTTCACAGAACAACCGACAGTCATCGATGGCATTTCAATCGTGACCGTGACCAACAACCGAGATGCAGGTTGCTGTGATCGTGATACATGGTATCATAAATGGAAAATACAAAACCGATCTCATTATATTTCTTTCGAAACATAGATGTTTCTGCACCGACAACACTCTTGCGTAAAAATCTTACTCCTATTCGTCAACCTAGCGAGCGATGGACGCTGCAAAACTGAACCGATAGAACCTGTTACTTCTGCACACCGACAAAAGTCACGGGCAGCTGACAAAGAAACGAGAACCGATCATCAAGCGCCGGCTGCTGCACAAGCGAAACAACACGCAGGTAGTTCTTCTGCAGCGATTAAATCATCCGCAGGAAGCTGCACGGATCCAAATTGCCGCAAGTAAAGGCTTACTGGTTCTCGATCTGGTTGCAAAAAAAATGTGAGGTTGAACATTACAGGTTGAAAAATACGCTGTGGCCTATTTCGCTATAATCTTCAAAACTCCGCTATACACTGACATCCGGCTGCATGCGAACGGGCTGTCTACTTCTGGAGCAGGATAATTTTAGCTTGCACTCCGCCACGTCGGCCTATTTCAAAAATGTTCAATTATACCTATTGTCTAAAAATTTTCGACCATGTTGAGTGTCGTGGTTGTTGCGACGTTTCTATTACTTCCCCCGCATCCTCGTCTGTGCCAACTCTTTGTTCCGGCTCTCCCCCCATGGCCCTTTTTTCCAGGCTTTGCTTGGCCACAGCTTTTTTTTCCCGTCTGCGCTCCCTGCCGTGCCGTCGAGCGGAGGCGCCACCGAGAAGATTCGTGTTCTGCAATTGGGACGTTAGCATTTCTTCGCTGATGTTCTCATTGGTTGTGCTTGTCGTGTCCGCGGGCATAGCATTCTCTTCGGTAGGTTGCTTATGCAATTTCTTCAAATCAAAACCACCGGAGGTACCAGACGATGCGTCGTCCGAACCGCTGATGGAGTGGTCGTCCACCTGCTTTTCCTCGACGTCGCTTGCATTCGAACCTCCACCCGCAAGAACAGAACCTCTACCTGTCGTCTCCCGGGGAGTCCTCGAGTAATATCCGTTTGGGTTCGCAGGATCGTAGTAGTTCATCGCCTCTAGTACTCCTCCGCCTGCTATAATTCGCGATCTGTGGTTTTCACGGTGGCCACCACGACCACCGGCACCACTGGCACTTTGCAAATAAGGGCTCTCATCCTCATCCTCGACACAGCAGGAGTGCACCACGAACACCAACACAGTGACCAGCAGCGCAAACCCGAGCACGGCCATCAGAACGTTACACAACAGCGGACTCAGCGAGCCACACTCCTCGAATTCGTCGCCCCCGATAAGAGCTGCTGCGGCTGCACCCGCCTGAGACAACAGCTTCGGAGCATCAGAACTGAGATTCGTCACGTTGGTACCTCCAGCGCCGATCACCAGATGAACAACCTCGATTGAAGCATTTTTTTCTTCAGATGTTGGGCCTGCTACTTCTCCAGAAGCGGATGTGGTAGTACCCGCCGGCGCTCCATCGGCGCTAGAAAGGACCTTCCTAGACATCCAGCGAATCTTCCCAGCAGCGGGGGAGGTTGCGTTTGCCGTAGTCTCGTTCGACGTGGCACGAGAAGAAAATTGGAACTCCATCTGCTGCTCGTTCCAGGGACCAAACCGCTGCCCGTGGCGTATCGAGAGGAAAGAATGTGCCCCTGCTAGAACCCCCGGTGAGCTATTCGAAAGCTGCGTAATTTGCGCTGCTAAATTCCAATTTCGAAACAGTGGAGACATTCACCAACACCTTGCAGATGCTAGCAACACAAATTTTTGGCGCAAGCTAGCGAAACTACTCTCCTTGTGCGGTTGCACAAGGAGCCAATGAGAGCTGCCATCATGCCCGAGCTGCTGGTGACCCAGCCAAGATGATTTCATGTGAAGCAAAATGACAATGAGTCCTAGTAGTTGGATGAAAAGAACAACAGCTCCCTCGCGCTCGCACTTAATAGATACAAACCTTCTAAATATGCATCGCCAAAATTCTCACTTCTAGCGGGCGGGGCACTTCTCAAAAGTTTGATACCACTTTGCCCGTGCTGGTCGGGGGGGTACAGTTCTGGGATGGTTCGGTGTAGTTTTGGCGGCCTGGTGGTGGTGGTGGTTTGCCGTAGTATACCCCATTTTAATGCTTGTTTAAATGATGGTCGATTATACTCCTGCGCCGGGGGCAACCGCGTCGTCGTTGATGGATTCTTCTTTTCGAATTGTGGGCCGTCCTCTCGACCGCGGAGGGGACCTTCTTCATCCGATTTTTGAGAGTCTTGACCTTCTTTGATGTTCCAAAGTCCTCTGCGGTGCTCCAGCGCGCCCCCACGATACTGATAATCATAATCCACGAGCACGGCTCCGGGTTCTTGTCCGCGATAAACCAGACTCGCGTCCACCAGGGCTGTGCTCCAGTCGATTCCCGGCTGATTGCCCTCTCTCCGCATCGGTCGTTCGGCCCACTTTAAGGGCAGAGACGGGGAAGATGGTATACGCTGTGCGTCGCGAGATGAACGAGAGGATGAAGTTGAAGAAGTAGAAGTTGTGCCACTACTAGAGGTTTTTGTACCAATCGACGTAGAAGTTGTATCACTAGTACTAGCACCTCCTCCCAGAAGTAAACCTCGTCCGCTAGTAGTTGATGTTCCACTTATTTCCTGTCGGTGGGAGGGCACGGGCATGTTCGGCCTTGGAGGTGGTGCACGGACCGAAGAGCCTGAACTTGCTGTCGGTAGTGCTGGCCGCGTGGACGAGGACGTCGTTCCTGCCTCATCAACAGCCGCTGAATCGTTTTCAAATTCCACAACTTCTCCTGCTTCACCGCCTCGCAAATGATCAGTCCTCGCAAGCCGAACATACGGCTCGTCTACGTTCTCCAGATTCAAGTACAGATGGTTCTTCGACGAGGATTTTTCCCATTTCGATTTTGTTCTATGCGGAAAAAACAAACCCACGTCTACTACATCGGGCGCATAGGAGATAGTATCGGAAGATGAAATTATGCTTGGGATGTTCTTGTTCTCCTCGCGTGCTGGTCGCTGTCGTTCTTCCCTTCTAGCATCACTAGTGGTCCTGTGCTGGTCCTGCACGACGATCCTTTGGTCGTTCGATGAAACTCCGAGATGAAAAAGATCTTGTCCCACTTGATCAGGGGTCTTCCTCAGCCAATCCTCGGGGAGTAGAGGACGAATTTGCTTGGTTTTCTTCTTTTTCCTATTGCCTTTCTTGTTCTTCTTCCGCAGGACGTCGTCGAGTGCTTTTGCTTTACTGTTCTTCTCATTTTGCTGAGTTTTGTTCTTTCCCCCATTCCCCACGGGGGTGGCTGCGGTGGTTGTTCTGGTTGTACTTCTCAAGAATTTGTGCCGCGTCGAGGCCCGTTGCTCAAGAAAAACACCCAATTTCATCTTCGTGTTTTGCTGAAAGGAAGTTGCGGCTTCTTCTTGTGCTTCTACCCGGTCCTCGTCGTGAATACCACTTCTATCCAACACGGTGGTGCTTTTCTGCGGAAGATCATGATTCTCTTCAACTTCAATTTCAGCTGGTATTGCTCGTCCCTGGTTAATACTTCCTTGGTGTTCTTTTTCTGATTTTTGCTCGTCCAGGTCTACTGTTTCATCTATCTTCGTGCGTCCATATGGTGATCTCCTTCTCCGTCTCAGAAGGCCCCTCCTTCCTTTCTCGACGTCCACACGACTTATACCAGCGCCTTTAGTTTCGTGTGCAAAGCCAGCTGCTCGTGTGGGTAACGACCCTGGTGCCGTACTAGCAGTTAGTTCTGAAGACGCGCTGGCAGCCCTTGACGTTTCTCCACCGCTGCCTGTAGTTGTTCCTGTTGCAAAAACAAAACTAGAATGGTCGCTCCGGACGTCGTAGCAGACAAGCAAAAATGCCAATAAGGAGAAGGCCTTGGAAAGACATAAGAAATGCAACATCTTTTTACCGCCCACAGCAATGCGGGAACAAGATGCACTGTACCTTGTAGTCATGGGAAAAAACTTCTTGCTCTGAACAACTCAGAACATATATGTGGTGCGATAAATTCAAAAAAAATAAAACATACATTTCCAATTTTAGCTCGTCAAAGCGGGTGCGAACTGTTCTATTCGACGTATGTAAGGGGGGTACGGTCGTCGTGTCATCTCCAAAGCACAAACTAACTGCTTGAATTTCCTACGTCGAGACTGGGGCTGGGTAGAGAAATAAAAATGGGTTCCTGTAATCATGCCTGTTCGAGGGAAGTGAAGCAGCGAAGCTGAAATTTGCCGAATTCAAAAAATTCTCGAGCTGTGAACTCCTGAAACTACTACTTCAGTGGGCATTCACGCAAGTAGGAAAGGCTTGGACGCACGAAACTTCACGAAATCAGCAGTACGGCGGGCGGGACGCGGGAACTTCTTTCGTCTCCCGCATGCTGGAAAACAACAACGATACTACCACTGTCACAACCACAACCGGACGCAAACGTCGACAAAGACAGTAATAAACGTGGTGCCACCGCTTCATCACAACTAAACGAAAATAGCACGAAAAGTTTACGATCGCGACAAAAAGCAAGACCCCAACAGGCACTGCAACAGCTATGTGCTAGTGATTCACTTTTAACCTCAGAGGCAATACTTTCCCCGTGCCGGCACCTCCACAGACCTAAAAATCAAGAATCAGGGAAAAACTGCTCTGATTTTCGCTTGGAAATTCCCACTGAAAATGATATCGTTACCCATGCGCGTTCGGCTGAAACCGTCACCGTGACGGAAAGAAAAAGATAATTTTTTGGTAGCAAAAGCACATCCATCGCGGTGCGTAATAGAGAAACAAACTATTGTAATATACTGCGGTAAGCGATCTTTCGTACTTTTCCTTTGCGGATTTTTGTTTCCACAAGCTGAAAAAAAATCTGTGAAGGGAAGGGAAAGCAAACAATCGACCGCAGAAAAACAACTTCCACTTTTGACACTGAGAACATGCTATGAAAATCAACTTGACTGGGTACGTAGAGAAAGAAAAAGATCCTAAAAACTTAAAATCTACGCAAACACATGCCTGGTGAGACTGAAGAAATCCTAAGCAAGGCTGAAGGAGGACATGGCATTTCAACACTCCTAGAATCTTCACCTTCACGCGTTGTTTCCTCCCAACATACTTTGCCGCACCGTTGCACCGTTGCCGCTGCCTCCCCGGAGAAGGGGCTGTTGAGTCGATATTTCTTTGCTTATTTTCCAAATTCTATTCGATTTAACACTAAAAGCCTACAACTACACATTCTCCTCCACAGAAGTGCCTCGACACTGACTTCTCTCACCTGCAGGTTGCTCAACACAGGAAAAGAAAAACACGAGAAAAGAACGTCAAGTAAAAAATACCGTGGCCGCGGAAGAAGCGTATTGCCCCGACATCATATCATCCTGGGATACACCCGCCGCCCCGCCACTCCCGGTCGCGGTGCTTTCCATACCCACACTCTGGGTCATTGCCCCGCCGGGAATGAAAATACCGGTCATACGCGGCGCTTCCGAGGACGGCATCGACTGGCTCCCGGCCGACCGGGACTCCTTTCCAGCACGAGGTGGACCCACACTGGTACGACTCCCTTGAAGCTGGTGCACCCCCGGAACAGGCCCCTTCTGTTGCTGCAGCATCTGCAAGTCGCGCGCCACCCGTTCCTCGGCCGTCAAATGTTGGCCGCCACCACTTTGCAGCTGCAGCCCGGCGGGACTACTGCTTGGAGAAAAAATCGGGATGCCCACACCTGCCTGTCCCTGTTCTCTGTTCTTGTGTAAGCTCACAGGCATTTTCCCGCAGGCGCCCCACCAGGTACGGTTGTCGAAGTTGCCACTGCCGTTGAAGAGCAGTAAAATGAACGGCAGCACGTCCAGCGGCGCAATAAGGAACCCGCCGACGCAGACCCACATGAAGAAGTTGTAAAAGTAGAGCGTGATCCACGAGAAGGCCGCGTGGTGGAGGAAAATCACGATGAAATGGTGCCAGGGGAAGTACAACCGTGCCGTCGCCACCTGCCACCACAGCAGGCAGACGCCCAGACTCAGCATGGAGAGCAGCACGAACAACCAAACCCCACCGTTCTTCCGGCCCACATCCTTCGCAAACTCCTCTGCGGGCCCCGCGATCCACTCTATGTGGTCGAAAAATCCATTGGGAAGGGACGTCGAAATGGCCGCGAAAAGGGAAAGGAGGGCCGCCAGCCCCCAGCAGACGGAGGCAATCATGGCGGTCTGTTGGATGTACATCGTGTAGTTCTTCGAACCCGCAAGCTGTTCCGCCGGGCTGTTTTTAGGTCCCGTGACTACATTGGCATCGCGGCGCCGGGTCCGCTCGTTCTCGACCTTTCGGCCGTACATGCCCCGAAATCGGTCCTCGCCTTTGATCGGCATCTTCTTCGATCGGTCACTTTAGTACGATAGTACTTGTTTCTTTGACTCAACTAGAACTAATTCTAACTCACGCACTTTTTATGGCGCAGAGGCAACATTCGATATCGATGTGACGAGGTGTGTATAATCATCTAAGTAGCGAAGGACAAGGTCGATGTCGCCGTCGTAGATACGTTGTATAACTCTAACTTCTACTGTGCTCTAAGAAAATAAGCAGCCGTACCAAATGGGCGGCCCCTGGGAAATATCAAGGATTTTCGGATATGTTATAACGGGGAGCTGCTACAATGTAGTTCTGCCTAAATGGCTACTTGAAGGTGTTGACTACATCGAGAGACGACTAAGAACGCACGGACGAGAACAGCCCCCAAGAAGGTTGCTTTTGACGAAAAACGAGACACAGGAACGAAAGAGATATCAGCAAAAACGATGTGCCAGGACTCATGTACGAAAGATGGAACGATGAAACCGATAGATACGAACTAAATTAAACGAAAATGGTTTTTGTCTTGTACGATTTTTCTTTCACGGAGACTGACACGAAAATGTTTGAGCGAGTACTGTGGTAAGTTGGAGCCACAGAACAAAATTGACACAAAAACGCTATGAACTTGATCTGAAGAACACCATCAGTACCCCTTCGGCGCGACGGACAAGAGAACGGCAAAAAGGAACCGTAGCCAAAAAAGGCAGGAAAAATTCAAAACGTTGATTATTCCCATCCATCCTTCCATCTGCACACATCATACAGTAAAAACGCAAAAATTCTGTGTCAATCCGATTTCCTCGAGCTGCGAGCCTGCAACAATCTCATCACTTTCTTGCACTCATGACGTTCCAACAAAAATCCGCGCGTTGCATTCTCCACCACCAGCACGTGCTTCTTCGAGGAGTCCATCTTTTGCTAAATTCAGGAGCGACGTCGTAAAAATCAGGTATTACTAAAAACTTGTTCGAAAATATACTGAAAGAGACCACAGAGCAGCTGTCAACATCGGAACGCTTCTCCTTCACCCCAGCCTCGCCCGCTTGGCCGACTCTGCCGCGAACCAGATGTGGCCCTGGGTTTGCGACACGTCGTAGCGTTTCACCGGATCCTGCTGCATAAGATTGCGGATTATCAACTGTAAAAATGTCTGGGTCTGGAAGAGTCATGCTGTTTCTGCATGACACAGAAGGTCTGTCATGGAGGCTCTAGCATCACAGGTTTCGAGAAGCTTCCGCAATGCCGAACCCGCATGACAAATCCCCCATTTTGGTGACAGAAAGTGAGCAGCTTTTGCTACCTATGCATGAGAGATTTTTGTGTGTTCTGAAATGCGCATCACAAGTTGCATTCTCCCAGACCCAGAAATTTTTACACTACATACGGATCAAGTCCTTGGCCTCCTCGGGCACGTGAATCCACTCCTCTTCGTCGAAGGAGTAGTCGCTCGACAAAATTTGGGTGTACAGCCCCTCGTCGTCAAACGGCGGGGTGGCGGAAAGGAGGATGTACAAAATCACCCCCGCAGACCACATGTCCGCCTTGGTGTCGTAACCTGAAGGTGGAATAGCAGGTGTAGTTATTTCTCTGTGTGCAAGAAGTTCTTCTATGTTACAACAAATAACAGTAGATTTGTAATAAATGCATGCGAACAAAGTGCGCTTTCGGGTCGTGTCGATCCGCGTTCTTGTGAACTTGCCGCTAACAAAGCAATGTTAAGCCACAGCAAATAAAACCCAAACCCAAAGTGCTGATTTTGTCATAGGAGCAACTCTAGACAAGCAAATAATTACCTCTCAGCTCCCCCCGTTGCGTCTTGATGATTTCCGGGGCGAAGTAGTGCGGTGTGCCGCAGAAGGTCTTCGCCGTGGTCAGCTTCCGCTTGAGATTGTCCTTTTCGCTGGGTTTTTTCCCCTTTTGGTCCCCCTCCTCGATCCGGCTCGGCTCCAATTCCCGCGCGAGCCCAAAATCGGCGACCTTGGCGGTGGCGTCCTCGTTCTTGTTGGTGAGCAGGATGTTCTCCGGCTTCAGGTCCCGGTGGATGATGTCCCGGTCGTGCAAGTACTGCAGCGCCTCCAGGATTTCGTTAAACACGCGCTTGGTGGTGGCCTCCGAGAACACCCCGTAATCCAGAACCCGCTGCAGCAGATCGCCGCCCTCGCAGTACTCCGTCACTAAATATAGTTTTTCCTGCTCGGGCACCATCTCGAAAAACTGCACAATGTTCGGGTGGTGCAGCTCGCGCAGGAGCTTCTCCTCGCACTCCAAATCCAAAGTGGTGTTGCGGTTCAAAATGAACTTCTCGAACTTGGACTTGTCGATCTCCTTGATCGCGTACTTCTGGCTTGTGGCCTCCTTGCCGTTTCGAAAACCCAGCCAGACCACCGCGAAGTTACCCTTCCCGATCTCTTTCTTGAAGGTGTATGGGAGTGTCAGGATCAAAATCAACAAAATCGAAATAATCTGTAATGCATAAAATGCTACGCAAGACGCGACTCTATTGCAGAGGATGCAAGGAAGGCGGATTGTAGTCCTGGTAAGGGTTCAGTGTTGGGCTGCTTACTAGCATGAGAGAAGGCAGCTCTTTTGCCCTAAGCCGCATGACAGATTCGTTTCCGGGACGGATGGAATTTGTCATGCGCCGACTACAAACTGTGGATCTAACTGGCATCGATTTGTGCATCACAAGTTTTTCGATTTTGTCAATTTCGTTTCTGACACTTCCATAAGGTGTACTTCTCTTGTATCTCCTTTTCCTTCACGACCTCGTAGAAAAAGAATTGCAACCCGCTCCCGGGAACGAACTCGTAGTCCGTGCCGCTGTTTTTTTTTTCATCGATCTGTTTTTTTGCAATGACAAGCAAAGGCTGGAACTGGCTCCAACTTCATTTCTCAGATTGCTCTCAGCATTGAACTATACAAAAACACAGATTTTTAGATACACGGATGACAGATAGTAAAGAATTAATTACCCTTCTGGCAGCGTGGTTTCAAGCCCGAAGCTGACGGAGTCCCCCGAGCTGAGCGGTCTGGGGGCGCCTTTTGCGATCTGTTTATCGTTCATGAGGACGCCATTTGTCGACGTGTCAGTGAGGTACCAATGGGAGCCGTGCACGTCCAGTGTGCGCGTGATTTCCAGATGTGAGCCGGAAACCATGGGAACTGAGCGTGGAGGTATGCACTGCAAATTTGTCTGGGTCTCGAAATAATACTGACCTATACATAATGTCAAATCTGTGTTGCATGACCAGCAAAAGTCGTAGCCTCTTTGGTCATTGTAGACCAAGATATGAAATCCTTCAGGATCATACGTCAAACAAATTCCTCCGACCTAAGTCGAATGCTCATTCATGCAAATCACGATGTCAATCACGATGCTCATGAAGAGAAATCAAGATGGAGTGCATTCAAGTCCCGATTGGTATATCAAATCATAATGTGAGGATCGCATGCTATGCGCGATCTGATTTAGAGTAAATTTTTGGACAGTTTGGACCTTCATGTTGGACCCATGGCGTACCCCCTTACAGGCTGTGACGATAGTACCACTATCGATTGGCTGCGACTAAGAAACGCCGAATCTCGCCTAGATTCTACTTCAAACTTAAGATGGCCAGTGTTCACACCGCCCGCGTTTCTTCGTCGTTGATTGTCGTAACCGTTGAGGGGTTGACAGTCATATAAAGACGCAGTTTCTCTTCATGCGGACTGCTCATGAGAAGCCGTTCTGTAAACTTGATGTCATGATTGGCTGCATTCGGCAGTGCTTTCATATTCCACAATGCAGCATCGCAGCTTTCCAGACCCAGACATATTTGCACTTGATATGAGGTCGCCAGTCGCAATACAACCCGTTCGGCTCACAGAGCTCCTCTTTAAACCTGACAGAATTTATTAGAGAGCACAAGTATCTATTACACTACGAAAAAAAAAGAATTGCGCGCGCGCTTCTTAAGGTGAGCGGGAAAAATCCTCCCGCATACTGCTAAGCAATCCAAGAAGGTAAGAATATCTGCAGACATGTGGAACACCTCTGCACACCAGATGACGTCTCACCACCCGTTTTAGCAGTGATACGAAAAAAAAACTACAGAAAGCACCGGAATTATGCTGCAGAACAAGATTTCAAAATATCTGTGTACCTTTTGTTTCTCCCCAGCACGATTTTGTCTTTGATTTCGGCATCTGCCACGTTTGGCACCTTGCCTTTGGACTCCCCCAGCTGCTGCTTGTAGATGGTTTTGTCGAGTGGGTTTTCCAAAATGTACCACCGGTTCGGGTGCTTGTCGCAGGACCCCTTGGTTTTCCCGTCCGGCCGGGAGGGCGGGAAGTTCTGGCCCAGCTCCAAGTAGGCCACTGCGAACTCCGGATGTTTGTAGTCCCCCCACACCGCGTTCACCCGCTGCGTGGGCGCGGTGGGCCCCGAGTCCTGCACCGCACTGGAGCTCCTGCCGCCCTGCGGGTGCGGCGTCGACGTCTTCTGCACGGGCGCAAGAACTACGTGGCTGTTGTAATTGGTGCTGCTGCTACTCGACGAACTGCTCCCCCCGCCGGCTTCAGCTGAAGGCGTGAATTTTACCGATTTTTTTTCCTTGCTCGGCTTCTCTTTCCCGGTATCGCCCACGCGCTCCACGACGGGCGGCTGCACGAAGGTCCCCGCGGAAAGAGCGGTGGACACGCTTCCCTGTGGGGCGATCGAGCCTGTAGTTCGTTGTGGAACGAGATTTTTTTTTGTAGTATATCTTCTCCTGTCAGACCACCTCAGATCGGTTGTTCTTGAAGAATTTCTGTAATTTTGTTTGTAACTTCTACATCAGATCAAACACGCGGGGGCGCGTCGAACTCTGCCAAATTGCATACTACCTTGACTTTGCACGTCCGACATGCGGTCGGAATCCTTGGGGCTGGGAGCCAGGCTGGCGTTCGTGCTGTAGGTTGTCATACCCATTTTATCGTCGCCCGGGGAGGCCTTCAGCGCCGGCCGACTGTTATCCTCGTCGACTTCCATGATTTTACTTTCCTAGGAGCTTTTGCTTCCTGCGTGTAAAATTCTGTTTCTCCGCGGGAAACACTTGCGGCAAACAATACTCCTCGCGGCTAACAACTACTTATAGCTGTCTACTTCATTAATATCGCCTTTCTACTATATTTCATGCAGATATGTGGCTTTTGTTACTATGAAATCACTAGACTGAGTCTAACTCAAAACTGAAACTTGGTCTATGCATGCTACTCGCGCATTCTTTTCCTCTTTGTTCGCTGTCTGTCGTGTTCGCTTTTGCTTCCGATCACTATCTACCGCACCACAAAAGATCATGCGAACGACGACCATCACTTATCTAAGTAAAGCTAGCCCAGACCACAGGGCGGTTCCATCCCTGTGCCTAGTACTGCACTCCACAAACTTGCTTTGCAGTTTTCTCAATAGTAGTTTTGTGAAATAAATTCAGCTCCTGATCTTGAAGCCGACCGTCCCGCCAGCACGAGTAGAACTCACGTAACGACTTGGAGCACCATGCAGTACAGATCCTCGCACAACCTTTCCTTTGCAAAATAAATCACATTGTTTTTACTGCTTCTTACTTTTCACCTGAGTAAACGCTTTCTTTCAAAATCGAGACTCGTGCTGGTTCCGATGAAGAAAACACGAAGACACCATTCGATACAACTGGTACAACTGACTCCTGCGCAACATCAATTTTCGCCATAGCTGCTAATCGAAGTACTTATTCCATTCACAATTTCTGGGCACTACTGCAAAGTGCGAGTGCGCGAAATTTGACGACACGACGAAAAAAGTACTTTGTCCAAGACAGAAGATGACACATACGCCACATACGACCGCTTTAGCTCTTCCAGAGACACAGAGCACTGTACATGACTTGACAAGTCCAACCTGAACCGAATGGAAAGAACGACGAAAAGGCACAGTGTCGTACTTTTTGCCGCCGCTGTCAGAACTGTGATCGAATTGTCAGCTCGAGTACTATCCTTCACCATGATACAAAGATTGCCACGATGAATCCTTTCTATTTCTATAATGCACCTATCATGATAATTCCCATCGATAGCGAACAACGCTTCACAGTGCAAGGATCTTCACTTTGCGAGTATAAATATCTCCACACAGAAATGCGGAAAGCAAAGGGTCGTGCGCATTTGCGCCACTTGTGAAAAATGTAATTCAAATCAATTTCGGTTCCTCGGGGTGTTACTTTCTATAAAATGTCCTATGCACGAACAAAAATTTCCGTGTCATTCATCGTGAAAGTACTCGTCTAGCTTACTACTGAGGTAGTTACCAGCGTGGTTACCAGTGTGGTGATCAGGCATCGCGTTGCACTTTGGCACCTTGGGATACAAGGCGCAGCAGCAGCCGCAGTGAGTCCTGATCTTCTTGGAACTTTAATTTTCTCTGTGGGTTCTTTCTTTTTGTATGTTGCTGGCGAAACATCAGCATCAAGAAAAAATATTGTATGTGCTGCGCAAAATGATAAAAAAACTAGATTAGATACTTTATCGTGTATGTGCGTGTGAATACATGCTTTGAATTTTGTGCTCTGATGTGTAATCAAACATGGAAAAAACTTATGAAATACAATCTCGTGTGCTTAATGTATGTGATTTGAAACTTTAGAAAGTTTCACGCGTTACCATCAATCAAACCTTTTTGCCAAGTAGCATAGGCAGTATATGTAAGACGAGGACTTCGAGCCAGGGTCGGTACTACTCACTCCTACGAGGCGCGGCAGAGTAAGTAGGCCTGCTGCCCTGATGATAATTCAGGATTGACGCATTATCGGCGCAAAAAAATTTATGTCTGGTTTTTCCGCTTCGCCCGGGCGGCCGCGACTTGGAGGATGATTTCCTCTTCGTCTTCCTCATCCGTGTCGAGATACTCGTAATTGTTGTACTCGGGTGCCGCGAGGTATTCCAAATCCCCGTTCTTCAAATACGGGCTCCTGCAGTAATTGTCCAGTTCATCGTCCCCAGGTGTCGCGATCTTCTCGAAATGATCTTCGCTACTGGTTCTTCCTGTAGGAGCTCCTTGTTGCGCCGAGGGTCCTCGCCTGTGGCCGTCGTCTTGCTCCACCTTTACTCCAAGACTTGTTTCCCCTGTGATAATTTTTCCCACCAGCGTTGACAAGAGCCCGCCTGCCGGTGGTGTCGGGGATGAAACGGTGTCCTTTGCAGTTATTTCCGTCGAAAGTAACTTCTCGCTGTTCACCGCCTCCCCTTGGATCTCCAGAAATCTATCATGCGATGACTGACTGGACGAAGATTCTCCCGCTTGCTGTCCGAAAAAAGAGGCGAAAAAAGGCAAAGAGGTCGGCGAAGACCGCGCCGAGGAGAAGCCGGTGCCAGGGGCATGGAAATTCTCAACTACTCCGGAAGCAGATGTTGAGGCGCTTCTGATGTGTAAACCACTTTGATTTTCCTCCACGCCCAACACTGCTGTGTCGCTGTTCGTGGCGCCGGACGAGGTCGCGCCAAACGTTCCGTAGCTCCAGCTGCCCAGCTTCACGGGCCGCTTCTCGTCCTTGCCCCGCTGCAAAAGCGCGGAAGAGGTTTCCAGCACCGCAATGGGCAGCGCGTCGCCCTTGCGTATCCCAAGGAAAAACGTTGCCACCCCACAGATCTTGTCACGCAGATTGGTTCGCATCTACATGAACATTTGCAATGCGCATCCCCATGCGAGTCATTTTTAGTCGCGTTTTGGCATTTCTAAAGCTGTAGAAAGGATATTCGCTGCACACGCCTATGTGATACGGCTGGCCTTGCTAACCAGCCATGCACTTCTACTGCAGATACAGACTTATTTCATGCGTGCTTCCCACACGACCTTGAGAATTTGTGTTGCAGAGATCGTCCTTTCAACCTGACTTTGCATGGAAACAACCACGCTTTTCCTCAGGATATCGTGGAAGAGACAGTCACCCCCAGTGTCCTCGTCGCTGCTGACCACGCGGTACTCCCGTGGAGTGTAGTGCCGCTGGTTGTAGTACCCCCGACTTGTTTATGACAGTGCACAACTCCCCCTCGTCCCCCATTTGTATACATAGCATGAACGGCAATACAAGCATCAGCAAGAATGCCGGTTTTGCATGAAAAATTTCCACTGGAGAGTAGTGCCATTCGGGCTACCAGAACTTGTCATGCAAACAACGCCAAGAGGCAAAGGGTGGATTGGGTATATTGCATGACAAATGAGGGGGAGGGAGGGTTGTGCACTGTCATATTGTACCCGTGGAGCTGCCCCCCGCGCGCGGCCCGGCGGCGCAGAACTTGCGGTAGGCGTGCACGAGCATGCCAGCCACGAGGAGGAAGACGACCAGGAAGCAGGCGAGCAGCTGTAGAAATTCGCCCCACTGCACCACCTGCGGGTCCAGCGTCGGAAACCCCGGGGACGCCAGCGCGTACGGACCGGCGGCCGTGGTTGCCTGGTAGGGCCTATCAAAAGTAAAAATGTCTGGGTCTGGAAACTTGTGATGCTGGGTGGCGTCTCATGATGAGGCTACAAATGCTGGCTCAGCATGACAAGTTTCTGACCTCCTAGGTGTTGCCTATTCTGCATGACAAACTGCGCTTCTGCATCACAGAAAAACGGCGCTCTTGGGCAACTTGCATAACAGATTTAAGAGTCATGCCAGACAAGCATGACAAACATGAATTCTTCCAGACCCAGACATTTTTACACTTGATAGGGCCGCATCTGCACGGACCCCAGCCGGATCGCCGCCCGGGACTATCGAAAGGAAAAATCCCCCCTCCCCACATCAAAACGAAACTTCTGATGCTGGATTTGAGTACACAAATCAGGTTTGTATTGCAGGAAAGCACTGCAGTCAGATCCCCAGGCTAGGTAGGGGCGCACGCGTCTAGTTGTTCAGCATGGCAAGCGGCTCCCCTTTAGGCCCAACAGCATGGCAAATCGCTTCCATAGTGGGGCGGAAGCTTCTGCCCTTGTCTTCTTGCAATACAAATGTGATTTGCGATCTCAAATCAGCAACACAAATTTGCGGAAACATACCTTTTCGATATGGGGAGGGGGGATTTTTGCTTTTGATAGGGACTGCCGCTTCGCGATGCGGCTCTTCGTTGTTCCTGCCTTGATCGATTTTACCGATCCCGCGGAGAATGATTTATTTTTCCCGCTCCGGCTTCCCGGCTGCAACAGGACAGGAAGTCCGGGGGGGAGGGACGAAGACGACGATGACGACAAATTGGGAACAACCGCGGCCGCTGCGGGTTCCGCTTTTTCCACGCGCTGCCAGAAAGAGAGAAAGGAACTTGAAGGATTAGCGCCTCCCGGACCTCTGGGTTGTTCTTGTAAAGTACTGCTGCCTTCCTCGAGACTACCATGGTCTCCCACGTCTGCTCCCATTTCATCGTGTGGGTCGGCGGAGGGTGCAGGTGGACTCGCGGAGGTCGGCGGTTCCGTGGTGGTCACCGGTTCCGTGGTGGTCACCGGTTCTGCGGTAGCCGTCTGAAACTGGGCGTTGATCGCTTCCTTGGATTCTTCAAATTCCTTCATCGTCAACCCCTCGACTTCGTTATTAAAGAACGACTCCAACGTTCCTCTCGGCCATTCATTTTCATCTTCCAAGATAGCGCGCTCACTGTAACTCAGCACCCACCCCTTGTCGGTCGCGAGGAAGTTCGTTTGCTCCTTCACGAGCGCCTCGTCTTTGAAATCAATCCTCGTGTGTGTGCTCTTATGCAGTGCAAAAGTCTACCGAACTAGTACTGAAAATTTTAGAATACAATTTGAATTTTATTATCCAAAAAGCAAAATAAACGGAGTTCTGCTGATTCCGGTACCGAAAAAAGACGATCTGTCATGTTCATGCTGCAAGCGGAGTAGGAGCACGCAGCAAAACATCTTTATAATCATTTATTACCAGTACAAGGAACGATATTACTTTTGCATTGCATAGGTCTCCTCGATCTTCCAGTGGGCTTTGGAGTTCCCCTCAAAGTCCGCTTCCAGGTACCACTTTCCATTTTGCATGTCGTACGCCAGGAAGCTGGCCGACGAAACCGTGGACTCCCCATTCTCGTCGAGTTGCACGCACCCCCCGTTCGCAGCGAAGCTGGACTGTAAGACAAAGCGGTTTTCCTCAGAAGCGTGTTCATCTGCTGTCCTCCCCGCCATGTGCCGGACCCGCCACACCGTTTCTTCCATCCCAGTCAACTGGGGCACTGCGTCGGCACCCTGTTCGACAACGGGGCCGATCTCGTCGAAGACACACGCCCCGTCTTCCGTCCGCATATCAAATGCAAATATCGATCTGGGTCTGGAAGGTCGTCATGCTATTGACAGAGGAAGCCCACACTGACGCGAGTAGCAGCCACTGATGAGAAACTGTTGAGCGGTTTTGTCCGACATCACCGCTCAACAGTTTGTCATGCAAACCTGCCTTTTTGCATAACATCAGCAGAAGCTGCTTTTTTGCATATACAGAGAACGAGAAACGTTCCGCAGTGTGAAGAGCATCCACTACAGAAGTGCGGAGAGAGTATACAAGTTGAGCCTTGTAAATTTTTGCAATCGTCTTCCAGACCCAGGCACATTTGCAGGGTGGATACCGCAACGACAAATACGAAACTTTATCGTCTCCGGTGTCCACGCGAAATCGAAACCCCTGGTTCTCAATGTCCGGCTCGATGATCACATTTTCCAGCTGAGCTTGTGCGTCAGTCGGAAGAAAACTTAGCGAGAGCGTGTACTTGGCAAACTGGTGTCGAAAGCTCTCGGGCCCCAGATAGCCCCCGGCGGCCGGAGAAAACTGGAAGTGCGCGTAGTCGTGGTAGTAGTGGTACGGGACAACATGCCAATGGGCGGTCGAAGGCAGGGGCGCGAGGGGGTTGCTTTGCTTCTCAACGAGCTTCAGGCCGTCACTCTCGTTGATGTCGAGGAAGCGGCTCGGAAACTTTACGGACTCGAAAGTCAACGCACCATGTTCCCCGTCGTGGTGGATGCGCCACTGGTAGTGCGGAAGCAAGACATCTGTCACATCGGCGTTTGACTTGGTCGTCGCGAACTGGTCATTGCTGGCAAACAGCGCATCTGACCAGACGTCCTCCCCGCCACTCGTGCGCCGCACCTTGTAGACCAGTTCAACCGGTAACTTGCCCGCGCTTGTACCGGCCTGCGGCTCTCGCAGCATGGGCTGCACGTACCACTGCGCGGAATCGTTTTCGTGGGCACCTACTTGCAACCCCGGTTCGCCCTGTTTCTGCAGGAAGGCCCCATCCAAGAAGTTGCGCCGCAGACAGGCCAGCCGGGTCCGGTCGCTGCAGAGCAGGACTGGGCGCTCCGGGATAACGTGCAGTGGGAGTAGCGTGGCCCGGAATTCGGCCCGGGCGCTGGCCGGGGCGCTTGCCACGTCCCGGGGGGTGGTAGTCGAAATTTCCACTCCGCAGAGCATGAGGATGGCGCCGTCCTTTTTGCCCCCGGCGCGCTCGAAATTCGGCTTGAAAATCTTGATCGCGTGCACGTTTTGTCCGACGCGAAAAGTCTTGCCCGCGTCCGTCACATCCTCCCAATCGGAGTCATCGCCAATCGTTGTCCACCTTCGACCATCTCCCGCCTCGTTATTCGTCACCTGGAGCTGTACCCCCCCGCGGGAAAGCCGCTCTGTTGCCTTTGAAAATGCCTCTGGTAAATTTTCTGCATTTTGAACTTTTTCCCGGTTGTAAATGCGGATGTCCGGGACAAAATGCGAGCTCTTCAACTCGACCTTCCACCAACTGTGTTCCTTGTCCTGATGAAAATCCGGCACAGCAATGGCGCACGGGTACCGATCGTCCCGGCTGTCTAGCGTGTCAGGATCCCGCACGGTAGTTCCGCGAAAGAGCAACGGGTTTTTCTCATCTGCCTTCTTGGGAACATCAAAGAGAGGTAGGTCGGCGTACTCCGTCTTGTTGTAGATACCTTGATAGCGCATGTTGTCGTTTCGTTGCCAGCCGTCCAGTGAGTTACTCTGTGCCACTTCTGTGATCTCGTCGAAGTCCAGCCGCCGCCGAAACGTTGCGTCATATTGCGGCGATTTTGGGTCGTAGCAGTGCTCGGGCAGCGTGTTGGAGTCGTAGCGCGTGCCAGGCAAGAGCACTTTGGTATCTCGCCCGGCATTGTCCCCACCTTTCGGCGTCTCGTATTCCTCCTTCACAGTCAGGTCGCCTTTCACATTCACCACGGTACAGTAATCCTTCTTGGCGGGGTCCACCTTGCCATACAGGTCGCAGACCGCGAGCATGCCCCTGTTCAGCGCGGACCGGCACACGCGGTGTTCGAACTGCGGACCGCACCGGTTGTGCGCGTCACTTCGAAGGGGGCAGGCCGCCAGCTTGTCCGAGTCGGACCCGGTTCTGGCCGAGGTGCCGGCGGTGAACTTCACGGTGGTCGCGGAGAGACGCTGCGGCTCCCAGGTGGCGTCCGGCGAAGCGGCGCTCTCGGGATTGCGCCGCCACTGACGCGGCGCGCACTCCACATTTGGTATCTTCGAGTTCGAACCCTCTCCCCCCGGCACGTGGCGGAGCAGGCACAGGTCGGGCCGCTGCCGGCTCAGTGCCTGCAGCTCGTAGCCGGCGCCGCCGTGAGAGGCGCCGACCCGGCGGACCAGCCAGGACGCGTGGTGCAAAGTGGTGAACGACCCGCCTGCCAGATCCACCTCCTGCCATTGCAACTCGTCCGATCCTCCGGTGAAGCCCAGCCGTCTCACCTTCGGATTCGTCCCCGGTTGTTCCGTAGCGCCTGGGAAGTCGATCAAGGCAAAGGCGGCGGGCACACTGGGACTCGACGGGAGCAGCTCGGGGAGGAAGTGCTTGTGCTTGGCGGCGTAGTCCGCGAGGGGGCGCAGGGCGGGCAGTGTGGGACGCGTGTCGACGAGCCGTTCGTGGGTGGCGGCGGTGGCGGGGTGGGCCGGGTCCGCCCAGCTCCACGCGCTGCGCACGTACACGGCGGGGGTGGTGGCGCCCCGCGCGCCGACGTGGAGCGGCTCGCCGAACCGGGTGAGCTGGCCGTCGGTGAGCCGCTGCAGCCCCAAGAGCATGCCCCCGCCCCCCTCCGCGCCGCACCCGCTAGTATCCGCGCGCAGGAGGCGGAACAGCGTGCCCGGCTGGTGTTGCTCGGTCGTGAGCCAGGGCAGTCCATACTTCGTGACTTGCGCGCCGACCTGGTTCCCAGGGTCGCCCACGCCATCGACCAAAAGCTGTCCCAGCCCCTGCTTGGCGCCCCCATGCTCCCCGCCCTTCAAATCGTTCGCCAAGCCGTAGCCGTTCTGCACGGCCACCAGTTGCGCACCCGTGCTGTCCGCGCCGAAGGGCTGGAGCCGCCAGCGGCTGAGACTGACCTCCTGCGCGTCCACCAAATCGTGCCGGCGGTCGAACCGCACCTCGGCCATCGCCTCGGCGCTCTTGCGGGTCAGAAACCGCCCGCCGGCCGTGTCGCCCGCGGACACCAGCGCAACCCAGTCGCGCACCCCGGCGTGCCCGAGGAAGGACACGCCCGTCACCTCCTCCGCCGCCAGCCGGCGCAGCGTGCCCGCGTGCTGCTTCCCCCGCCCGAACACCAGTTCGGCCGCAAACAGCTCCCGCAGGAAAAACTTGTCCGCGTCTTCCAACAGCCGATGCACCGTCATCACCAGTTCCGGGTCCCGACCGTCCGCCAGAGCATTTCGGATCTGTTCCGGCACCGTACACACGTACGCGTCCAAATCCAGCTGACCCGTGAGCCGGTCTTCGGACGCGGCCACGTAAGTCGCGACGGCCTTGGCGAACTTTTCTCCGAGCAGCTCACTCAGCATCCGGTGCGTGTGTGTGTGCAGGGCCCCGCCGACCAGATCCTTCATCGGCTGCAAGACGGTCGCGCGCACATACTTCTCGAACACCAAGTTGTCGAACAGCAAGCTCTATGCAATGCAAAAATGTCGTGGGTCTGGGATGAACTGGTGATGCGAGGAAGCGAATAGTGAGCGCACTGCATTCATGCGCTGCAAAGCATGACAAGTAGTTTTTCCGTGGTTCTGAGTTGCTTACCACGCATGAGAAACTGCGTTTTTGCATGACAGGCAAGAGGGGCCCTTTGCGGCCACGCAATACAGAATTCAGAGTCATGCCAGAGCAGCATGACAAACACAAACCGCGCAATCTCCCCGAGCCAGACATATTTGCAATTGATAAGTTCGGCTTCAGGGGCATCTTCGCCGCCACCTGGTCAGGCACATACTGCACAATGTCCGCGACTGAGTGCGTGATATCGGCTGGAGCAACCGTGGCAGGGGAGGGGGCAGGTGCAGCAGGCGAGGGGGCAGGTGCAGCAGGGGCAGGTGCTGGCACAATGAGCGGCAGCCGCACGCGGCCGCTGCTGTTTTTGTCTTCGCACCTCTGCATCGCGACACGGCAGGAACGACAATCGTGCTTGTTCTTTAGGAATGGTCCCATCCCAAATACTGGCTGACCCGTGCGAAAGTCTTCTCCAACCTTTTGTCTTATTTCTTTCGGCCCGTAATAGGTCCACATTCCCATGTCAGCGTCGTAGCAATCGTCCCTGTGCGCGGTGGCCGAATCACCTGCTGGTGGCGTTAGCGGACAGCCAAACTCCTGGTAGCACTGCTCTTTCTGCGCGGTCAACGCCGTTTCGTACTGCTCGAGAGACATGACCGCGGGAGCAGGAATTTTTGCCTTGGCTGCGGCCGCGTAGAGGCTTTCTTGCGTCGTGCGTTTGGCTGAGTCCAGCAGGCTGCCGCGCGGGTACCAACCATTGTGGCTGAGCGTGGGGGCGGAGGACTCCTGTCCCTTTCCCGTGCTGGTCGCCGGCTCCAGCTGCAGCAGGTCGGAGAGGCTGCGGTAGGTGCCGCCACTCCAGGACAAGGTGGCGCGGCCCTGCTGCCACGGGTTCTCGCTGTTCGGATCGTCCACCAAGTCCGCCTGCAGCCGGTGCTCGTGCGTTGCTTCCGTCAGCTGTGCGGCTTTCTGCAACACCTTACCCCCCACGCTCTCCCGCTGGACGTGGTGAGAGGTTGATGCACCCTCAGCACCATTACCATTCCCGCCATTTATCTCCTGTCGAAAGCGGAAGCTTCCCATTCTTCTCCGTTGTGCTCGTTCAAGAATCCGGCTGTCGCTCACCCTCTGCTGCTCCTCGTATTGTGAGGAAAAATCCCCCCTCCCCATATTATTGAGAAGGCATTCTTCTGAAAACTTGCGACGCAGATTTGCGGTCGCAAATCGTTTCTGTCTTGCAAGAAGGCATCAAGCGCTGAAGTCGTACTTATGCGCCGCATTATGGAGGCGATTCTTCATGCTTTTGGGCCTGCAGGCCAGGCGTTTCCCATGCTAAACAGCTAGACCGTTTTTACGTTCCCAAACAGACCGGGGGTCTGGCTGCACTTCCTTGCAGCAAGACTGTGCACAACTTACGCAAATCTAGGTCTAGCATCAGAAATTTTGTTTTTGATGTAGGGACCAGGGGGGATTTTTCACTGGGATAGCTCGGCTACATACTTGATCTGCTTCTTTATAAGTTCCTCGCTGCACGACTCTTCTTTGAAATCGTCTTCCCTTTTCTTCTCGTACAAGCACTGTTTCAACTTCTTCTCGAATTCCTCTTGCAGATGAAAGCAGCGCTCCGAATAGGAATGCCAAGTGGATGAACTCCAAAGTCGGTGCTCCACCTTTTTTTCCCCCGTCTTCCACTGGATGCCCCCCTTCTCATTGTAAGTGTGGCAATCGTTCCACACTTCGTCAAACCCCTTTCCGAAATCCCCCTTGCTGAACAAAGTTCCGATACCACGGCCGACACTATGGATCGCGTGCCCGACCGTCGAAAAAACTGGTTTATGAAACTCTGGGCCGCCAAGAGCCCCACTAATTTTGCTCGCAGCATAAGTAACGCCAGCACCAAGAACACCGACACCAGCAGCAGTAGTTGCGACGGCTGCCGCAATAGCCCCGAGTGCCGCGAAAATAGGCATAGTTTCGACGACTCTTTGTAGTTGTAAACAGATTCAAAATAACAAGGGTGCAGTTGCTTTACTCACCAGCTTTGTTTTCCCACACTGACTTGTTCTCCGCGCCGGGTGGCAAACAGGATAATTGGGGTAATCGTAATCATCATGGAGCAATTCCTGGAGACTTTATATCAGCATAGTACAACTCTTCCTTACATACAATACATACTACTCGATAGCGGAGGAGTAAAGGTCGTTTTATCTGCTGCGACAGTTGTGGACGATTACACGTTGTGGGCGAAAAAAATGCGAAAAATTTTGACGAAACGAGATAGAACGAGTGAAAACATATGCAGCGAGTACGAAACCGAAGATGTGCATTTTCCATGATGCAGCAAACAAACAGAAGAACCTCTGAGGTCAGTGGGAGGTGGATGGGACGAAACTACAATAAAAGCGTGCACGACGGACCGATCATGAAGTTGCATCTGAATATGGTGTGCTGGCGAAGTCGCGTGTCTGAAGAAACTTCTTCCTACGAAGTGGCACACTTTTCCGTGCTACGACTTTATTACAGGGAACAATGTATCTGTGCAGCTTCGAAAGCAGCGACAACGGGACGAAACCCGGCGACCGACACAACTGTTGGTACCCTTATTCATCCTGTTACACGACACTAAAACGGGCTCGAATATGCTTAGCCACGCTAAGATGAACAGTATCTTCTCGAGGACCACCGACGACAAGCTCTTTGTCGACGACTTTGAATCAATCACAGAACAAGCAAAAAGTAGTACTACCTAGTAGTGGAACATCATCATCATCATATTTGTGCGTGTCCTGGATGTTTCTTCATCATCTCTTTTATCTTATGAGTGGACGGGCACCCAGTACTGCTTTATTCGGAATGACCCGAAAGTCACTCCGCTTGCCAGGTGTTATCCTGGCTTTTGTAGAAGGCGATCCCGCAGACATATTTAATCTCCCTTCCTGTATTCTCACAAAAATCTTCGCTGTCCACGTCGAACTGCACCCGGTCGTTCTCTTCGAGGTGCCAGACCTCCCTTCTTTGGCCGGGTAAACGCACCCAGCTCTTGCCGCTGATCGTTTGAATTAATTCCTCCCTCCCCCGTTCCGCTTCTTGCTGTTGCTCCACTATTCTTCTTCGCTGCTCTTCCCGCATTTTTTCGGTTTTTGCTGTTGCTGGCTTTTGTTTTTTCGCTCTGTCCAGTCTTCTACCTGTGTCGACCTGTCGCTTCTTTCTCATCAGCTCCTTGACTGTTGCTGCGTCCGGTGGCTGCTGCGCCATCGTTGCAGCATCCAGGCCGAAGTGCTGAAGGTCTTGCTCTACTAGCTTGCCCCACGGTGTTCTTGCTCTTATTTCCTTGGCTATCCACCTCCCCGACGGCTCTGTTGTGTCGCGGAAGGCATGGGCAACCCATGCGACCCGCTTCTCTTGCAGCATCGTCTCGATGTCGAGTATGCCTGCCTTTTTGCAGATCTCCAGCCTGCTAGCATACTCCGCCGCCTCGTCTGTCCCTGCCTCCTGTCGCTGCCACTCCCTCTGCTCCCCTGTTATCGCTTTCAGCGTTTGGTGCTGGAAGCTGCGGAGGATCTTCAGGTCGTGCTCGTGCGGCACCCAGCACTCACTGTTGTACAGCGCCACGGAGCTACACAGCGACGTGTATAGCTCCGATTTGAGTCCTCTTGGGACCCCCTTATCTGCCCAGATCCGCCGCAGCTGCTTGGTGGTGGCTGTTGCTATCCCCGTGCGCCGCTCCACTTCCTTGGTGGTGCTGGCGTTGCTTGCTATTTCTGTCCCCAGGTACTTGAAGGAAGGCACAGTCTTTATTTCGTTCCCCTCTACTGTTTTCAGGTCCGCCGGCACCAAAACGGTGGCCCGCTGCGCCCTGGCTTTTTCTTCGATGTACCTCCCGACCCGTAGCTGTCTCTCTTCCTGTTCGGTCATTACTGGTCGGCAGAAACCCGTCGCCATGTGCCCCCGCAGTGCCCTTTCGTCCGGGAGGACGTCGTTGCACCGGGGACACACATGCGAGTTCTTCTCTTCCAGTACAGATCGAACCCGGCCCCGCCGGATGAGGCGTGTTGTCCGCCTACCGTCCAGCTCCGCCCAGCCCGTGCGCTTGTACCAGCACAAGCTGTGCCTGCCGTCATCCCATGCGATCAAATGCGTTATTTTCTCCATTGCCGGCGTGGTCGCCAGCTTGCGTCTTGCTGCCTCCGCGTGCTGCGGGACGAGGTCCACCCCATCCCACTCGATCGACCACCCCCACCGCTCTCCATCGGCTTCGTCGGTGGTGATCCGCTCCTTTTTTGCGTCTTCGTTGTTTTTCTCCCGCGGCGGCAGCCCTACCGTCATCGCCTCGGTCTTCTTTGCGTTTAGCTCTAGGCCCACAAATCTGCACGCAGCTTGTAGTTGGTGGAGGGTATGCTGCGCCTCCTCCCGTGTGTCCGATCTGATTACCAGGTCATCGACGAACCCCAACCACGATAAATACGCCGGGTCTACTTTGCTCTTTGTCCAGTATCCGTCCTCCACCATCGTCTCCTCCAGCGCGCAGAGCGCGAAATTCAACACAAGGATGAAAATCAACGGCGACAAACTGCTTCCCTGTCGGATTCCGGATTTTTGCTGTGTCGCGCTGCTTCTCTGCCCCGGCCCCAGCTTCAGGCAAAAAGTCGCCCGGTTGTACATCTTCCGGACCAATTCTGCCAAGTCGGGGGGGAATCCCTGCCACTGGATGACAAGGCTAAGCCGCTCCCAGTCCAAAGAATCGTATGCCTTCTGGAAGTCTGTGAAGTCATAAGCCCTTGTGTCCCCATCCCGGATTGCGGTCTCCATATCCCGCAGCAACTGGAAGACCGCATGTCTGCAGCTTAACCCCTGTATGGACCCCTTCTGCTTCTTGTTCACGTACCCATACGCGGATTTGCGGACCCGCTTCAGTATGATGAGCGAGACTAGTTTTTCCCCGTAGTGCAGCAGCGCTACTGGGCGGTAGTTCTGTGGTTGGGCCCTTGGCCCGCTTTTGTGCAACAGCGCAATCGTGGCATCGAGCCACGACTGGAACATCAACATCACAAAGTTAAAACAAACACGAACCACACGGTCGTGCGTGACGGGGAGCTCGACAATGAGCGCCGCAACAAAAACAGTTGTACTGGACGACTTTCGGTGTAGTTCCGTCTCAATTTGCAGCTGTGTGGAGCAAAATTTAGTCGTTTTGGCTGCGTGACACGTTGCAATACTTTCAAATATCTTTACGTAAAAATACAGAGGCGGCAGCTGAAGGTGCCTTGCAACGGGAACGTCCGTCAAGAACTTAGTAATGCTTTTTCTCCATGTAGATGTAGCTTACATCTACTAATGGAGATTTTGACTCCTCAGGTTTATTTTGTACGCTCTAAAAACTCCGCCAGATTCAAAAATGTAATCCCAACAGATACCTTTCCTGCGAAGATGCTTATCATTAGATTTTAGTTTTGAAAAAAAGGCTCAAATGAGCGGAATCACCTCCCCCGCTCGATGAAACAAGTACACAACGCGTGCACGACTTGGACGCATCGCTCAGGCATGATACCCTGTCCTGTATTCTTGAAATAAAAACTACATCACGACACGAAGCTATGCGGGAAGAAGTTATCACTTGAAGAAGTGATAGCTCCGTTAATACAGGTATAGATCCAGAAAAGAACGCCGGCTGCATAAATACTTCAGACGTATTCCATCTGTATGTACCCCACGTCGATTTTTCGCAAGATTTCCTCCACCGCGGACTCGATCTTCGTGAGCCGCAGATTCATCGCTTCCACGTAGTGTGGCACCGTGGGTGCGGTCGTGGCGGCGGCGGGTACTGCTACTCCAACTCCCGTCGGCGCTGCAGCTGCCGTGCTCTGCACGGAAACCCGTGCGTTGTTTGCCGCGTTGTTGGACAGATTTGACGGCCGGTTCTTCCCGGGCGAGTTGCTTTTGCCGCTTAACCGTCTCTCTTGGTAGGTGAGTTCCCCGAGTGCGTGCACCACGGTCTCGACGTCTTTTTTCATCTGCGGAACCTCCTTGACCAGCTTCAAAATCCGCTCGAGTTCGATAGGGCGGTTGCTGGTTACCGTCTTCAGAATCTGGTCGCAGAATTCCTCAATGGACACCTCGCCTCCGCCGTCTGTGTCCAACATTTCGAACAGTTCCAGCGGGTCGTCGGACCCCATGATTCCGCACAGTTCGTCCTTCAGCGCCGGATCGGAATTAAGGCCGTGCACGAGCTCGGCCTTCGAAATGTCCCCGCTGCCGTCCTCGTCCAGCGCCTCGAACATAATGCGCAGTTCCGGGAGCATGCGCTGCAGCCGCTGCGCTTCGTAGGCGGCCTGCACCTCCTTGTCGGATTTGGCCTGCTCGATCGCCCCCTCCACGATCACAGCCGTCACCAAGTTCATCAGGGCGACGGAAACAATCAGGATGAAGCCCATGAAAAAGATCGCCAACCCGGGCTCCCGTCGAATCATCGGCACGTAAATGCCCCCGATGGAATCCAGCGTCACAAATTGCACCTGGAGGTGGTGGAGAGAGTTTCTTTATTTCATCTTGAAGAACCGTTACGAGTACGTACCTCGTCTGGTGTTGTATGTGCGGGAACATTCTCAACAGACGCGGCACTTCTACCGGACGAGTGTGGTACACAAATTAAAGAGATTCATTTTTCTTCAGCAAGCTTCTTCACTATGTTTCTGTACTAGTGTCAGCATGGTATCGAAGAGTCCGTTGAAGTGGTTGTCTACGATGGCGGCTAGTTGTGCGTCGTCTGCGTATTGGCTTTTGTTTTTCGTGATCAGCTCGACCGCAAGAACCCCGCTGACGTAGAGAATCAGAAAAATCAGGACGAAGGTGTAACACATCGTGCCGGCAGACGAAAGCAGCCCCCGCACCAACATCCACAGCGTCTTGAAAGCGACCAGGAGACGCACCTAAAGCGAAGAGTTTTTATGCGGATGCAACTTCTACACCTCGTCCTACCAACAGTGAAGCATACCGGTTTCGTCATCTACCTCTTGCTGGCGCTCACACTTCATTTCTGCAGAACACTTCGAAAGCTGCCACGCTCTAGTTGCTTCCGTTTGTTCTCGTTTATTTTCACAATGGGTGCAGCTATTATAGTGAATCTGAATCCTTTCGTTGTTCAAGAACCAAAATAAACGATACCGCCCTGGCCAGCCGGAGCAGCCGCAAGACGCGGAGGACGAGAAGCGGCCCGAGCTCCTCTGGTGTTTCGCTGAAAATCGAGGGCAACACCCAGGTGGAAAGAACCCCGACGAAGACCAAAATCGCGTCGAACATGACCCAGCCCGACTTCAAACAGCCGAGCCCGAACCCGTAAAACCTCGCCAGCAGCTCCAGCATGTAGATCGACAGGAAGATGTGCTCGATGTCCGCGAAAAAGCTCGTGCTCTGACCCGTTATCTCGTAGTGGGACTCGATCCCGATGGTGATGGAGTTCATCAAAATTACGATACCGATGGCGGCGTCGAACTTCTGCAGCGATAACACTTGTATACTCCGGAAATAAAGCACACTATCGAAGAACAGAACGCGCACTAATTGCAGCAATCTTGCATGACAAAACTAACCCACGAACAATGCAGTGCCAGACCCAGCACCTTCACAGGTTTTACTTTTTCATGAGATCTAAAGTTCTCGGCATGCAAATTGCCGTACTAGGATGTATCCGTCGTGGTTCTCTGCGTAGTCGTCGATAGTGGTCGTACAAGAGAAATTAATTGCAATGCGTAGTCCACTGCACGTGGTACCGCAGCTTGGAGTGGAAACTGGCATCATCCCCTGGCCAATCGTCCACTGTCATGGACTTGCTCGCCTTCAGACTGAAACCCGCGCGAGCGCGTTCCGCCTGAAATAAAAAGTTGATTTTTTCTCAGCATGCTCGACAAGATGAAATGTATTTCCACAATGGAGGCAAAAACTTAATTTCAAAGAACGCGTGAGTACTATTGATAAATATCGCCTTAAAAATACTTCTTCCATCTGCTTCTTTTCCTCCTCTTCCCGCAGCTAGTATGAGAACGAAAATTGTCGCGAAAACAACCAACCTCCTGCTCTGCATGATCATTCTTTTTTGCGACTCCAAGTAGATTTTACCCGTTCCTCCTTTCACAATGAAATGCAAGGTAGAAATCCATCAGAGTTCGTCGGGGAGCGACAATTTTCACGCACGTTACTTTCTTCTCCTGCTGCATTTCGCGAAGCCCATAGGAGCTGGGTATCCTCTGGAAACGATCTCAGGACATAAAGTCATACTGGATGAGGGGCCTAATTTTGCGTAACACAAGCTCCGACCACCACACAATACGTGCAGATACAGAGTATCCCGACGTAGATCTTGGAGATTCCTTTCCAAGCTGGGCTGCTAGCACTACACGAATTCGTTCGAATCACAGACAACCAAACAAATCCAAATCCACCGTATGATAAGTATTTGATAATTTCTTTCCTAGATCGTTCCCCAGACCCTACTTGGACTGGCGTCCATGCGCGAAACCGCAGGGGACGGTTGTTTGGAAAATCTTTCCCGTGTCGAAATGCTGATTTCCGACCGGTTGTAGTGCTGCTTCTCGTCTGTGGTCGAGGTGGCATCCTCGGAGGCACTGAGTACGGAATCCTCCTCGTCTAAGGGCTTTACCTGCGGTCGCACGCGGTAGTATGGAGAGATTCGATAGTACGAGCGCTCTTTTCCTCTGCAACCAGACTAGAGTCGGCTGCGCACGCGTTCCAACAACTCGCGTTGGCATGCATACCATAGGATAGAGAAGTTCTTCTTCTTCTTTCTCTGTGAATAAGAAAAAATAAATGCCATTTATTCTTGCACCGCTGCAATACCGTTACTCAGATGCAGCGCAGAGTCGCGGTCGTTCTTTCCCAGACATACATACCGCTGCTGCGACATCTCGGCGGTGGTCGCGTCGGAAGCGTGGCTCCCTTTGCGATCCATCCCCGGTTTCTTCATTTTAGTCAAGCACAGTGCGCCGAGCCACTTTGACTCTTTCCTTTTACGAATATGTATCAACGATCATGTTACAAAAGAGTAGAAGTGGAAGTACGAGTTGTATCCCAGGGGGATGTTGACTTCGATTTTTTTCTGTAACAGCGACATACTCTCACACTCTCGCACCCAAGCTTCGTAGTTTCTCTCGCCCAGGTACTAACAACTCCTTGTCAGTACAGCACCCGTAGCCCACAAATAAAATGTTGCCAGATCATAACTTCTGACAGCACGACCATGCTGGTGCTGACACTCGAAAGGAAGAGCTTACCCACTGGCCACGGCCCGCTGTGTTTGCCTTTGAACTGCAGCTGCAGGTTGAGCGGGAAGCTGCAGCTTGAAACGGTAGCAGCGAAAGCCTCTTCGCAGCTGGCTCTCCTCAATATCCATTGAGATCTTGGTCTACTACTTTCGTTGGCTTAATTTCACACAAAAAAAATAGAGCCCACTGTGGTCCTCAAGAACTCGCTCTAATGTAGTTCTTTGCTGCGGAGTGGCCCAACAAGTTCCATGTTGTCCACTTCAGAATCAAAAGTGCGCAAAAACCTATGGTGAAACTGAATCCTGGCTCCGGCGACCTGGAAAATGATTCCATATACTTATGCTGGTTCATCGTGGTCGACGCGGGTCGAGAGCCCGGTAAGGAAACCTGTTTCATCCTTCCCGCGCAAATTGACAGAAACTGGTTTGCATTTTTAGTTCATCCTGTTGTAAAACAGCTCGAGCCTCGGCTTGTGTTGCTCTATTACTTCCGGCTGTCCGTTCAGTGCAAACTGGAGGGTATGGAATTGAGAAAAGTGTCACATTATTCCTGAGCCTGACAGTAGACTTAGAGGACTCCATGTGCGCATGACAAAAGCCTGTTGCCATGCACGAAGAACGCCGTCGCAGCTCACCACGCCATGACAAGTAAGTACGGGGATATTATTACAAGTGCAAAACTAACAGCGGCGCGCATTCTTTCTTGTGCTACTAGTACCCGATTATATCATCTTGTGCTACTAGTACCCGACATGACAAACATGATCTGTAATGTGCAGCGCGCAAATACCCATTATGAGCATTCTTTTCTCCGCATAGAGAATCTGCAGGTTGAACAGGAAAACGGGGTTGTCCGGCTCCTTCTCCAACGCCTTTGCCTGAAATTTGTATAATGTATAGCAGTTGTATATCTTCACGACGCCAATAGTAATCATCCCCATACTAGTCTGCATCACGGGGCAATAATGCAACGGCTCTGTCATCTGTCATGTTGAGAGGCTAAGGGGAGGGCGTCCCATTTTTTTATAAAAGCTACAAACGGTAAGCACCTACCCAGCAAACTCTGAGCGGGCTCTGTCATCTGTCATGCAAAAACTGCTTTATCCAGCTTATTTTCATCGCAAAGCACCAACGTGTACCAAGCCCATCTGCGCCTAGCTCATCACGGTGGAAATTTCGGGCGGAACAACTGCAGTGATTTCTCCATCCCACTTCTCTTTTTCATGCCTGCTTTCTTAAGAGCATGCTATTCTGGTTCTCTCCGTCGAACGTCTCACGCAGAGGCTGCTGCAATAATGTATTAAAAGCTCGTCGTACATAATAAATTCAGCAAAAAATGAAAAACCACACAGCATCCTGTCTCGACCCAAATCTGTCCCTTGGATATGCTCCCACGCCCCGGCCAACATCCACACAGCAGCCATGTTACTCCACAAAAACGCCTGCTCGGGTTCCCACTTCAACCCATTAGCCAGCGCGTCTTGCGCCTCCTGGAGCATGTTCAAATTACCGTACGCAACCCCGAGCGCGTTCCACCCGTGGAAATTTGCAGAGGAAAAACTTCTCAACTTCTGCAGCTCAATTTCTTGTACTAAAATTGTAAGAGTATCTATGCATAGTCAGAGTGGCATTGCAATGCGGGTGCGCGAAGATATCTCGTAACAGTTCGCACGTGATGTCACGGTCACAAATAATTGAGGCTGCGTTCAGCAGATTCTACTTTCTTCTTCACATGGCATAAGGGAAGATCCGCATTGATTTTCAACCCGTGCTCGATTGCGTTCACGGCTTCCTCATACCTGATTTTATTGTACATCGAGAGCCACTAGAGAAACTTACGCGAGATGAAAATGCGACATGGAACGCAAGCTACAAGCGCACAAGCTCCTGTCTTTCCCAGCTGTGGTTCCAGCTCGCATGACAGGCAAATAAGAAAAGCATCAATGTCATAAGTACCTTTTCAGTATTGTCAGCGTGAACCCGTAGTCCACAAAAAGCGCAAAAGTGTTGTAGCCGGCAAAGCCGATGCCGTGGCCCTTCATGATTTTTTCGAACCGCGGGAGCGCAAGCTCAAACCGACTGGTTTCTATGTACACTTGGGCGATGCAGTAGTCTGTAAGCGCGTTGTCGTCGTGCAGCACCAGGCTCATGTTGTAGTGGTGCAAAGCTTCCTCCCAACTGTGAATCAGTTTTTGTGTTGGATAGAATGATTCAGCCATGTAGAATTTTGTGCAGTTGTTTCCTCTACTTGAATTCATCTGCATTCTCACACATAGCGTGCAGAGCTGCAGGACCAAAACCAAAAGTATCAAAAGCTCGCCACAAATACAATCAAACAAGGTTACAAAGGCCTGGAAATTTTTCACACTACAAATACCGATTTTCCCTATGATAAACCGTTCCTAGCTGGTGATGTGACTTTAGACTCCGGGGCCAACTTGCCGTGTCCACTCCGAAAAGGACCTCCCGATTGCGCCAGTGCCCCACCCGGATGGTGCAGTTGACGACAAACGCCGCGAGCCAGAGAAAGGAAAAAAGGAAAACCAGTATCCGACAGCAGCTTAAGTTAGTATTTGCCGATGATTCTTGTGCTAACCCTCCCGACAACTTATTTGTCGTCGATGATGGAGTCGTGGTGCCGCTCGTTTTCTGCATTTGCTTCAGATTGTCTTCCGATAGATTGTTCTGGTTTTTGCTTTTCCGGGCATTGTTCGCGGGCGACGCGCCGCGGGAACGCTTTCTGGAGGGTATGGAAGCGAGGAAAGATGAACAGAGCAGGGCAAGTTAGCAGTACAATCAAGGCCGTAGTAGCTCTGTTTATTATGCGTACAGACACAACAACTGCAACTGCTGTCCGGCGGCCTGATGAACGGACAATAACCTTGATCCTATGCATCATCAAACGTGATTACACGAAACGAATGAAATAACACGCATCGGCACTACAAGGCGATCTTACAGATGCTGACTGATGAACTGCTCTACTTCATCCGCATCATACCCGCTGGAGCTTTCGACGCCGAGGCGGAAGAGGACTGTATTTCGAATTTTGAGAACATTGTCATGCGAAATAAACTACTTCCAAACAACTGATGCCTGGGAAAAACTGTTTGTGATCATGTGATGTGCCAGAAGTCCTATAATATGCTCCACAAATATTCCACAAAAAACGCTCCAGAACTACACACGCAAAAAAGTTGTTCCCGGCTTTATTAATACCACTCTCCCCTTGCTCGCACTGCTGCTATCGGACATGCTATCGGCCTCGGAAGGTGCGCGCGTCGTCGGACTGAGTGCCGGGAAAAAACCCAGGCCGGATTTCGTTCTGCTCGAGAATTGAATGGACCCGCTGCAGAGCTGGTTGATGATCGCGGGCACGAAGAATGCAATCCCGCAGGTGCTACAGTAGAGTAGCCGCTCCCCGACCGTGACCCCCACAACAAAAAAGAGGTTGCTGGCGGGGAGGAAGGGCACCAACACCCAGAACACTCCGACCAAGCCCTGGTGGGATTGTGGACTTGTTTGCACAAAATCTTCCCCTCGACCAACGAATGGGTGTTTACCACTACTTCGACTTTGTCGTCTCCTGCCGTTCGCGAAGCGGGAGACTAACGCGACCAGACCCAGGTATACCGTGGCAATCAACAGACAACGGTAGTCGTCGAAATGCGTTTTCAACAGGGGGATGGCGTCGTAGGAGTAGTCCCAACTGAGGTCCCAGGGAAAGAGCAGGAGCTTGCAGTAAAAGGCGTGCTGGTACATGTAGGACAACGTCCGGGTGAGCAGCGACCCGGAATACTGGATCGGCGTGTCCACAAAGGAAAACCCCGCGGACGTGCCCCCGGTTATGAATTGCAAAAATGTCTGGGTCTGGAAAAATGCGACATCTGTCATGCTAGTCTGGCATGACTCTTAGATCTGTCATGCACGTTACCCAAGAGCCCCATTTTGCTGCCATGCAGAAACGCAGTTTGTCATGCAGAATAGGCAACACCTAGGAGCTCGAAAGCTTGTCCTGCTGAGCCAGCACTTGTGGCCTCTTCATGATACGCCACCCAGCATCACAAGTTTCCAGACCCAGACATTTTTACAATCCATACCGGTTAGGTAGCTGCGGAACCCGAAGATGAGCAGAAACATGACGAGGAACAGCATCCCGGTCAGAATGTTCCGGTTCGGCCGCGTCACTTCCACTGTGACCAGGAAAGGAATCACCATGAACCCGCTCTCCTTGCACAGCCCGGCGGTCAAGCACAGCAGCGCGTGCAGGGGAAACAGGGACACGGAGTTACTGTCGAGATAGACGTAGAACACCAAAATCCAGATGGCCGTGTATCAAAATGAAAAATCCCCCCCATATCAAAACAAAAACTTGTGGTGTTGATTTGTGGGCATCTTTGTCTTGCCTATAGGGCAGTAGGAGCCATGTGGCGCATTCCAAAGCCAATCTGTCATGCGCTTTCGGCTACTGCAAACCTGTCTGCCATGCGCTATTGCTAGCCTGCTGCATACCCGAACAGGCTTAGAAAATGCCGCCAAGCACTTTCTGCAAGAGAAATCTGATTTGTGTACGCAAATCCAGCATCAGAAACTTCGTTTTGATATGGGGAGGGGGAATTTTTCCTCACAATACCGTGGCCATCATGTCCGCGCGCCCGACCAAGTACACCACGTTTTCCACGTGGACCGGGTGCGCCGCGAAGAGGCAGCAGGCGAGAGTTATGGCCCAGGCGTTCGGAACGACGGCGAGAAGAGGAGCTCCAGGGCTTTTATTTCCAGGAGATGCTGCGGAGGAAGATGAAGTAGAACTTGTTCTCCCGTCTATTGTTGTCGTTGTACTAGCGAAGACGACGTCTTCTACTTCGTCGGTGTGGTACAGGAAGAATTTTGCGAGGTACGTCTTTAAGGAGTTTTTCCCACTAAATATCGCACTGCCCCCGCTGCTTGTGCTGCTATTTGCTCCATTTTTCTTCCCCCCAAGAACTACCGGGCTGCTGGCGAAATCCAGATCGTTCTCCCCCCCTGTGGTCGCAGAAGATGGGGAACCCGGTGCAGAAATTCCTTGCCTGTCCGACGCTGGCACGTCCTCTACTATCCCACCACCGCCGCCAGCCGCTCTAACGAATGATTTTCTTGTTCCGTCGGAAAAGCTGCAGAACCTCTTGACCTTGACCGCGTGGAACTTCAACGCGACGAAGTACAGCAAGACGCTGTTCAGTGCGTGCAGCCACATGGAAAAGGCCCGTAAGGGTTGGGGCTTGATATCCCCGATATTCCAGAACTCCAAACAGTAGGTATTACAATGAAAAATGCCCCCGCCCCAGAACTTGGGAGAATCTGCATTGCAAACCTTTCCAAATGAAACACTCGCCCTCTTGCATTTATCAGCATCACAGACTTTCAATCGTGAATATCAAAAATTTGTATTGCAGAAGATCCCAGCAAGAGCGGCGCTTCTCATGCAAGCAATGCTATATACGCCTAGACTCTTCATCGGAAAGATTCATACTCCTTTCATGCATGACAAAAAGTTTTCACTTGGAGACTTCGCATCGCAAATTATTGCCACTTTGGGGGTGGGGGCATTTTTCATTGCAATAGTAGGACAGCACGGTCAGCGGCCGGTACGACTTGTGCGTCCAGGCGCCCTTAGCCCACAGCGGGTTCCCCCAGAAGTCGTGGCTGAAGACGGACACCCAGGAGCTCTCGTTCTTCGCATCTTCGTTCCGCACGATCGCAAACAACTCGTCGATGTACCACTCACTGTAGAAGAGGGAGCGGAAGTACGGGCCGATTGAGCAGAGGAGGATGAGAGTCACCGGGAACTCCTCTAGCACGTACGCAATCAGCGCGATCAACCTGGACACGGGCTGCATCTTGATGTTGTCTCTTCTGCTAGTATCGTGTTGTGGTCAACCAGCAGCAGAGCTAGGTACTTAAGACGACGGGTCGTGCACGTGCTAGGCTACTTCTACGAGCTTGAAGCTTGCGAGAACCTGCACAAGGGAGGACGAGCGGCAGCAAGCGGGAGGTCCTTACGCTCGTCAGACTGATACCTACGCAGGCCCCGCCCTCGCTTTGCTACGTTCACTTGTTTCTGTTTGTATCACATACTACGGATAATAGATAAAATTGGGCGACCTTTCCGACACATCGAAAGTAGTGAAAAGGCAAACTTTCACTTCTTCAAGAAACTCACCGATAAACGAGAGAGGCCGAGCTAGGACCCTTAGGAAGCAAGCAGTCGTGCTCAACGCTTCTCTTTTGGTCGGCAAAGATGATCGGTCGAACTTGAAATTTTTCGGGAAAAACTGCGCTATTTTCAACTGGCTATCCCTAAGCGATTGGGCAGCAAACACAAAAAGTAAAAAAAGAAAATCAAAATAGACACGACAAAAGAAACAGAGAACGTCGAACAGAAGAAGAGCCACACCTAGAACAACCTCACCTTTCCAGAACCATACGAACCAGCAATACTTTCCGTCTTCTACCGATCGATGGTAACTACAAATAAAGGGATCTTTACAACTTCTACCTCTTTACTCTGGTGTGAATCGATTTACTGTGCGGGATCCTGAGCAGAAACGGAACACGAGAAAATAAGGACGAGAGAATCCACAGGTCGCAGAATATTAAACAAGCGGAAAACCGACGCTCACCTCGAGCCGCACTTAGTTACCATGCGATGATCGCGTCTACGGTCTTATTGTCTTAAGTAAACAACACTCACTATCCAGCGACAACGTGCCCGCACTGGTTCCTTCATCTAGGAGAATGACATGCAGCAGAGCCAGGTGTTGTAGAATGCTGCTTCAGCAGCACATGCCGTTGCCGATTTGCCGTGTATTAAAGTCAGTTATGTGCACCTTGCAGTCTGCCTCTGTTGCGCGGGAATATATCTCATTTTCACAGCTGCTTCGGCTCGTCCCCGATGTGGAGCAGCTCGATTTCGAAAACGAGCGTGGCATTGGGTGGGATCGGACCACCTGGTGTGCCTGTGAAGATTTTTGTCAACGCTCGTCGAATCGCTATGTTGATGTATCGCATACGTAATTTGTTCCACTGGGATCAAAATAATGTGTCGAGTTTCTCTCTCCTCACTCTGTCTTCGCGACGCTGCCGTGCAAACTTAAAGGAACAAGTGTGGTAAAACGTACCTTGTGCCCCATACGCGTACCCCGGCGCGCAGAGCAGCTCCGCTTTTTCCCCGACTTTCATCGAGGCCACGCCCACGTCCCAGCCAGATATTACCGAACCAGCGCCGATGCGGAAGTCAAACCCGTTTTTCCGGTGCGGTTTTGGGATGGAGGAGTCGAACACCGTCCCGTCGAGCAGCTTCCCGGTGTAGTGCGCCCACACCTTCTCCTGCTGCTGCGGCATTGCGCCGGTCCCCTCTTTCAGGATCTTTTTCTTCAGCTGCCCATCGCCGGACAGGTCGATCGGGAAGGACGCCTCGGCCATGGTGCTGTTTGAAGATTTCTTCTTGGTTGTATCAGGACCTGCAGCTGCCGAGCTGCTTTTGATGCTACTGTTTGCGGCCGTACCGGCGGATTGCGGCGCCGAGACTCTTGGCTGCGCGGATTCGCGGGCGGTGCTGGAAGCGTGTTCTTCGCCAGTGCCGTCTGCTTCGGCACTAGAATGCTCAGGAGTGTCGGGGGCGGCGCAAACGCAACAAGAGGTCATAGAACGCCGGGGACTTGTTCTTTTGCCAGAAGACCTACTTACCAGGTGGGGGGGAAAAACTTTGCAGCTCCTACGTTTGGGGTGACGGGGCGAGCAGGAGAGGAGTACTAAACGAATTTTTGCGGAAAAAGTAGCAAGAGGTTGTGGGCCGCGGTACTTTTTAGTCTGCAAAATTATATCTTTCCTAGGTAGCCTGAAACCAAGATTTGAACGAGCCTGAAAACAAGATTCCTAGGTAGCCTGAGGACCAACAAGGCGACGAAGATCAAACTTTACTGTCTTGACCCAAGAAAACCGATTGGTGTACTAGCATTTTAACCTCGTCGGCTAGTACTGCCAATATTCCAGTGAATGATCATCCGTGTCTCCGCCGTTAGCGTCTCATCTACTGAGTACAGCTTGTGCAGCAGCAGGTCGGTCGCTCAAAAAATTGTTACAACTGTAGATCTCTTTTCCAGCTGAACATGTTTGAATTTTCCCAGTCACCAGAAAAACCGTCGTGAACAAGAACACCGAAGACGTTCTTGGTACCGTTCCACTTAGGTCGCGCCGTTGTGGAAAGCCCGTGTTTCGCGCAGGCGCCAATGTTGCGGTATGACAATTGCGGTGAAAAAAAGAAAGATGACACGGGTCGATCGTACAAAGGGTGGTGGCGTTGAGGGAAAAATTCAAGTTATTTCCAGTAGGGGTTACAATTTTCATTCAAGACTATGATCTCTCAAGTAGTAGTCGTATGGTCAGAAACTGACAATGCAATCCAAAATTTTCGTACAAGGAAGAAGTTGCCTAGTAGTGCACAACTCGTGTCAAGTCAAAATGCTATGCGCCAATTGTAGTTTCGTACAGAAGTATGTAGTTCTACATCGAGGACTCTACTACTAGTTCTACTGTTGGATGCTTGTACTGTTATTTTGATATTTCCATTGACAATTACTACGAGTACGAAGATTAAGTCCTCAATCTCTTAAACTACAGGGTGTAACTGATATGTTGATCGGGAAGTTGTCAGTACAGAGAAATGGGAACAACTGAAAAGAGGGTAGCTATGAATACAACATCTATCAAAACAGGAGAAAAGCTCAAGTCCTAGACTCCTACGCGAGACTGCCATCTCCGTTGTGCACCGTATAAGCAAGCATAAGCACTACTTTATCTTCAAAAGCAAATCACCAGCTTCTTCACAGCGTTGAAGATTATTTTTGCTTCTATCTATCAAACGGCGCACGGAGAAGATGAAGATGCAGAGGACGGCATGCTTTTAGTGTAGAAATATAGTGTACGACAGCGGGTTAAGTATTTTTTGACAAGTTCAACATCTTCTGCATCAATGTCGCACAATAGTGTAAAATAAAATTAGACTGAAATAGTAGAAGAAGAAAGCTTCTGCTAGCTCCTACCACAACCGTCTTGTCTTGTTAATGTCCGGAAGACTCATCGTCTGGCCGATCTTCTGCGTTCTGGTTGCGATTCCCTTCAAGGCTCCTTCCCTCCTTTCCTTGGCCAGCTTGGCCTCCTTCCGGACATTAACCACAGAACCCCCGGCGGCGTCCCGCATAAACTCGGACTTGTCGCGCATCCGCTCGGCGTGGGAGATCTTCCAGGCCTTGAACACGTCGCCCGAGTCCAGCGGCCGGCCCATAAACACCCGCAGCGTGGACGCCAGTTTCGTCGGGCTGGACAGCGATTTCTGCTGCTTGTCGAAATAGCCTCGCTGCTTCTCAAAGGTTTCCCGGATTTTCGCGCAGGCGTCGGGCAAGCAATTCCGTTCCCTTATCGGCTGGTAATTGTGGAAGTAAATCGTCGCAGACGCGTCGCCCGCGTACTGTTTCGCCAAACTCGCGGCGTCGCCAAGGGCTGTGAAATTATTTTCCGGAGCATCATCTTCGTAATCGTCTTCGCGTGAAAAAAAAATGCACATCAAACGCTACCAAGAGACCACAGAAAAGATCAAAATCACATCTTCACATCACTAAGAAATAATTATCAAGCGAATACTTGTGGACGTGGAGCACACAAACAAATGTTGACAAAAATGATTCCACTTTTCAAAACAAATCCAAATCAAACACGGAGAAAATCTTATATACGTCTTCCAGCCGTTGTCCATCTCGGCATAATGACGTGCGGGTCTGCGGACTTCTGTGTTTTCGCGAACTTGCGCAGTGTCGCGGTCGGTTCGCGGTTTACCACCTGCGCCTTCTTTACGGAGGAGCTCAGCTTTGGCAAGTATTTGTTCTGGTAAAGCCGCTTCTTCAGCGGCGGGAGACTGTTCAGCCACTCGTCCGCCGGCGGCCTTTCCCGGTGCGGGATCATGTCAATGGTCTGGCCGTGCTGCACCCCGTAGGAGCCAATCGAGTGCTCGCCGCGGAAGTAAGACTTGGCCTGCACGTGGAGAAGACGGATGTCCCGCTGCTTCAGCCTGGTGTTTTTTTTTGGAAGGGGAAATATTTGAGCGAAAAAAGTGGCGTTCGTAGAGTAGATTCTCGAGATTGCACTTGTCTATATAGCTCTTGGAAAAGTCATTTTATTGCGTCTTCTTCTGCAAAAAGGGATGTTTATGCACAAACCCTTCGTAAGTTCACATATATCAAGCTTCATGTGTAGTCAGTCTACCTGCTTTATATAGCACATGATCGTGAAAATAGCAGAAGAAGAAACCTCAACATTAGTACCCTGTCAGGTCCGCAATTCTGTTCTTCAAACTGGGGCTATTTTCCCTGCTTCCCGGGACGTAATTTTCGATTTTTTGCTTCAACAAGTTTCTCTTCAGGTCCTCCGGTGTTCTGGGCGCGGAAACGGGGAGATCGGGGTCCACGGTGAGTTTGATGCAGTCCCCACTGTAGGGGAAAAATACATTCACGTCGATATCGTAATCCTGCGCCGCATAGTTCCGCCTCCCGTCTGGCGTCGGCACGGGCATAGACCTGATAAAAGATGAACATATTCACGATTGGAGAATTTCTATGTATACATGCCACGCCGTCAACGAATTGTGAAGTTCTTTCAATATTCATGTCGAAAATATTAACAGCATAAAGGGTCCTCCTCGTGTGCAAAGATGTGGAGACATTTCTTATCCGCAATCAATGTCAACGCACCAACACGAGCAGTCCTCGTTGAATAAATGATTCATGAATATTTTTACCTGTCCACGTTCTCTAAGCTCGTTCCGCCGTACCGCAGCGGTCGGCCACTCCCGACCCTTCTCCTCCGCCTGCTGCCGCCGGTGTCCTCCAGTGGCGGGTCCTTGCTCGACCCCCACTCTACATACCCTTTCTTATTAGTCATTTCTGACGAGCCGGGGGTAGCAGAAGCAGGGCCTGCGGCGCCGTCTAAAGAAGTAGCACCGCCGTTATTCTTCAACAGCGTCGGCAGCATGTGGTTTTTCCGCGCGATCTCCTGCACGTAGTCCTGGACCGCGGCGTCCGACACCTGCAGGGCGGGAGAGAGCACCATGGTGTTCGGTGGCTTGGTGTTGGCTGAGAATTGACTCTTCGACTGTTGTAAAAATTATCCTGCAGGTGAAGATGTCGCGTACTTGTATGTTATTCTTATTCCCGTCGCCGTCCACAACCTATGGGACCGAAATCAACCAAGACTTTCCTGTAGATGACGTCGTGCCTAGTATCGCAAAACCTGCGTCACCTCAAAGGCTTCTACGTCTTCACGCATCTTGTTCTGTTTTCTGCTTTCCAGAATGAGACGATTGGAAATGTCAAATGAAATCTCGTAGCCATCCGGCTCCTCTATATCGGGAAATCGGATCAAATACTCCTGGTGGAAATCTCGTATAAAGTGTATAAAAATTGAAAATCTTCTTCGCGAGAGTTGTGAGTGTGTTCTGAGCGGCCCTTAGATCTTTTTTTAAAAAGTTTAAAGCAGCTGAACCTCCTTAGGTCACTGTCAGTGATGGTTTTTTTTTTGAAGTGTGGCGAGATTATGAAGAAAAAAACCGATCGGGAAAAAAAGAGCAACATACACTTTTTACCCTTGCAAAGAAGACATATCAGACGTATGCAATGGCGCACGACAAAAAATGGGAAGGACGAACGACAAGAGAACCGGACTAGCTGAACGGAAAGAAGCAAACCGGTCTCCACGTGAACGAGCTGCTACGAATGAAACGCACGAAAGTAAGTGACACAACGCACGATTTAGGTTTTGAGATGTCGCACTACACGAGCCAAATTTGTATTCATGTGAACGTATTAATTGAGTGGTAGCGCCATGCGACGTCGAGAGCGATGTTGTGGCAGCAGAAACGTAGTACGATTTTTGTATCGCGTCGAAGCTGAACGAAACCAAACACAGCGCCGATCTTCTGGGAGGCTTCAAACAGCAGACTCCCGAAAGTACCTCCGCCTGGTGAATTCTCTGGACCTTTATGTTGCTGGAAGATGGGGGCTGATAATTAGGGAAGGAACGGGTGGAAAAAAGCAAAGCCTATCTGTTCGGTCGGACGTAGCAAGTGCGTATCAGGCTCTTTGGCTCTTTTCTCTTTAAGGGGTCGTGGGGGGAGTAATTACAAAAGAAAAAAATCAATTCAAACATGTGACTTCCAAAAAAATCCTCAAGCTCTGGGAGGCAGAGTGAGCTGCACCACCTAGCGCGATGAAAATAAATCCCTCCTCGTATGATGAACGCTACTAGTAGTGTCAACAAAAGTAGGAAGCAACAAGTTTTTTGATGTCGGATTTTGGGTTACGGCTAAATTGGCATGACGGGGGATTTTGGGCTAGATGAAAATGGTTTTTGGAAAATACTGTACTTACTTGAACGTTGTGGTTGTATGAATCACAATTATCCAAAAGAAAATGACGAAAAATGAGAAAAGAAAAAAAAAACAGAAGTGAACTAGTCTTAAAAGTGAAGTAGTTGTAACAAACTGATGAAACTCACATACTGTGCATACTGTGAAAAAAATTCTAGGGATGATACTAGGCTGTTAGCAATGAAAGAAAAACTCCGGTAAAGTGTAATTCTGCTTCAGGTCCTAGATACTGCTCGACATAATGCGGTGCTTCTTCTCCTTCTCTGGAGCGGAGTCCAGCTTCACCTACCAAGAAATATTTTTGAAGTGTCGTATTCGTTTTACCGCGTATAAAAATTCAGACCACCTTTTTCGTCGAGTTGTGCAACTCGTCTCCACTTCCGGGCTCAGGTCGCCCAGGTGTGCGCCCCCTTCTGCTGGCCCGCCCGCATGGTTTCTTGCTTTCCCTTGGTTCCCTTTTTGCCCTTCCAGGACGTCGAGGAACCCTTGTACTATGGACTGCAAAAATGTCTGGGTCTGGAAGGTTGGAACTTGTTATGCCAACCTTGGACTCTACAAACTTCTGTATTGCATGACCAGCAAGAGGACTCCGGTTTGTGCTACGCGCGGAGGGCATTTGTCATGCGGAATGGGCATCAGGAAGGCCTCTAAAAATCTGTGATGCTAGGGCTTCCATGACAGACATTCTGTGTCATGCAAAAACAGCATAACAAATTCGGACTCTTCCAGACCCAGACATTTTTACATTTGATATGTACTCCATCCGTACGACCGTGCCCGCGGGCGCCATGCCCTTGACGCCCTTGCCTCGCTCCCGGCTCTGGGCGGGGGTCGGCACCACGGGAGCAGGCGCGGGCGGAGCGGGGGCCGCGTACGGGTCCTCGCCCCAGTCTTCCTCGTAGCCGTACCCATCGTCGTGCCACTCATCGCCTCCCCATTCGTCGCCCCCATATCCCTGGCCCCCGCCCCATTCGTCGTGTCCCCACCACTGGTTCGGGAGGTTATGGAAGAAAAAAACATGCGTAACCGTAAGTCTATGAAATGCAAAGTAAGTAGCACGCAACATCGCAGATACAGTTCTCATGTTTGCCAACACCGTCTTGAAATAAAGTCCTCTACTTCTCATATGTGTCTAGTACCTGTGCAGGACTACGTACAGTCTTTCTCTGTCACGCAGAACAAATTTGTGCTGACATGCTGCCACTCAAAGTTGTAGACCACACCCACAACAACGCATTTTTTTTTCTCTTGCGTAGAGGTACACAAACTTGTAGTAGTAGAAGGCCGCGCCTCCTGCAAGTGCGAGACCGAGAATAACGAGCACGACAACTAGCCCCGTTTCCATGAGTTGGCGCCGCGGCGCATTTTCTTGCTGCGACGCATCGCCCGCCGTCCCGCTGCTGCTCTCGAACTCGGCTCGGGCAAGCTGAATCTGCCCCGCCCCGAGCGCCACGACTAGTGCCGTCGACACATCGCGCACCACCGACAGGCTGCTGGTCCCGGAGCAGCCCTGACCTCTGCAACTTCTGGACAGCGCCGAGTACATCTTTTGGTGCCGCGGTTTTTCACGAGGAGAAAAGATGGGGGCTGTGTATGTTTTCCTCTATATTCTTATTCGAGCAGGGGATGAAGTCGTGTAGCAAGAAACAACTTGATATTTATTTCTTGACTGCTTGAGTAGTGATATTATGATGAATTAAAACACTGGAGTGTTGCATTAAAAAGCGTCCGTACGGGACCGTGGGAATCCTTCGGGAACTGGAGCCATGGTGCGATAAGATATTCATTGTTCAGTGACAAAAACAAAGAAAACTCACATGCAAACCCACATTGCTCCACCGAGTCATGACCTTCTACGATGGGACCGAAGCGATAGTACGCCGGTGTGGCTAAACCGCTGTACGAAAGGGTCAATGGGTGTACGAATGCGAATTCCTGGACGACAGAGATTGGCTTAATGACAGCGAGATCACAAGAGAAAAGGACGAAGTCTTCGTGCACCGAGGCTGTTGATAGAAGACGAAAACCGACAATGACGTAGCTCATTCCTCTTGTTTGTTTTCACACGAGAAGCTGCGAACGCACTTACTTAGGCGGCAGGCACGGTTAAATGTCCACAGTCACGTACTTCCTAGTCGGACTTGCTTTGATTCTTTCGAATATTTCGGACAAAAACGCGCTTCATGATGTGCCAGTGTGCAGCTACCATGATCATGCCCCTCCGTAACACTAGTCCGCGCGTGATAAAAGTGCGTGGTGTCGCGCAGCAGCCATGGTGGGACTACCTACGCGTCATGCAGAAGAAGATGATGAAAAAAAGCGATCACAATTTTCACTTCTATGTAGTGTATCAATTTCCCTCCTCGTCCAAGATCTCGCCACAATCCACGATGGTCACCTTGCGGCGCGGCACGCCACTGCGGTCCCCACAGTTTTCGATCATTTGCATCACTCTTTTCGCCGTTTTCAACCGGTCCACCACCTGCCCGAATACCACGTGCTTGCCGTCCAAATGCGGCAGCGCTCGGCCAAACGTGATGAAGAACTGGGCAGAGTTCGTGTTCTTCCCCGCATTGGCGCAGGACAGGAGGTACTTTCCGCCCAGATGTTTCAACACAAAGTTCTCGTCCGGGTACCACCGCGTCTCCCCCTTCGGCAGCCTATGGGATTCTCAAACGCTAGTACATTGCTCCCTGTTACAGGAACCTGTGACGCAAGGAGACCCGGAAGCATGAATTGGGAAGTTTGCGCGTCTTACACATACAAATCCACAACTACGGTGGATTACCATGCTCCTATGAAGGGCGTCGAGACATTGCCACGCTAAGTGAGTAGCTGGAAGATCGGGTGGGGCTGGCGGCCAATAGTGATTTTACATGACAAAAAATCATGTAACAGGGGCGATCCGTACAAAAACGTTTGAGAGATCCATACAAGCCCCCTGTTCCGTCAAAGTGGGAAATGTCGCCGCCCTGCGCCATGAAGCCGGGGATGATCCGGTGCATCGGCACGTTTTCATAGCTTCCGATCCGGCAAAATCGCTGGAACCGGTCGGCAGTCTCCGGGACGATGTGCTCGAACAACTCGATTTCCACCCGGTGGGTGGATTTACTACCGTTGTACTGCTCAATTTCGAAATCGAGCCACACCAGCGGGTTCTGCGCGATAGCCGGCGCGGGGGACGAGTTCTTTTGTCCTCTGCTGTCGTCTCGCCTTCCCCGGCTGTCCTTGCTGCGCCCCCTACTGCCATGGTTTCTTCTACCCCGCGGCTTCTCTTCCCTGTAGTCGCGGTCCTTGGCCGCGCCTGTTGCTGGTCGTGCACTTGATTTACCACTACCGCGGTCCCGGGAATCAACATCATCGCGCCGCCTTTCATTTCTCTTCTCCCTCTCGTGGTCCCCTGTTCTGCGCCCCCGACTTCTGCTTTGTTCCCTTTTCTTACTAGCCGCGGGGCTCCGGCTCCTGCTACCGCTGCGGTTTCGCGTGCTGCGTTTCCGATCCCGATCCCGATCGCGCCGGCCGGAGGAACTGCGCTTGCGGTTTTGCTTTTTGTCCCGCCGTCCGCGGCTCCGAGAGGAGGGCATGGTGAGTGGACAGACTGCTAACTAAAACTATCTAAAAACTCCGCGGATATATTATCACAGCAACTAGTCAAAGCAGTACAGACTCAAGGCGGGACATAATCACGGAACTACAAACAGCTCAACAACTACCGCAACATATTGCAACTTTAGAAAATCATACAGAAAATCACTGTGATTTTTCTTGTTTCCCTTTTTCTTTTTGCACCGTCGTCCACGAAATCAAGTTTCCGATTCGTTTGCGTATCGATCCTTCTGCGGCAGTGCTGCGCAACATCTGGCGCGTATCGTGACATACGGATGAGATCGCGCAGTTTGTATTAAAGTAGCTCTAAATACCGGGCTCAAAATCGTCTTTCTCCGTTTCAGCTCGATCTGAGATGCAACTTTTCACAAGTGGAACGAACACCAAATACAGCTGCCATCTTCAAACGGCACCTTTCTCTTCGGCTGTTTTGACATCTGGTTTCGTTTTGTGAAGGGACTTCAATGTGTTCTTGCGAGGGTGCCCTGCTCCTTTTCAAAGAAACGGTCCGTGGGAGCAGGAAGGTTCATGATCATCTGTTGGGTAAAAACAAGCTGCGCATCAGCTTAAGTCCAAAATCCATCGGTGCAGTTGAAAGACACGGCGCGCAAGCGATTGCCCCACCGCATATGGTTTGGGTTGCCACAACAACAAATTTAATTTTTCACTCGCATGAAGATGCACTTCTTGGACTTACATTCTATGTCTACTCTGACTCTTCTACGCGTGGGGCGTAGATGTGGTTCGAGGGACCCATGATACTTTATACAGTCATATGATAAAGTAGCGCCTCCTGCAGGACCAAAAGACTTCCTTTTTCGCTATGCTAGTCCTACTGTAGTTGCGCGTATTGATGTGCTGCTCTCATCTGTTAAACTAATCCTTCCATGTTTAGTCCTTCAGTTTTTGATCATACACGATGTTGAAGACATCAGTCGTTTCTTTACTAGTACTTCTTACTTCTGCCCTAAGCACTCCCCATGACCGCTCTTTGTTGCATTTCGTTTTTCAGCTCCGCGCACTTCTGCAGCTCCTCGCCATTGCACTGCGCGTCCGCGAGCACGCCTCCGAGGTCCTCCACCCGCTTTCGCAGCGCAGCCACCAGCTGCCGTTCCGCGATCAGGGCTCGCCGGGCGAGTTCCAGCTTCGTCCGGCATGGCAGGTCATCCGTCTGCGTGCCGATGGTGCCGCGGAGGTCCTCGTAAAACATGTCCCTTGGTGGAGGAGATGCTGTGGTTTTGTCTTTTATTCCAGAAGTAGTAGATGTTGAACTGGCTGTCGTCGTCGTCGAGAATGGTCGTGTTGCGCTGTAATTGGCCCCACCGATAGAAGTCGCCGAACCTCGCGTCGCACTATTATCGGTACTAAACGCCACACGACCTCCGGTAGACCCGCCGGGTACTGAAACACCGCCAGTGCCACCGGTTGACGACGACACCCTTCCCGCTGAGTAGTTTCCCTTGCCAATCCCCACTTGACGTCCCGCCGCTTCCTCCGCCTGCTGCTGCAGCCACTTGCCCGAAAACCGCCGGCTGATTGGGGCGGGCTTGCTGGAAGAAGTTTCGCTGGACTTGAAGAGCGAAAAGCGGGGCAGGAAAGAGGCCGCACGCCCGCGGCCAGAACTGGTGAGTTGGGACCACATTGATTGTCTACTGGGACAGCTTGTTTCTTTTGTGTAGAAACTAGAACTCCATCTAGAACTTCTTGTTATTATTTGCGTCGGGGTTATGAAGCTTATGATTGTAGTACGCGAGCAAAAATTTCCAAAACAAAGTACGTTGCAGGATTTAATTCGATTTCTTGTCGTCACCAGTATAGCTGAGGAGAAAACTTTCGCTGTGATCGCGTTTACAGTTTAGAGTTTGGTAGAAGTGAAAAGTTACCTACAGACTGTATCAGATCTGATCATGTATTCCAGCTTTCCCATGAATCGATCTCTTTCTCATTGTGGTATTTTTCAGTTGGATCCATCTTGAAACTTTTTTGATCAACGCCTCCGGATCGATCTTTCCTAGCACTTTTCCTCAGAATTTGATCCACGAGGACTCAAGTGCGGCCATTATACCTTGAATTTTGAGCGATTTTACTGCTTGTGCATTTCTAAAATGGTAAGCACAATCAATCACAACAAAGCGTCGCCTCTTTGTCTTGCAACGACATTTGCAGTTCGTATCTGAGTCCGCTGAGAAGTGAGTCTCGTCGCCATCTTGCTTCATTTTGCAGGTGCATTCCGCTCTTGTCTGAGCTGCCAGAGAACTTTCATAGTTATTTATCCGTATCATTATTCGCATAATGTAAGATTTCATTTTTCTTTGAAAACGACATTTGGTTTACTGATTTGGAAACATTTATTGCATTGAGCAAGCTAAGCATATTGCTGGCCACTGGTACCAAGCTTTTTTCGGCTAGTACCACGCCATATCGTACAAAAATGTTTGGTCGAAAAAAATTAGCTCAAAAAAAATGTATACCCTCCATCGTCGGTCCCTGGTGCCCCCCGCCGGCAAGTAATTTATCACGACAGCTACATCGAAACACCAGAAGCCCACTGGTTCTACTACTACCCCCGTTCGCTCGCGATTCCCATCTGCACGCTGGGATTCGACACGACGCCTCCCGGACTGGTGCCGCCCTCGGACGAGCTCTCGATCCAGTTGTCCAGGGTCGCGAGCTATCAAATGCAAAAATGTCTGGGTCTGGATGATTTCGGGGTTTGTCATGCTAGTCTGGCATGGCTCTGAGCTCTGTATTGCGTGGCCGCAAAGAGCACCTCTTGCCTGTCATACGAAAACGCAGTTTCTAATGCGGAATACGCAACGCAGAACCACTGAAAAACTTGTCATGCTTCGCAGTGCATTGCAGTGTGCATATTGTTCGCTGACCTGCATCACAAGTTTCCAGACCCAGACATTTTTGCATTTGATACGAGCTGTTTCTTCACCCGTGCGATCTCGGTCGCGATCATCGCCCGGTCCAAGTGCGGGTCCGACCCGCTCTCCAACTCCCGCAAATGGTCCAACACCGTCTGGAACCGCTCCCGCTCCGTATCCGATGCAAAAACGTCCCGGGCCCATAGCTGTCAAGCAAATCTGCATGCTCCAAATGTTTGTCATGCGGAGCCCCATGCGAGCCATTTCCTGGGCGCGTTTTGCAATTTGTAATGCTCCAATCAGCATAATGCGCTAGATCTGTGATGCTGCTGAACGAACTACATAGGATCACACTCTGAGGCCAAACCTGTCATGCGCAATCGCCAAAGCTCGTTGATTTGTCTAGCAGATTTCCCAGCTTGACTATGGGGTCGGGACGTTTTTACAAAGGATACTCCGCCAAAATGTCTGCCTGGTTCGCATTCGCGTCCACCTGGATGTCGCGCATCTTTTCCGCTTCCTGCATCTCTAAATCGCGCTCGACGTCTTCGGCGTCGCCGCCCGGGCTCAGGTCCGCGAGGTCCACGTCCACCGCCTGCCCGGTTTGGCCCAGCCGGAGTTTCCAGGGGCCGTAGGGGAACGTGAAAGAGAGCAGGATCCCCTCGCCCTTGGCCGTTTTCACGGCGTCGCCCGGCTTGTACTCGATCTTCCCGGGCAGCACCAAGGGCCGCAGATCCGTCGCGACAATGGCCACCGTGGAGGCGGAGCCGGGGGCCGAGGACAACCGCAGGCTGTCGGTGAAGACGTCTTTGGCTTCGTCCAATTTCTCTACGAGGAGAATCGGGTCTTGGTGCTTGACCAGCCTGACTTGCTCGCTACTGCCGAGGAGTTCGCACTTCGCGTTCCGCACCGCGCCCGCTTCCTGGAAGTTCAGCTCCGTGGCAGCGACCTCCAGCTCTTCCCCGCTCGCCTCCTTCCGGATCTTCCACTGGAAGTTTGCGGCAGCGGAAGTACTGGCGAACCCGGAGATGCGGCCGAGCAAGTATTCCGCACCGCTAGATGAACCGCGGGCTGAATTTGAATTATTTCCTCTTGTTCCGCCACTAAACCCGGGGTTTTTGTAGATCACCTTTTGCCCCACGGTGAAGTCGTCGAGCTTGTACACTTCTTGCTGCGGCAAGGCTTCTAGTTGCACAGCAGCAGAAGCGCCTGCTCCTACAGTGGCGGAACTACCACTCCCCAAATCGCCAAACGCGACGATGGAAAAGCCCTCGGCGTTGCACCCCTGCAGCATGCCGATGCGGCCAAACTGGGCCTCGTCCGACGCAGAATGCTCCACGTGCACCACACGGGCACCAACCGTCAGCCCGGCCTCGGCCGTGGCCTGCAAATCGATCTTCGTGTCGCTGCTTGTTGCGGACCGCGGGACCAACGCAACGCCGAGAACTGTTATGAGAATGATGTAGCACCGGACCGGATCGATTCCCTGCTTCATTTGAAACTACGCAGGCGCGGCGACAGAAACAGTGCCAAAAATCATCTAGTTTGTTTTGTGCGCATTTTTACATGCACTATCCGCACAGAGATCATTTTTGAGTACTCATATTCAAGCTTGTAGCATCACTTTTCATCAACATGCAAAACGTACTTTTAAGCCCAAGGCCGCTTGGAAAGATAGAACTTTCGTCTTTTATCATTGCAGCACATCAAATGAGGCAGGGAGAAATAAAGAACAGTTCTTTATGCACCCTCATAACGCTGTTCGCGCGGTTGTTGGAAAAGACGAGTTTGTGGTAGTACCCCGCGACGGCGAGAAGCAACGCGACGAGATATCAAATGTAAAAATGCCAGGGTCTGGAAATTTGTAATGCTAAAAGTGAATGGGAGTTCCACTGCAATACAGAGCCAAGCATGACAAATTTTTGGGCTCCTATGTGTTGCGTGTTCCGCATGGCAAACTGCGTTTTTGCATGACAGGTAAGAGGACAGCTTTGTGCCCATGCGTCACAGATTCTTGAGCCATGTCAGACATGCATGACAAATGTAGCAATCTTCCAGACCCAGACATGTTTACATTTGATACGAGAACCACAAAAACGATGATCAAGACTACCCCATTATCGGACCACGACGATTCTTGGTTTTCTTTCTCCTCCTTGCGTGCCTTGTCGTCCTTCGCGTTCGCGTCGTTGAACTTCCCTTCCAGGGACGCGGGATTTGAATCTTCTGGATTCTTCTCCTCCCCTTCTTCTACCCCGGCCTCCACGGCTGCCTGCTTTGCGACCTCCACCGCATTGTCCGCGTCGGAAACCGCGGTTGCGGCCGTTTCCAAGTTTTCCCGCAAATCTTCAAACGTTTTCTGCTCCGTGTCGGACAGCGCCACGTTGGGGTCTTGCAGCACGTTGTTGATCTCTTCCTGGGCCTGTTTCAAAATCTCTTCCTTTTCCTTGAAACTCGTCATGGCTGCGTCGATTTCTTCGAGTTTCTTGATCTTCTCGTTCTCCTTGAACAAAGTTGCGGGGAGTATATCAGCCGCGGCCTTCCCCTATCCTATGCAAATTTCTTGTCTGGGACGGAAGTCGTAATGGTACCAATCTAGACGTAGTCATGCAAATTTCGTATCTATCCCCCACGATGTCTGTGATGCATGCCCGAGTATACCATCGCGGCTTTCGACGTGCAGGATTGCTGACACTTATTCTGCATCAGCTAGGTCCCCTCCGTCTAGCAAAAACCTTTTGCTGCTCTTCTACTACAGGGAGCAACATCTTCACAAATTTGGTTCAGTCCATATCGACCTAGAGCCAGACAGATTTGCACTTTTGGTATCACCTTTTGCGCCACGATTTCCAAGCCCTCAGTGGACTCCCGTTCCTTCTTTTCCGCGATCTCGGTCAGGAGCTTCACGCGGGACGGGTTCTTTTCCTTCGGAGTGGACAGTGCGGACGTGATGAGTTGCAAATCCCGCTCCGGGATTTTGTTCAAAAACGCGCACGCCTGCTGCTCCTCGGAGATCATGCCCGAGACGGAGTTTGGTGAGAGTTGCGGCAGCTCCACTGACGCCTGGTCGCCCGTTCCGGGCGCGATTCCGTCCTGGTTCAGCGCGTTGCTCTTGGTTTTCTTCCTCTTCTTCACCTTCTGCTCCAAGGCGGCGCTGGGGCGAAGTTCAGGAGTTTTTGTTTCCATGCGGCGAGACGATGATGAATTATCACCGTCCCGTCCGAAAACTGTTTTCTTCACGAAGCCGGTGAAACTCGAAATCTTGGAAACCACCGCTCCCGCGACTTTCTCGAGAAAAGTTTGTTCTTTATTTTCCACGAAGGCCGCCAAAGATTTTTCGGTTTCCGCAGCGATTGCACTGTCAACCGCGACGTAGTACCCACTGCCGCGGAGGTTGCCCTGCTTCCGGCGCTGTTGGCCGCCGGTGGGGGGTCGGTGGCTGGTGGAAGTTTCTGCTGGCGGGATGTTGAAAGTAGTTGTACTAGCCATGTTCTTCGCGGATGCTGAAACTGAACTACTGATCCTTCGCGCGGCAGCGGGAGGTCCTGCTACATACGTTTTTTCACCCGTCTGCGCGAACGAAGAGGGCGCTGCTGGCTGTGATTCTTCTCTTGCTCCTTCCTCCTGTACTTCCGCACTCGTCTCTCCAGCAGCTGTAGAAGAAGTTGTTTGCTTCTCCGAAAAATCTTGTTCACCTTCTTCACCGCTCGCTGCACTCGTCCCCTCGTCACCCCCACCACCGCTCTCCACCCCCGGAAAAGTCGCGCTCTTCGGATCGAACTCCGCCACATCCCACGACGCGTCCCCCGCGTCGCTGACCAAGGTGTAGAGCCGGCCCCCGCACTGTGCGTGGTTCGCTAACTTCACCACATACCCCTTGTGAAACAGCCTTTCCAGCGCTTTTTCCGACACCACCCGCGTGATCAGCTCGCTGTCGAGTTTCAGCCGCCACAGGCCGTCCCGCCCGTCCATATCCTGTGCAAAAGTATCGTACTCGTACTAATTGCAATCATGCATGACAAAATCTTGTTTCTTAGCCAAATCAGCATTACAAACTTCATTTTTCCTTCTGAGAAAATTTGTATTGCGATTTATACTAGTACGATGCTTTTGCAATGCATAGTCCACCTGTTCCTGCAAAACCCCCCGCATCAGGTATTTCCTCACCCCGGACGAACTCTCTGAAGCCTCCGTCTTCTCCTGCAGCCGCTTTGCCTCCTCCGAATTCTCCATCTGCGGGTCGTACACCACTTTCTGCTTCGCTTGAAAACTACCGCCCGCCTTGCTCTCTTGCACCTTCTTGGAGTCGTCCGTCCTCCACCGGGAGTTCGCCCCCTTGGGGAAACACCGCGCGGCGTTTTTCACAATGTCGATTTTCTTCAGCCGCTCCGCTTGGTCCTGGTTTGCGGTCAGGAGATTTTTCAACTCCGATTCCAACGCCTCCAGCATCGTTTTTTTCTCTTCCTCGATGCTGGTCACCTCGGACTCCCGCAATTCAATGTCGGTTTGCATCCGTCGCAGCGTCTCCCGCAGCTCGTTCACCGTGGACTGCACCTTTTCCCGGATCAAAAAATTCTCCGGATCCGCCTGCTTCTGCAGTTTTTCCGCCGTTTCGAACTCCTTTTGGATCTGTTCCAGTTCCTCCCGTTTCCGCTCATACAGCTTCGCCCGGTCTTTCATCGCGTCCCCCAACTTAAAGCCGGCGTCGTGCTTCGCCTGCAGGTACTCCTTCTGCAGCTGCGGTGCCTCCTTTTCCAGAACGTTCCGGACCCGGTTTTCCACCGCGGTCGCCTGCGCCGCGTCGGACTTGATCCACTCGTCCAACTCCCGCTGCTCGCAGCTGTTATCGCTCGCGTCCTGGCAATATGCATTGCAAATATGTCTGGGTCTGGAAACTACCTGTGACGCAAGGAAGGGAATAGCAAGCACACTGTAATACGCTGCCAAGCATGACAAGTTTTTCGCTGCTTCGGAGTTGCGTACTCCGCATGAGAAACTGCGTTTTTGCATCACAGCCGCGAGGAGCTCTTCGCGGCCACGCAATACAGAGTTCAGAGTCATGCCCCAGACTAGCATGACAAATCTCGCAATTATCTCCCTGACCCAGACATTTTTGCATTTGATAGGTAATCCGAGTCCAGCCGCCGAATCCGGTCCTGAATCTTCTGACTGGCCTGCATGAACAGGTTCTGCAATGCGTCCGCGATCGGCTCCCCCTCGTCGGAGAGGTGCTTGTGCCGAAACTTCAGCCCCGCGTCCTTCCACCGCTTCCCGTCCCGCCCGTCGTAGTCGGAGCCGAGCTCGCCGCCGCTTGTCGTGTCGGAGAGCGGGTGGTAGGTGTGGATCTCCTATCAAATGCAAAAATGTCTGGGTCTGGAAGAGTGCATGTTTGTCATGCTTGTCTGGCATGACTCTTAAATCTGTCACGCACGTTACCCAAGAGCCCCACTTTTCTGTGATTCAGAAACGCAGTTTGTCATGCAGAATAGGCAACACCTAGAAGCTCAGAAACTTGTCATGCTGAGCCAGCACTTGTGGCCTCATCATGAGACGCCACCCAGCATCACAAGTTTCCAGACCCAGACATTTTTACATTTGATATCTCCGCGGACTGTTTGGTGTACCGGTTGTCGGGCACGCCGTACAGCCTATGGCGTTCTCAAACGTTACATTCTCAACTGTTGCATGGACTTGTTATGCAAGAACAGCAAAAGCGAAAGTGGCAACATTGCAGCTTTCGCATTACAGATTTGCCACAGATTATCATGCTGTTTAGCCTTTCGACAATTTGTCATGCTAAGCACCTTGATCAAGTGGAGGCTGATGGCAGTTTTGCATGACAAATTCACGTAACAGTTGAGAATGTACCAGTTGAGAACGCCATACAGCCGGGACACGAGGTTGGTCGAGACCGGCTGCGAAATTTTCGCCAGCTCCGGGTCCCGGTGGTCGCCTTGGTAAAACTCCTTCTCAAAGATCGCCTCGTACGCTTTGGAGGTCGCGGCCAGGAGGAGAAGATACCGCCGCGTGCACGTGTTCAGGGGGCAGACCTTGATTTTTTTCGTAGTTTCTGCATGCTGTTGTGCCGTGAAGATGAAAAGAAATCTACTTTCAGTACTTCTGTTCTTGCACGAAAAAGACAAGTGAATGAGAAGTTGACATAGCACCACTGACTATCAAAATTTCATCCCAAAGTAGAATGAATACCTTATCCGGTAGGTTGTAAAAATCCACGCAGTAGGTTTTCGGGGGCACCATGAACTTCTCGCAGTAGTCCATCGTCATGCTCATCAAGTTCTGCTCGATTTGCGAGTTTGTGTTGGTAAAGTGCTGCCAGACGGACCCGCTCCACAGCTCCATGGGGTGCTCCAGGTAGTAGAAGAAAAACCGGTCCCGGTCTTTTTTCTTGCCGTACGCGAGCAGTTTCTTGATGAACGGCTCCTCCGCGCCCGTGTCGGAGAGAGAAGATAACAACTGCATCGTCGACTTTTCTATCAACGTTTGCACTAATTCCGACCCGTAGACCGTGATCATCTGTAAAAAGTGGGTTTTCATCTCCCGCAACGTCGCGATCCGGGCGTAGAAATTCCAGGCGGTGCACTCCGTGGGGAAGCTGTGCCGGGCCTCGCCCCAAAAGCCGTCGTAATCCGACCCCGATTTCTTCTGCGCCTGCTCCAGCTCCTCCCAATCCAGCTCGCTGTTCACCACCACCGCCGCGTCGGGCCGCAGCAGCCGGTCGATCTGGTCGAGCGAGAGCTGGGGGAGAAACCGGGGCGTCAACGCGTTCGCTTTTTCGCACTCCCCCATCAGTTGCCAGTGGTTGTACAGGCGAAAGCGTTGGTAGTAGGTTTCTTCGATCACTTTAAACACGTCGACGACGGTGTTCGTTGCTGCGTCTTCGGATTTAGCATTTTGATTTTCCTCCTCCACGTTGGTATAGGCGGGGTACTGCAGGATCGCCTGTTTTTTCGCCTCCCGGACTTTCTGCTCGGCGTCGTGAAAGAAGGAAAATTCCTGGGTTTTCGCTTCGCGCTCCCAGTCCGTGTGCGAGGTGGGATCCAGTTCCAAATCTAAGTACGCCCCGAGCCGCCGGCACGCTTCCAATTCCCCGTCCAAGGCGACGGGGACCTTTTTCCAATTGTCGAAGTCAATGCCGGGGGAGTCGTCCTCAAAATGGAAGCCGTCGAGCGCGGCGGAGGTGATGGGCACGAGCGGACGGCGCAGCGCCGGGTCCACGGCGACTGCTGCGTTGGGTTGCTCAGATCCTTGTGTCCATTGCAAATATTACGTTTGGGTCTCCTGGAAGAGTGCAACTTGTGACGCTGCCTTTGGATTCATCAAAATGAAATCTGTATAATTACGCGAGCAGCTAGAGGAGTCCAGCTCCAGTTTTTGGCACGCGGAGTGAACATTTCTTAGGCGGGAAGATAAGCATCAAGGCGCCCGCAGAAAATCTACCCTGTGATGCTGAGCAAAAAAATGCATCACCGACATCTTCATGGGTCACATGCAAAATGCGCAGGGCAAATGTTGCACTTTTCCAGACCCAGACATATTTGCACTGGATACCTTGCTCCGTCGTGGTTTTAACCCCTGTCTCCGTACTGTCGCCGCTGGTCGGGTCATTACCTCCTTCCTTGTCTTTTTTCTCCGAAGAAGATTTTTTGTCGTCGCGGTCGTCGGAAATCAATCGCACGATCGGGTCGACCACGGCTTTCGCTGCGGCCGTCACGATGTTGTCGTCCTTGTCTTTCTTTTCGCTACTAGCTCCTTGTTCATCATCTTCAGAAGGTTTACTATCTCCATCCTCACCCTTCCTGTTCCGTAGCAGCTCGTGCTCCCCGACCTGCAGAAAGGAAGAAAAACTGCTGCTGCCCTCTTCGCCTTCCTTCTCGCCGCCCTCCTCCCCTTTCGACCCGTCCGCGGATTCCTCTTCCTCGTGGCCGCTAGAAGTTGTACTACCGGCGTCGTTATCAACTGTAAAAATGTCTGGGTCTGGAAACTTGTGATGCTGGGTGGCGTCTCATGATGAGGCTACAAATGCTGGCTCAGCATGACAAGTTTCTGAGCTCCTAGGTGTTGCCTATTCTGCATGACAAACTGCGCTTCTGCATCACAGAAAAACGGAACTCTTGGGTAACGTGCATGACAGATTTAAGAGTTATGCCAGACAAGCATGACAAACGTGAACTCTTCCAGACCCAGACATTTTTGCATTTGATAGTCGTCCCCCCCGCCAGTACCAGATTCCTCGTCTTTCTGGTCCTGTGCTTCACTTCCCGCTCCGTCTTTCTGCTCGTCTTCCTTATGCTCCTCGGATTTTTCCTCTTCCTTATTTTTCCCCTCGTCTTCAACCTTCGAAGTGGATTCCTTGGATGCTTTTTCGTCCTCTTTTCCGCCGCCGGAGTCTTCCTTTTCGTTCTCCTCATCGCCGTCCTGTTTACTAGGAGGTTCGGAGGACCCGCTATCCCCCTCCTCCCCGCCCCTGATGCCGCACACCCTTTTGCACGCCGGGCTGCCGCTTTCCCCCAGCGAGCTGCCCGTTTTCAGATTTTTCGCCTCATCCAGCAGTCGCTGCATCACATCCCCCTCGGACAAGTTGTTGCACACCTTCCGACTGGTGTGACTGGGCTCCACGAACACGGCGCCGACGAACGCGTCGACGATTTCGAGCCAGATCCGGTGCTCGCAATCGTCGATCTGGTCCGCGGTGCAGCGGGCGACGTCGTGGCAGTAGCTGTGCCCGAACGTTTCCAGCTCGCTCGGCATCTGCCAGCCCATGTGCTCCAGCGACTGCTGCAAGATCCGGATCTCCGGACCGTTCGCGCTGTGGGCCTGCTTCGCGTCTTCCCACCGCTTGCGCAGCATGCTATCCGCCGCGACGGGGGACACGACCGCGATCTGCTCCCGGTTTCTGCCGTGGCGGTAAAGGAATTTTACCGTGTCCAGATACAACTCCTCGGGGGCGTTTAAGGACCGCCCGTACCGGCTTTCGCCCTCCTTCGATCCCTTGCAAAACGTGAAGTAGTTGAGCTGCGACGCTTTGTACACCGGTTTCCTCGAAAGCCTTTGCAGGAAGGAGGTTGTGGCGGGCGAGGGGACCAAGGCGAGAAGTTGTTGGCCACGACCATAATCTTCGTTCACTTGTTCTTCCTGCAGTTGCTTTCTCGCATCTTCGAGGTCGTTTGAAGATGCGGAGAGGTCCAGGAAGCTGCTTCCGGGTTGTGATATCGCGAACCCCGCCTCGTCCTCCGCCCCCGACGTGCGCGGCTTGTGCTGAGACCACTCGCGGGGCGGGGCGAAGGAGATCATTTTGTCATCCGCATCGTCGACATCTGCGTCTCCTTCTGTACTTCTAGTACTCTCTCGCCCAGCGGGCCAAGTTGTCTCTGCAATGTCGTTCGCCTCCAGAAACGAAGCCGCTTCTTCCTCTTCTAACTTGCGCTTGCTCTCGAGTCCGCCGCCTGCATCCGTGCCCGCCTCGCCCGGGGACGATCGCTGTCCAATATCATCTTCACCACCACCGCCACTATCCCGCTCCATTGGAAGATTTGCTCGCAAATCTTCCATGCGCGCTTCGTGTACGGTGGCAGCCTTCAAATCCACCAGTTCCAGCATCGACATCTGCCGCGGCACCGCGCACCCAATGTGCTCTCGATGCAACAGCAGCTCCGGCAAGGCATCTTCCGCCTGGAGGTTGGCCGTAATGGAGTGCTTCTCGCAGTCGAACGGCTGGTCGCAAGAATTGAAATCCAACCGGTCGTGGTCTGCATGTTTTATTGTTGTTTTGCTCTCAGTCTCAACATGATAACCATGCGCTCCATTTTTATTTCCCTGTCTACTACTTCCCTCGTCGACGTCGTCCCATCCCTGTCTACTACTCGTCCCATTCCTGGTCTTCTTTTTTCCACGCGTGAACCGTGGGGTAGTACCACTCTCCGTGGTACTATCACCATTCTCGTTACTCCCTTCCCACAGCTCGAGGAACGCGCCGGGATGATGGACAGAAGAACCACCTGGCGTCGAATGGTCGTTTCCATTCTCATATTCCGTCTTTGTTTCCCCTGGTGGTGCCGCATTTATTTCACCTCCAAGTGCTGACACACGACCTTTCTCCTTTGCGATTCTGTCCGCCTCGAACTGCATCACCGTGTCCAGGTAGTGCTCGGTTTCCCGGTTCGCCTCGGATTTCGGCGGCCGGAACATTCCCGCCGCGTGCAGAAACCGCGTGTACTTTGCGTCCGGGGTGTCATCGTAGCCGAGGAGCTTGAAATGCGTGTCAGCCAGGATGTTATCGGCGTTGTCGACGTCAGAAGTAGAAGTAGGTAGCTGGAACTGCGCCACACTAGAGCTGCTGGTGCTGCTAAAGCTCAGCCCATCAACATCACCGAAGGGAATATCAAAACCATGAACATCGGGTTGGCCGCCAACATTGCGCGACGGTTTATTCCCATCTTCCCGACCCGCCTCTGATGTTCGCTTTTTTACTTCAACATGGTGTTCCCGCGAAGAAGAGCTCGGTGTTATTCTTGCAGCCACAGCCTCAGTATTTTTCTCGTCGTTGTTGTAACTTGTTTTCCCACTCGAAAATGAAGAAGCTTTGACAATCACGCTAGAAGTAGACGGTTGGGCCGAGGCGGAGTCGGCGGTAGCCTGACCTAGTCTAGAAGTACTTCTGTGAGCCTTCGTTTTCCGCGCTTCCACCTGATTCGTCGCGGTGTCCTCGTGTGGCTGTGAAATAATTGTGCTGGAACGTCGACCGGCGTAATCTGCTTCTGCATTGTCTACGACTGCAGTCTTCTTGTTTGTCCCCGCAGGTCGTTCACCATCACCATCCGCTAGCCGACGTGTAGACCTGGACAATGACGCCGGAGGGGTCAGCCCCCGGTACTCCAGGACGGAGCTGGGTGTGTCCTCTTCGCCATCGGCATCCAAATCCACGAGATTATGAACAGCCGGACGCTCTTGCCCCGCTGCGACCGGCGTAGCTGGATCTGCGCCTCGTCCCGGCTGTGCGGTTACAGTAGCAAAAATTATAACTATCCCGGGGGATGCTAGATGCAGTGCAAGGAAACCGGTCACCAGCGTCGAAGTTAGAAATACTGCCGCACAAGACCCCGGTCTTCGACATAAACGCGCTGCCCCCACTCCGCCCCGCGAGCCGCCAACGGCTGCCCTCGTGGCGAGGGCGACCATGGGAAAGCGCAGGCTTACGTGATCATCTTGTCGGTGTGTGTTACAGCACGGAGAGACGAGCGCTTGGACGAAAAATAAATTAATTTCGCTTATACGAAAAAAAGGAAAAACAGAGACCAACAACCGTATATCGCTCCTCGTCTTCAAGAAACATCCACGCTCAGACAACACACTCCGAAGATTGCAGGGCAAATTTGAGGGCAAGTTTGATGAAAGCAAACAACCCAGCGCAACTCCGGCCGGATGAACTTGTCTCTCTTCGAGAGCCCCTTCCCGTGAGCGTACTAACGATTTTCGCTCTGACAAGAGCACCTTAGGATAGCCGCTTCCAGAGGATCAATCGTTGACCGCAGGTGCGGTTCACCTGAGCATGCGTCTGCAAAATTCAGTGCGCAACTACCCCGATGAACCCAAGCACCTGCTGGTACTAGAACTCCCAGTACTTGCAGAGATCCTGGGCCGGACAGAGCCAGAGGTCGGCCCTGCCAGCAACCATTACCATCCTCAATGGAATGCACTATTCAGTTTGGGTTTTTATCTCCTTCTTGGAAGAAAGCGAAATCTTACACGACGTACGAAACAGACGGTCTGTGCTGGATAATTCGCTTTAGAGTCTCTCAACGTGGAGAGGAGTTTGCCAGTCTGCCAAACAAAACCTCTTCCGCCAGGCTGTAATCCCGCTTCGGCCGCAACTGCCCAAGCCTCTGGCCTCGGATGAGGGAATTGGTGCCGCTATGCACGGAGTCAAACCTTAAACTTGAGCAGTTAAGTTGTGAAGAACAGCGCGAGTACTAGGCGCGACGTGCATGATGTGCAGCTGTTGTGGTCTGTGCATTGTCATCAAGTTCCATCATTTCCTAGAGCAAGTGACAAACTACAGCCCTGTCGTGAAAAATGCAAATGAGCATGAACTGGATTTTTTGGCTCAAAGTTATCGGGATAAATAAAATTCTCTCCGTCCATACTGTTCCAACTGCTCCTCCAAAGTTCGCCGTTCTCCTCTCTTCCGCGCCACTTGCTGGTTGAACCGTTCCAAATCTCGGTGCGCCTGCGCATTGACCTTGTCCAACCCGTTCCTCAGCCTCCTCTCCTCCACGTTCTGCCGCGTCAGCAACTCTGCCGCCGCGGTCTCCCGGGCTCGCTGCCCCCGATCGACGTGATCACGCGGTAGGTGCGGCTGTGCGGGGAGTTGCTGCGCCGCTCGTGGTTGCTTCCACCTCGCGTAAAACTCTTCCCGGCCCTGGAGCAGCCGTGCGACAAAAGGCGGGGAGAAGTTAGAAAGTTGGAGGACATGATCTCCTGGAACAGGGGAAGCAACATCAGTGCCCTCCTTTGCACCTTCTCCAAGAGATTCACCTGTGCCGGCCCGTCTTGCACTTCTTTCCGCTAGTACTCTCTCCAAAGACTCCTGCCACAGAACCTCGTCGACCTCAAATTCTGCATCAGATTCGTCAGTAACCGCATTCTCGTGATAGTCACGCCACGTTTGTAGAAAAACGGCGTCGAGCTCCCGATCTTGTGCAGTCTCGAGCGATGTTGAACCATCACAATTGGCGGGTGCAGAAAACGTTGAAGAAAGTATATTCGGCTTTTTGCCTACTGCACCACTCTTCCGAGTAGAGCTTTCCGATCCTCCGGCCATCTTCACCTGGCGCAAGAGGTTCATGTTCGCAGGTAGGGGTTGTTCTCCTTTCGACGTCATTTCCCTTTTCATTCTCGTCCGGTAATCTGCCAACGTTTGTTCCGCGGGCGAAGGGAGATCGAGGGCCCCTAGTATGTAGTCCAACCCTGCGGGGCTGCGGGCGGTGCTAGGGTTTTGTTGCTGCTCTTCCTCTGTACTTGTTGCGAAACAATCTAGTCGTTCTTTGGAAGACCACGAAGATGGCAACGGGAGGTAGTCGTCGCTTCCTTGCAACTCCCGCGTACGCAGTGATTTTTCCTCTACTCTCTTGTTCAGGAGAAGGTTCTTCTTCTGAAACTTTTCGCAGTACAGTTTGAAATTCTCGCTATCTTCGTAATTTCTCGTCCTCATCTTCGAGCTGTCGTACGGAAAAATGTAATCGCCCAGCTGCTGCAAAATTGTCGTTAGCTGCTCGTGTTTCCTATTCTCGAAAGTTTTCCCACCTGCGCCGGCCTCGTCAGCTGCATCTTCTTGTTTTTCTTGGGCCCCCGCAGCTTCCACTTCTTGAGTGGCCGCAGGAGCATTCAAGCCCGCCACCGCTGCTAAGATTTCTTGCAGCGCGTCGCGGGTCGCGTACGCTTTGTCGAAGTCAAACTGCTGGCTCTGCTCCCCTTGCCTCTCGATCTCCTCGTCGAGCGCGTACCGCAACGCCGCCTTCCCGGCGAAAAATGCGTCCTGCTGCAGCATCTTTTTGGTGGACGTCGGATCGATGTCGGGGAACGACCTTTCCAACAGTTGGTCGAACGCGTTCTCGCAGAACCGGCGGCAATGCGGGTGGGTGGTCGAGAAGGTCTCCGTGATGTAAGAATCCAATAACTTTTCTTCCTCGCTTTTCTCCAGCAGGGATCCACTGTCCAGCGCCGCTTGCTCGAGATTCTGTTTCATCCGGTCCGCCTCCGCTTTCTCTTTCGCCATCCTGGCCTTCACGAGCTGGATGTCCCGCTTCAGGGCCCGCGTCTCCTGTCGCGCCTGCAGCTGCCGCTGGTTCACGGTCCGCGCGGCGGGGTGGAACTCGTCCCGCCGGGTGGTTTATCCCGTGCAGAAGATGACTCGCATTCCAACATTGGAATACTGCATCACAGATCTCACTATCTGGGTTGCAGCATATGGCATCATACAACCTGGTGCGTTTTTCCTATTCTGCAAATCACCATCTATTGCCGTGCAGTTTCTGCTTTGATGATGTGCGACGATACAACTTCTGTATACGCATATGATGTACGCGATCTGGCGCTCCCGGTCCCCACGGATTGCGGAGGAGGAGGTGCTTTGCGTGGGAGCCAGGCTCAACCCCGAGACCGCGGTGCTATGGGAGTGCCCAGCTGCTCCCCCTCTTCTTCATTCGTTTGCCATGGTCAGCAATTCAAACCCCCGCACACATCGAGCCTGCGCATGACAAGTGGATGATCCGAGTGTTCGGCTACTTCCGGATTTCGTCATGCAAACAGTGCCACAGGGCAGCGTCGTGAGTTGCGTTTTTGCACGGCATCATCCGAATGATGCGTGACAAGTTAGCACCTGCGTTGTTGCAGAACAAATCAGGAGGGACCAACGTGTGCACTCTCATAGGTGCCGTCGCGCACATAGAAACGGACGTGATCGACTTCGTCGCGCGTGGACGAAGTAGATCCTCGTTTGTCCAACTCGTGCCCCGGCTCGAGCAGGGTGCGAAACAGGTAAAACCGTCCGTGTTGCGGGTGGAGTTCTTGAGGTTTCGCGGACGTATTGCTGCTTGCAATTTCGTCCGCCGGAAGCGGATTTTTGTGCCTCTTGGTCTTCTTCTCGTCGTGCCCGCTGGTTTCGTCGGACAACGACCCCCCGGGGCTGAGAGTCAAGCCCTGATCTTCACTTTTCCCTCTCTGCCTTTTCCTGTTCCCCCGGACGAGACCTGCACCTTTCGCCTGCGTGGAAATCTTGCCCGCCCCACCGATGGCTCGAGCTTTTGCCCCCGCTTTGGAAGAAGTTTTGCTTTTCGCTTTACCCGGTCCACCTCGTTGAAAGCCTGATAGTACCTTGGGTGAAGCTGTTTCATCCTTGTTGCCACCGGTTGCGGGCGAGGCAGAGTTGTTGTCCGGAGATGTAGTTGAGGCGAAACCTCTTTCCTGCTGTCCGCTGTCCTCCTCCACTTTCACTCCCAGGATCGCGTCCACGCCGGCGTTGCGCTTCGCCAACTTCTCCGCGTGGTGCCCGTACCGCTTGCAGTTATGCATAACGCAAAAGTACTTGATGCAGACGCACCAATTTCATTTATACGAATTGATTCAGGATTTGCGAACAACTTGTCCCGCGGATTCAGGTGAAAAGGGACAAACGCAAACCCGCCGTGCATAAAATAAAAATTGCGATTAATATAAGTGCATGCAGTCAACTTTTGCAAAGGATAGCGATCCTTGAAAAATGCGTGCCAGTCCGTACTGGCGCCGGGGGGCTCGCGGACAATCTTGATGCGCGGACCCTCGGTGACCGCGCCGGGCAAGTGTCTTTGTTGCTGCTCCTGCTCTTCCAGCTCATCCACCAGGGGCTTCTCGTACAGGGGGATCTTCATTTGCGACTTGTTTTGCGGGAGGTTCATCATGTTCTGACTAGGAGAAGTGTTCGTCTCTTTCTCCGGCGAGTGACCGGCATGGGAAAGCGCGGCAGCCGTTCCATCTTTCTGGTGATTTCCTCCCCGGTGAAGAAGACCCGGCGGCAACCCAACCCCCGCGGCCTTCCGGCTTCCCGTGGTCTTTGTCGCGTAGAATCCCTCGGGCGCAAAGAACATCTGCGCCTCGCGGGTGCTGTTGTTCCCCTGCCCACTGCGGTCCCGGTGCAGCGGTTCGTTGCGCTCCAACCGGGTGCGGCACTTCCCCAGGTGGTAGATCTTCTCCAGCAGAAACGGCTCGGAGTGGTCGATGTAGTTCACGCAAGACCGCATGAAATCGCTGATCCGACGGGCCTTATTCTGGTCCGGCGCGCAGACCCAGTTCTGCTGGAGGTAGGGCCGGAGCGCCGCCGCCCCGTTCAGCGCGGCGAGCAGGAGTCCGTGCACGGTCGCGGGGTCCTCGAGCTTCTTGGCATAGTTTTTCGCGGCATCCGGAGACGATTGATGGGCGGCGGGTCTGTGCTTCAGCGTTTCATCCCGGTTCAATCCGTCTGGGTTTTCGTTCTCGCGGGCCTTCGTTCCGGGGCGGTTTCTGGTCGCCCCCGGTCGGCCGGCGGCGATTCCCCGCTTCGCTTTCGCCTTCGCGCCGGCGCGTTTCGGCGAAGCGCCCGGGGACCTCGTTTTCAGTGCCGCGGGAGCTGTGCTCTCCGCAGCTTTGTTGCGTTTGCGGCGGAGGCTCTCCTCGATTGCCTTATGTTCGTCCAGGGCCACGCGGTGCGTCTGGCTAGCGACGTCGTAGGCGATTTCCAGCGTCGCGCGGTTCACAAGCAGCTCCGCGAGGAGGTTGCGGGTCTTGCCTTTTTTCCGAGCCAGGTATTCCTCGTAGGCCACGTCGATCACGGCCTCCGCGACCGCGCCGTCGATCAGGTCCCCGACCACATCGCCCCAATCCGCGTTGTGCTGCCGGTCGTAGAGCTGCTGGACGACTTGGGAAAGCGGAGGTAGCTTCTCCAGCTCGGGCGTGGCAGCGGCCCGTGGAGGAGGAGAACCGGGAGTCTTCTTGCGCGTCGCCATGACTTTAGATTGCGCCGCACGCGCTTGCGGGTAGAATAAAGTATGCGCGCCTATTGGTGGATGTACAGCGGTGTTCTGTTTTGGTATGCCGACGGCGCTCACGGACACTGGCACGGGAGCGAAACTCGCAAGCTCTCCGGACATACGACTTTCGACGCTCGCGCACACCACGCTCGCAATCGGTGCGCTCCGAACCTGCTCGCTCCGAGGGGGAAAAAGTTTTACTCTCCGATGTCGCAAACGCCCAAAGAAAGGATCGCGGGACGGGGGCGGCAGCAGGAAAAATGCGTCCGCGTCAAATTTTGCGGGCTCCCGCGGCCTTTGGCAGAGTATTGATTCACTTTACTCCTTGCAAGCCCTTAAATTGACAGGGCCGCCAGAAATACCTGCGGCGCGCGAGCGGCGCTCTGCCGCGGAGGTGCGGCATCGAAGCTGCGGGCCTCACCCGTGGCCGGCGCGCAGTCCCATGCGCGGCCGCCGCCGGCCTTTTGATCGGGCCCCCCCCCGGAATGGCTAGCGCATACCAGAGGGGGCGAGGGCCCGCGAGAAGCGGCAGACCCATAGGGGCCGGGGGCTTTGCTGGAGTCCGGCGCGCGCTCCAATAGCCGCACGAGCAGGGCCCGTCTGTGCGGGGACGGCAGGGCCGTCTGAGTATGTAACTCTGTGTGTGCTGGCCATGCGGATTGTGATCTGTTTGCACATAAAGCCCCACAGATGGCAATTGTGTCCGATTTTTGGCCTTTTCCCCCATAAAGGATCACAACTCTACCCCCAGCCTAAGATTTGTTAGCGCCAGTTGCATTTTTTTGTGCATTGGCCACCACAGATCACAACTTTTTGCACATCTGCCCGCGCAGATTCTTCGTTTCTGTGCATCTGCCAGCGCAGACCACAATTTTTTGCCCATATCCCAGCGCGGATTGCAATTTTTCTCGATATAGCGGCAATTGTTTTTTTTCTGCGCGTTTACCGGCGCAGATCGCATTTTATTGGCTCCAGCCGTGGCACAGTCCGCAGGACCGTCTGGTCCCGAATAAGCACAGCGCCCGATGGCAGCGCCGAAGCGCAGTCGCGGTCGCCCGAACGCGAACACGCGAAGGCCGGGACGGCTCCAAAGCCGCGTCCCGGCGGTGGGGCAAAACTCAAACCAGAGAGCACCAAAAGGCCCCAGCAAAAACATCGCAAACGGGCGAAAGCGAGCGCGCCAAGACGCTGCCAAAGGGCACTGCACTGCGCACCCCGCGGTGGACAAGCCACCGGGGCGCAACAAGTCCTGCGAAACGAACCACAGCAAAAGGACCACGACAAACAGGGCAGGGTGGGTGGGGAAAAAACGAAAACCGGCCAGAGCACGAATGCATCTGGAACAGCTTTCCCTGCTGCCCATCGAGATCGAGCTCCGCGCCCGATCTCGCAAGCCCGATCCGGGGATCGGAAACACCAGGATGCCTGCGACGGGGCAGGCCGTCCTGGGAACAGAAGCCTGCAACACAAAGCAGGGCGACCAGCATCCATGGAAGGGCCAGAAGGCCCCGGGGCAAGCCAGCCCGACGAACATGGCCCCGAAGGGGTCAACCATAGACCGCCCCGGGCAATAGACTGCCCGCCCCTGCGCATCCGCTTGCCCCCCCTGGGCACCAGCCGGCCGCGGAACTGGCCCGGCCTGGGCCAATCAAACCCCGCGCATTCGCAGGCTCACGCGCATGCATTTTATTGGCTCCAGCCGTGGCACAGTCCGCAGGACCGTCTGGTCCCGAATAAGCACAGCGCCCGATGGCAGCGCCGAAGCGCAGTCGCGGTCGCCCGAACGCGAACACGCGAAGGCCGGGACGGCTCCAAAGCCGCGTCCCGGCGGTGGGGCACCATGTCCACCAAGCTCTTCCGCGCGGAAGAGGGGGGCGACCGAGCCCCCAAAGCCCCACCGCCACCACGCTCTTTCGGGCGGAAGTGCTTGACGCATGTGTAAGCGCAGCTGCAGACCAACAAGTGCAGACCATGCACACGCGCCTGACCTTCGGCTCGCAGCCAGCTTCCCGCAAACAAGTAGGGCGGCCTGCTCGGAGCAGGCGAGGCGACGCAGCGTCGCTGCCAAGGTGGGTCGGTGTAGACCATGACACAGCGAGCACAAGCGCCAGCAACCGCGTGGGGTGAATCCAGCCTGGGCTGGACCCGACCGACCCACCTCGGAAGCGACGCCCGTCGCCTGTTCCCGCCAGGTGCCTTCAAGCGAGTACAAACACAAGTCGCGCCCCGAAGGCGGGCAAGCCATTACCTGCAGATCACCGGCATCGCCGGGTGCACCGAAGCCCCGTCGCCGCCGGCATAAATGCGAGGCCCGCCGCCACTACGGACACGGACTTCCCGCGCGCGCCGCAGCTCCTGCGCCAAGTGGAGCCTCGCAAAACCAGGAAAGGGACACTCTTCCACAGCCCTCGGCCGCAGGTGTCAGCCGCGCCCAGAACCTAGCGACATACTGATGCGACCAAGAGACACAAAGATGTATTACGGGCACCGCGCGCGAACCGCGCCTGCCGCGGAGGAGGACGGCGACGAAGCGTCGCTCCCGACGTGTGTCGGTCACAACAGCCTCGCGCCTAAGCACAAGCGCCGCGCACCCGCGTGGGGTGAGTCCGGCCTGAGCCGAACCCTACCGACCCACCTCGGGAGCGACGCTCGTCGCCTTCCAACCCCGCCAACCGCTAGTCCTTGCGCAACCGTGCAGCAGGAAGCGGCCAAGTCGTCCTGCGTGCAGGTGCTACGAGCGGGAAAAGCCGCGCCTGAATGCAAGCGCCGAAGCAGAGTCGCGTCGACCGCCGACGACCAACAGCGCAAGCTCGCCAGAAACTACACAAGCCTTCAGCTTGATGCAGAAATGCGCGCAGGCATACCACCAACAGACGGGAACTGCGTCACAACAGACGCGCGCCGACCACCAGGGCCAAACTGTGCAAGTTTACCACAGGCTGCACCTGCCTCGGACATGAGATGACTACAACGCGCGCAAGCATGCCACATGCTGCAGCCGCCTCAAAAAGAGGCGCGCGTCGACCACCGACGCCGAACTGTGCAAGCCTACCGCAGGCTGCAGCAACCTCATAACTGAGGCGAAGTCGAGTGCAAGCATGCCACATGCTGCATCATCTGCCTCACGACCGAGGCGCGCCGACCACCGACGCCGAACTGTGCAAGCCTACCACAGGCTGCAGCTACCTCTTAACTGGGGCTAAAGCGAGTGCAAGCATACCACGTGCTGCATCTGCCTCACGACCGAGGCGCGCCGACCACCGACGGATTTGCTTTGCGACAATCCCCATCACACAGGGGGCTCCAGCGACGAGGAGCAGCAGGCCGCATCGTCGCATCGATGCTACAGCCAGCTCAACAACCAGCGGGCGGCCGTTCCGCATGAACGCACCGCCCCGCCCGGTCCTGACAACGCGGGCCGGCGCCTGCAGTGGGGGAGGGAGGCGAATCCCTACCAAGAAAACCGGCCAGAGCACGAATGCATCTGGAACAGCTTTCCCTGCTGCCCATCGAGATCGAGCTCCGCGCCCGATCTCGCAAGCCCGATCCGGGGATCGGAATCACCAGGATGCCTGCGACGGGGCAGGCCGTCCTGGGAACAGAAGCCTGCAACACAAAGCAGGGCGACCAGCATCCATGGAAGGGCCAGAAGGCCCCGGGGCAAGCCAGCCCGACGAACATGGCCCCGAAGGGGTCAACCATAGACCGCCCCGGGCAATTGACTGCCCGCCCCTGCGCATCCGCTTGCCCCCCCTGGGCACCAGCGGGCCGCGGAACTGGCCCGGCCTGGGCCAATCAAACCCCGCGCATTCGCAGGCTCACGCGCATGCAATTTTTTGCTCGTCTGCGAGCGCCAATCGGTATTTTTTGCGCGTCTGCTGGCAGGAAGCGAAATATTTTACGTGTCTGCCGGCAAGGATCGCGATTTTTTGCCTGTATGGCGGCAAAAGTCGCAATTTTTTGCGTGTGTGTGAACATCAGTTGGATTTTTTGCGCAACTGCTGACATGGATTGCGATTTTGTGTGCACGTGCGGGCGCGGATTGCGATTTTTTTTGCAACTGCCCGCACAGATTGCGATTTTTTTCGCAGCTGCCCGCACAAATTCCAAGTGCCCGCGCAGATCGCGAGTTTTTCTGCATTTGCTGGTGGAGATTGCGATTTTTTGCGCATCTGCCAGCGCAGATTGTGACTTTTTTGCGCGTCTGCCAGCGCGGATCGCGATTTTTTCCGCGTCTGTTGGCATGGATCGCGATTTTTTTGCGCACCTGCCGCCGCGGGTCGCGATTTTTTGCGCGTCTGTTCGCATGGATCGCGATTTTTTTGCGCACCTGCCGCCGCGGGTCGCGATTTTTTGCGCGGCTGTTCGCATGGATTGCGATTTTTTTGCGCACCTGCCGCCGCAGGTCGCAATTTTTTGCGCGTCTGCCGGCGCAGGTTGCGATTTTTTGCGCGTCTGCCGGCGCGGGTCGCGATTTTCTGCGCGTCTGCCGGCGCGGATCGCGATTTTTCTCTCCGGTGCCCGCGCCCGGTCTCCGGTGCCCGCGAGGGTCGCGATTTTGTGCGTCCCCGGCCGCGCAGGTCGCGATTCCGTTCGGCGCTGGCCCCGGGGATCCCGATTCTTTGCCCCTACCCGGCTTCCGGCTCGCGCCCTATGGCCTAGGCAATTTCGCTACAGAGGGCGCACTCTGAGGGTGTGCATTGCGGCACGGGCCACGCATTGGAACCTACCTGGGCCATTTTGCGGGTGCGCACATTTCCCGCCCCGCTCGGGTAGATACAATAATGGTGCTACTGCCACGCCTTGGCACCGGCGAGCCATTTCGCTGAAGATACGGAGCTCCCCGCTGCCCAGTCGAATACAATGACGCAGGCGCCAGCACACGATGCACTGACTGGCACTGACCCACACCATTTTGGGTCTCCACACCTCCACACCTGCGCAGGCACATTGAGTGGTAAGAACGATCACAACAAGCAGGCGCGCCTATCGCCATTAAAGAAGATTAGGCCACGAAGATCCACAAGGGAGCAGTAGTGTTGTTTTCCTGTACTTGCTCCGCGTCGTACGAAAAACGCATCAAACCTGTCTCGTTTACTCCAAATGTTTATTTTCGCTATTGAGAACGATTGCAAATAAGACAGCAAGAGTGCGAGACTCGAGTCCCAAGAGAGCTGCGCCCTTGTTGAGCGATATTGATCATCTTCGAGAGATCATCAACGCAAAGTGGAGAGCGGCAAAAGGCTTCTGTGGTTTTTTCTAGTTTTTCTGCTTCAAAAGATGAATACTTCGCTATGCACACAAGCTCATTTGTTTTGATTTTTCACGCCCCGTGCACACCATAGTCCGGTTTTTTTTTCTTGTGCAAACACAAGTTGAGGTAGCGACGCGGAAGACTCGAATTGTTTCGGAAAATAAAGACACTGTTTCTTCTCTTACTCTTGGTACGTCCGCCGGCGCTTTGTTGTGTTTCCGCCGCTGCGCTAATAACTACGCCGAGAGCATCTTCTCAGCTATCGCGCAATTGAAAATAACACCATGACAGTTTACCCCGACCCCACGGAAGACGCGCGGGCCGTCTCAACGATCGGTATCAATTTAAGACTAGTGCTAGTCATCTGTGCTCTTGCGGAAAATTCAGTACTCCTCATTCGCACATCCTCGTTCACAAAAGAAAGTTTCTGTGGAGCTACCACTGCTTGCAGTAAACTTCTGAAGGTCTTGAATAGAAAGTAAAAGTAATTATCTCTTGTAGAGCGCCGTCGGACTGGTGCGTACACACGTTTTCTTGATGCAACCAAGTAGTGCAGATTCGCCTCATATTAAAAAAATCGTAGCGCCTTCTGGCACCACCGCGATTCAGTTCACCACGCCGCTGAAGGCTTCGCCGGCCGACTGCTGTTCGGTCGATATCGCGGACTACTTGTCCCCGAAAGCGTATTCCGAGCGCAAGCAGAACCACACGGACCACGGGGCTATGGGACTGTTCTCGGACATGTAATTTATTTAGCGTTTTTTTTCCGTCATGCTCGTAGATCACCGATGTCATTCTGTTTTGGCTTTGCATAAGCTAGATCGCTGCACATATTTCTCGATGCAGTACAATTATCTCGCAAGGACAGAGTTATCGAAACGAAATATCACAAACCGAAAAACCCCTCTTCTCTTAGGCGCTCCTTCCCGCACGAGCAGCATGCATCGCCGCCGGACCTGCCGTCGACCCAGACTCTGCCCGTCGACAAGATGGCTTGGGATCATTCTGCGGGAGGCGTGTCGCATCCGCAAGGGACGAACAAAGGTGCAGCCAACGGTCCCGTGTTCGGTGCCACCCCGGACGCTTCCCCGGCGTATTTACCGAGCATGCACGCGGTAGGATGTTTGCTGCTTTGCTAGATTTTTTTGTCAACATCCGCGAGTAGAAAGAACACGCTACCAAACGTCGGTCTGATACTGTTTCTACTTTGTGATTATGCTACAACATGTTGTTCAGACATTATTCATCGAACAGGCAACCTCCCCGCCCACGATGCCGCCGCCGGTTATGCCAATGTTGTCGACTCCGTTTTTCGATGCGGATTCCCCCATGATGTTGCCTTCGATGGTATGAACCGAGAAAGAGCAAAGTGATGAAAAATCGAAATGTTTCAGCGTGTTGTATTGCAATATTTCTATGCATAATTCGAAGATCTCCGTGAAGCTCTGGAGGCCTTTGTGTTGTTTCAGCTTCGCATCTTCACATCGCATGCTGATTTGTAGCAAATTGTTAGCTATGTGTCCTCGTGTACGACTGCAAGAAATCGAATCAAGAACACTTCCCCTACTTTCCCACTCCATACGCCGCCCCGAATGGAACCACCCTGCCCTGCATGTCGCCGTATCCGAAGGAACAAGGAAGCAACTTGAGAAACTTTCACTCGGGTACTTAGAAGTACTGATCTAGAGACAGAGTCAAAGCGTTTTTGGTTTTGTGTCGCTGTTCTTATGTGTATGCGCATGACATAGATTATCGGCTTTTGGTTTCAATTTCATTGATTTATCAAAAAAATGTAGTAAAAATCAAAAAAATGTTCCTATCGCAGATTTTTCCCTGACCGGAGGTTCCGGCCTGACCGGCCACGTTTATCAGGGTACGGACAGCACGTCTATCCTATGTAAAAACGTCCCCACCCCAGAGTCAAGATGGGGATTTTGCAACACAAACCTTGAAGTTTTGGGAACCACGCATGACAAATTGCAGGCTATAGTGTAGTCCAGTTTAGCAAGGGAAGCCGCATAACAAAGCGATCTCCTTATGCTGTTTACAGCATTACAAGTTCCAAAACACGATTGATAATGCCCCTCATGGGATCGCGCATTACAAACGCTCTTGTGCTTGCAGATCTGCATCACAACTCTGGGATGGGGACGTTTTTACTCAGGATAACGTCCATGCCGAATTCTTCCCCCGAGCGCATGACCACGTCTCCCGAGTTGGTGGACCCGCATGGAGCTTATGCATTGCAAAAATTGTTGTACTATCGCACTAGAATGTGATTTCCAATTTTTGCAAAGGTAATTCGTGGTAAAAATGCTGGACCAGCTGGAGGTCCTTTGGAAAGGGAACTAGCGGACTTGTTGTGGTGCAGCTGTGTTGCATAAGTGATTTAAGATTTATTTTTATGCGCTGGTACAACAAAAGCATTTATTCACGGCATAAAAAAGCTACTGGCCCGCAGTCCGGCATGATGACCCAGTTTCAGCAACAGCACCAGCAACAAGCAAAGTCACTCAACTGCCTCATGTCGCACCTGGTCTCGACGAACAACGGAAATATGGAGAACTTCAATGGACAACAGCAGCAGACGCCGCCGTTGAGCGGCGGTTGCGTGAACCAACAGCATGTTGGCCCGATGATGAACCAGCAACAGCCATTTAGCAACCAGAACTTCAACCTGCAACAAAACCAGAACAGCTTTATGTTCTCGTCTCCCGGCGGGGGAGCAGCCCCCGTCACCCATGCTGGTGGTGCCCCAGCGCAGCAGCAACAGCAGCAGCAGGAGTACAACAACTTTGCGAACAACAATGCCGCGACGACCAACCCGCTGCAAAACACGGTTTCTTCGTACCAAACGACCAACTCGTCCCCGTTGTTGAGCGAGATGAATTTCGGGTTGCAAGACTTGCAGCGCACAAACGACGTGTCGGTGTTGACCGCGAACACGGGTGCCACGACGACTTCGGCGAACTACAACCACAGCGGTCAGTACAACAACATTATGCACCAGGAGCCGACGAATTCCGCGAACAGTTCCGTGATGCAACAGACCAATTCGCTCGTCACACTGAACGGGTGGCAGCAGATATCAAATGCAAAAATGTCTGGGTCTGGAAGAATGCGCGACTTGTCATGCAGATTTTCCATGACTCGCGAGGTCTGGAATGCAGGAACTAGCATGACAGACTCTGTGAGATCTCTGTCACGCCTGTCCCGCATGAGAAACTCCCTCTCAGCCAGGTCAAAAGTGGACAACTTTTGGTAAGCATGCAACACAGATTTTTACAGGATGCAGACTTAGCATGACAAGTTGCAACCTTCCAGACCCAGACATGTTTGCAATGCATGACAGATCAACGAGGACAACCGGTTTGAGAGCGTGAACAGCCTGACGAACTCTACGTTTTATGCCAACAATATGCTCTGCAAAAGTTTATTTCTCGGTCTTTTACTAGTAAGTTGTTGGGAACAAAGAAGTGTACCATGATAGGACCTGAGTAAAAATCTTACGGACAACATCAGCTGCGTGACAAATATTTGTTCACTTGTTTATTTTCTTTTGGCAATCAATACAATATTGTCCACTAGTAAACTGCAAACTCACTTTTGCAAAGATGCATAAACAACAACGAGCCGCAGGTTGAGACGAATCAGTATAGCTACAGCCAGACGAACACGGGTGCCGTCGAGTGGAATACCTACAACAACCAGGTTAATGACAACAACAATTTCAACAACCAGACTTACAACTACGCCGGTGCGGGCGCGGCCGCGCCAGGCTTTCAGCAGCCGATGGCCCCCGCGCCGGGAAACGAAGATCAGAATTCATCTTCGGACAATTTTTATGCGTATGATGCGAACTACAGCTGTACTGCTGGCACCAATGGAGATGCAGTCAGCGGCGGAAAAAATAAAGGCGATGATCAACAGGTCGTGGAGCAAAACCAGGGTCAGTACAACTTGCACGCCGCGACCGGTAAGAACTTTTCCTCCTCCCAACAGCAGTACACCAGTTTCCGGGAACATCGCAGCGGGGGGAAGATGAACGCGAAGAACTTCCGACAGCAGCAGCAGAACAACGGGTTTGGTGGGAATAAAAACGCCGGTCGGAAAGGTGGGGGTTTTTCCAACAATAGCGGCGGAAAAGGTTCCGCCGCTATTGTTGTACTTACCGGCGGAAAGGTGTTTGGATCTTCTTCTGCAGCCGGATCGTACCACAACGGCAAAGGAAAGAAGAGCAACTCCGGAGCAGGTCAACATCGCGGATCCACTTCGCCGGGGGGAGGCTGCAACTACTACACCAGTACTAGTGCCAACTATCAGATGAACAAGCCCGTCTGCACGGATAACCACGCCACACTGGGGCTGGAAAACTTCGACCAGGTCGTGAACGGCAACTGCTACAAACCGAGTACTTTTGGAGCAGATGGTGGTACCACGTCCTCGCCGGCGGCGCACCAAACGACCTCAGGGGGATACAATAACTACGGGGGTTACAAAAATCGTACTGGGGTCTTCAACATGGAAGATGATAACAAGGAAAATATCGACCCGAACAACAGTACTTCTGAGATGAACGGAAGCGGCTGCAGCAACGAGGGGAAGTTCTACGTTCCGCGCGACACGGAATCCTGGGGGAAGGTGCAGAAGGACGTGGAGCACATGCACTACACGCAAAATTTGAACACGAACTCCGCGAAAGTGTACATCCAGACGCTGATGAAGACCATGGACAAGCGGAACCCGGTGGCGACCACGATCCTCTTCCGTAAAATCTTGGAAGTGCTGCGCTACATGCAGTTTGTCGACACGACCAGACGTATTCTTCTTCGGATTTCATTTTCAAGGCTATGATGGAGGAGCTCGGATTTTTTCAAAAGAAATGTTGTCGTCTACTTCACGATGTGTCACTGTTATGATCCTATGATTATGTGAGTGCGCCGTCATGCAGCATGAAATTCGCTTTACAAATCACAAAATCTTCTCAGCCCGTCGGTTGCCGCCGATCTCGGCTCCGGTGCATTTGACGTTGTTGGTCCGCTGCTTTGAGTCGATGATCTATGGTGTTGGGGGTGCGCCGTACCTGGACGCTTCTGAGCCGTCGTACATCAGTCAGATCTACGAAGTGTACCGTACCCTGCAAGTGAAAAATTCCCACGCGACCGCGGCCATGCTCAAGGCCTGGGGACTGGTACTGATAGATATGCTCGACGGACCCCGCATGTAAAAATGCGCATGGGAAGGTGGCTTGGTGAATATAGAGTGCGCATGACAGATTCGGCGAAGAAAAGAAAACTAGCAAAGGAACTGAAAAGTGACCTACAACGCTTCTTTTAGCGCAGTTTTCGCATGCCAAATAAAGTTTGCAAAAGTCATTTCGCATGAGAAATTTACGGTGAAAATAAACCAAACTTACAAGGTTGGCAACCTGCGTCAGTGCAGCATTTTCATCGACCAGTACCGTGCGTTGGAGAAGAGTTCGTTATGGAAATGAATTTTGATATTACCACGGGGATCTGTGATGCGTCACTTGGCATGAGAAATACGATTTCTGACGCCAATTGATGCATCACAGGTTTCTGTATATCCGTTTTCTCCCCCATACCCCAAGAACGAGATTTACGCGTTTCTGATCTACCAGTCGGCTTTGGACGCGGCGTTGCGCCACAACAACCAGGAGCTGGAGGAAAAGATCCGGTACTTTGATAAGCGGTTTTCTATATGCACATGTTATTCGCATGAGAAACTGGAATTGCTACTGCATGTTTGTTGCAGGCTGCGCATGTAAAAATGCAGCTTTATTCTTTGTGGCCCCCGCATAGGACGAACTACTACACGAAGAAAACATCATGGTCAACATCCGCACTGCGTAAGAGGAAAGGAACAGCTCTTGCCAGTCGTCCGAATTGCAATTCGAATGCTATCAGGCGCTTCATCCATGTTGATGCGATTTCGGGCGTCGACGAGTACTGGAACCGCAGTGTGAAGGTGGATATGCACTGCAAAATCATTCTCGGACAGCTTGTATGCTTACAAACTGCAGGCTAGCATGACAGATGTACTTCCCTTGTTTCTGACCTGAATCTGCATCATGGAACAAGTACAATGCTCCCTCGTGGAAACATTTGCTATGCAATTTGTACTACTATCTAGTGGTTGATTGCTTTTGCACTGCATAGTGCACCCGAGCGTGCCGCCGGAGCACTCCCATCCGCACCTGTATCAGAATCAGCACAACGGCTACGGTGACAACCAGCAGCTGAACAGCCCGGTGGCGACCACGAATAATGGATCGCAGCAGCTGTAAAGCGCACGACCGAAGTTGCTCATTTGAAGAAAATGCGGTGAGTAAAAAGTAGGCAATAGTTAATGAAACTAGCTTGAACTTTTCTAGTCAAAAACAAGCGACAAGAATGCAAATTTTGAAAATAGCACCAGTAGTTGTACGCTGCATGATCCTCGAGTGCTCACGGATAGGAGATTTTGTTTCAAAAAGAACTAAAATTCTGCAGGCTAATAGAAGCGATCGACCTTTTGCAATGCGCTCTCAACTTTCCTACGCGGCGGTTATAGGACGACGAGCATTGCCAAGAAATAGAAAACAGAAACCGGAACTAGACCTACACAAATATAGCGAAAGAAAAAATCATCAGTTTTGAGTTTAAGAGTAGTCCAGTAGGCATGTAGTTTTGGGTGAGCATTTTGCACGATTTTTCCATGACAAAAACATCACCAAAATGCACCGGAAAGAACTACTTTCTCCATGTCTACTAGCCATGACAGGCACGGTTGTTTCCGTGCTTCGGCGGGCTACATCGTGAGATTAAGAACTTCAGATTGCATAGACAATTTACCCCTTTTCACCAGTGTCTGCCTTGTGCAGGATTGGTTTATACGATTTATGAACTTTTACTCGGCTAATTTTATTATCGAACTCTTTTTTCAGTTTCTCAGGCGGCAGAAAACTGATCCCATTTTAGCCGTTTCAGCAACACCTTTTAGAACGACCACCGGGTGAAGAAACACACGACGAACGAACTGTTTCGCCCTACCACTGTGAATAGAATAAATGGTAGTTAAGAAAATTGGAGAAGTGCCGACACTGCATCTGGTCAAGCGACCAGAACTTTTTCAAAAAATTGAAAGACTGTGAACTGGCTTTTTAGTCCTTCTGAACAGTTTCTATCTCCAGTTTAGAATTTCAGTTATACTAGTGAACTAGTTTCTCGGTCTTCTTCGGGCCGCTGTTTTTCCATGATTTTTCAGTTTCGTTTATTCAAGAGCTTGTTTCCTCGTTTCTCTGGCTGTTTTCGATTTTTATTGCACTAGTATTCAGTCGCTTCTCTTCAGAAAATCAAAATTTTGTTGTGAACAATTTTAGCAATCAAAACGCTACCAACATGTATGTCTGTTTGTTGTAGCAGAGCTCAACAATGAAAGTTTCAGTTTTCAAACTCAACTTGCAGAGTTTTTCCTCCGGAAGGACAATTATATCTGCGCAGAGAAATTAAAATTTACCGTTTCGCTTAGGGATACAAATTTACCGTTATGACTCCACTGCTTCGCGGATTGCAGAATGAATCAATTGAGAACTCTTCACCTAGCACGGGATATGTTTTCGTTTTCAAAACTATGAAAGGATGTAAAATTTTACCGGTTGTTGAGCTGTAGTTGCAGTTTCCGAGTGTGACCTTTACAATGCTAGTGGTTTTTCACCTTTAGGAACGTTGAGACCTAATCAACAGTTTTATTTTAGAAAATTTCTTCTCGAATAAATCAAATGGCTCTTCTACTAAGAGTCAAATCTCAAGGACCATACGGGAAAACAGCAGCGGCGCCACGGGCAGAAGATGTATGGGACTGAGTTCCAATGAAATTCTGTTTCGCCCCGGTGTGATACTACTGACTCCGCACAAAGCGGGCTTCTGAACAACTGCAGCAAAAACCACGAATGAACTTTTTTTTGGTGAAAATGCAATCAGGATGAATTATCAGACTCGTACGCTCGCCCTTGGTAGCAGTTCCACTTCCGAATGTGGGCATGGCTCGTCCTCCGTACAGCGCAGAAAAAGAACCGCCTGTTCTCGTCGTCAGTGTGTCACTTTTCGTTCACTACCTTCACTGTTCGTACCTGTTCACGTTTATCTCATGCGTTCTTGTTCATCGTACCACAATGAACTAGACAGAAGCCGACCTTAAATTTCGTGCCAGCCCCAAGATTGTACTTGAAAAACACATCTACAGGCCTTTTCCGTAGAAAAGAGACTAATTCACACTAAAGTACTTCTTTACTAAGGTCTTTGCTGTGGCCCCCGCGTTGTGAATTCTAGAAATTATTCACTAGCAGACATCATCAAGAGAAACTCCCAATAAATCATGACCGCGTCTACTTCTGCTTCGGAAAAACCAACATCACTTCTCGTAGCATCTTCGGCTACTTCGAAAGCCTCCACGATGCAGAAGCCCGCGGGCGTCTTCACCGGCGCGGCGATTTTCGCCGCCATCCTCGCTTTTCTCTACCAGCAGTATCTCGAGTGGACTTGCGAAGATCCAACTTCCTGGCGGGCGCCGCTTGCGTTGACCGGGTTTTACCTGTTTTACGCGATTGCGGCGCTGCTTGGGATGCGCTGGACGAGGCAGAGACTCGCGAAGGAAGCAATTTTTAAGAGCGCGACTGGTACAACAACTTCTACAACAGCAGTAGGACCACGAGAGGACAACGACAACGCGCTGGCCGTGAAAAAATGTGCACCGGAGAAGGAGGTGGTGAAAACTTCCTCCTGTCGTGTCGCGGATGAAGAGATGAACAAGATAAAAACAACACCAGCATCAACACCCCCCACGACTTCACTTCTGGACGACGCCGCATCGAGGCTCGCCGTTGCCGAGGGTGCGATTTGGGTGGCCATCCCCAAACCCTTTGTCGAGGGGTTGATGGCCAGTTACAACGTGTTCCAAATCTCTTTCAACTCCGGCTGGTGCCTGCTCGTCCTGTTGACCTTGCACCAGAGCAGCCAACCGCTCCTCGGGTCGGTTTTCGACTACGAAGGGTTCTGCAACGGTGGCAGTGGTAGTAGTTCATCTTCTGGTGGCAGTGGTAAAAACTACACTAGCGGCCTCGGGCTGGATATCTTCTTTCGATCAATATCATCACCCGGGACCACCTCGGACAACATCAACAACACGCTCGGCTTTCTTCTCTGGGTGCACTACGCGAACAAACCCATCGAGTTTCTGGACACCTTTTTCATGGTGCAGCGGGGGAAGGCACCACAGCAACTGACGTTTTTGCACGTCTTATCCTGGGTAAAAACGTCCCCAGAGTTGTCATGCAAAAACGCACGCTCAAAATGTTTCTCATGCGGAGCCCCTTGACAAGTATTTTCTAGTCGCTTTTTTGAATTTGTAATGCTCCAATCAGCATGGTACGCTAGATTTGTGATGATTCTGAACGAGGTAAACAGGATTACAGTACGAGGCCGAACTTGTCATGCGCAACACCCTAAGTGTGTAGATTTGTCTAGCAGATTTCCCATCTTGACTAGGTTTGTGTTGCAAAATCCGCCGCATTTTTTTAAAAAATTGCCGGTTGCAGCGGCATCTAACTCGAAGTTTGACAAAGCACTTTATAAGAAAAAGCACTTCGTAAAGAAAAGCACTTCGTAAAACAAAACGTAGTCATGTAAAGCAGCACGGCAGATACTTCAACATACTAGCAGTGTGCGGGGGGGGCCAATGTGGTCCCCCCCACGCGCTGCGCCTATAAATAAAACACGCCAGGGAATTTTCTTTTTTTTCCAGCAGAGGCTGGCTGTGGGACTTGGGGCAATGCCGGGGATTAGAAATGCAAATATGATGGCAGTGCGTTTCTACTCTTAAGTATCCTGCTTCAAACATGTTTTATTTTTTTTTGGCCTTTTGTCACGCTCTTTGTCATTGTCTTTGGATTAGTACCGCGTCACACAATTGCACAAGTATTTAGAAAACATCATGGAAAATGGCACGCGGAGTCGGAAACATTGAAAACGACGCCGAGCTCGACGGAGCCGCATGAAGGGCGGCGGGGGGTTGGAAGATCTGCGCGCGTTGTCGGGGCCACAGAAAGAGGAAGACCAGGCCGCGGGGCATACGCACGCGGGGGAGGAGGGGGAAAACGGAGGCGAAACGAGAACAAGGGGCGCAGTACGAAAACGGATCGAGAACCAACATGCTGGAGCAGGGGACAAGAGCGGAAAAGTAAGAAATCGGGAAAAAAAAGCCGTATACCTGCGCAATTCCTTACATGTGAATAACATGGTGGGCGGGAGGGGTTCTTCACATTTTTGGAAACGCCCACCGCCCCGACTAGAATAACTGAATGATGAAAAAATTGGGGGCAGGACAAAAAAAAAAAAATTTTCCATCTTGACTATGGGGTGGGGACGTTTTTACTCGGGATACGTCTACCACCACGCGCTCATGGTGTTCGCGTGGTACATGGTGGTGCGGTACTACCCGGGCGGGGACAGCTGGTATCATGTATAATAATGAGTTATTTGCTGCGGTACTCACTCACATTGTGGTTTGTTCTTGAGTCCGAATGTGACATCTATTGGGTCCCGGAAGTGTCAGCGGAACGTCGACCCAGAGCATTGCTTAAATGTACAGTAGTCCTGTGTTATGTTGTCCAGCAGCAATCATGCGATCAGGAAGAAACAAATGCAAAAATCAGGTTCGGCGCGTGGGTGAACTCTTTCATCCATGTCCTCATGTACACCTACTACTTCGTGGCCTCCTATCACACAGAGAAAGCTAGCACTGCGTATTTGGAAATGTTATGCAAAAACAAATAGACATGCCCATGCGCATCCACATGTTGCCTGAAGCATAGTGTATTTTTCGGGTATTAGTTTTGTTTTTGCGTCTTTATCTTTTCCAGATGCGATGTGCTTTAGCTTCTTTCCCCGGGATACCTCTTTCGGCGTGAAAATCCCTTCCTTCGTGAAGAAAACGATGACCCGGCTGCAGATGCTGCAGTTCTGCATCTGCTTCGGGCACGCGGTACTTGTCAGCTCCCTCGGAATCGGGTCGACCCCGGACTGGCTTATGGATTGTAAAAATGTCTGGGTCTGGAAGGTTGCAACTTGTCATGCTAAGTCTGCATCCTGTAAAAATCTGTGTTGCATGCTTACCAAAAGTTGCAGCGCACTTTTCACCAAGCTGAGAGGGAGTTTCTCATGCGGGACAGGCGTGACAGAGATCTCACAGAGTCTGTCATGCTAGTTCCTGCATTCCAGACCTCGCGAGTCATGGANAATGTCTGGGTCTGGAAACTTGTGATGCTGGGTGGCGTATCATGAGGAGGCCACAAGTGCTGGCTCAGCATGACAAGTTTCTGAGCTTCTGTATGATGCCTTTTCTGCATGACAAACTGCGTTTTTGCATGACAGAAAAGTGGGGCTCTTGAGTAACGTGCATGACAGACTTAGGAGTCATGCCAGACAAGCATGACAAACTTGCATTCTTCCAGACCCAGACATATTTGCATTCCATATGGCTGTGCGGCTTGCAAATCTACGTGATGGTGAACATGTATGGAACTGTCAGGATTGAAATTAACAAAGTTGAATTAATTTGTGATGCATAAAATCTATACCAGTTGGACCCACAGTTTCCAATCGACGCATGACAAATTTTTCTGGCCTGTGAAGCAAGTGTGTCATGCTGTTTAGGGCAAGATGGCTGCTCCCTGTCATGCTAGTCAGCAGCCCAATTCATTCTTGACCCTTATCAGCACTAGCATCTGCCTCCCTTGCGCCTTCAGCAATAAAGTCAGTCTTTGTGTCGCATTTTATGCATGACAAATCATTCCAACTTTGTCGATTTCAACTCTGACACATCCATAACATGCTCTTGCTGTTCGGAAATTTTTACTTCACGGCGTACAGGCAGAGGAGTACTAAATCTTGTATCTTAAGGAAAAACGCCAACACCCCAGAGTTGTCATCGAACTCTGCATGCCTCAGGAATAAATGCTTCCCATGTAGCCGTTTTCAAATGCTGTCTTGGGCTTCATTGTCATCCTCGAATCAGGATGACCATGACGCGTTCGATTTGCCATGCAGCTATACCACCAGGCAAATAGGATTTCTACACTGCGAGCCCAAACTTGTCACGCGCAACAACCAAGAACCAAAAGTTGTTGGTTTGTGTAGCAAAGTGTAGTTCATCTTGATGACTCTGGGGTGGGGACGTTTTTGCATAGGATAAGATCTGGAGGAAACTCTAGCGCTGCCGCAACTTCTGCACCGGAGGGGAAAACGAAGAAGCAGGAGTAGGAAACAAGGAACAATAACTTTTTCTTTCATAGCAGGCGAGCAGAGAGAGAGACGGGCTCGTCCTCCTGCGCAGGATACTTATTAATTTATCACATCTTGTTTAACTATGGTGGGACAAACCTCCCGCCTCTCCTCATTTCTATAGTGAACCTCCCCCCTTCTTATTTTCATTAATGTAAATGCCTTCTGTAATTGCAATCACACCTTGCACCTCGCGACGGCTCCGTTTTTCTTCTTTTCGTGGTCGTTTTCTGTTTTTCTTCGTTATCAATCCCCGATGGCAAGAGCTGGGGTTGTGCCCTTCTTCCATCGCCGCACTTCTCTTTCTTCATCGGTTACCTGCGGAACAGCCACCAATTTTTGCATAAGGTGGAGGTTGCGCAAAATGAAAGACAGGCGATCGCCGACGGGTTTTCGCACCTGGAAGATGCGTTTTGGGTCTGCCTTGCAGGCGGACGCGGGTCGCGTACTCACACGGGTTCCAGAAGATGGGGCCGGGGCTTCTCGCGATCGCGGTACCGGGGTGGGGAGAAATGCAAACGATTTTCGAAGCCACAGCGCCAACGTGGAGGGGAGCCGGCGAATTGGCAAAAATGAAGCCAAAAGCACCAGGGGACCATGTGCAATGCCCCTCCGCCTCCCTCCTCCGCCGCCCCGGTCCTCCCAAGGGGGCGCCCCCGTCCCCGAGAAAGCGACGGGGGGCGCGCCAATGAGGGGGGCGCGCCGACCTCTAGTCTTTTCTCCAAGTGGTCTTTGTCCCAACTTAACGCAATCAGCGCGCGCGGGGTTGCAGGTCAATCCGCGCGCGCGCCGTGGGTTGGAGAGTTTCCGCTTTCTTTATTTCTACTTCGCGAGCTCGGCCCCCGCGCCCGAGCCCAGCAGCGGAAGCTGCGACGCTTGAGGCGATGCCGAACGTGTGAGCAAGCCCGCAAGCCGCGCTGCAGGGGCTTCTATAGCGCGCGCAGGGGAGGTCTTTCAAAGGTGGCGCTGGGCGCGCCTCCACAGAGAGGGGCACATCTCGCGCGCCAAGAACCATGCGCCCTCGCATGGTGCCCACACTCCTCGAAATTGCAGGCGGCGCACGGCATGGCGATGGAGGGCGCCACGGCGGTGTGGTTGCTGTAGGCAGTCAAGCTCGCCATGAGCGCGCGCCCTACGGCAGGAGAACGCCGGGCCACGCGTTGCAGCTACCCTGGCGCCGTTGTTGTTTCGGAGGCGTATGCTTCCATACGCAGGCGCCTGCAACAGCAGAGAACTGCGCCCGGTGGCCCTTGGCGCCCGGGCGCGTAATCTGCCTGCTACCCGGTGGGTGATCGGTCTCGAGTAGGCTGCCCCATCTTGTGTTGGTGGTCAGCGGGTCGCGCGGAGTATGTAGAATCGAAGGGAATCTGGTTCCTTGTTGCCCGACCCCCTCCCCTTTCGCATTTGGCCTGGCCCGTTAGCGCGTGTCTTGTCGCTCATGAAACAGACCGCGCGCCGTGGTTTTGTGTATCGCGGCACCGCTTGTCCGGTTCGTGGGATCAGGGCGCGCGCAAACAGGTTTCGCAATAAAACCAGCTTTGGAAGGCAATTGAATTGCCTTCAAAATGAGGAATGCCTGAGGATTGTCACACCATAGAGAGACGGGCTCGTCCTCCCGCGCAGGATATTTATCACATCTTGTTTAACCTCCTTGGTCATACACAACTAGGACATGAAGTACAAGTGTGCGTAGTTTGCAATTTTGTTCTTCTTTGTTGTACTGATTTGTTCTATTTTGTAGTATTCTTGTTTGACCTCATCTTCAAAGGCGCACCGGGAAGGGCGTGCGAATTCGTATTGGAATCGATGCACTATACAAGAACGCAGAGGTGTTACAAGGTACAGGCTGCTGCTAGTCCTCCGACCAGGTTCTTACGATCGAGTATAGTGAAATACGCAGAAGCGAAGAAAAACGCGACTTTTAGCCGAATTGAAAGCTGCAGAGGATGTTCTTTTCGCAGGGTGAAAACTTAAATCGAGGCGCTTTTTCCCCTGCCACTACAGCAGGAAAAAGATAATACAAACGCTACTATTAGCCTAGGAACGAAGGAAGTCGCGATCTCTGCTGGCGTCAGTGCTTCTAGTAGGCAAGCATCTTGGTATGATATCATAAACCAGTGCGCTTCCCGTCGAAGTCGTGTCGAACAAAATCAAGACGAAAGAAAGCCATGCTGCTGGTTTTCTGTTCGATAGTTGCGATAGTAGTCATTCGTGCGCACCGCGAGGATCTTGATGACCTTGACAGACTACAGCCCTCGTCTCGAGTCGTCGAGAAACAGAGAGAGATGAGCGTTTTGAAGTTGGAGATGACAGCACCAGTAGTTCCTAGCGATACAACCGCAGGACACCTCCTGTTCAGCATGACAAATTCACACGCCATGGAACTGATAAACCTCGTTCCCTCGTCGTTGAGTGGAAAGAGGGTGCGAAAGGTCAGTAGGTATCGAGACGATCATCTTCACGACACCTTTCTTCCAGTCGTCCGTGGTAAACTTACTTTCAACAGAACCCAGCGGGGTGTAGAAGTGGTACTAGAATTATTTCAGGAGCTTTTACAAAAGACACCGGGCGGCCACGGCGGTCCCCTGCGCGCCCGCGTTCTTGGGGCGGATGGCATTTTTTTATGCGGACTAGATGACGAACTTCCACGACTCTTGCGGGTCGCTTCGGTTGAAGACCATTTGCAAGTTCTTACAGTTGTAAAGAACCGCCCGTCGGCGAAGAATTCTCAAAATGGATCCCCACATCTCGCCCTTCCTGCAGCCCCAGCCGTTCGGCGCGAACGAGGTGGTGGTCGCCCCCTTTGCGACAAGGAATTTGCGGTTTTCCCAAATCCGGAAGTTCCCCTTCCGCAACCTGCCGCACCCGAGCGAACTGCAGGAATTGCGGGACCACATCCGAAAGAAAGCCGAAGAGAAGGAGTTCGGGAAAAAGGGCGGCGGTAGTAGTGCTAGTTCGAGTTCAAGGAAAAGGAAACAGCCCTCCGGGGCCGCGGGAGGAGGAGGAGGCTTTGGTGGAAGCAGCAACAAGCGACGACCCGCTGCACCTGCGAGCAGCAGCACGAGAAGAAAAAATAAGCCCGCCGGGGGCGGGCAAACGCACAAGAATCATGGGAGTACCAGCGCGACCAGCCCCCGGAGACCGCAGACCACGCCCGCGAATGGAGCCCCGGCGATGAACCGCTCTCTGTCCGGGTCCTCCATCGACCCGGCAAACCAGTCTGTGCGATCCTGGCTCCAGTTTTCGCCCAGCTTGCAGTCCAGCCAGTACTCCGGAATGACGTACACGAACAACGTATCGTGTGTAAGAACGACGCCCCTAAAATATCCCCAGAGTTGTCATGCAAATCTGCATGCCTAAAAACGGTTCTCGTGTGCAACTCCATGAGAGGCATTTTCTCAGCATGCTGTGTGCGAGGACTTTGTTGCGCTCATCTAACCATGCGATAAGGAGCTAGATTTATGATGTGACTTCACTAGCCAAGAACCACTACACTAGAGACCTAGACTTACCATGCGCAACACGAGCCACACCTTGTTGATTTATGTTGCAAAGCCACCATACGCATACTCTAGGGTCGTGGGGACGTTTTGATATTTCCTCAGGATAGAACGACGGCAGAAGCTTCATCGACCCCAACTATTGGCCCAAGTACTCCATCCACCAGTCCGAATTTTCCCGGAACGCGCCCCCGTTATCAATTGCAAAATTGTCTGGGTCTGGAAAGTTGGAACTTGTGATGCTACCTTTGGACTCTACATAAAATCTGTATTGCATGAACAGCATATTAAGAGGCGCAATTCGTGCTACGCGAAGAGGGCATTTCTCATTCGGTATGAGCATCAGAAAGCCCTCGCAGAGTCTCTGATGCTAGGGCATGCATCACAGACCTCATGGGTCATGGAAAATCTGCATGACAAACTTCTGCACTCTTCCAGACCCAGACATATTTGCATTTGATACCCGTACGACACCTACAACTGCGGGAGATCGTTGCTCAACGCACACCTCCTGGAGCAGGCCGTGCAACCCCGGCCCATGACGCAGCAGGAGTACAGTCGGGTGAAGTGGGGCACGAAGGCGATTCGGACCATGACGCGGAAGGGAAAGAACCTGGGTCTGCTGGACAGCCAAAACAGCGGGGTCTTCACCGAGTGGCTGCGCTACAAGCAGCAAACCGACCGGCCGGACTGGTACGACCGGCATCATTTGACGTACGCAAACGACGGAAAGTAAGACCCGGGAAATAGCAGGCAGGGCATATCTGTAAAAGGCAAAAATCAGAAACACGCGGAAGTTCTTCTTCATCTTGTGTATCCTCATCTTGTGTAATATCCGAAGCAGCATGTTGCAGCTAAGGCGCTGCTTATGGCGGGTCTTTGTGTGCAGTTGATATTTTTGCAGTACAAATAAGCCCTGCCTGGCTGCTTTTTTCTGTGGGATAGGAAGATCCAAACCATGCGGGAGTACTTCGACCGCAAGAAGACCATTCCCGACGAGCAGCTGGATTACGTCATACGAACCCGGCAGAACCGCTACAAATTCGAAAAGCGACCTTGGACGGAGGGTGAGGATAAAATTGTTTTTTTTGGTCCTTGTATAAGAACGACGACCACGACTCCCGCAAATAAACACAAAGAAAGTACTGCCGTTGTGACGAAATGAAAATCATCGCACCTTCCTTCGTGTCAATCTGTGCCTTTTCTGCGACCACAACTGAGGAATTCGTTTTTTGCAAACTTCGAAACAAATTTGTCTCAAATTAAGCCAATAAAGTGCCTATTATTTTATCTATCAGGTAACTGCCACTTTTTCCCCGAGCCTCCATCGGGAAAAGGCAGTCGGCCCACGGTCACGGGGGCGCTACGGTCGGACTGGCAGGACGTGGCTACCACGAGGAAAAATTTGGTAAAAAACATCGAAATATGCATTGCAAGAAATATGTCTGGGTCTGCAAAAAGGTTCATTGCGGAACTTGTGATGTCGAAGTCCAATGCTTTGGAGCTCTGTAATGCATGCGGCGGAATAGCAATGGCGCCGCATCTTTGTCACGAAAAAACACTGTTTCTCATGCGGATTACGCACCGGGAAATGAACGTTCAAAGATTTTTTATGCTTGGCTGCGTACTGCAGTTAGTAATAGTGTTAGTCCGTCAGACTCAGAAGTTTTATCTTAGCAGGACAATTATTTTCAGACCTCGATATATTTCCAATGCATACGAAAGAGAAACGTTGCTCGGGGACGAAGTGAACGAGCGGCGGTATCCTGTGCAAAAGTGTCGTATCCGTAATAATCGCAGATGTGCATGGTGCACAAATTTGCTTTATATATTTATCCCAGCGTAAAAAACCATCACGAAAAACTCGATTTTCCAAGCGGAGCAGACTTCTCGTATATGCGATAATTACTGCTAGTACGACACTTTTGCAATGCATAGTCGGTTTTTGACAGCTATTGCCGCGCGCGACGCTCTCGACGCGGTGGACCCGGAGCTGGGGCGTGCGAAACCAGGAACGGCGCCAGGAAGTACTGTTTTTTTGTCAATGATTCGCTAAGTGGAAACTGTGTTTTGTCATGCGTATTTCCCATGTGAGATTGGATTGTCATGCGTAGAACTGCGTGAGGAATGAGAAAGTGTGGATTTTTTCAACTCCGCAGACCTGCTCTCCGCGAGCACGAGCACGGGAAACGGCAGTGTCGATTGGCGAGACGATTTTGTGCGCTTGGAGTCGAGGCTATGCAATGCAAATCATGTTCCTGCCCTTTTCGACGTTATCGAGGTTGTCATGTGGAATCTGCTTAAATTTGAACCTGAGGCCATGTACTTATGCAAAATTTGCAACGTACAACCTATTTCTACGCTAGTTGTAGTGAGGCTCATGATGTGGATCTCAAGTGTAAATAGACGCATGCTCCTCTTCTGTTTCCATCTGCTAAAGAGTTGTGTTGCGCACACTGCGTGGTCAGGCGGACGTCCTGTCCGTGTGGTTCGGGGGTGAGGGTGATTTTGGTGCATACGGGAAAAATTGGTACCTGCACTCGACCTCTCGCGAGTATTTCAGTCCGGAGAAGACCGACTGAAGTTTTATTTCACAATCGAGTACTATTATCCAAATGAACACGTAGGTGATATTGATGAACAAAGCTAATATGCAAAAAATGAACAAATTCAATACCGCGTTTTGCTAGAATGAACACTAACACTTCTTGATGGGCCTGGGGAGAGCTGTTGTACTTCTCACGTCGAGATCGACTGACTTTATGATCCAGCGAGTCCACTTCTTCGAGAATGTATTTACGTTTCTGAACTTGCTTTCACTCTTGCAGTCGTCCTACAGATGACCAGGACTAGCCCTACGGATAGTCCTGGTGTACAGCTACGAGAGTAACATGGGTGGAGGACCACCTTTCGCCACCATGGGTGCAGCAAGGTGGGCCTGCTGTATCTCTGAAGACTGTAGGAATTTTACGATTTGTTGTTGTCACTGCTCCGGTCGTGTCAAAGAACTTCGTTTCCCTTGTACAAACAACGGTGCTTGCCTTGTACAAAAACGCAATAAGCCAGAACGAGTGGAGCAATAGCAAAACTTTGACGAACACACAACTACTGTGAGTCGTCTTCTTCTACTTCCCGCGAGCTTCATTCTCTTTCGGCAAAGTTGGCAGAGTTCCGGGGTTGATGTTTTACGAGGACTAAGAAGATCAAGATCCGTGCTTCGATCTGTGATCACCTCCCTGTCGTGCTAGGAGTCGGAGCCTGCTATCGTCGAATTCTTTCTTGCGTACGGCAAGAAATTACTTACGCCTGGTCCAGATTGCGATCTACTCACTGCGGTCAACCACTAAAAACATTCCGCTTCACAGCCCGCCACTTTGTACTTGTCTCCCGCGCGATGCCCAGAACGCGGCTTCTGTTGCGGCTTTAATGTGAAGGAAGATCAACGCAAGATCAAGCTGGAGGGGAACTTCACAGTGAATATCTTTCGACAGAGATTTGATTTGGACTTCGCACTCTTCGTTGGTTGTCGTGTGAAAGCAAAGATAAAGTTTTTGTATGAAGTTGTGAAGTGCATACATTTCTGAACAAGAAAGTTCTCGTCGGTAATTTTGAAACCTACGTAATATGGTAACATGGACAGTCCTTGTTCCCGATCATGAGTGGTTTGTTTTCGTACGCCCGACCGCGAGACACGCGGCCGGTCGCACAGCTGGGTGCGGAGCTGCGACTGGCGGCGCAGGCACGAGTGCACCGGTCGGGTACGGTACAGCGATTGCTAGCGGCAAGGGTAAAAAAGAATACATGCAACACACACAGCAAAGAGTGGTCTGCCATCAACAATCCGTCTTCGAACAAGAGACACTTGGCCGAGGACGACGTTGGAGGTGTGTGCAACGACCTCACGATAGAAGATAACTCTGGCGTAAACAGCAGCGGAAGTTGTAGTAGAAATAAAGCTCGTGCAGTCGGTGGGGGGAACGAGCAATATTGTTTACCGCCTGTACGTCATCGCGAAACCCAAAGCTCATCGGGGACGGTCACCTCTTCTTCGCCACATCGCGGCAGTTTCAATAAGAGTCAAAAAAATCCGGCGTTACTAGTAACCACACCAAGTGGACGAGGAGGTAGAAGAACCGCAGCCCCACCTCGCGAAGAAGCAGAGCCGCTGTTCGGGGGCCGACAGGCGTCTTTTCGGTCCCCTGAGCTCCCGGTGCCGACGGGGTTCGCTGCGGAACGGCGCGCTGCACGAAATTCTATTGGGGACGAGAAAAGTAGTAGAGCGGGAGCCACCTCCGAGCAGGGCACCGTAGGGCGTGACGAAGGTGAAAGAGCTAGACTCCTCGGAGCGGCACGAGTCGCTAGTCTGGAGGATCCGAAAACGCTGGGTCTTCATATCAGATGCAAATGTGCTGTCTGGGTCGGGAAGACTGCCGAGGTTTGTCACGCTGCTCTGACACGAGAGAAGAACCTGCCCTGCTCAATGCGATAGTACAGACTCCTTGCTTTGCCATGCAGAAATGCGGTCTCTCACTCCGTTTGCGTATGACAGAGCCGCTCAAAAGATTGTCATGCCTGGCTCTGACGAGGAGGCTGCTTACTATCCGCGCAGTAGCATCCCAAGTTTTTTTTTCCGGACCCTGACATATTTGCAATGCATACTTCATCGTGCAGATGATCCCGATAGAAATGATTCGCCGAAAAATTACAGGTATGCATCGCAAATACCACTGGATGTGTGAGGATCTGTGTTGCTGGTACTCGCGTCGCGGAGTAACTGCTTGTATGGCGCAACAGCATCGGAAGCTTTGCAAGGCTTATTGCAGATTCATTGGCAAAGCGAATGGCAGACTGATTTTCCACGCATGACAAAGAAACTGGCTGCTCGTATTCATGCATTTCTTTGAGCTGCTCAGCCTTCGAACCCCGCATCTCAATTCCAGAACACCAGACATATTTGCAGTGCATAATAAGCCGGTCGTTCTGAAATCCGGTAGCGTGGTGCGGCCGACGAGGTACCGGCTGTTTCTGCGTTGCTCTTATGCATCGCAAATATTTCTCGGTCTGGAAGGACGCAACTCTGATGCTGATTCACGAACGGGAAAACATCTGCGTTGCATAGAGGGCAAAAGATATGCGCTTTTTGTCTCCTCGAGAGGGTGTTTAGGCATGCAGAGGTCTTCACAGAGTTTCTTTGTGATGCTCTGTGTGCATTTCTGAAAAAAATGCATGCCAAGTGTCTGGCTTGTCCCAGACGAGCGAGACACATTTGCAATTGATAGCTCCCGAAATTTTGCGCGCAGCACCGTGCGGCCCAGGGCCGAGAGGGACCGGACCCGCGGAGTCAAGCCGCATTTGGGAACCGAGGCCCGCGTTCTTGAGGGGACAAGTGATCCTGGTACGGCTACTCGTACCGATATGAGCTACTCTGGAGCAGGATCAGCACGCCTAGCACCCACGTCAACAAGTGCTGTGCTGGCACCGTCGCCGCGACCCTGGGTTCAGGACTTCGTTTCGTCGGGGGACGCAACGCCAGATGGTAATCAAGATCAAAGGAGAAGAATCAAGGAAAAAGCCCCATCGACGAGCCAGCACTACTACAATCCGGGCCTGTACGAGGAGCGGAAGCGGCTCCGGAACTTCCTCAAGTACGAAGTTCTGAAGTCCGACCAGGCCCGGATCCCCGACATTTTCATCCCCATCGATAAGCCCTACTGCGCGATCGTAAGTTTTGCCGACCCGCTGCAGCGGGACCAGGTTCTGCGGGAGAAGCGGAAATTGTTCGAAAACGCACAGCTTTTCCTGCCGGGCGAACTGGAAACGGTGGAGGTATACGGGAAAAAATAATTTTGATTTTCGGGGAGATGAAAATTAGTAAACTGTGAAATGAACTTCTTCTGCGTGTCGAAATTGAGTATGTTTTTTTTTGAGTGAAAAAATGATGTGGACTATCGCTAAAAGCGGAGAAGGAGAATTTTTTTTTAATCAGAAATAAGATCTGCTCAGCCACTCCGTCTTCGATCGATTCCAGCGCGCGTGAAATTCTGATTTCCACCACCCTGCGTAGCTGCTAAAGCTCGCTTGTTCCATCACCAACTAGACAGTGACAAACAAAAACAGACTCTCTGTCGCTGCCTTTCCTGTCCATTTAGTCGTCGCGCAGCTCCTGTTTGTCAGTTTCATGGTATATTACAGCTCCAAGAACTCTCTTGTCGTACTCTATTAACTTGCGCCGCCTTCATTTGTATGTCGTCAGATTTCCGGGGAAAAAAAGTCGTGGGCTGAAAAAGTACTGAATCGTCGCGAAAACGTCGTCGTCGTCGTCGTCAAATATGAGCGAAGAACAAAAAAGCGCCAAAAAATAGAAAAACACCCATTGGTCGATAATTAACCAAAAATAAAGTATAGGAGAGGATACCGGTTTCCCCACCTCGTAGGAAAACTTTGATTTGAAGGTAGGTTAAGACTCGGAAGACAAACTGTGGATGGACAGTTACAGAACTACAAAAACAAATGAGAACAACCAAAAAACTCGCGGCTGACTCTACGCAACCACTGTCAAGTTTGTGACGGTAGTTCATGAAGTGATACCAAGAACAACTTTTTTTTTCGATAAAGAGCAACAGTATGTCGAGCTAATTCGAGGACGTATCTATTGTATTCCAGTATTCGGCGTTTCTCTTGCTCATCGCGGGCCTCAGTCGCTGGAAGCCAAGGAGCGACTCAGAAGCCGGATAGCTCCACTCGCTGCACCCCTCCTCGTGCTTCAAGAAGAGCTACCCTCTGCAGGGCTGCCAGGTGCAGAAGGTAAGGAGCATGTCTTTTGTTGAACATCAGTCGAAAACAAGAGTTTGCAGAGCCAGGAAGAGGGTGATCTTGACAACTTAGGTTTCCGTTTCCTGTTTTGAGCGCATGACCCGGTTTGCACGATGCAACTTTTCAGGTTTGTCTAAGTACGCACGAGTGCTAGAGCTGTCCACTTCTGCGTCGGAAACCCGCCGGGACACACACTGAGGTGCGACGCAACTGTCTACGGGCGGTAAGTAACACGAGGGAGGCCGGCAGGACGAGACAAAAGACGGACAGAGATTTCGGCTCGGGACGCTGCATTTGACTCCGTAAGCGTAAAACTAAGCGGCTAACTTTGATTGATGCTGCATGAATTTCGGGTCATAGGGTACTGCACTGAGAAAAATACGTGGTAGTGATGCATGAATGAAAAAAAAAATGGAAATACATTATCCGAACTGCTTCAGGTGCGTGTGGGTGACGGGGACTGAAACGCAAGGTCACTCCTCGGGTTGCATCACCACCTCGGGTTGCCCGAGTCTGCTCTACCTGGTTTTCGTTCGACTTGTACAGCTACCTTCTACGTGGTGCCGACTTGAAATTTCCGACCTCGCTTGCAGTCGCCAGAATTATGGTGCGGCTGTCTCCGTCGAAGGTCGAGCTGCTCGCCCGTCGCGGCGCGGTGCCGTCGTGGCAAAGGCAGAAAGTTTCCCGGAAGAACGTCTACACAAAGCAGCGATCCAGCAAGAATGCGGCGGCAAAAGCCAGCGCGCGGAAGAATTGGTCCGGCGGCGCGGTCGGGCTGCTGCTCGCGGGTGGGGCACTCCAAAGCTTTTTGAGCACGTGGCGGATCGCAGTTACCGCGCTCGAGGTTCCGTCGCATCTACGGGAGTCGGGAGCGGCCACAGCTACGGCTTTTGCGGAGGAGGAAGACGAGTATTCAGACGTGGCTACGCCCACCTGGGACGCAGAATATTCTAGCAGATGGAGCGTGTCTCCATTCAGCGGCACCGCCAGCCACCTCCAAGTGGATGAAGATGGAAAACCTGTGGCTCCGACTTTTCCCGTGTCTACTTCGAACGCGGCCAGGTTGTCCGGGAAGAAAAAGAAAAACGGTGTTGAAGCAACAGCAGGAGAAGTGAGCAATTCCCTCTGGGAAATCGACACGGCATCAGGAACAGTTTCGCCTACACCGAGGGACGGACACACACCAGACCACCACTCGACTGCGTTCTCGGAACTGTCCGCCGGTGAGAACAGTAACACGATTCTTCCCGAGGCGGACTACAGCGCCCTGCCGTCGACAGGAGTAGCGCCTGTTTCTCCTACGCTCCCGTCTACTTTTAACGAGGTTGTGACTACCTCACTCGACCGCAATGCCGATGTTGGACCAGCTACCGCAGCGGCGCCGAGCTCGGCGCCAGGTGAGCAAGCAGATCGCAATCCTGTGTCTTTCCCGAACGCGACGGGAACGGCTTCTCCTCGCGAAAGTCCCTTCCTTGCTCATCATGCTGCGCGCAGGGCGGCGATTCTGAAGACTGCGGGGCCGCAGCTCGCTACGTTGACGCAGCAATTGAACGTAACAAAAGACGAGGCGGAGATCATTGTGCTTGCAGAGGCGCAGCTGGGACCGAGAAACCTGCGCGACTACGGACGCAGTGGGGCTTTCGACCGCTTTGTCGAGCTCGACCTCGATGCAAACGGCGTGTTGGAAATTGCGGGAGAGGTGCAGGAGTTCTGCCCACGTTCGGCAGATCTGGACGGAGACGGAGTGTTGGATGTTTCGGAGCATTGGGCACTGTGCGGGCAAAATCTTGTGGGGGCGACGAGCACCTCCTCGGACGGACGCAGCGACACGACCGGGGGCGGAATTGGAATCGGCGCAGCGCCACCAGATGGGCGTGAGCTCTCCCGCAAAATTTTGTGGTCTCCCGCGGGTCACTCGTTCGTGGAGCGAGAATTGCGGATCTGGTCGTTGTTCAGTTGTTGCGATGGTCGCAATAAACGAGTGACGTTTATTGCGGACGAGAAGCAGCTGGCGACTTCTATTGACGGCGCAGGCACTGATGTCCCGTTGGATACGTGGAACGAAGGGTTGCAGGAAATACACGAGGGCCAGGCAGAACGGAACGGTGACGTATGGGTGTACAATGCCTTGAAACGGAGCTCCAAGCAAGGAAAGGAATGGAAAAGAGATGAGGAGGACGTGGAAGAATAGAGGCACGGGAAAACGCAATCAAGAACAATCCCGATTCCTACAAACGAAGAGATAGGTTGAAGCGATTGAAGGAGACGGGGCAAAAAGTTGCTGCGTGGTATAACTCACCCATGTACTTTTGGAAAAAGTAAGAAATTTCAACGATGAAAAAATAAAAAAGGAAGCGAAGATGAAAATGACCTGTGATGACTTCTGCGCCTCGAAGTGTGTGATTTTTTGAGCGAGAGAATGGTCTGTAATATCGTTACAGTCGGAGAAGGGAACTTTTTTGCCAGAAGCAACATCTCCACTCGCTCCGCCTTGGCGGCGGCGCGCGTGCAGTTCTTGCCGTGCGCAGAACTCGTGTCTGGTTCATCGACGCGCCACTCTAGACTGTCGAAAACAGTGGCACTTTTGTGATCGTTCGCGAGCGTGTTCGGCATGATCGGTGATTTTTCCGAAAGGACATTTTCTTGCGGCGCTCTGCTGCTCACTCCGGCGGCGTCGCTCGGGGTGAGGCAGAGAAGCTGTTTTCTACATTACTTAGAGGAATCTGTTGTACATTGAAAGTCGCTGAATGCCGAAAAGCTAATATGGCTGATGTCGAAGTGTGATCCTGATATGTCACCGTGAAACCTTTCTTGTTTGCTGTTTTTTACCTCGACAAGCGGCGCACGTAGAGGGTTGCAGGACCATCACCTAGATTTGTAGGGAATGAAATATTTCCTTTGAGGATCTACTAGCAAAAGTGCTTCATTAAAAAGAACCAGTTGACCATGTTCACGGGCGTTTTCCTGTTTGGCGGGTTCATTTTCTTTTCCGTGTACCGCCATTTTGTCACGTACAGCAGCTCTCTGGCCGGCAGCTGGTGGGCGGCGTATTACCTGTGGTTCTACCTCTTTCTGCTATTGCTCTTTTGCGTGGACCTGTACCATATGCCTTGCAGATATGATGTCTGGGTCGTCTGGAAGAGTTCCTGATGCGGATTCGGGAGCCGGCAAAAATTTGTATTGTATGAGTTCCAAATGAAGCTGTCCATTTCGTGCTGCGCAAGTGGAGAATTTCTCATGCGGGGTAGGCATGAAGATCAAGAGGCCTTCGCCTTCTGCGCAAAACCTGTAAAATAAATGCTTCTGAGTGCAGTACTAGAGACCAGGTGGACCACCATTTTTGCGTGATCCAAAAGATGCATGACAAACTAATGCACTTTCTTCAAGGAGACCCAGAGGTATTTGCCGTGCATATACCATGTGTACCGTTACGAGATCGTGGAGTACGATTGGCTTACCGCAACGGACAAGTTTGGCATCGGGCTCCTGCCCGAGGACGAGCAGAAGCGGTACTTTTTGCCGAACTGGCTGCGGCTCTGCTCCCTCACCACGCCCATCTTCGTCATCTTGGTGTTCCTCATCTCATTGGTGCACACCATGCAGCACCACTGGCACATTAGCGCCGTGCTTGGGAAGCGGTGGCAGCACATCGTCGCGGAACGAGCGAAGGCGTCCGGGGGTGCAGGAGCCGCCCCCACTTTCCCGCAAGTTGTACCAGAAGAGGGAGGCGAGCACGAGCAAGGGGGCGATGTTGGTCCACCGTCGACGCAGCTGGAGGACAAGAACTCGCAGTTCTATCAGGACCTGCAAGAGTATTTAAACTTTCACACCAAGAGCAGCAGCGATACGGAACAGCATCAAGTCGGAGGTCTGGAAGGTATTAGTGGGAAGCAGGAGATGAAAAGGAAAAATGTCAAGAAAGTGGATCCGTATCTCGAGGCGCTCTTCCCGCACGACCTGTCGATTCAAGTTATTGCACTGCCGTGTGTCTATTCCATGATGGCGTTCAAGTCTGTCGTGCGGGTTTGGATGATGATGACTGCGTTATGCAGTGCAAACATGTAGTCTTGGTCTGGACGTCGAGGAGTGCTGAAACAAGGGGTGCGCATTCGGGATGTCGATGCAAAATGCTGTGATGCATGAAGTGCCGGAGGGCCACATATGAGTCTCCTGCCAGGCGAAAGTCCGATTTCTCATGCTATTTATATGCATCATGTACACTTGGAGCAATTTCTCATGCCTGGCTGGGTAAGGAAATCCGTTGCTCGTGCTCCTGGGGAGACAAGCACTACTATGTTTCCGACTGAGACGTATTTGCAAAGCACATGCGTCCACGCACAACAACAACGTGGCCGACATCGAGTCGCGGAAACAGCTATCGCAAGGGAAAAACAACTGTTTCGCCGTGAACTTGTATTGCAGAGGATGCAACCTACCACCTAGAAGTGTTTGTCTTGTTGTTGCACCACATGCAAGACAGTGGATGCGTGATACCCATGGCAGATTTTTTCATTCATGTGGAGGAAAGTTGTAATGCAAATCGTGGAAAATAGCCAGTGTGAAACAGTTTTTTCGTGCGATAACAGCAACTGATGGACTACTACGAAAGCAACTACCAGTATGGAGGAAAAATACTGTATGAAAAGGGTAACTTTCTTGTTTTGCAGACTATGCAAGACAGTTGCACTTGTGATGCTGGACATTCGTCATAGGCTAGTTTCGTAGGTGTGCGGTTCGCGTCTTACACACGCATATACAACAAGTCTTTATAATTTCTGTCACGCAAAACGTACAAATCGAAATCTGTGAAGCTACTCGCTCAAAAAAGTTAGAGTTACACTGACACGGTTTCTTTCCTGGATACCCAGCTTGCGGACCTGTACGAGGCCTGGGCGATCTGGTGTTTCTCGCGGTTGTGCGTCCGACAGGTGTATGCATTGCACGTGTGTCTGTGTCTGGACGGGTGCAAGGTCGTGACGTATCCTGCGGACCACGAGACAAACGCAAACCTCTGCTGCATTGCATGAAGAGCACGATCCAACTACTTTTTGCTACGGACAGGTGGCATTTCTCATGCAGGATAAGCATCAAGAAGCCCGCACGAAACCCGTCGCAGATGCTGCGTTCTGCACCATCCCAGACACCCTGCGTGGGTCATGCCAAATCTCGGTGACAAACTTAGATCTGTAGAATTTTTTTTCTTGGGACGCCCGGCCCTTAGCCTTCCACCATGACAAACCTAGATCTCCTGCACAACTCGCCCAGACCCAGACATAATTGCAGTTGAGAGTGTGAAGAACATCTCGCGCCAGGAGCGGTGGGAAGGCACAGCCAAGCGCTTATTCAAACCGCTGTCCTCGATCACGCTGCTGGGGGTGCAGACCTTTGTGTTGGTCTACGGGATCAGCTGCTTCTACCAGCTCCTGCTCTCCGTGTTGAAGAAGACGCTGAGCATCGACCTGGAGGACATCCCCGTGGTCGGTTCGGGCATCGAAACGGTCGCCACCTACATCAACGGCGCCGGCTTCGTACCAAGAGTGAAAACTAGTATAATCGCATGCGCGGAATAAAGTAGATAAAAAACGCGTGTGCCGCGAAGTGGTAGTGGAGAGGTTCGTGCCCTATATGTGGCTGTCAGTTAATATTTCTCCGCCACTTTTATTCGATCAAGAGCACAGGAATATCAAAATGAGTTGTACGTCCGAAGTAGATTTATGCGTGGTCATGTCTCGTCCCGATAAAGAAGATGATCACGGAACTAGTTACTTCAGTAGATAGAATCTGTTGCCTATAAAGCACTATGCGCTATAATCTACGACTACTTCACCCTTGGCATATACCGTCGCGTCCTGTCTCGCGCTCTACAACATAATCCTGTTCGAGACGCAGTTGCATGAATGGCTCGACAAGTTCGATCCGTTTTGGAAATTCTGGGGCGCCAAAATTCTCGTCTCGCTCGCGTTTTTGCAGACTTTTGTGCTGTATGCTCTGCAAAAGTATCGTATTCGTACTAATCGCAGCACAGCATGACAAATCTAGCTTGTTACCAGAATCAGCATCACAAATTGCATCTTCCCTGCTGCAAAAATTTGTCATGCTATTTCTACTGGATCGATACTTTTGCAATGCATATGCGAAAGCTGATCCTCGTGGACGTATTTGGGCTGCTGACCGTGCCGCAGGAGATGCTGTTTTACTCCACACTGACGACGATGGAGTGTCTACCGATCGCGATTTATGCAAGAAAAAAACTGTCGTGTGAGTGTAAGTCAAAGTCTGTGACACAGAGCATGCAACACACTTACACTTGTCATGCTGGAAGTGCGTCATAGCCATTGTTCATAGTACGTGTTTTCACGTACTAGCTGCGCACGATGTAATGCAAAGCGAGCTCTTTGTGACGCTGCTCTTCCAGTGGTACACAGTTGGGCGTACACAGTTTTTTTTTCTTGGATACGGTTCTGCACATGAAGGCCTGGAGCCACACCAGCGAGTGGTATACGGACCCGGAGTGGATGCTCGGTAGCGCGGACGCTTCTCTCCACAACTCGCCCCGGGGTTCGGCCGCTGGGACGGCAGAAAAGCCAGACTCTAATGCGAGGAAAATAAGCCCAGGAGGTGCGCGGGGGCCGCGCGTTAATCTGTTGGAAACTTCTAGTACGGGGGGCACGGATCACATAAGGGGGTCGTTGGTCAAACCGCTACTTGTGGAGAATCAGTAGCGGAAGCGTGTGTGAAAAAAGAAGCGAAACAGAAGAGTGCTTTCGACCGGTGTTCTTGTGCATAGAAACAAATACACAGGACCCTCATGATTTTGTTTTTGAGGCTTCCGCTTCAATACACAATACCTTCACGACTTGAACAAACATGTGGCGCAACAATATGTTTTCGCACAATGCTTGCGAGTGCCGTGCGTGGTCTGCACTCGAATCTTGCATTGATCGATCTACTCCATGAAAAAAACCAAACTGTAGTCGAACAAGCGACTAATACCACGGCATGCTAGAACTTCTGTTATTTACTAACAGAAGTTGCATCTCCTGTGCGTCGAGGTGTGGACGTGTAACCTACGCTATGGAACAGCTACGTAGAGACAAGCTCTACTTTTCTTCGTAGTTCTTTTTACCCATCGTTTTGGGTCTTTGTGTGTGTGTGTGTGTGTGTGTGTGTGTGTGTGTGTNAGTTCTTTTTACCCATCGTTTTGGGTCTTTGTGTGTGTGTGTGTGTGTGTGTGTGTGTGTGTGTGTGTGTGTGTGTGTGTGTGTGTGTGTGTTTTCTGCTTTGGAAGTCCGCAGGGATCTGCTTTTGCCTGATCGACGTTTTTTTGCAGGTGGCTGCTAGACGATCCGCCTCTTCGCTTTGTCAGACACGTCGGCCCGCACATGTTTTTTCGATCGACCATTTATTTGTGACTAAACCAACCTTCGCGGTTTCATTTGAAGCTTGTCTCGCAGCCGCTTCGGCGTGCGGAAAAACAAGGCCGGCAGATTTTCGCATTCGTTGTGTTCCACATAGGAAAATGGACGTCCCCTCCACGTCTCCCCACAACTATGCGGCCATCGGCAATCCCATCACCAGTCCTACGGACGCCACACCCTACTCGGGCGGGAATGGCTGGGACTATTTCCCGATGTTTTGCCCCATGCGGGCGTATATCAAATGCAAATATGTAGTCTGGGTGGTCTGGAAGCAGGTTACAACATCTGCCATGCAGGTTTCGCATGGCCCAGAGGGTCTGGAATGGGAGCGGTCGCGTCACAAGTTTTGAGGAGGCTCCCGAATGCGCTTCCTGCATGAGAGGTGCCATCTTCTGGCGCGCCGAAAATTGAATGTCTTTTGCTGCTCGCGCAATACAGATTTTTGCATCGTCCAGACGTAGCATGACAAACTCAGCTTCTTCCAGGAGATGCAGACATGTTTGCAATGCATAGCGTGCAACACCACCTACATCGCCTACCAGCGCCCGGAGGACCAGCCCAAGTACGTGGAGTCGACCGGCATGAACGGTTTTGTGCAGGTCATGTATATCAACCGCAAATAGACTCTGTCTGGGTTTACTGTAGGAAAGTTGCCATGCCAAGTTGTGAAGAGTGAAAATAAATGCGCTGCAATTTTTTATGCACGGCCAACTAACTATGAGAAGTTTAAGTTTTTGAGCGGCTCAGAAGTGTTGCGCATTCCGCATGGCAAACTACGTTTTTGCGTGACAAGCGATATGACGTTTATTTGGTGAGCAACTAGACCGTATGCAAATGCATCACCACCTTTACACTCCTGTCTGACGAGAAGCAGGAGAATTATCTCCAGACGTCCCAGAAGATGAGTTGCATTCCATAACTGACATTCTGTACCAATTTTCTATCCGCGAGCAGGTGGTCATGGATGATTCGTTTTTCTACATTTTCCGCGCGCTGGCGGTGCTGGCGGAGGCCATCCGGATTCTGGTCTGCTCCATGCGGTACGAGTTTTGCGCGGCCCAGTCGCCGGTCGATGCGTTCAACCGGTCGGACCCGTTTGCCGGCTTTGCGGCGGTGGACTACCACACGCGCCTGCGGAACGAGGCGTGCTCCATCGCCATGAACTCGTTTTTGATCCTGCACAAGCACCTGGATGGCGTCGTGGAGCCGCTGGCGAGCGGACGGGTGAACTTCTGCGAGGAACTGTTTTTGAAGGGCGAGCTGACGGAGATGCTGCTCAAAGTGCCCTCGGTCATTTTATCCGAGTGCACAAGCCGAAGCCCACTGGTGCTTCCTCCTTATTTGTCATGCAGAATCCCGACAATTATAAGAGCTGCCTTTTGGCACTGTTTGCATGACAGATTGATTCTGGAAGCCCAAACAGTAGTACTACGCTAGGCACATCACCCTGTCATGCACACCAGGCTCCACGTGATGTGCTGGCTTTTGTAAATTGCTGTTGATGGTGCCAACAACATCGACATCGTGATTCGGTACTAGCGCGGTCTGTTTAATAGTAGCCATGCAGATGAGGAAGAGGGGGAGTAAGTAGTTGTGCACCACTCGGATACCTTTTGGACACCGTCGTGAAGAAGGTCACCCGGGGGGAGACCCCGGAGGAGGACGCGGGTATTTCCAAGCCGCTAGGGAACAACGGGACGAGGTTCGATTTCGAATCTTTTTTCAACGATACCTATGAATTGCAAAAATGTCTGGGTCTGGAAGAATGCAAGATTTGTCATGCATATTTCTCATGGCCAATAATGCCTGTAATGCACGACCTAGTATGACAGGTTTTTAGAACCCTTCCTGATGCGCCTTCCGCATAAGAAATGCCGTGTCCGCGTAGCACAAACTGGACCCCTCTTGCTTGTCACGCAATACAAATTTTCCTAGAATCCAAAAACAGCATGACAAGTTGCGACCTTCCAGACGCAGACCCAGACATTTTTGCAATGCATAATACCCGGCACTACCGTGACGTTCCCTACGACGCGCGGATTTTCGCCCACATCCGCTACCCCACTGTGTTATGCATTGCAAATTATATGTCTGGGTGTTTTTTTATTCCTGGATCTGGAAGTACATTGGCATTGCGCCTTGTGATCATACCAGATACTCGAGCACACAAAAGTTGTCTACTATTCCATAGCAGCACTGGCACTCCAATTCTTCCAGTCTCGCGAAGAACAAATGGGGAGCGGTCATGCAGGATAGTCGACATCAATGAGCAAGGGCCAAAAATGAGCAGTACACTCCTTGTAAGACGATCACTTCTACATGAAACTAGATCTGCATGACTACTTACACGATTTCATCTGCACGACTTCTCCAGAACACGACGACCAGACACGTTTGCAATTTGATGCGAGTGGAGTCCGAATAAGATCTGCAAGCCCCTGCTGTTTGAGCCGGTGCTACCGGGATACGAGACCAAGCCGCTGGTGAACTGGCAAACCATTGTCCGGCTGTTTGAGCACCGGTGGGTCTTGAACTTCGGGGCGGCCGACGGCGCTTGCGGGGTAATCGGCGACTGGAACCACGACCCCGCGAACTGCCTGCTGCAAAACAACCGCAGTGGCATGGTGATCGAGGGCGATAAGGACCGCATTCCGGACCTAAATGCCACCTTCTTGAACCACACCTCGCTCACACGGTTCTTTCGTCCACTGGCAATCGAGAATGTCATCGCGGTATCCATTGCAGATGCCTACTACTACATGTCTGGATCTTCATGAAGATGTCTCCTGGATGGTGCAATAAACTTGTATTGGCAGGCGAGAAAGCGCGTGGATGCTGTCATGCACGTTGTGCAATAGTAGAAACCGCGCGGCTTCTTTCATCTTTTTGAATCATGGAAAGCCGCAGGAGCTCAATCTTATGCGGAGTTGTAGGCAATGTTGGGTGGAACTACAAGCAGTGAGAACGTTTCATCTCATGCGTGGTAGCAGTACTTAGCCGTCGTGTAAGTATCGATGTCTGTCGATGCCACCCAGATCATGCCAGCATAGCAAGTTTCCAGAGCCAGACACGTTTGCAATTGATGGGCGGAAATCCGACAGCACGTGGAGACGGTGGAGAAGCCCAGGCTGCGAAAAACGTTCGAAGAGATCGTTGCGAAAAACGGTCGAAGAGATGTTGGAAAAGGAGCCCCTGCTCGTCAACAAACCGCTAGCAGCGAGAAGATTTTTGCGCTCACGGAGGACAAAGCGCTCGCAGACCTCGCGTACGCCCCGGCGCTGCTCAAAATGGACATCGACAATGCCGATTGCTACTACCTGCAGACGGCCCTTCAAATCGTGAAGCCGCTGGTCATCTTCTTCGAAATCTGGGCCGACATCCCCCCGCCCTTCGACTACCGCGAGCTGCCGCGCAAACCCTACGCCCCGGCCCCGCACCACGCACCGGGGTGCAGTTTGCAGGCGTTTGTGAACATTGGGAAGGAGTTCGGGTATTCGTTGACGGAAGTTTTACTCGAAGACGCCGTGCTGGTGCGGAACGACTTGCTGTTCGGAAAATTTGCGGACCTCGACGCCGAGGAGACGGTTTCCGAGGGAGTAAGTATCCAAGAAAAAAAGTGTGTAAGTGTAACTTTTTTGCAGAAACAGCATCACAAATTTGCTCTACATGACAGAGAAAACCTGTCATGCGTGGCTTGTAAGGGAAAACACACATGAGAAGAGGACTTCATGGCTGTCTGGCACGACAGGCGTGAGTCTGTTGCATGTTCTGCAACACAAATTTACACTTACACAGTTTTTTTCTTGCATAGTAAGCGCCCGACTGGAGGAGTTCGTCGTACCGTTTCTCTCTGGCGTATGGAAGCGTCAGAATCGAAATTCGCAAAATCGAAAAATTTGTAATGCATAAAATGTAGGGCACGAATGGCCTGTGTTGGGGAGCAGGCAAATGAGACCGATTACAGGCCTGTTTAGGGGAAGGCGATGCGCTGCCGGAGTAGCATGACAGGAGCAGTCTTCCTTGCCTAAACAGCATGACAGGCTGGATTTTGTTGCTCCCGAAATTTGTCATGCCCCACATGGAAACTGAGGCTCCAACTGGTATCGAGTTTATGCATCACAAACCATTTCGATTTTGTTGATTTCGATCCTGACGCTTCCATATGGCGCCGTCGAAGCGGACCTGCTTTCGACCGAAAATCTTCTGCACGAGGGACGAGGGTCGGGAGTACTAGACCACAGCGGGTCATCATCATCATCATCATCATCATCTTCACCGCCTGCAGGGACTTCTTCACTGCAGCAGGAGGATGTAGTTTACGACACCAGTGAATTTCTGGTGACGTCGCTGGAGCAGCACCGGAGAAAGCCGGTCCCCTACGGCGTGTCGTTCTACGATCCCGCGACCGGGAGCGGCCGGGTCTACGGCCACCAGCATTTGTATTGCCAGTTCGGGAAGACGACACAGGAGAAGATGATAGGCGAGGGCAAAACTACTTCTACCACCTTTGGTGAAAGAAGTACTTCGGCAAGCGATATTAACCGGCCCGCCTACCTCCGAAGTAATCTGACCGAATGCTACCACGACCTGGCGGTGCACGCACTGTACGCCGACGGATTTTTCTGTCACCCGCAGAGCCGCTGGCTGGTGCGACCTGACAAGATCTACCAAGTCGATTGGTCGCTGCTGATGGACCAAAACTCGCCTCTGCCATTACGGGAAAACCTGATTCATGATGTGATGCGAGCGCGGAGGTGGCACGCTGGGCTCCGGGGTGCAGCGCTGGAAAACAGGGACAGTTACTACTTGGAGTATCCGAAGTAGTTGTAGGCGAGAAATATATAAAGGCATCTCAGTTCTTGTAGTACCAGAAGCAGACAGGTCGTGGTCGTGCTGTCGCTGTTTGAATGAAACGAAAACACGTGATTAAAGATCCTCGTCTCGCGATTTTATGAAAAGAATGAGGAGCAAGGAAAGGAAAGGATCAAGAAGAGGAGGCGCCAGCAACGGCAATACTGTTGCTGGATCAGCACGAGGAAGGTTTTTGTCTGGCGCGAAATACTTGAGTGAAGGCTGTTCTGCTCCTTCGGTTCGTGCAGTCATTGCTATGGTTCCTGTTGTCAATGGGGACCACCTGTTTCTACTCGTGGTTTCAGTTCACGTTGTATTGCCAGAGAAAGACATCAACTTTTTGTTCCTGCAGCGAGCGGCGTTTTCCGCGATCATGTTACTTATCTTGTAGGGCTTTGTGGTCCCTTTTTTCGCCCGATTCTAGAATAGAAGTCGATCACGACCTAGAGTAAGACTTAGTAATAGTGTGTGTAGCGATTATACTTCGTTTAGCGAAGTGGAAGTAGACAACGTTGAAGTATGACCACACGTGATCTATCATGGCACAACGTTCAGCAGGGTGGAACTTTTCCGATGCATTAGCATTTGCACCCGATCAGAAGTCGGGAATGAGGATCTTCTGAATCGTATTCTAGTAACCGCACGAACGAGATAGAAACAACAACGAGGACTACAACCATCTGGCATGAAAAGGAAAAACGGAGATCATATTAATTTTATTTCATTTTGTTTGTCGATCCTGTTGTACAACTTTGTTGCTGCGGCGAGCGTGCGAATGCGTGCGCGAAGATGATTGTGTCACGACACGAACTTACCGCTTGTAACTTACTGCGAAGAGGACCACCCCGACAACATCAACACTCGGCAAGATCTCTCTACTTCGTCTTAGAGTAGTGCGTGGTATGGTACTAGTGCAGAGTAGTTGTATAATTGATGAGGGCTTCGAAGAAGATCTTGAAAACTCGGAACAACAAGCGCAATGTATATACTTAACTAACAACAATGGGAAAAGGAACATCTTCTACTTCAGACACGTGCTTCTCTTCATCGGGCGACCATTGGAATTCTTTTCCCGATTCAACAGGAACGGAGAAGCGAAGATCAAATCTGTTTTATATATAGCTGGACGTCGGAGCTAACTTAACTTATTCTTATCCAACCTAGGGCTAGGAGACAAGCAGGCAGGGCGTTTTAGTGCAGCCGGCCTTAATTAAGAATCCTAGACATTAGCAAGCCCAAGCTGCTGCACACTTACTCTTTGGTTGCTCACAAGGGAAGAGATCTTCCGCTAGAAAGGGTGCTTCCCCGGGGTGGATGATTGCATTTTGAATTTCTATACGTCGAATTGTATCGATTCATAGAAGCCCGCGACGGTGATCCAACGTTTTAGTTTTGTGAAGAAGATAAAAACCTAGTTTCTAATGTTTTAGTATGTAAAAAGAAGGGATCAGAAGCGGCCACAGAACCAATTTTTCGAAGCGATAGAACCAGTGTGTCCGTACTTGCAGTTTTTTCATTGCAAGCGATCAAATTTTACTGTACTACTAGAGCGCCCGTTGTGAAACTGTCCGTGGCGCAAGACGACAGATGAAAGAACGGGTCGCATTGAGAATCACTTGTATCATGGTTTTATTTTCAAAGGGAGATAGTTACTGCTTGAGGTTTGAATTTTGAAACTACTTGAACGTGGTTGGGTTTGTATCGGGCAATTGATTTTGAACACCATTGACTCGACAGGCGGGTTACCAGTGTACCCCATCCGGCTTTATGGGAAATGATAACTCGACGGTGTGGTTGTAGTAGTAGGAAAATACAGAATCAACAAGTCTAGAAATTCGCTGGTACAAAAATAAAGTAGGTTTGATCATATTCATAGCTAGAAATCGGAAGAAGTCGCTACTATCCTGCGCGAAAGCGAATCGAGGCGAGGCATAGCTGTTGTGCAACAAGGTGTGACGAAGATAAGACAGATGAATACAATTGCAGCTGCGTGCTTATTGTAAATACAAACTGACAATAATATCGATTTTTTTTAAGAGCGTAGCTTATGAAAAGTACCTGTTTTCCGATATAATAATTCTTTTCATCATCTCGACTTGCTCGGGCAGCAGTACTATCGAACAATCCGGTGAAGGTCCTTATGCACGAGGAAAGTAGTACTATGGGAGTTTCTTCAGGTGGGAAATCGACACAGGGGTTGAAAAAGTCTGCGATGCATAACCTCGGCACCAGGCGGATCCGCAATACTTATCTGAGCGGCGCATGACAAATTTCGGCAGTTTTAAAATTCAACTTTTCAACATGCTGTTTGGGCAATAAAGAGGACTGATTTCGTCTTGGTACTTTGGCAGCGCTACTTATCGCCCACGACCGCACACAGCTTCAGGATCGCCCTCTTTTGCCTGCTCTGCGAGACCTCGCATTTTATGCATTGTAAATGATTTCAATTTTAGTTCTGTCGATTTCGAGTTTGGGGATTCCATAACAAGCTCGGGCTGCTGCAGTGTGAAAAGCCATGGGTGGGATCTTCACCATAGAAGAAGCAGCACAAGATGAGTGATTTTATGAAAGTCATCGCATATGCGGGGAATTTTGATTTCTTCAAAGTGGAAGCAACAGGGTGCATTTATTTTGACAAATCGCGTGCAAGCAAGAGAATAATTTTTGCTCTGCCTTGTCATGGCTTCGGGAGATGATCTATGCAATGTATCTACTTCGCTATCGGCTTCCATCTTGAAGATCTAAAAACTCTCGCATTTGAGGCTGGCATATTCGTAAAGCTATCGAAAATGAGGAATGCTTGTACCGATTGTGAAACATGAATGGTATCAAAGATGAAAGTTCGTGTCCGTCATTATGATCGTGGTCTTTGCAATTTTGAAAAAACTGTGCCTGTGAAGATTGATGCATGCCAATGCAAGACACAGTCGAGCATCTTCACTTCATCCGTTGTTTTTCTGCATCACAAGACAAGTAGAGGACAACAATTACAATTTAGTCATCTGACGCAAATAAAAGTAGTGACAGTGACAAACTTTCTTCGCTCCATACAGGATCACAGCAGCACGTAGCTATCAGCACGCACCGCCGCGGGAAGTATGTTTATGGAGTCCGATTGAAGATTATGGCTATTGACTTACTGCTATCCTGTGGAAAAGGGTACTAGTACTACTCACTCGTTCATGTTCATTGTCATCTGACAGGACTGTCATGTTTTTCCCAGGTCTGGAATAAATTTGTTAGCTAGCGGCCTTTATTCCATATAAAAAGCCGCACTTGATGTCATGCGTTAGTCCAAAAAAATGAAAGAGCTGAATTTGTCAAGTATATTTGCCATCTTGTTGACTCTGCTGGACCATGGGTGAGTACCTGTTTTTACGCAGGATAACAGCTATAGTTGAATTGCGAACGCGAAGTATGCTCCACCGCCGCCGTGTCAATTATTCCGCCCACGAGATAAAAAATGGAACGCAAAATGTTTGCCCGATTTTCTTACGGATTATTTCTGATAGTTAGGGTATTGCCGTATTTTTTTTTCAACAGAATTTCTAAATCGACTGTACTACTTCTCAAACCAGCGCACGACAATATTTTGTACTGAACAAAAGATAAAAACGGTAAAAAAAAAGCAAGCAAAAATATTGTAGGAAAAATAGCAAGAAACTCCCCCTCGTCCCCACACTCGAACGGGGACTTGTGACGGCGCACGAAGAGGAGCAAGTTGATATGAAATATTGCATAAGGGACAGCCCCTAGCCCAGGCTTTCTTACGCATTTATAATTTGGAGGCTATTTCAGGTGCCAGCACTGTTCCATCTTGGAATATTATTATAGCAGAGGGAACTGGTCGTGTCATCCCGAAAAGCGGGAAAAATTTTATTCGCTACACAGGCCTAGCATCCGCCCAGGATGTTGCCGGGATGCCATGCAAACGGATTGGCTATGACTGTGTATGTTAGTGCTGCCATCTAAGTCTCAGTTTGAGAATGGAAAAGGGGGAGCGTTTCATTTTGATAAGAAAAACTTTTCTTTATGTCTCTGAGGAGAACGAGACTCGGCGACTTTACTTCGCTAAAAAAGAACCGGGCTATCATATCGCACAGCGGCTCCTGAAGGGTCTTTGTCTTTGCGACAGCGGGGCAGAGAGGGGTTGCAACTGGGATTATGTAGGTTTTTATGTACTTAGTATCCACTGAATACGTCTACGTACCCGTGCCATAGTAAGGATGCAATGTCTGCAGGACAAATGAGATCCAGAAGCTCTTTAACTCTAGCAGGACAAGTTGGGAGTATATGCAGAGTATGTACTGAAAAATTGTGGCTGGCTGCTCATATTCCAGCAGATCCACAACTCAAACAAATCAATCGCTTTCATGGTGAGTACTAGGAACGAGCATGATATGGTACGTTTTTGGCACACAGATATGCGCCGTACGAGATTTGCATACAAGCTACGGGGCGGGTACGTTTTGACACAGGATAAGCATCTAGATAGATTTATTCCTCGATCTTATTTCATACGATAAAAATACAACTTGAAACTCCACTCACCGCTACTTCGGTTGTTGCGAGCGTGGAGTTTTTTTAAGAAAAGAGATACTTAATTATACAAGATCTGTAAGTATAATTGGTACAATTATTTACTCCACCAAGAACTTCTGCGAAGATCTGAACTCGCACTAAGCCGCGACAGTCGACAGTAATGAATTACACTCCTCAGTACTAGGCCGCTAGTCATCCTGGCGAACGTACTAGAATTTCACTGCACCACCGGAACGGGCCCCGACCAAGCATCTACAGTAGCGGATTTTGTGTGAAGCTTTTCCCACGGTAAAGCGACCCGATTTTTGCGCGAATCCGCTATATTTTTGGCTCGTAAAAAAGAACCCATCACAGTTTTTTTTTCGTTTGACGGGGGTGTTAGTTTTCTTTACTTTTCAGCCACGACGAGTACTAGCTCGCTGTTGTTTTCCTAGGAAGAGGGGTGGTACTTATTTAACAGCGACAGGCGTTCGGAGATTCTCTTACGAAACATTTTTCTGCTACTCACTGTCTTCGTCAGAAAAATATTAGGTACTTCAAACGACATCACGGGCGCAAGCTGTCATCAGTTGTAACCCGGATGACAGGTGGCGGCGCGCGCGGATTTTTTATCCAGAATAATTTCGCTTGGCCCTTGCGAAAAAGAAGTACACTTATTTATTTCCCTTTGGAACTACAGCACTTTTATTTTTAAGGAACTCTAGCTACACCGTGAAAAATAACAAGAAAATGAGTTTTACCCTCCAAAAAGATTGTTCGTAGAAAAAGTAGTCATGGGCGGTCGGGGCCGCTACGAGAGTAGGGCCAGCCGTGTAAGTCGCAGCGTGTTTGTGCTTCTGATCGCGGCTCGGCTTATCTCTCTAAACGACTTGTCTTTTTTTGGTACGACCTCGACGACCACTAGCCTTACGTTTAATACTTCTAGCGTGTTTAGAACAAATCTCTTGTTCGATGAGGTGTTAGAAATATTATCGCCGACCACGGGCAGCTACACGGAACAACAAGAGAGGCACGACCTCCTGCCGCACTTTTACGGGACGAGGAGTGAAAGTGACGACTTGGGGCAGCTTTTTACCTCCACGTTTACCACCGCCGCCGCCCGAGGGCAACATCTTCAAAGTGCTCACACTCCGACTGCAATGAACCAACATAATGCAGCAAAAATTGCCACAAGACGTACCACCTCCGCCGGCACCACCAGAAGTTCTACATCTTCTTGGGCCACCTCCGGCGGGCCGTTCTGTCTGGCAGCGAGGCCACGACAGCACGACGAAATAAATGGCGAGGAGGAACTACGAGCTTTGGCAAGCAAAGCATCTACTTCGGGCCCTCGGCCGCAGAACGGGGACGTCGAGAGGACTACGCAGGATGGTATATTTAGAATGGGTCAAGAACTACAAGGTGATTCCTTAGCGCCGCCGCCCGCTGCGGCGGCACTGACGTCGAGCCAGAAGATGGATGTTTCGACGAGCAGTCTAGGAACGTCGGACAAGAACGTTCAACAGCAGATGCATTCAGTTGCTGAGAGGACGGCGGACCAGTCGTGGGACCGAAGTCGTGGTGCGAAAATAACTTCCACCTTCGCGGACACCCTGTACGAGCAAAATTATGACAGGACAATGGTGGAAGATAATTTATTTCACGGCGCCCACTTGCCTGGCCCCATGCCTGGCGTCGGAGGAGGATTCCCGAGCTTGCCTCCTTACTTGATGGACGACATGGTTGTTCCCGATGCTAAGCCGATGTACCTCTATGGTGCAGCTGCCGCGGGTCATAATGTCACAGTTATGCCACGAAGCAAAAATAATCTCCACCATTTTTCGCCAAAATCACACGATGTTTTTTGTGATAGGAATTTTGTTGGCTTCTAATAAAATACTATGACTATGATCTCCGATTTTGTAGGTTCTAGGTTCCAAGCATGAATTTCTTCACGATTGGTAAGTACAAACATTTAGTCTTTGGGGTGATCGTGTGATTTTGTGTGTGTGATTTGTGATGCGAAAGCGGTATAGAAGCAGATGACGGGGCATCGTATACATAAGGACGATGAAATGATTTTCATTTTCCACTTCTAGCGCCCCTTTGCATGTTGTTCCTTTACCAAAAAAACAAACGCTTCCGCCATAAACCACCCGCTTTGACGAGGTTAGATTGCTTGCTTTGGATAACAAGTATGCCCTGCAAATGTGTCTGGGTCTCCTGGAAGAGTCCGAGTTTGTCATGCTAGGTTCGGGCGACACAAAAATATAGATATGTCATCAGTGTGAGTAACAGAATCAAATAAAGCCATCCACTTTTGCGCACCTAAGAATGTTGACATTTCTCTTCGAGGATAAGCAATGCGGACACGAAGCCTTGTCAATGAAAAACCATTCCAGACCTCCGGGGTGATGCGAAACCTGACAGATCTTGCAAGAACCTTCCAGAACACCAGACACAAATTTGCATTCGATAAAATTTGTGCATCAGCACGGAGTAGAAAAATTTATACCTGGCTACACCTCGTCCATGGCGGGTCCTGTTGCGGTTCCCACGTACCACCACCAGCCCGCCCAAGATTACTACACCGACAGCGGTACTATCACTATGTCGGACGTGCACTTGCAGCAAGCGCTAACCCCGAAGTACCCCCTGGGTTTTATTCCGACGGTCGGCTCCAGTATGCCCGAGCCACCGACCCCGCCTCTGGTAGCAGCGCAAAATAAACGAGCAATGCTAGCAAAGGCCCACGACGATGGTGGCGCGAGCAGTCGTGCAGCTGGAAGTATGTTTGCAGGGGGACCACGAGCCGAAAGTATATCCGCTGACTTGGTGGAACAACAACAGGCCTCGTCTTTTGCGAGGGGAGCAGCTGGCCCCGCAGCTGCAGCAGATAATGCAAACACTGGTACTGGTGCCACTGGCTCTGGCAGCAGCTCAGACGTCGCTACGCCGGACCCACCCGCCGTGATTGCGGGCAGGAGTTTGAAAACGGTCCAGGAGCAGATTGCGGCGGCCGAGGAGCAAAAATCCAGCAGAGTTGCCAAGTCTAAGGGGGGAGTGCAGCAAACAACGAATTTATTGAAACCCGCGGAGGCAGCCGCGAGGCCCAGCGCGGGCGAGCTCGTGGGCCGCGCCGGTGCACGACCCGGGCTCAAGCAGTTCGGTCCCCGGAGGTACTTAAGAAGTGAACAGAATTATTATACTGCATCATGTTGAGTTTCTGTTTCTGTTTCTTCTCCTGCTGCAGTTGGTGCATTTTATTTTTTTCGTGTAGAAGTTTTATAATTATATCACATATTTGCGATGCAAAAATAAACACGCAAAAAAATCTCATATCCCAAACAGCGCGCTATGGGGCAGCCCAAGACAGATTTTTTTGTGTATATGTCCTGCCAGCTTTTTTCTCTGGGATAGGTTTTTCGACCAACGACTGTAGTGCTGGTTTTTCTACTTTTTGCCGATCCATGTGTCTTGCTCGGATACTTACAACTACTTAGAATTTTTTTACTTCAAATGAAAAATATGATCAGGTCTAGCAGCGATTCGCCTGATGCGAAAGAGGAGGTATGTATAGGGAAAAAATGGTTCGCGTGCTGCTTCAAGTTCCAGCCTATAGGAGACAGAAAAATGTCTTGTCAGTATGTGTCGTAATTGAGAAGCTTGTTCCGTCTCGTTTGTTTCCGCACTGCTTAGAAATCATTCAAAATCCAGCCTCCTGCATTTTTTTGTCGTAGAAATAAGTAATGAACTTACTCTGCTTAGTTCCTGTGTCATTTCCGGAATCAACATCGCGTTGTGCTGCCGGCGAAACTGTGCTTTCCGGAATCAACATCGCGCTGGGAAATAAACTAACTCAACAGTTCTAGACACATGACCGGTTCGACATCATGCCTGATATTTGATCATAGTATTTTTGCACCGCGCGGCTTTTTTTCCCTTCCATAACTACCCCTGGAATTGAAGCAAGAGGAGCGAAATTCCGACGAAGCTGCACAACTACACGGCGCGCTGCCACAGAAGCGTCATCACGAGGGACGGCCACCGCGGCCTTCTGAGCAGGGACGGCCACCGCGCCCTTCCGATCGGGAGCCGCAGGCAGAAAGTTTTCTGCGGCAGCAACCAGGCACTCTGCCCGGAGGAGGACTACATGTGACAGAAGCCGAACGAGAGGTATATATTAAGCGCCTGGTTGTTCTTCATGAAAAAAGAAGTAGAGATAGTACAGATCTAGATCATGTTTTGTCGACCACAGCGCAGTTATATGGTTTTTATAACTTCCTTCATCTTCTGCACTCTCGTACAATAAAATAACAGCATTTGATGGGCATGAGCAAGCGGCAAGCGGTCTTGCTGGCTGGACAGCAAGCGCGTCGCGTCAAGGAGCGAGGGTTCGAGGCCCCCGACGGTGGTCGGCGGCAGAACCGGCGCTTGCCAACCATCGAGTCGGCCATGTATCGAATGCAAATACCGATCTGGGTCTGGAAACCACGAAACCTGTGATCATGCTGAATCGATGATGCTGCTATATGCAATACAGAGGATATTTTAGCTTGGGGAAAATAATAAATGCGGCACACGCGGCAATACAGGGTTTGCACCTATGTCCAGACCCAGATCGTTACTTTCAATGCATACCATGAGTATGTGCTCGATTTCTTCGGGCGGGAAAAGCATGGAGCGCAAGCGAACCTGCCTTGGAATCGAGCAGAATTACAAGAACCTAGTGCACCACCAGCACAAGCAAACCATTCGGCAACACGGCTTTGCTGACCCCGCCGGCGAGCAGGTGCAGGTGGGTCCTCCACCTTTAGCGCCATGTGCAACAGCACCAACTGGGGCCATCGCTAGCGTCGGAGGAATGGCTCCGTCCTCGTCCTCTACCTCCCGGGCAGTTGCTCACCAGCAAGAACATCACCCCGATATGCATTGCAAATATTCCTGGACGTCTGGAAGAATGGGAACTTGAACTTGTAAAGATTTTGCGTGTTGCGGTTCACACAATCTGTGTTGCCTGACTTGCAAAAGATGTCTACTTCTGGCCATGCTGGGAGGGCGGGATTTCTCATGGAGGATGGGTACTTATCACCAAGCGGCTGCAGAAGCTGTGAAGATGCTAGGACGTGCATAATATTTACAGACTTTTGTGTAGTTTGGAAAAATTGCATCACAATCTTCCAGACCCATATCGATATTTGCATTTGATACTCGAGCCTGTGGTCCAAAAGTTCCGAGCGGAGGCGGTGGCTCTGGAAGAGCTCCGGCGTGCGCTGCACGCAGATCCGGATCTCGCCCGGCACAACAGGACCTCCACCACGACTTCCCGTGCAGCTCGTGCGCAGTCAATACTAAACTCGAAGTCCGCCACCTGCTTCACGACCGGAAGCAGATCCTCCACGCAAGTGGAGGAGCAGCGGCCGCCCAAGAAGGCACTATTTGTAGAAGGCGCTTCAGGTGGTGGAAATAAAGTTGGAGTTCGTCACCTAGTGCCACCAGCTACTACTTCTTCCAATTTAGCTGCGCTACAAGAGGAGCACCCAGCTGCAATGGACGATGTTGTTCACCACCACCGCCAGGAGGGGGCCTCTCCTTCAGCTGTACGAAAACCTCCTTCAGTTGTACCACAACAAGAACTTAGGACTTCTGCCTCGGCGCAGGCGGTGGGCGGTCGCGCCAAGAAGACCAGGGGCGAGCGCGAAACTATTCCACCGCAGAGCACTCCTACGAAAATAAACTACGATCAAGAGGACGACGACGAGCCGATGCTTGAAGCAGCAGCGAATGACAGTACTTCTAGAAGCCGGGGAGGCAGGAGTACTACCAGCAACGCTTCGATGTCCGTGCAAAGTGGCGGGAGTCATCGCTCGATGCTGAGCGAGCCCGCGCAAGAACGGAAGTCGCCCGAAGATGATCCACCTGAGGGAGCAGGTTTTGGCCCCGCGGCAGCGCAGCAGATCAAATCCCGTGCAGGACCAGCGGCGGCGGAAGGTCCCAGTTCGGTGGGAGCAGGAGGTCTTTTACCTGCAATTTTCAAAAATAAAGGCCGCACTGACAGCAAGAAGAACTTCGTTCAAGGCAGCAGCACGACCCCTACCAATGGCAAAAATACATCTTCTTCTACAGGAGGATCACGACTAGAAGCAGGTGGACCACGACAGCCTGGTCTTGTTTTGTTTCCGCCGGTGGTAGAACAAGCTCTGAATGACCGCAATGGATTGCCACACTTTCAGACGCGATCAAAGCAGTTCGAGGTGGACCCAACTGTTTTTACACCATCATCTTCGTCCTCGACGACGCGCGGTGGACGCAAGAACAACAAGGCTCCAGTTTATTTTCCGCTCCCAGCCGTTTGCCCCCGCCCGCCGGTGGCGGAGCAGGAAGTAGACTCTTTCTTCAAACTTCGAAAGGCGGAGACGCCGTGGGATGGTGACGCGTGGTTTCTTGTGCGGGCGAAAGCGTTGGCCAACGCGGACTCCAACGCGGCCGAGCTGGCGGCCCAGCCGCTCCCTCCGCGCGCGCGGGAGCCCCGACGCCCCCAGCCCGGGGAGGACCCCGGGCCCCGGGAGACCCAGTGGCGGCAGTTCCGCGAGACGCTGGCCTGGCTCGCGGGACGCCCTGAGGCGTTGGCGACCGGGGCGCTCGAGTTGGACCGCGAGTTGCGGGCGCACGGCGTGTGGCCCCTGATCAAGCGCGAGCCGGCGGCGCTGGAGGAGCTGAAGACCTGGCACGACCGCGTGATTGTGTCGATGCAGCGACGACATCTGGCCGAGCGGAAGAAACCCTTTTCGCTGACCAACCATCTGCAGAAGCTGCTGCGGGACATGGAGCAGAATTACGGCTTCGAGAACATGACAAATGAAAAGATGCGAATGATCATGGAGAATTGGGGCATGATCGCCATTCTGGAGCGCGACAAGTTTGCGCAACGCGAGATGTTTGTGTGGAACGAGCACCGCATCCAGACGGCGATCGCAAGGCAGCAGAAGTACTGTGTCCGCCCTACCTCCCACGGGCGCATGCGAGCGACCATTCAGAACGTCCGGGAACGGGCGGCGTTGGCGAAGCCCCCGCGCGAGGAGGCTTTTGCGGCTGAGGCTGTTCTTGATAGTGGTTACACAACCGCGAATACGACAGCACATCTTCCTCAATTTGCCGCTGCTAGTATCCTATTTAAAAACGTACCCACCCCATAGTTGTAATGCAAATCTGCATGCTGAAAATGTTTCTCATGCGGAGCCCCATGAGAAGCATTTTCTAATCGTGTTTTGCAATTTGTCATGCTCCAATCAGCATGGTATGCTAGATCTGTGATGCTGCTGAGCTAGCTCAAACAGCACTACACTACGAATCCAAATTTGTCATGCAAAACAGCCAAAACTTGTGGATTTGTCTAGCCGATTCCCCATCTTGACTATGGTGTGGGGACGTTTTTACTCAGGATAGCTAGTATGAAGACTTCATCCACCTACTTTGACGACGAGGACCCAGAAACCAGAATGGACCCGGAGACAGAGAGGGCCTACTGGGACCTGCTCAGCTCGGGCCACGCGGTCGAGATTTTGCAAGAGCCAGACGACCACCTGATTTGGCACGAACAGAGTCTCGAATGCGAGATGGTCCTGATGAAGCACGACCCCCGCACCGGGCAACAGTTCCCCTACCTGATGCAGGGTCAGAACCTGCGCGATGACTGCAAGTGCACTCCGCAGAAGATGACCGAACAGGAGAAGCGCGACAAGCGCCGGATGGATCGAGAAAACTTCAACGGTATCCCATCGATGTCGAAACCCATAACTGCTTACCCACCTCCCCAGACTTGTCACGTAGACTTGCATGGTTTGCTAATTGCAGGAACTATAATTCTTGATGTCAGTCGCCTGCCCATGAAGAGAGTAGATGTAGTGTTTTGGCATTTTTGGTAAACATGCTGGAAACTACTGTAACTGTGTTGTAAAAATGCACCGGCTTTTCGACCGCTTAAAAATCCGCAGTAGTACAACAACTTGTATATTATGCGTGTGTCCCAAAACGAAGACCAAAAGTTTAGGATTTGTCTACGCAAAAAATTCCAAAGTACTGTAAGTATGGGGCGGTACTATCATGGGTAAGTACTATCGGTTTTGCCACATGATACAGTAGTGGATGCAGGAAGCCATGCAGCGCCAAGCCTTTTTGCAGGAGCGGGCCGAACGGACGGGCAGGACAACAGAACAGCAAAACCGGTTTTCGTCGCAGCAGGAGGACCATGATATGCTAGGCGGGTATTATCCGAGTCGGAGGACGTGCGGTAGGAGTTTCTTGGCCAGAAGTAGTAGAAGTTGCGTCGACGAACGGGACCAAGAAGACCAGTGGATGCGTCCTCAAGAGTATGCAACAAGAGTACTACTGTCGATTTAGTGTATTAAGTCCGTGATGTGACTGAACACGCAAGACCAAGAGGGCAGCGTCTGTCATGCGGGTTCGATGCATTGTACTAGGGTCCATTCCACAAGCACACGTTCTTCACCTGCTATCTGCGCATAACAAGTTTTTGCATTTGCATCAGCTGTTATCATATGATCGGAAAACAAGTATTATGATACACTAACCCACTTTTTTTCTTGGATAAAGAGTTGGTGCCGCCGGTCGCGTAGCAGGCGACAATATGCTGGGTATATCTGACTCAGTATATCTCAGCGAGACCCCGTAAATAAAATTTTCGGGTAAAAAGAACTACACAGCACTGCGAGTCGTACGAAACAAGCGGACAAAATCAAGTGAGATGTCCTCATCTCCAGAACATCTTCTGCGGACGAGATGAGGCGACGGCGCAATCCGAGCGCGCAATGCTAAAAGTAATCACAGAAAATATCCAGCAAAAAAGTGTTACCGTTAGTTTTTTTTTTATGCCTCGCATTCTTGCAAAATGCAAGACAGTTTGCAATAGAAAGATTGCTGTCTTTTGGCTTATTTCTGGATCCCGCGAGACGGCACACTTTGCTAACGCTAACACCTTTTGGAGTGATGAGGCTACGAATGACGACCAAGAATTACATCACCTTCCCTACACCACCTTCCTTCCTGATCCCGACACACTCCCCTACACAACTTTCCTACGACTTGGGTTCCCTACACAACGACTAGGGCTACACTGTGTAGTCCCGGGCTAGTAATATGAGTATAAGACGAACTAGAACCCAACCTCAAACCACGGGTAAAGACGACCGCTACTAAGTGCAGGAGGGTTTTTCCCTGGTTGAAAATACTTCTATCCACTGCATTGACCACGACAAGAAAGTCCCTGGAAGGACCTAGCAGGGCGACGTCACGACTCGGTATGTCAAAAATAGTCACGATTCATCTTGTTTGTGCGGCTGCTGTAGTTCTTGCACTATCAAATAAAATACTAATACTGCCGATGTTGTATCTATTAGCCTGCGAGAAGATGATGTTCTTGATCAATGTTGACAACTAAATATTTTTTGCAGGTACTACGGAGAAGCTTTCATCAACTTCATAACACGACCGCGGTGGATTTATTTTATACGCCTCACGGTTCTACTTGTTCGAGGAAACAAATCAATGGCTTCGTATCAAATTTGTCGCGTCCGCTAGAGCTTCGGAAAGGCGAAATTAAGACCGCACTCCAAGAACCTGCTAGAAATTCATTTCTAAGTAGTAGTCCTTCTGGCTGTGTACTTTACTAGGCAGTAGAACTTCTACTGTTATTTGTATAAGTACGCAAATCAAGGTATCGCATGAAATAGCTGCTTCACTGTAAGTGTATCTATTATGCATGATTGTTCGATGCTTGTTCGCATCAGAAAGAACAAACTCTTGCAACCATGATTCCCATCGGAATATTAAAGCGTAACTGAAATCACGTGCAATGTTTCCTGTGCTTTATTTGGCATCACAAACACTTCTTTTCTGCCTCTGTGACCGTGTTGCAGACCCTGCGGGACGGTTACTTTTTTCCAAGTTGACAGTGAAGCAGTTTTTTCCTGCGATAAGAGGAACGACAGCTGCAGCGTAAAAACTGCTGGCAATGGCCGACAACAATTAGATGCAATAGAAATCTGCTTGTTTCTATTGCATCCCGCTAGCGAAACAGAAATGAATTACGAAACACAAACATTGAAGAGAAGAAGTCTAATATTACAAGAATTGATAGCAGCGGCAGCAGCATTTCCTCTTATCTTTTGCCCATACTGCCTCAACAGGACATTGATTTGTGTAGCAGTACTGTGCTGCGGACGCTTTTTGATTTATGACTCTGTTGATGTCGCAGCTCTTGGTCCACTACGCCTTCCTCTGTACTTAGCCACTTCCTAATCCTAACCGTACGAAAAATCGAAACTGTGATTTTACTACTTCTAGACCGCGGCGCGCAGAAGTGTGGTCGCCATAACTATGCCACCTCGGCTTAGAGTCTGTGAAAAAGGGTCTTCCTCGCGGCTGCACCTGGTTCGATGCAATCTGCGATAAGAATATGATTATTTTCTAGGGAATTTTTTTTTCGCGATTGCGTACGTTATTTTTATTTAATGAGGTGGGGGCGCAAGGATATCACCCTCCGGCTCTTTCATGTCTATGAAGAAATTTTATGAGACAGCTTTTCAATTTGATCTTCGGTTTTCAGTAACGAGAATCGTTGATCGGATTGTATAAGTGCTTCCTTGTTGTCCCGGAGGGTACTGTCTTCCAAAACTAAAACGATTTCTTCCCTCCTGTGAAGGCCGTCGCCTGAGGAGATCTCCCGGTCGTAACGTGGGGAGAAGCAGGCCGCATGCTTATCAGGGCAAGCGGTTAGTGGATCTGGTTGAAAGAGTGGCCCCAGTGAATGAGGGCCGCCGCCTCTCATGATGTCACCTAGTAGACCATATATAAGCGCTGGCCTTGTTGTTCTACGGAGAGCTAGCAGCAAGCAACTCCGTGGCCCATGCGCTGCGTTGCTGCGCAGGTTCGCAACAAAAAGGCACGCCGCCGCTGTGCTGTTCGTTGCCTGCCACTCGGGTGCCGCGGCTGCGCCTCGCGCGTCCGCAGGACGCGACCGGGCAGCAAGCCGAGTGGCACCGCCGACGAGCGCAGCTGCGCTACCGTTAGGGGAGCGCAGCCACCCAGATGGCTGGCCACCCCACCCTCCCGGATGCCGCCCCTTATCCGAGCTCGGCCAAGCCCATACCGAGAATTATAGCGCCGACCGTTGATAGTGCGCGGCCACCCGGTTGGTCGGTACTATGAAGAGCGCGCCACGACAGGCGAGCCCTGTGGCACCACTGAAACGGCCACACAGCAACACACTGGCGGCGCACAACCGCCCACGAGTTGAGCGCCCCCAGACATGCAAATGCTTGCTGTGGCTACGCAGTGCAATTCCAAATCGGACGAAAATCAACGGCAGTCGTGGGGAGGTGTTGGTGTTCGCGAGGCACTACGTCCGACGCGCCTCCGAGCCGTGAGGGCACTCGGAAGGGTAGGAGAGAGGGACCGAGAGTGCACCTGCTCCGGGTGCGGGAGATCCTGGCGAGACAGATCCCACAATGCACTGAGGCCCATCCGTCCCCTTGTACGTGCGATGTTTGTGCACAGTGGTCGGCATCACCTGTGGCTTCGATAATAATAATAAAACGATTTCTTCGGTTGAATTTTACCGCAACTGAAATTTTCTAAACGATAAGTTTCGAACTGTTCTCTTTTCTTTCCGATTTTTCAAATGATTTTCAATGAAGGTAATTTTATGCAACAGTGAAGATGACTTTACAGATAGAGATATGTAGTTATCGGGTAGAGGGGTCCCGATCCCGAAGGAAGTCTCGGGGCGCCGCCCCTCGTTTGAGTCTGTCAAAAGATGGACCATTTTTTTTTCCGCAGCAGCAGCCGGGCCGTTGCCGGGGCGGTGGCTTGCACACTTGAATTTTTGCTACTTTGGCTATTGCCTAGGAACTTAGAAGCAAGTGTGCAGTTATCATTTTATCATAGAAGCCCGCTGCTGCTGTGTGCTTTTTTCAAATTTTGCGAATGTGTTTCAACTCAACGCGACAACCCAAAAGATGTGCAGTATGTCAATGCAGAAAAACAGGGGAGCGCGTTATACACAAAAAAACGATTGGAACTACTGCTACCTGTATACTGTGAGCTAATATGCTCTAACTTTGTAAAAATTATAGTCATAATTTATTAATTGATGAACTAGAAGAACTCCAAAAATAAGAATAACTCGAGGATCGTAGTCGCGTTTTCTCGAGGAGGCGATCGTTTGAGGCAGAAGCGAGGCAGCGGTGCGGCTTCGTGTGTCCGATCGATCGCCTCGTACTACGGGAGATAACTTTATTTATTAGTGTGCCGCAGTGCAGCAAAAGCGAAACCAAAAGAGCTTCGTTTCAGGTGGTTCCTTTTTCAAGCTTTCTGTATTCTACTTGTTGATAGTACACAAAAATATCATCTGAAAAAGTTGCATGCAAAGGGCTTCCGATCATACCATGAGAATGATTTTTACCTAGTTGTAGCTTTGTACTCCAATTGCAACATAAAGATTTTTACCGTTGTTTTCTACATCTTTCGCGCTGAGAGAATGAAGTACAATGGCTCACCAGAGAAAAAAAGTCCACCTCCATGGCGGGGTTTTACTATCGTGGTTAGTCTTACTAGTACTCAGATGCGCGACGCACCTACTAGATTGACAGAAGTACTAGTATTTTTCACGACCCCTGTGTAGAAGTGGTCAGGCCCCTGAGGCGAAGGAATGGTCGACACTTATCAAAATGAAAAACTCCCCCTCCCCGAACTGAGAGCAGTTTACGGCATGACTTGCGTGCACAAGTCATTTTGTATTGCATGAACGAGGCATGATCTTTGGTAAAAAAACGAAAATCCTGTTAATCAATACAAAGTCGACACGGAGTTGCTTGGCCTGGCAGTCGCCTCTCCTGTAGCTTGAACAGCAAGAGAAAGCGCCTACTTATGTAGGTGCCGATGGAGGTGACAGAACGCCCTCGCTTTCCCTTCGCGCGATATCAGTAGTCTTGTGCACACACATCAGCATCACCATCATCAGGAGGAGGGGGATTTTTCCCCGCGATAACGCCACACATAATTTTTGTGCAGGGGGAACAAGAAGATTTATTTTTCATTTCGCCAATCTACTAGGTGGCGTGCCACATCCAGTTGTAAAGCTTCAAATAAATGCGGCTACCACCTCCTGCTTCGGACTTTTATGATGTGAATCTCTTTCTTAACTTGTCGTTTTCTGAGCTAGGAAAGTAATCACATTTTTTCAGGCAATGAAAAATTCACCAGAGTATACCTACGGAGAAAATAAATTAAATCAAGACGGGGAAAATAAATTTACCAGAGTATCGATGTGGTGGTGAGGTGCCAACATCTCATATATGAGAGTCTTATTAGGTGGTCTGTGTACCACTTCAGATATGAGAGTGCGCAACTCAGCTCCCCCTCATTTGTCGTGCAAAAATCCAAGTCCACCCGTCGCCTCTTGGCACTGCAGCATGATGGGTCCCGGACCGAAACAGCAAGAGGTTTGTGTTGCTATGGATATTACCATCCAAATGAGGGGAAGGGGGACTTGTGCACTTTTATACCGGATTTGCTGACCGGGAGGCGAAGGTCAACGGGTTTACTTGCGAGATTTACTCTACTACCACCTGGTGAGGCACAAGTACAAACACCATCCGACACGATTGGGTTACATCGCACACGAGCAGCAACGTGGTTGCTTCGCCTAATTCTTCTATTAGCGCAGAATCGGGACTAACAACGGAGAGACGATGATTCGAGCACTTCGGTGCTCCACCTGCAAATACTTAAATTCCTTATCTTGACGGGAGTAGCGCCGGAAAAATGGCAGGAAAAGGATTTGTGCAAGGCTTCGAACTTAACAATAAGACGACAACAATCTGTAGCACGTAGAGGAAATAACAGGCAAGTGACCTACAGTTGCTAATGGGGGCCGCTGGAAAAATAACAAGGCGAGACGCGACCGACCCGAAGAAATACTTTCTTGTTCTTTCACAGCTAGCGAAATGTTTACAACGTAGCATCACCATCTGTAAAAACAAAGAGTGTTTATTTCTTTATTTTGGTTCTTCGATCCATCGGTAATTTGAATTTTTTGACATTACACAACACAACTCATACTAAACTATTGCAGCGAACAATTGCACACTGTAGACAGAGGCTACGTCTACGGCTGCGCCAATCTATTGCGTGCCCGTCACAAACCGACGCCTGCAGAATTTGCCTTTTTTTCCTGCTCTTGAAGTTAGTACTACGATGACATATACTATATGCAAAATTTTTTCCTAGCTGATTTTGGAAAGACTTTTTTGCGGAATTCGAATTTTGGAAAACAGGAGGATAATCCGGGCGGCGAATTTTTCTCTGCGAAGATTCGTATTTTATAGGCTATCGTGTCGCGTAGATACTTAAACTTATGTAGGACGGCAACAAAAAATGAGTACAACTAAATGACACCATTCTGATGCAGCGACTCAGTTCTTGCGAGGTGCGGACGACCCCAAATAAAAAAGGAATGAACAATCAAAAAGAATAAATCAAGGAGGACTTTTTTATTCTCAACATCCAGACTCGCTGCTTCCTTTACCCGGGGCCGCCGCGGCAAAAATAACGATTACACTAGCTTGCTCAAGAATAGAGTAGACCACGAGGTTAGGTAGAATTAGTTGGGGCGTCAATCTTGTGTTTGAGTAGCGCAGAAACAACGACTTGGAAAAATTTCGAGCCGTTTTGCCGGTTAGAGATGTTCACACAGCGGAAAAACGATGCTGAGTTTTTGCCTGGCAGCGCGATGGGCAGAGGATGTGTTCAATTGGATTCCGTACAGTTTCCTTCAGCATATGACCTGGCGCCCTGTTTTGTTTCACGCACGACCGGTCACAAGGTCATAGACCTCATTTTGAGTAGAAGTCTCGCGTACAACGCGAACACTGAAAACTGTAAACTATTCGTTTTTGGTTGTTTGTCTTTGTCACTCGCCTTGTTTTTCTTTGTCACTTTTTCATCGTGGAGAAAAAGAATCGTACCGACCTTTGCAATCGAATAACTTCTTCTGTTGCAAGCACTTGGTCGGCGCGCTGTCAAGCAGACCGGCTGCTTATGCGTGTGCTGTCCTCGAAAGAGATTGATTTCGATTTTCCAAATGACCATTGTGGACCACAGCTTTATTAGCAGCAGAGCTGTAGCAGCCTCTAAGGTGAGGACGTTGGCTGGAGGCAGCTCTACGGTGCAAGAAACTAGAGCAAGCTCCTCTGCTGCTGATCGTGGAAATAAGAGGACCAACTACCACCTGTTTCCTGCCTCTTCCAATCGCGTTACCGAATGGTCTGGCGGCACTACCACAGAACTGTTCGTGACGGGTGGATCCTTTGCCGCGAGAAACTTCGCGCTGCGGCTCTCGCGCGCGCGCATAGCCGTGGAAGAAAGCACGTTCACGGGTCTACCCGGGTTCCTGCGTCACTTGACCCTGTTGTGGTCATCTTCTGCAGTACAACCGAGAGCGGATGAGATTGCGGGACGTCGCCCCGGCGCAACCTCGTCTTTTCAGATGCGAATTCGTGGGAGGCACGGGGACGCGTTCTTCGGACTGGAACCGTGGGAAAGCGTGGAATTTTCCGGAGCGGACGTGGTAGCCAGCCGGGGCCTGGCGGAAGACTTCAACGTCATCTACGATCCGGGGCGGCTCGCTGGCGGACGGGTGCGGGTGGACGTTCTGGAGCTCCTGAACGAGGGGGAGAAAATAGAGCTCCCGTTGGACGACGACCGTCTAAGCAACCTCCACTCGCAGGCGTTTATCTACTTTCCAGGTGGAGTGGTTCGTCCTCCTGCCGGTTCGGACGAAAGTTGCGCAGCAGCAGCATCGGCGTCGAGGGCTAGTTGTAGTTCATCTGCGAGGACGTATCAAATGACAAAATGTGTGGGGCTGGAACAGTCATGCTGTTTTTGCATGACACTGAAGGTCTGGCATGGAAGCTCTAGCATCACAGGTTTCGAGAAGCTTCCGCAATGCCGAATCCGCATGACAAGTCCCCTGTTTTGCTGACAGAAAGTGGGCAGCTTTTGCTACGTATGCATGAGAGACTTTTCTGTGTTCTGCAATACGCATTACAAGTTGCATTCTTCCAGACCCAGACATTTTTGCATTTGATAGGACGTCCAAAGTAGGGGCTGCAACTACTACTGTAGCGGTGGCCTGTAAAAGTGCCGGTGTGCTGGCTGACGCCGTGTTGCACCCCGGCGACTCTGTGTTGGTGGATCGTGGGGCGGAAGCTGTGACACTGCAGCTTCGCTCGCAAAACGGAGCGGACCTCCCTGTACGATTGCTTCAGGTTTCATTTTCAGTGCTCCCGGGCACTGGCAGTAAGATGTGAAGCATTGGCACGACGACCTGGGTGGAAAGGATGAAAAACCGAAAGCAGTCGGTCCTGCAACTAGACTACTGCGCTGGCGCGTGTAACTGTTCAATAGCCCCCAGGTCGTATTCATAAAGAAGCATTTTTGATCCGACCACCGTGCTGCGTGTTGCGTTTTTCTCTCCGCTGGAGAGAAAACAATTGAATTGCCGGGATCTTCTTCACGACCGTGTTACTGCTTCGTTGTGGTTCTACTTGTGGCGTACTTTTGTCGTTTTTGTTTGTTTATTCCCAACGGTTTGTTGCCGTGCAAAGGGAGACGGCAGCGGCCAAGTCCGTCTTGGTACTTGGCACAGGGCGCAGTGGTTAGCGCACCTGCATAAGAGCAAGACTGGCGTGGAGGATGTGTGGAGCAGTGCGAGTGTAACAAACTTACAGGCGAGCTGCATGCTAGTACTGTGATCAGATCATGATCTTTATCTTCCGTTAAGGTCGATGACTGACTGTTGTAACGACTTTCTTTCCTCAATATGTAAGAAGTACTCTCACTTTTCTACCGAGAAGGGTCAGCGGCTCCTGCGTGATACTTCGCTTCTAGGAAATAACCTGAGGCGAAAATTAAGAATTGATAGGGAATATTATAGCGAGGTACTAGAAAGGCACTATTCTACTTGGCAGCTATTGAAATACGGAGTATGGCGGTGTTGGAAGCTTCCGATCGAAGAAAATTAAGCATGTGAAGATGAAATAATTTTCGGAGAAAAACAAAAACCAACCCTTTGCGATTTGACTGCAGCAGCCCGCACGGATTTCGTCATCTCTTCTACCGACCTACGCACGGACATCCTTCGTGAACGTGATAGGAGATCTATTTGGTGACGAAAAAACAGAAAGAAGCTTGAGGAACAACATCTCGAACGTAAGGTCGCTGACACCAGTTTCTTCCTTCTATCTTGCTGCCGCGTGTCAAAAATTCATTGTCCAAGAAGTCCTCTTTATCACAATCGCGGCTTTATTCCGGGGCCGTCGCCTATTTGTTCTTCCGTGGTCCTTCCGAGACAAGCGTTTTCTTTACTCTACAAGAACGAGTTGGGTCTTGTTAACAGGAACAATATGGTGATCGAGTTGGGTCTTGCTGACAGCGCCCACGCCATCGATGATGCGAACATCCAGTTGCTCGGCGCATACAAGTACTTATCGCAACTGCTGCACAGCACGACCGATGCAGGAGCTGCGTCACTCTCGACCAGTAGTAGCACTACAACTTCAAGTATTCTCCACGCAGGTGCCGGAGCAGTAGGAGAGCAAGCAGCTTCACAGCAGCACTTTCCGACCACTACCGCGCCTTCCGACATTGTGAAAGTGGGCGCCACCCTGCCGGCGTACACGAGCAACTTGGAAAAACATGGCGACTACCTGTCTGCTTTGGTGAAAACCCGCCACGCTTTATCCAAAGATGAAAACGCAGTTTGTGTAGCTGTCTTGGAATGCTGACCACCCGCACAGCCTGTCATGGTGCACAGGTAGTACCTACTCGAATTGAGTATTACGACAGCTATGAAATGGGCCACCGCTTACGATTAGCTGGGCCACCACTTACTCGAATTGAGTATTACGACAGCTTACGATTACGACAACTGCAACTACGTGGTGTGCCACCAGCGTGTTTAAGTACAAGAGTAAGTGTAAGAACTATTTTGCAGCATGCGGTGCGTTTTTCTAGACTTACGCTACCACTGGTTTTATGCTCTTGCATACGCTTTAGATCACGCGGCGGAGGTTTTGCAACAGGTGAAACATGTGAACCCGGAGAGTCTCGCTGCCGCAAAACTGCAGCTGCGGGACGTGCTGGCTCCGCCGGGAGGAGTAGCAGGAGGACCCGGTGGTCCTGGACCCGGAGAAGGCACCGGCGCGACAGGTGTGCTCGCTACCAGTGGCGACGCGAGCCCGTCACTCTTGCCGACGGTGGACAAGTACGAACTCATTGCGCAGCCAGACTATCGAATGCAAATGTGTAGTCTGGGTCTGGAACAAGGCAGAAGTTATTTGTGATGCAGGCTCTGCATGGTCCAGAAGGTCCGGAATATTACGGGGCCTAGCATGACAGACTCTGCGAGGCCTTTCCAATGCCTATCTCGCATGAGAAACTTGTTGACAAAAAATCGGCAACGATGTATAGGGGTATTGGCAGAGGCTAAATCTGTTCTAACGCCACGGTATTGGCAGAGGCTAAATCTGTTCTAACGCCGCCCTGACAGGAGTCAAAGGTCAAAGCGATACGATGCGAAAAAATCGGCAACTTCAGCGATTCCTATGCAGCGCAGATTTTTGTGGGACGCACAGGACGCCTGAGAATTTTGCATCTTTATTCCAGACGACCCAGACGTATTTGCAATGCATACGGGTGCGGAGCTTGCGCAGCTGCAGGGGCAGACCGATCTGAGTCAGGACGCGTTGCACGTCTCGGTCGATGACCGCACCGGATCGCTGGTTGCCACTGCGGGCGGAGTGGGGTCGTCGTTCTCTCCCGTTCCGGATGTCAGTAGCGGGAACATCGAAGGGATTGCGTACACGGGCTCGTCGGACTATGAGGTTCTTAACGACGGCACGAGCGTCCCAGTCGCGACAAGCACTCGTTTGTTATCCGCAGCGAGCGTATGCCTTGCAAATAAGTATGTCTGGGTCTGGAGAAATGCCAGGCTTGTCATGCATATTTTCCATGACCCATGATGTCTATGATGCATGCCCTAGCATCACAGATATTGCGAGGGCTTTCTGATGCTCATACCGCTTGAGAAATGCCCTGCCCACGTAGGAAACACTAAGCCCCTTTTGGTTTTCATGCAAAACAGATTTTATGTAGGATCCAAAGGCACCATCACAAGTTGCACCAGACAGATTTGCACTGGATAGAGCGCTCTCGCGAACGACAAGACTTCCCTGGTGGAGATCAATCCGGAAAATCAGACGCTTTCCTTTCTGACTGACCGGGTGCCGAACTTGTTTCAAAATCACGAGTGGCACTTGCGTCAGCCCGATGGGTACCTGGTCAACGAAGAGGGCAGTCATTTAGTTTTCCGTTCGACGCCGCCGCGGGAAATCCCGGTTTTGGAGACGTTCGGAGGTACTTTCAGTCTTTATCGATTTCTATACACGTGCCGCAGCTGCTCGTCCGGGCTACATCATCTTACAGTATGTCATCTTTTCTTGATGTTCCTTCACCCGTTTTTTTTTTAGCATCAGTTACCTCCTCTGTAGATTTTGAAATGGCGATAAGTCTTATATATGAGCAGGAGGCGAAGGCGTTATGTCACGCAAGTTTTCTCTTGACTTGAGTCGTCCACCTCGTGCAACATGCATCAGCACACCAGAAAGACGTTTTACAGATCTGATCTACTTCTATCAGGGGCGCCCTCCATGCCGCAGCATGGGCTGGAGAACCTGGAAGTATTTCAACCCGTGACTGCCAACCCGGAGGGCGATATCGTATTCAAAAACGTCCCCACACCCAGCCCATAGTTGTAATGCAAACCTGCATGCTCTTGAAAATGTTTCTCATGCGGAGCCCCATGAGATTAGTCGTGTTTTGGAATTTGTCATGCTCAGCATGATGTACTAGATCAGATCTGTGATGCTGCTCAACTACCTCAAACAGCACTACGCTACGAGTCCAGCTTTGTGTTGCAAAACAGCCACAGCTTGTGGATTTGTCTAGCCGATTCTCCATCTTGACTGTGGTGTGGGGACGTTTTTACATAGGATAGACGACCAGGTTTCCCCTTTCAAAATGCTCCCAGAAGACTTGCAGAAGTTCTACGCGGAGTACTATCATGACGACTACTACATTACCGGCAAAGCCTATGCAAGAAAAAAACTGTGTAAGTGTAAATTTGTGTTGCGGACGATGCAAGACAATTACCCCTGTCATGCCGGACATGCATCACAGGCTTTTTCCGTAGCTGTTTTCTGGCACTGGCTTACGCATGACAGGTTTATTTCTGTGTCATGCAGAGCAAACTTGTGATGCTATTCCAATTCCTCCAAGATAAAAGTTACACTAACACAGTTTTTTTCTTGGATAAAGCCCCCGACGCCAGCACGGTGCGCGGTCTGCAAGAGGGTCTGGACCGCGCTGTGCCCTTCATGGACCGGTTGCGAACCGGGCAGGAGGTGGAGATTAATGTCTCCGACGAAGGGGTTGTGTCCGCCGACTTGCGAGGAAGCGGCTTACCGGAGGGACGGAACCTGCTGGCTTTGGAAAGCGATGAAAATACAATTGGCGGAATAAATGACCATTACGGTAGCTCGACATCTCTTCACGGAAATCCTGCATCAAGTGGGTCTACTTTCGGAAAGATGGATTTCGCATCTGCAGCGCTAGACAAGAATAGTACGGTCGCCGCGGATGCTGGTGCAACTGCAGCCTCCAAGGACCAACTGCATTCGACTAGTCAGATCAACCAAAGTGCGGCCGCATCGAAGAGCGGTGCTCCATCGGCCGCGACTTCTTTTTGGAAGAAGCTAACCGGCGGTGGGGGATCAACCTCCTCATCTTCTAGCGCGGCTGTGCCTGCTGCAAATGGTAGTACTAAAACCTCCGCGGGGGCGCCAGCTGGCACGTCAACATTTTCTCAAGTAGAGGATCATAGTACAACAACTGCGAAGATGAACAATATTAAAGCGAAGAGCAGCCTCTTCATGGAAATCAAAAGAGAACAAGTGAAAAATCTCGAGGATGTTGACAACGTCAACAGCCTAAATTCCTCTCCCCCGCCGCACAAGCCCAACATCAGCACCCCGGACCAGCACGTGGGGCCCAACGAGAAGAAGATTGTAGTGGTGCAGCAAGGCATGGTGCCCGAGAAGTGGTCGGGGGCGGTGAGCGGCTGGCTGCATCAGCACGGAATTTCTCTAGGAGCGGCAGACAACAGCGCAGCTGTACCGGCGTCGAGTTACGATTTCGATCTTACGACCTCTGCAGGAGCAGGCGCCGGAGCACCTTCATCTCCGCCGGGAGATCATGTTCTTGAGGGTCTTGTTTCCTCTTCTTCGCCTGGATTAGGAGTGCAAAAAGCTGATGGACTTCTTGCAGCGGAGCATCAGGCTGACAGCGCAGTAGGAATAAATTCCAGTAATTCTTCTAGCGGTGTCGGGATGTTGATGCATGCGGGAGGGAATGACGTTGTCATGCCAGCTGTGAGTACTTCTACACCCGCCGGCGGAGAGAATTTTCATGAACACGCTGCTGCACCAGAACCAGGTCCTCCGACGGCCGTGGAGCAAATGCAGCCTAACGCAGCGGGAGTTGCGCCATTTTCACGACCTGACGACGTTGCCGCGTCATCATCCGTGCAGCCTGCAGAGGAAATAGGCGGTGGCAGCGGTGCGGAATTAGTGTCTTCAAGTAGTGTAACTACTAGTGCAGCACATAAGTCTGGGACGACGACGAGCAGCTTCTCATCGTCTTCTTCGACGAGTTTTTACTCCCCCTTGACCACCAGCTTGGAGGACGAGAGCAAAACCGTGATGCGGAATTCCGAAGCCACGTTGGCGGGCATTCTGCAAAAATCCGGAAATGCCTACGCGTCGGCGGGGAGTGCGTTTGGCGGGCAGCAGGATCATCTTCAACACGCGATGCCAACACCAGGAGGAGGAGAACTACCCAGTCCTGCTGCTGGTCTTTTTAACAGCACAACTGGAGCAGGAGGTTCTTCTCATCAAGAGGCTGGGCAACTGCAAGAACAGGTGTCATCAACATTATCTGGCACGACTGCGATGTTGAAGGGAACTGCCCCCAGCGGTGGACCACCGGAACATAGCGAGGCTCTTGCAGCGTCCGAGATTGTCGGGAACATTAAAGAAGGTGGAGACCAGCAGCAGCAGGCCTCGCCAGGGGAAATCGAGACTTCATCCAATCCGATCATTGACAACGCGAAGCTCATGGACCTGCTCCGCCAGGGGGATGCGGTATTCACGGCAAATATGTCATCTGTGTCGGAAAGATTGTGAGATTTGGCATGCTGGTCTGGCATGACGCTGCGCTCTGCATTGCCTGTCATGCACAAACGATGTGTTTCATCCTCATGTGGAAAAATACGGCGCAATTCAGAGCGACTCAAAAACCTGTCATGCTTGGCAGCGCATTAAGTACAGAATGCTCATTATTCCCTGACTTGCAAATCACAGGCTTATTCCAGACCCAGATCGAAGATATTTGCATTTCATATGCGGATTACCAGAACGATCTGAAAAGTGGCGCCCTGCTCCGGCAGGACATTGACTTGGAGCAGAACGACATCTTGCAGGCGTTCGCTTTGACCAACGCCGGCGATGATGCCCAGGCGAACGCGGATCTGGTCCGGGCCTATCTTTCGGAGCCGAAAATCGGCGAGAACGGGCTGCCGGCGAACGACGGACTGACGGAAAAAAGCGGACACTTACTGGACCAGGGATCCAGCATATCCAAGAAAAAAATTGTGTAAGTGTAACTCTGTGTTGCAGAAAATGCAAAACTGTTACACTTGTCATGCTGGACATGCATCAGAGGCAATTTTCGTGCGTGTTTTCACGTACTACGCACGCATGACAGGTTTTCTGTGTCATGCAGAGCAAACTTGTGATGCTATTCCTCCAAGAAACTTACACTTACACAGTTTTTTTCCTGGATACAGCACGTATTGATGTTTTCAAATATTTACATGTGAGGACATGATGTAAATCTAAAAAAATGCCGCGACCGTGCGTGCCTCCTTCTTTCGACTACATCGATCACAAAATTCGGGTTTGCTTGTTTTATGCTACTTTTGCGTCTTCACGACAAATGTTAAAATCTATCAGGTTCGCCGTGCGCGCGTTTGAGCCGCCGGTGAGCACCGTGGTCGACTACGCTTCGATTGCGGGAGCAAAGCTGGCAGCTGCGGGGACAACCACTACTACTGCAACTACTTCGGGAGCAGGCGGAATTCACTCCACTGCGCCTGCTAGTGCAGGAGCAGCCCCATTACATACGGCCACAACCGGCGGCTCCGCTTCTGCGTCGGCCAGCTCGCCGCTTCCTCCGCAAACGCACCACGACCCCAACCAGTACTGGGCCACAGAGAAGAACCACGGGGGGCACGTGGGCTTTCTGCTGTCCGACCGCCAGGAGGGGGTTCCCTTGGAGAGGATCCAGATCGACTTTGGCCCATATGTTTTCGGGAAGCAGATCCACATCTTGGGGAAGCTAACCGTGGAAGAGGGGTGGCGGGAGTTATTCTCTACCGACCAGCTGAACCGGCAGCGGCTGGTTCTGGATCACATCGTATCAAATGTAAAGATGTCTGGGTCTGGAAGGTTACAAGGTTTGTCATGCATATTTTGCATGAGTCAGGATGTCTGTAATGCATGATCTAGCATCACATATTTTTAGAGGCCTTCCTGATGCCTATCCCGCATGACAAATGCCCTCCCCGCGTAGCACAAACTGGGCTCCTCTTGCTGGCCATGCAATACAGATTTTTTTAGCATCCAAAGTTAGCATCACAACCTTCCAGACCCAGACATTTTTACATTTGATACATCGACGAAAACGTCAACTCGGTCGCGGTGGCTTCGGTATAACGTGCTCAGGTGTTACAATCTCAAACGTTACAATAGAATCTGGAATTTGTGTTGCAAGAAGTGCATTATCTATCCAACTCTCATAGGATTGCGCATGACAAGTTCTGGAGTCCCAATCCGCATTACAATCTGCCGAAATTTGTATTGCAGAAAGTGGAATGCTGTCGGAGTCTGTCATGCTCACTATGAAATACAAAACCCAGATTCTATTGTAACGTTTGAGATTGTAACGTTTGAGCGGGTCATATTCGGACCTGCCGTTTTCGCTACGGGAGATCCACTTTTTCGCCAATGCCGGGGTGCAGCCGGAGGTCGTCCCCAGGTCGATCGAGGACGACGTACTGATAAAGAAATGCCTTGTTGGTCATCTTCTTTTGCACGACATGAGCAAGAATTAGTATGCTTTTTCGTGCATCAGTTTATTATTATGCAATAAAATTTTGTCCAAAAATGAAATCCTCAGACCCTCCTGCACACGGGCGTGAACGACCTTGCGGGGTTGAAGTATTACCCGGTATTCCACCTCGAAAAGGTGCCGGAACTTTCTCAAGACTACGCGTTATCGGAGCAGGTTCTTGCTTTCTGTTTCTTCGATGTTGGTTTCTTATGTGCGGTTGCATTTGCAATGCCGAGCGAGGCCTACGTATTTTATTACGTGTACTTACGCAGTTGGCCCGATAGTATTGGCACTGTACGTGTAGGCGCAATAAACGCGATATCAATATGCATGGTAAAAAAGAAGTACTTTAGCAATCTTCATAAACCACCTCGAGGTTGACAAGCTAAACGCCTCTTACGACCACGTGGCTGGTGTAATCAAGCAGCTCGAGCAGCTTGCCCGGACGGAACAAGACCAGCAGATGAGCGCGAAGTTGGACGAGTTGGGGAATTACCGCCCGGTTCCCGTCCCCGAGGAGGTGAAGGGCTTGGTGTCTCCGGCGTCCGAGCCGGTGCCCGCGGTAGCTTCCACCATGGGACTAATCCATGGACATCGAAGCAACACACTCGAGGACAGGTAATGAAGTACATAGGTACAACTATCCAGTGCTTTGAGCGTCGTGCCATACGTCATTGTCATCGTGTCGGTCCTCCTCTGCTTCCCCGTCGGTTTATTTTGGCAAAGTTTCTTGACTTTGCCCTGCGCTCGACCGTTCCGAGCATAATTCTGTGTTGATTGATGATCAACATGCTTATCCGGAGGTTCAACATCGCAATATAACTACAGGCTGAACGTGAGCGATCTCATGCGGCAGTACCAGGATAATTCTGCGTACATGAGCTCTGGCGCTGCGCAGCCATCGTCCTCGTCGTCGACCAGCCCATCGGGCATGACGAGCCACACGAAGCATGTGGACGTGCGCACTATTCCCGTAAATTTAAGCACTATCCCGGCCACCTTCGCGGCAGCTCCTGCGCTGGTTGCAGCTATGGCGGGAACTACTTCTTCGTCTTCCGCCTCCAAAACGAAATCAAAAACGAATTTTTTTTCCCCTGAAAAGTCGCAGACAACCTACGCTGCGAGGGGAGTAGACCACGTTGAGCATCGATCGGACCGGGGGGAACTGCAGGAAAGGCAAACAGAGAAACAAGAAGCCGAAACGATGGGACGTGATGAAAGTAGTAGCAAACGACCGGGTCGCTCCGTGATGTCCGGTCGCGGAGATGAAATTCATCAGCAGGAAGAAGACCTCGCTGCCCCTTCTAGTAGCGCTACTTCCAGCACGAACCGGGGTGGCCAGGGGGAAGCACCAGCATGCAGCTGCACAGGAAGTAGCACGAGTGCGACTAGTAATGCTCTTGGCGAAACAAGAACTCGTGGCATGGGCATCAACAAGCAGACGGAAGCGGTAGATGGTACTACCGAAAACAACCCCCTGGAGGACGAGATGATCCTGAACAATCATGAGAACAACATCAATAAAAGCCCGTCGACGACCAGCAGCCTCGCGACAACCGAGCACAGCAGCGCCCGGAACTTCGGCAGTAGCAGTCAAAGCAACCTGATGCCAGGAGCCGGGTACAGCAACCGCTCGTCTCCAACCGGCTCCACCGCGCACGACTGCGTGAGCACGGCAGCACTGCACCTCAGCAGCGGCTTGGAATCGTCGCCAACAGAATTGCTGATGTCTACTTCGACGCCTAGTTCATCTAGAGGAGGTACAGGGATCAACATTATGGGGGCGTCGACCACAAGCAATGAGAATGAAGAGGAAAATGAAATAAAAACGGCGCTAGGAGAAACAAGAAATACCCGTCCTGATCCTGAAGATCATGCTTCTTGTAATCAAGAAGAACAGCAACAGCAACAGAAGCAGAATCATCTTGTTCGCAACGGAACGAGTTCTCGTGGTAGTTTTCGTACAACAGAAGAAAAAGTCCTCGAGCTGCCATCCAATGCAACATCACCACACGACGATGTCGACTCCCTGGTGGATCACGAGACCCGGCCGCTAAGCGGCGCACCTAGACGACGAGGAGGACAAGCACAGCCGGAAACTGCCGCAGTTGATGCGGCATCTTCGGCCCCCGGGTCATCTTCGCACGACTTTTCGTCCGGGATGAAGCTGCGCGAGAAGGGAACAGATGATGTTACGTCTGGAGCACTAGTACACGGCAAGGAGCTACTCGACCGTTACGACTCGGCTTTTGCCGGAGCTCCTGCGTCGACGTCCAGTTCCTCTTCCTCATCTGCTGTTCGCGACGAGGAGCAGCTTCATCCTGATTTGCCTTCTTCTAGCAGGACGAGCTCCTGTCTTCGAGAAGTAGAAGGTGAACCGTGTGGCTCAACATCCACTAGCGATATCAAGACACACTACACCGAGAAACTGCAGCTTCCGATAGGAAAAAACGCAACTACTACTTCCCGGCGAGGCAAAAGGGGTAGTGGTTCCCGCAAAATAATGGATCTGTCGCCCTCAACATGTCGTGGCTCTCTGCATCTTCAAGCACTGGCTGAAGCGGGTCAGAATCACCTCTCTCGACGTCAAGGGTCCGTGCACCACGACGCTGTTGAGCACCAGGAACTGCAGGTTGCGCAGCGAATCAATATTGACCCTGCAGCTTCCCCCAGTCGTCCCCTCCTCGGCGGCGACGGCACCGGGCGGAGTAGCACAGGGTCTACCTGCGGAAACAGCTACTGCAACTCCTCCAACGGTTATCAAACAAAAAAAAGTTCGTCACGATCACACATGTTCATTTTTGCATTTTTTTACAAAACTGCGTGTGAGCATCAACTACATGCGTAAAAGTTAAAGTAGTTAATGACAGTCAACCTTCATACAGGATCATTCCCCTCATGCAATTCTCTACTAAGATGCCGATGCCCGAAAAGTTCTTCATGCATCAAAACCTTGTGGAAAAGGAAAATCAAAATAGCGACTGGGACTGCAACGAACTTTTTTCTTTCCATCACGGCAGTTCTGGTGGCCAGAGAACCTCGAACCCGAATAATTCTGTGAAGGCCCTTCGGAAGAGGGAGCAACTGCACAACGCGAAAAAGATGCGCAAGAAGGTGAAGATTCCGGTTGTTCCGGGCCTACTGTCGTCCTATGGTAGTGGTCACCATTCCTCCGGAACAACAAGAACCCATGTGGGAAATAGTAAAAACGGTGGAGGAGCTGGAGCTGGAGCTGTCCCTGTCCCGCATCATGCGTATTCCACTTTTCCGGGCAGGTCGTCTTCGTCTTCTTTCCAGAATAGCAGGAGGGCCGCTCCTGCAGTAGAGCTGCAAAATTCATCTTCCACGACACTGGCTCCTGTAGCTCCTTCTTGCAGCTTCTGGACGACCTTGCTAACAATGTCCACATATCCTGTGTAAAAACGTCCCCACACCAGAGTCAACATGGGAAATCTGCTAAACAAATCCCACAGCTTTGGTTGTTTGGCATGACAAATTTGGACGCGTAGTGTAGTGCTGTTTGAGCTCGTTCAGCAGCATTACAGATCTAGTAGCTCATGCTGATTGGAGCATGACAAATTTCAAAGCTGCATCTGAAAATGCTTCTCATGGGGCTCCGCATGAGAAACATTTTAAGCATGCAGAGTTGCGTGACAACTATGGTGTGGGGACGTTTTTAAACAGGATACTACAAGAGCTGCTGCAGCACAAGCAGGGAACAAAGCACCCGGCGGAGGTGCGCCGAGTTGTGCTAGCGACGCTGGCGTTGCTTTGCCATCTGGTCATGCGGATGCTGAGAGGCACACGAGCAGCAATACTACAAGAACCCTGTCGGTCAACAAAGAAGTGCCCGGGATGAAGATGAACAAGCATATCGTCATGTCTGCGAACAGTCTTCAACATGTTACTGATCATTATGACAATGTGAACAGCACCAGCGCTGCAGGTGGAGAGCAGGGGCAACCTCGACATGACTTTCCAAGCGCCCAGGACCGCAGCTGCTTTGGGACCGATTCTGGCTTCCAAAACTGTTTTTGGTCGCAGGACATGTCCTCCTGGGAGTGCTTGCTAAAGTCCGTCGTGCCTGCGACCGCAGGAGGTGGCAGCCAGCCGCGGGGAAATCGAAAATAGTTGTGGAAATCTTCAAGAAAGAGGGGGGACTGAAGGAGTCGTTGGGATGTAACGATAAAATCGAAGTAGAAATTAATGATACGCTGGCTGTACTCCTCGCTAGCGATACAAATACAAATTATAAAGAAGTTGTTTTTTATCTTCAATTTTCTCCAATGCAAATGCATTGATTTAGTTTAGAGGTAGGTTCGCTTTTTAACGATTACCCGCACTCTGAGAGGTTTGAAATGTACATTACGACTACAACTTCCGGCTGGTCACCGGGGCCGGATCTTTTATTATACCGTATGCTGAATACTTTGTTCTTGTGCGGACGATTCTATAATGGGGAACAAGTTTTATTAGCACGCATGCATGATGCATTCGCTCTGCCTCGTCGGACTACTTAGGCCGCTTAGCCCCCCGAATCGTTTGTATACTCATCTCGAGAAAATAGTTGTAGAGACTTTTTCGCCGTAGTTTGGAAATTTTAATTGTTATTTTGTTTCCACTGCTGTTGGTGAACTGCCCAAGCAGAGGTGGCGCGACGGGTAATGCAAAAGTCATTATTTCGTAACCGTTGATGTTAAAGTCGAACTTTAGTGCCCAAGCAGAGGCGACGTGACGGGTAATGCAAAAGTCATTATTTCGTATTCGTACCCATTTGACGAGGGTAGTTACAATGCAATTTATCGCCTAATGCTCGGCTCGTATTGAGGCTAAATTGGTGAAAGCGTACGAGTTTGAATTTCAGCCGAGTTAATGATTATCATATCCGGCGAGTAAGAAGAAAAAGAAAAACGTCTACTCGTCCTCTTTTCCAAATAGAATTCACTCGCATTTGTGAGGACATGGAAACCTTTCCATGAAAGATGAGGAATATAGGAAACTACTCTTGCCTAGCCGGTTCTGCTTTTCAAAGACGACGTGAACTGTATTTGCAACGAATTAAGAAAAAGTTTGTCAGACACATTTAATCATTCTCAATTTCAAAAATAGTCTTCGCGAAAATGCAGCAGTGCAATCAGAAACAGATGTTGAGGTGGGTGCTACGCTGCAGTAGTTGTAGAGCTACTTTTCATACTTACCCAAACAAAAGAACTGAAGAATTATTCTACTGAATACTTATGGTGCAACTGGATATCTTTACGCTGCATCATTGTGATTCATTGCGGTTCCAAGAAGTAGAAGCCTCGTGTTCGTTGTTGGGTATTGTTGTCTTTGTTCTTCGTTTTATGCTCCTTCCAGATCGTTGTATACTAATTATTGACAACCAGGAATGTATGCTATGACCACGGTGAAGAAAGAAAGACTACGAGCAGACAGCAAATAGAAGTCGTTTTTCTATGATTTGTCCTTGCTTTTTTCTTCACGGAGGCGAAGCGGAACTGCAACGCGATGAAGGAGGTACATGTAGTAGTTCCTCGACTTCTTGTTCTGGGTGTTCAGGAGTTTTACAGCGGCCTGCGTAGCAGCTGCCTGGTGTACGAATGTACGCAAAGACAGAAATCGGTCCTGTAGATGAAATTCAAAAGCAAGCGCTTTTATCGCTTGTATCACACCACAGAAGGTGGCGACAAGAGTCAGAGCGCAGCGCGACAAGTGCAAAGAGAGGAAGAATAGCTGCAAAGAGATGAAAAGCTACAAAGAGATGAGGGTGCAGGAACTTGCCATACGAATGCGGAAATAAATTATCATCAAAAGTATGATTATTACTCTCGCCTGCGACGTGTGCAAAATAAAGGCGATGTCAATCTTTTTCAGGAAAAGCAGTGCTCTACTCCGAGTGGAAGGCGTTACGGATGCTGAACAGCAAAGAAATACTTACTTCTAGGAGTGACCTAAATTTATATAGGCCCCCAAACAAGTCGTGACGGGTTGAGTGAAGGAGTCTCTTCTTGTTTTTGCGAACGGATATAGGGTTTTCTTTTTCATAAAGAAAGTTTTACTATCGCAAATATCGGCAAACATCACCTGGTGAAAAATCTCGATAGCGGCACCAAAAACTGGCGATATTTCGAAAGAGCAGCTGTATACTAGTTTTTTCCCATCCCTATAGTGAAGATCGTGTAGCAAACCAAACCTGTACAGAACATTACGACGGACTCTCGTCAACCATGGGGCTGCTAAACATCCTCAAGAAGCTGAAGAAAAACCAGAAGGAGGCGAGAATACTGGTGCTGGGCCTGGATAATGCGTATGGAACTGGGCATGAAAAGTATCGCGTAGAAAGGCTGGCATTTTATTGCGTGGCTTGCCCAAAGTCTGTATTAAGAAAACACATTTTGCAGATGCAGGTGGACATACTTTTCTCTTTTGCATTCGATTTCCTCTGCCATGCGTTTTTGCCCAAGTCGCTACGCGATGCTTTTACCAACCATAACCCAGGGAAGACAACAATTTTGAAAAAGCTCTCAGAAGAGGACATCTCTCACATCATGCCAACACAAGGTACAGAAAGATGTTTGAATCTTCGTGCAGTCGTTCTGCATAAAAAGCTTGACTAAGTAGTTACTGTTGATGTGGCAACAACAACTTTTTTGTGGCGTTTCATCTACTTGCTTTAAAGCATTCTGGTTAGAAAAATTGTGAATCACGCATATCCTTCACTTCCGCACAGGTTTCAATATCAAGTCCTTGGTGCACGATGGGTTTAAACTGAATGTGTGGGATATCGGCGGGCAAAAGACCATCAGGCCATACTGGAGCAACTACTTCGAGTCATCCGACTGCTTGGTATCATGATAGGGCGTGAATTATTTAAGAATGTAGCTGCTGTCATCTTCTGCAAGTGAATAAACTACCGAGCGGCGTTATTGTCCTTTTGCATGCGGAGAAGGCATCATTTTTGTCTATGCAAAAACTACAACGCAAGAACGCCATTACAAATTTTTAGGTCTACGTTATTGACTCCTCGGATCGGCGAAGGCTCGAGGAGTCCGGGTCGGAGCTAAACGAGCTGCTCCAAGAGGACAAGCTCTCGAACGTGCCGCTCCTGATTTTCGCCAACAAACAGGACCTGCTGCAGGCCCTGCCCGCAAACGAGATCGCCGAGGAGCTCTCGCTACACAACATCCGCGACAGAACGTGGACGATTCAGGCGTGCTCCGCGAAGGCGGGGGAGGGGTTGCAGGAGGGCATGGAGTGGCTCGTCGGGCACATGAATTTGCAGAACAATTAAAAAGCGGGATCATCTAGTAGTGCGGGTAGAGAAGTACTTTATAAAGGCCCTGATATGATTTGGTTGAAAGCAGACGCCACTTCGGATTCGCTCGCTTTTGCAAGCACAAGAACCACCCATCAGCTAGTAGCTATAGTGAACGCATATTCCAGTAGCTTTCGCTAAACTGGAATTTCGACCGGATTATTATTTCACCCATTTTTTACTTTTGTTTTGATCAACCTCGAAACTGTATTGTTTATCAAAAAGAAGAATCATCAATCTTCAGCACACCGTCAAAGATGTTGCAGCAAGGGCCGTTTGATCATCAGCGACCACCTAAATCCCATCTCATCATATAATAGCTTTGAAAAATCCTCGATTGTTCTCATATCGCTGAAGATCTTGAACAAGCGAGCCAGGATTAGTCTCCCGATTGCGATAGTATGCTTCTAAGGAAGATGATAAATTGAGGCTGAATAAACTCCTCGGCAGGATGATGAAGGCAGTACTTACTCTACTTGTTCTGAGCAGACAGAAATAACTTCAAATGTGCTTCACAGTAAACGCGACCCCTTAATTTTTTTTCAGAGGTGCTGCTGTATCTGTACACTGTATTTAACAAAGTACTAACTATTCCAGTTGGACCACCCAAAGCTTCTACAGTACTATCGCCGGAGCTACTACAGCTTCGTCGAGTTGCGGCGCCGCTCGCAGTACCTAGCACAGAATCAATCTCTGGTGCGCTGCTCACGTAGTGCACCAGTTTCAATGTGAAAGTAGCTCGGTGCCACGTATTCGGACGGTCGGTTAATGTTGTGATAGAAGCTAAAAAAAGAGGTCATCGGATCTAGAGATCATCTGTCCGTTGAAACGTGGGACGAAAACGATCCAAGGCCTGACTGCCTGGAAAAAATTTGTTAGTTAAGATACCAGGATAATTTGATTCTCCAAGAATGTCAGCCGTGATCCCCGGAAAAAAGAATGAAAACTAGACCTGATCATGCTGTGACGTGGAGATAAAAAGAAGATCGAGAAAATTCCCATAAATTGTTCGTGCCTGTGTTTGGAAAATAATGAGAACCTGGTCGGATTTTGTAGCAGAGAACAGACAGAGCTTTTAGGCTCCGACCCCGTTCAGAATAAGTTCTTATTCCACGGCGCCAAACTCTGAAGATCTCTCGATCTGTGTGTGTGAGGATGATTTTCCCGTCGGTGTAGCTAGAGATCCCTGCAAAAGCTCGGAAGATCACTCGTGATAGAGGGCACTACGAAATCAATGTAGAATGAACTGAAGATCGTCATTTCCATTTCTACTTCCGCCCCTAAAGTTGTCTCAGCCACAATGCTCTTCTGAATCTATGTGCCCGATCACAGGTCCAACACTTTCAAAAAAATCGAACTTAGAAATCGCATTTTACTTCGTGAAATAGTCAAGTATTGCTTTATTGTTTTGTTTTTACGCTCCTAGATATCAATCATCTCCAAACCGCACTTGATTATATCCTCCTCCTAGTTAGAAGTGGAGGAAAACTTTTTTCGACGTATACGATGCCACGACATTGAGCTGTAGTCGCAAGGCCTGCGTTCTTGGCTGCGTGTGCTTGCCTGCTCAGATCGTATTCTCGAGACCTCCGCTTTTTGCATCAGCTGCTTGGTAATTCAAATTTCTTTCGACACGGATTCAAAAATTTATTATTCTCATCTGAAGCACTAGCACGACATCGGAGGACTGGGTGAAAGGAAACGAAAAGCAAAGAGAACAACTGCAACAAGCCGCACGACTCAAAGACATCGTCCAAAAGATGGACGAGAGGCAGCAGAAGATGGAGGCGGCGCAGCGCGCCATGCAAGCTGTGGGCATGAACATGGATGACATGCTCGAGTACATGCTGCAGAAGAAAGTTAAGGAACAGCAGAACCAGAACCAGAACAGCATGCAGATGAACAACAATGACCCGACCCAATACAGCCAGTACTGGCAACAGCAAGGGCAACAGTCTCATCCACAAAACACGACGAACAACAACCTGGGTACTAACATGAACAACATGCAGCAGAATATGCAGCAGAATATGAATGTGAATACGCCGATGAACAACTATACAAATCTGCAGCAGGAGCAGTATCAACAGCAACAGAACTATGCGAACAGGAACCAGCTACAGCAGGACAACAGTATGCAGCAGCAAGCCCTTCAGGCTGCCGCGTTACTGCTGAACGGGGGGAAAGGGAACAACAATGCAAACGCGTCGTCCTCCTCAAATTCGTCAAACTGGCAAAATATTAGCCACGTCAACTCTGGTAATTCCAACATGCAAAATAACGCGGCCGCTGCGCTGGTAGGAAATAACGCGATGCAGCAACAAAACTACTCAAATGACCCAATAAACCAGACGACCAACCAGGGCAGTGGTAGTTCTTGGATGAGCGGAAGTGATCAGCAATGGGGCAACAAGAATGCCGGCGCCAACAGTACTGGATCGTGGGGCGGCATTAGCCAGAATCAGCATGATCATCAGCACGGTGGAATAAACAACAAGGGCAATTGGTCCTCGTCGGGTAATGCGAAGGGAAATAAAAGTGGTGGCAAGGGAAATAATCATCTGCACCAAGGGAATAACAACAACTATACGAGCGGCGCGATGCAAAATTTCAATAAGGCTAATAACTCGTGGCAAGACCACCACCAGGGACACAGTAGTGGGATGAACAACATGAATGTGGCCGCTTCAGATACAACGAATGACTGGTACCACGACGGGAGCACCAATTATAGTACGACCAACAACAAGACCACCCAACAACAGAACCAGCCCCACAACTCTTCCTGGATGAGCTCCATCGCAGCCAGAGTTGGAGCAGGTTCTTCGTCATCATCTGGAGGCAACAACAAAAACCAGTCGGCCGCGGATTTCGTCAAGGGACTGCTCGGAACGTGGAACGACAACGGCAGTTCCGCTGATAGTAACATGGAACAACAAAGGAATCAGAATTTTTCGTCCACGACCCAAGCCTCCACCACTAACGACCGTTTTGCCGCGATCATGGCACTGGCGGAACAACAGCAGGATACTAGTAGAAATAGTAGTACATCGGTGGGCAACAACCACAACAACTATGGCCACAGCAACCTCCAGAGTGGCGGCAAGTTCGGTAGTGCTGTCTCGGCCGCAAAGACGAAAGGCGGGGGTAAGCATTCGAAGTCGAATAGTGCTTCCACCTCCTGGAATAACGATTCTTGGTCTTCTGCGACGCTGAACAAGGGCAATAATAATTCTAGCGCCTCGTCTTCCTTCACAAATGATTACGCTTCTGCTCCTCACTACACAGCCGGCGGTAGTAAAGGAGCCAGCACGTCAGGCGGTGGAACTTCTGCAAAGAACACTCAGAAAGGAAAAGGGGGTGGCAAGATGAATAAAGGCAATAAAGGGTTCAATAATTACAACGGGATGTCGAAGGCGTCGGGTCACCAAAACAACTGGAATGCAGAGCACCAGCTTCTATCTTCGGCGCAGGATCAACAACAACAGCAGGCGAAGGGTAAGGGGAAGAAAGGGAAAAAGAAGGGCTTCAAGTCTGCGGACCCGGCGGACAAGGGGGTGAACTGCAATCTCCGCACCGCGAATAAGAATTTGATAAGCGAGAACATCCTCGTCACCGACGCAGAGCAGGCGTTGCGGAACCACAATTTGAAGGCCAACAAGCAGGACTACGAGCGGCGCCAGCAGGAGCGCGTGGACCGGATGAATTCGGCCGCCGGGAAAGAACCGCAAAAGGACAGCAAGGCCGCGGCGCGGGGCGGGAATAAAGACGCCGCGAAGGGAGACGCCGCCACGTCCTTCCTGCTGGACTTCACGAACAACATCGAAGACATTCTGTGTCGCGGACAGCTTCCCAGTACACTGGTCCCGCAGGGGGCAGCTGCTTCTGCGGGAGCAGGCGCCAACAAGCGAAAGCGGGGGGAGATGGAACAGCAGCAGCAACAGCAAACTGGCACGAATAAAACTAACGCTGGGGCGAGCACGAACGAAAGCGAAAACGCACAGCACACCCTGAAAAAACCCAAAAATGTGACTGATGAAAGCAAAGTGAACTGGATCAGCAAAACGAAAACAGCGGACGGTTCGGAGGGAGTGAATAGCGAGAATATTAAACCGAAAAGCAATCGGGAGGTCCTGGAAGCTGCGTTGCGGGACGGCGAAGATCCGGGGAGTGAGAGCAGCGACGAAGACATGTCAAGCCCCGGCCCCGGATCCGCAGAAGTGAAAGATGGCGCAGGTTTTGTTGGGAGCAGCGGTCAGCATTCTCTAGACGACAAAAGCACGGTGCTAGCACCGACGCCAAAAACGCAAGGCATTCTTGATGCGGAGAGCAGCACCCCGTCAACCAGCACTTCTCTGAGAGATGAAGTCGGGGTGCAAAGCAAAAACAACCCGTTTCTGTTTTGCAGTGACGCGACTGCCACGGGTTTTATGGACAACCACTCAACTACAAGCGTCCAACATCTTCCGACTGGAATTATAAACGATGGGATAATTCTTGTGCCAGCTCTTAGTCCCTCCTCGCCTGGTGCTGAAGCGGAGGTGGGGGAGGTGAACACAGCCATCGAGCCAGATGTTTCGAAAGCAGCACAGAACAACCATGGCGAGGAAGACCCGCAGCCGACACCTGATATAGTTAGCGTCGACGGAGAACAGCCGTGGACTCCGGGGAGCGAAATGAATGCGGGAAGTTTTGGGGGAGTCGGAGCAGCCATCGACGTCGCCTGCACCGGCGATAATCCCTTTTTGCGACCACCGACCAAAAACTCTGCGACAACGATTTCGTCGAGTGCGAAAGTGGGGATCAAAGTTGTCCCCGCAGTCGTGGTTCAAGAACCGGTTCTTGCGGTTCGTGCTCCGGAAGCGCTGCCAGGTCGTGTAGAGCCTGTATCCACGGAAGATAGTGCACCATCTTCAAAGTCGGTGGACCAGGAAACGAAGGCTGTAGCTGGAGGAGCGGAGGAGGACAAAAACAAAAACCTCCAAGGCGGAGGACTTCTTCTACGCGAGGAAGCACAGGGCGGTAGAGACGAGCAAGAGCAGAGCGTTCTTCATCTTCCGGAAGACAAACCTACGGACGAAATAAATGTTGCTTTCCCAGAGCAGCTGCAGCAGCAACAGCAAGATCCTTGTGGTGTTGTTGGTATGGAAATTGTGGAAGAAACGATTATTGAAGAAGAAATTTCGCCATCGGCGTCGTCGGGTGGAGCAGTTGCTAGTGCTGTGGCAGGAGAGGAACGACAGGATATTAGTTGTTCAGGATCTGCTTTGATGTTCCCAGCGGAGGAGCAGGTACCAGCATCTGTTGAGGTCCGGGGTGGACAAGCTGACACCGAGGACCCTGCTGCGCTTATTGAGGAAAACATCGTGGAGGAGGAGGTTCTTTCTCCGGTGGAAGCTGCCGCTCCTTTTGCCGCTCCTGTCTCGGTTTCCCCGGTCGTCGTGGAAGCTGCCGCTCCTGATTCCGCTCCTGTTCTCTCGGTTTTGGCGACTGTAGCGGAAAATGATGTCGAAAACAATACGTCAGCCGCGGTTCCCGCTGCAGCTTTCGTTCGCGTTGAGGCAGAAGAGGAAGTAGTAGGAGCGCAGTCCAATAATTCCAGTCCCTCAGCTTGTTCCAACGCCGGTGCGGTCGAGGAGATCAAGGGTGTCATCAAAGTCGGCGCTGCTACGAACTTGAAGGCGAAGAACGTCACGGACGAACGCAATGAACTTGTTGTCGGCGGCACGGAAAGTAGTAGAACAAGTGGTCCATCTCCCATAGTACCAGAAGATCACCCGGAACAACGGGAAGCTTCTGCAGTAGACAAAGGAGAAGTTTTGGAACAAAACACAACTCGTCCCAGTATTTTCAATAACCCAGGGACTACGACGGACGACAAAACAGCAACTACAAGCGAAATAAAAAATAGCGGCAAGTTCAAAATACCATCGGTTTGGCGTTTCCAGCCAGTGGTCAGCAGCACCGAGGATTCGTCCGATGCAGAGGAGAAGAAGAATAAATCCGACATAAAGCTGTTGCAGGACGAGGAAAAAAGCCATGCAGTCTCTCACGATCTTCCTCCAACAGAACAAGAAGAAGTACACGAAACAGTTGATATGGCTCTTCACGCCACGACCAGTGAAGATCCAATCCCTGAAATACAACACAGCCACGAGGACATAATTCCACCCCCGAGAGAATCCGCGGCTCTGGCAGCCTGTTCTAGTACAAGTACTTGGTGTTATTTTGAAGAGGAGCAAGAAGAGGAACCAACGGCAACCATCCCCGAGCCCCGGGCATCGGCCGCTCTTGCAGAGGATCCCACGGCTGCACTCTTCGCTGCGATGGACTTCGCGGAAGACCGGGATGCGCGGAAAATGAGCGGGTTTGACTATTCGGAGGGGGTGCACGAAATGATGAACGGCGGCAGTTTGGGGGGCGGCGGACATGGAAATGGAAGTGGAACCACCAGCAGCCTGAATATCATGAATCTGCTGGGCAGCTTGGGCACAACAACAGGAACGAACTCTATGACAACTTCAGGCGGCAATAACAGCTTTCAATCCAACTACAATTCCTCCACCTACGGAGGCAAAAATCACCATTCTACTGCTGGTGCAACCGTCGCTGGAAAAAGCAACGCCGGGCCCTACGGAAAAGGCAACAAGAGCTGCAACAGCAGCTACAATTCGTGGCAAAATCATGGCGGAGGTGGCGGTGGTAAAAATTCCGGGACATCTTCTACTTCGTGGTGGTGGAACAATCCTGACAACTCGACGTCAGAGCAATATAATGCCGAAGGCTCTGTTGAAAACTATCCCCAGCCAGGAGGTAAGGGCGGGTACAACTACAACAAGGGGAACAAGAACGCTTATTCGCACATAAACAACTTCGGCAAGAACTACGGGGAGAACAAAGGGAGTCAGAATTCTTACAGTGCATCCTGGCAGCACAGCAACGATAGCTACAAGGGTGGAAATGATTTCAACAACAGTAAAATGTTCAATAACACCTCCAAGGGGGCGTCGATGTCGTCGACCAAGGGAAGCTATAATTTCCAGCAGAACAACAACAACTACAATTACAAAGGCGGCAGTTCTTTTTCCTCCGCCTTCGACAAAAACACTGCGCAGCAGGGAAAGAGCAATAATAAGTCCGGTAGTTTTATCAATGGCACCATGGGAAAGAACGCCAACAACTATCATTACGGGTTCTATCCCGGCGGCGGGGCAAAAGGTTCGGGGAAGCCAGCGGGCCAAATCGTCCGTGGAAAGTTCTACTGCCGGTACTGCGACTACGACTGCGGGGACAATGAGTTCAAGTGGAAGCATATCCTGAGTAAAAACGTACCCACACCAGAGTCAGGATGGGGATTTTGCAACACAAACCTAGGAGTTTTGTGAGTCACGCATGACAATTTGCGCTCTGCAGTGTAGTGCAGGTTAGCAAGTGCAGCCGCGTCACAGATTCATCTGCTCATCCTGTTCACAGCATCATAAATTCCAAAACACGATCGGAAATGGCTCTCATGGGGATGCGCATTATAAGTCTTCCTGTCTTTGCAAATCTGCATTACAACTCTGGTGTGGGTACGTTTTTGCTCAGGATAAAGCAGCACTGCAAGGAGCGGCACATCCAGTGCATCGAGTGCGGGGAATCGCTGCCGGAGTTATCAAATGCAAAAATGTCTGGGTCTGGAAGAATGCAACTTGTCACGCTAAATCTGAATCATGCAAAAATCTGTGTTGCATGATTGCCACAAGTCGTCCAGTTTTGACCAAGTCGGGATGGAGTTTCTCATGCAGGATAGGCACGATAGAGATCACACAGAATCTGTCATGCTAGGTCCTGCAGTCCAGACCTCGTGGGTCATGGAAAAGCTGCATGACAAACTTGCATTCTTCCAGACCCAGACATTTTTGCATTTGATAGGAGTACGCCATGGAGGCGCACATGCTCACCCACTGCGAGGACGATGAGGAAAAGGACGAGGAACTCGAAAAGTGGATCGCGAGCCGCAAGGCGAAGTTCCCGACGAAAAAGAGGATCCAGGAAAAACAGGACGGCACCGTCGACGACAGCCACCTGCCATTGAGTACGTTTTATTATCATGTGGCACCGAAGAACTGCTTTGGTTTCTCTTTCTAATGGGTGACAGTGATTTTGATTTAGCTGTTGTTCACCGACCTAGACACAGCAGGAGCAACATCAAGAAGTTTATTTTATCAAGTAGAAGTTCGGACGTCGAAAAATGAATCTATATTGAAGTTGTAAGAAAATAGATGCTGCAGGATCATTGTGTAGTACTAACTGTGAATAGCTGATAGCTCTAGCGCGAATTAATATTCTCTTTATAGGTAAAATCGAGGAGCAGCTGCGTGAGAAGATTGATCCGCAGCAGAAGAAAAAGCTCCGTCCCCAGGATGACGACGAAACCGTGGAAGTGTGCCTGCAGTACGAGTACTTCCACCGCCGGTGCGGCCGCGGCAAGCAGTGCCCCTTCCGGCACCGCAGGCGGGACCCCTGGTGGATGCAAAAAGTGGCGAACGAGGAAGAGTTTGTGTGCAACGAGGCGGAAGAGGACCAGTTGGGGCACGGAGACGGAGCGGAGAAGGGTCGTTTAGAAGTTGTTGTACTTGACGGTTATACAGCAGGAGCAGGGATGAACTCCGATACCGCAGGTAGTAGTAGTTCTCCTGCTGGTGGTTGTGCTGCTGTTAAAAATGCTGTGCCAGCAGCACCAGCTGGCGAAAAAAAAAGTGAAATGACCACGACCGACGACCTTGCCGCTTCGGAGAAAAGCACTGAGGACGGGGGGACGCCGAAACTAGAGGTGGTTCCTGAACAAGCCGAAGAGATCTTAACTGTAAGAAAGGAGGACGGAGGAGAAGAAGACAAGAAGGCTGGTGTCAGCAACACCGTCCTCCCTCCAATTACAGACGAAAAGGAGACTTTTATAGAGGGGGACAACAAAACTAAAACTACTACAGTCGAGCAGGACAAAGAGCAGACAGCTGCAACATCAGTGGCGGAGCAGGCACAAGCCGAGCCCATGTCGAAGTCGAAGCGAAAGCGGCTAAAAAAACAGGAAAATAAGAAGGCCGCCGAGAAGAAGGCCGAGGCAGAAGGGAGTACAACCGAGAATAAAACTTCCTCGTCTCTTCTAGACCCCCTCCAAGCGAGTGACAGTGGTAACAAAGTAGGAGCGCAAACCACAGAGCTCCTGCTCCAGGAAGCAACGGCGGCAGTAAAGCAGGAACAAGAGAAGACGTATACGTTCGCCCGGGGGGTGTGCCACGCGATGATCCACAAGAAGAAGTGCATGAAGGGAGAGAACTGCACGTGGTCGCACGAGCACAAACTGGTTTTGGAGGAGCGCGCCAAGTGGCGGGCCATTTTCAAGCAGGACAAGGAGGCCGAGAAGAGGCGAAACGAGCAGCCGGCGGGGCGCAGCAGCAAGGTAATCAAGATGGACGACTTGTTTCGCCGCATCGAGGACAAAGTCGACGTGTCCGACGAGGTTGTTCCCCAGGTCCACCGGTACTTCTCCTCTCTGCGCATCAATAAAAGCGCGGACGGGCGAAAGGTTCAAAAGAGCAACAAGCGAAAGAGGGCGGATCGCACGAAAAAGACGGCGCGGGGTTCTTCTTCCTCAAACAGTGACGGAAGTCGGTCGGAGGGAAATGACAGTGAAGGAGAACTAGATAATGGGTCTGGAGTAGAAAGCGATGAAAATAGTTTTTTCAGTGACAGCGACGACCTTTCGAACCTGAAGCCGATTCGGGACGTCACGGCGAAAGTGGGGGAGCCGGACCCCTGCCGGACCGCGAAATCCGTTATGTTTTCGTCGCAGATCACGTTTAAGCCCACGAATTTGCTGAAGGCGACAGTGACGACGCGGGAGCCGGCAAAAGGCGACGAAAATTCATCGGGTCCGGGACATCTTCAAAAGTCCTCCTCCACAACAGCTTCTTCTACCGGGAACAATAAAAACAACAAATCTGCGAAGAGCAGCAGTGCGCAACTGGAAGAGGCGCGGAGGGTGCTGGAATTTCTGCGCAGCGGGAAAAAATTGGAGGAAGGGCAAATGCTAGAGAACAAGGAACTGCTGGACATTCTGAACAACGACGATGAGGAGGACAGCTGGGGATAGTCGTAGTTGGGTACTATAGGTAAAGATAGAATCATGAAACTCTTCAGCTACAAGGTGCGCCGCACGACCCGGACGATGAACTATAGTGCAGTTACCATGCAAAGTCGTCACACGAGGAAGAAAGTAGGAAGGGTGGAATTGGCTACAGCTGGATCACCTTGGCAGGATGGGAGCCTGGCGACGAATTTTTATTCGAACAGCAGAAACGCGAACAAGCGACTTTGATTCTTTTTGGCACGACGAAGAACGAACCTAGTACTTACTTCCCTTGGTCTAGTAGTACTAAGGCGCATTTTTACGACTGAATGAACAGGAAAACGCGAATTGAGTGTGAAAGCGAACGCATTTATCTTGACGCAAAACTGCAGCTGTGAAACCGACGCAAGCGAATTTCTAACATCCACTGCAAAAATTATTGGCTCGAGAATTTTCTCCATTTTTCTTCAGCGTCTCATGCATTGTTGCAAAAGAGGACACGCTGTTGTTGAGTGGCGTGTTTTTCTCCAGATCGGCGGAAGATCGATCCAAAACTTATTCTGCTCCTGAAAAATACATCTCTCGAAAGCGTTGTCGTTGAAGATCATCTCATGGCAAAATTGTTCCCGTTTTGCAAGATCAAGATTTCCCTTGTGGTCTTTTGTGGTTCATGTGAGATGCACAAGGCATTTCTACTCACCGCCTTCAGTTTGGAATTCCACCGCGAACGATTTGTCACAGTGCCCATTTATCAAAATCGAAATTTACAATCAGTATGATTACCGCAATAAACGACGAGTAATTCTAATTGCCATTACAGAACACAGTCACGACCACCTGAACAACTGAACTACTGACTGCTGTATAGAAGTATGTACTGGAATGCGAATTTATTTTCATTTTCATAAACCAAAAAAGAAATACTTAAAAAGCACTCCCACTACGTAGTGCCAGAAAAGCACAAAGAACCCGAAGCAAGCACTACACCTACCCAAAAGAAGCGACACCATCACCGAGGCCTAGTTCCACCATGGCCGCCAATCTGCTCGCCAACTTGGCCAAGCTGAAGGCCGACAAGCAGGCTCTGCTGAAGAAAAAGCAGGCCGCCACGACCCCAACCTCCGCGCCGGTTCCCTCGCCGAGCAATGCCAGCGTCGGCGGGACAGCAGCAGCGAGGATAGGCCTAGGCGGCGGCGGTGGGTCCTCGAGCTCCTCCAGTGCGGGGGGTGCAGCAGGAGCGGCCGCGGGGGCGCACAACAGCACTAATTTCCATGCTGGTACTTCTAGCGACACCAGCTCCCCGATGCAGATACCAGCCGGGGGGCAGCAGCAGCAGCAGCAGCAGCAGATCTCCTCCAGTTACAGCTTTGTGCCCCAGAAGGAGAAGTTTTCGCTTAATCCGGGGTCCGACCAGGACGACGATGCGTTTCTGAATCAGGAGTACGACCCGCTAGAGCCGAACAACTACGACGAGATCGTAAAGAAGCGGAGGCGGGCGCAGCAGAACGCGCAGATAAAGAAGCACCAGGAGATATCCTGAGTAAAAACGTACCCACACCAGAGTCAAGATGGGGAATCGGCTAGACAAATCCACAAGTTTTGGCTGTTTTGCATGACAAGTTTGGATTCGTAGTGTAGTGCTGTTTGAGCTAGCTCAGCAGCATCACAGATCTAGCACACCATGCTGATTGGAGCATGACAAATTGCAAAACACGACTAGAAAATGCTTCTCATGGAGCTCCGCATGAGAAACATTTTCAGCATGCAGATTTGCGTTACAGCTCTGGTGTGGGTACGTTTTTACTCAGGATAGGAGAAGGAACTGGAGCGACAGAGGAAAGCGGCGGAAGCCGCGGCCCCGCCGGAGGACGATGTATCACATGTAAAAATGTCTGGGTCTGGAAGGTTGGAACTTGTGATGCTAACTTTGGATGCTAAAAAAAACTGTATTGCATGACCAGCAAGAGGAGCCCAGTTTGTGCTACGCGGGGAGGGCATTTGTCATGCGGGATAGGCATCAGGAAGGCCTCTAAAAATATGTGATGCTAGATCATGCATTACAGACATCTTGACTCATGCAAAATATGCATGACAAACCTTGTAAACTTCCAGACCCAGACATTTTTACATTTGATACGATGCGGCCACCGCCTACATGAAAAAATTCGGCTGGAAGGAGGGCAGCGGGTTGGGGAGGGAGCAACAAGGTATGAGAAAAATGAACGGTTGCTTTTTCTTTTTGATAATGCTGGCTACACAATCAAAACCTATGAAGTCGTCTCTAGCTTGACGACGGCGAAACTGTTCTTCGCGTCGTGTCTCTTTGAGGTGTGATGTCGCAGGTCACGCACGGGGAGGGAGGATCTTCTTCTTCTACCCAGCACAATTCTATCTCCTCTAGTACAACACATGAGGAGAAGAAACCATGATCATGATCCCGCCAGGTATTACTGCCCCGCTGATTATGCGGAAGACAGATCGCGGCGCGGGGACGGTCGTGCAGGGTACGACGATGCCGGCCCGGAAATTCGATCCGAAAGTCGGCCCAAGCACCGTGGTTGTGCTCATGAACGCAGTCGGACGCGGGGAGGTTATCGTGGAGAAAAATGCAGCTCGATTTACTGCTGCGAGAGGTGGGGATATACTTGTCATGCTGTTTCAAGATCTGATGACAGGTCAGTTGACGGATAATACGAAGCTGCTAATAGTTATACATGATTTTTCAAAGATGCATGGCAAGTGCAGAAAGCGCGGCCTCTGCGCATCAGAACGCTGTGCATATGGCTGAGCTTTCTGTACAGATCAGTACATCTAACAGAGTAAGCATCACACATGATTTCTATGCTTGCACGACCACGAGCCGACCAGCAGGAATACGCGAGACAAATTTTTCTCTTCTCGATACCCATCGACGAAGATCTGCAGGAGGAGATGACGGAGGAAGCAGGTACAGAAATGATAATGCGTTCTTGCAAATATGTCTGGGTCTGGTTTTGTGGCATGAGCAGTAGTCTGTATTGCATGAAGCGAATTGATGACGAGTCTTTTTGTCGCGCTGGGAGGCAGTTTCTCGTTCGATTTACGAGTGAGTCTGCATCTGCACTGACGTCGTAGTTCAAATACTTGTATATGCGTTCATGTTGTCGTACAGAAAAAGGCCTTCTTGTGTAAAGTTTTGCGAAAAAATTATTCAGGTAAATACGGCAAAGTGGTGTCCTGTGTCATCAAGGAGGCGGCCAAGGACGTGCCCGACAAGGAGTCTGTCCGGATTTTCCTGGAGTTTGACAGCGTTCAGGGAGGGCAATTTGCCAAGGCGAAGTTTACAAACCGGTATTTCGGCGGCCGCTATGTGAACTGTCTCTTCTACGAGCCAACCCTGTACAAAGCCGGACAGTACTTCGAAAAGCTGTGAAGTTCATTTTCGAAGGCATATAGCAGCTGGCTGTTCGTCTTGCTGTGTCGGGGGAGACGAAAGATGTGCTGGCATAGTGCTCTACAACAGCTCGTGACAATAAAGTTATGAACACGCTTGAGCAGGACCAAGCGGCAGCGACAAGAAGTAGCCTTCCAGATCTTCATGCGACAAAACAGTTATTCATATCCTCCTTCGTGGAGGATTCCTCGAGGAAGAAGTACTTACTTACTACATCAATCCGCCACATCAGAGTTGTCACTCCGTGGTCGCAGAACTTTGGGGACTGTACTTGGAAGAACGACGACCGCCATGTTCGTTTCTCTGACCACCATCTCGTGAATAAAATCGATCTGTGTTATATGCCTAGTAAAAATCGCCATCACAACTTACCAAGGTATTATTTCGTCGTGAGTTGCAATTCCGTAATATCTATGTTGTTTCTACCATAATTCTCGACGTCTGAGACTGAGCGGACCGTGTTCATCAGCTTTCTCGACCCTTTCGTATTTTGTGCAGGAGGAGGACCGACTGTCTTTGTTTGAGTGAACCAAGGCTTGTTTGTTTGCTTGTTCTGTTGTTCTTCGGCTCGTCGTGTTGCTGCTGTGTCAATTCCACGCGACGTCTTTTGCATTTCGATCGGCAGTAGAACAAGCCTTAGTATGGCTTGTTTTACATAATTCACAGAACCTGTGTGGTTTGCAATTTGTGTGGGCCGCTTTGTGTCTCATTATGAAAAAATCAATTCATAGGCGAGGAGGGCTAGAAGGGATTAAAGCACCACACAAGTGGTCAGAGTCAACATCGCATGTGCGTCGACACGTTTGTGCAGCCACTTGACATCTCTGCCCGTTCAAGAGGGTCTTGCGCGGCGGGGGGTTTTCTACATCGAGAATAAGTAAGTTACGCAGGAGTTTCTGGAGCAAATAAAACTGGCACGAGATGTTCGGGCTCGCGGACCGGTTTGACAAGCCCGCGGCCTACAGCCCCGGCCCCGGACACTACGAACACCGGAGCGCTTTTGGCACCAAGGGAAGCGACGATCTCACCACGCAGCTCGTCCAGAAGCTGTACCAACTGCCCAACGATCCGCTGAACCTAACCTCCATCAGCGTCCGGTCGACGAGATGTAATGAAAAATGAGCTTAATATTCAACGATAGAGCTGCTCGTGGACACGACTTTCATAGAATTCCAGCTGACCTCAGATCTTGTGCGTTTTTACGACATTGACCCAGAAGAAACAAAGTGCAGTTCTAGATGTTGGGAGAATCTATCTACTCTTCGGCCTAAATCAGACAGAGACAGCTAGCGGCCACTGATTTACATCAAATTTTTTATACGGAGTAACAAACTAACACAGCAACACACTTCGACGACTCGCTGGCGGCCAGGGTAGCGCGCTTGGAGACCTCCCTCAATTGCAACAGAACCTCTGCGTGCGCGCCGGGCAGGAGACGAGGCGGCGGACCTTCCGGGGTAAGATTGATTTTCTGCTGATTGTAGCGTCGTGATTCGTACTCGTGATTCGTTTATAATTGCGTGCATGATAAAAAGCGACATTCACATTTGTACTTCTGTAGCATGAGCTACCGCATCCTGCATATCACGATTAAACAGGTTCTCGCATCGTCGTCGACGGAATTCCAAAGCGCACAGGACGCCGGCTTCCAGCGACATTCCTGGCTTGCGGGAGAGTTGAGCGGCGACGTGTAAGAAATTATTCTGATACGTGCTTATCTCGTCCTCCAATAAATAGTTTTTTTTGCCATCTGGAATTGCGATTCTTTTTTAGGATTGTTGCAGATGCTCCTTGCATCTCACACGAAATTTTTATTTGTCGTGCGTCGCATCTTTGATTTAATTGTTGAAGAGGGCGCACGCGCACGCTTTGTTTCTCATGGGTCAGGAATACTACAGAGAGAAGATAAAACTAAAACCGGAATGAAAACTAAACATAAAAAACATCAGCTTTTGCTTTAAGTCCACGAACACGCCCATAAACATCGGCCCGGGGAGCTACAGTTCCATGCAATCCACCGCCCCGGAGAAGGTGATTCCGAAAAGTCACAACTACCTGGTGCAACGAAGCGAGGAGATCGCGCGGAACCGACGAGATCTGTGGATCCAGAAGCGACTGCACACCGGCGCAGCTCCGAGTCCGTTCAGCATGATGAATGGGGACAAATCTTTATCGCTCAGCTATACCCAGTTCGGAAACGGCGGTATGTCGGTCCAGCAAGTAGGTGGACCACTACAGATGAACCCGCCGATGGTATCAAAATGAAAAATCCCCCCTCCCCATATCAAAACGAAAATTTGTGATGCTGATTTGTGACCACAAATCGGCTTTGTATTGCAGAGAGGCACTGCGGCCAGATCCCCAGGCTAGGTAGGGGCGTATGGGTCTAGTAGTTCAGCATGGCAAACGGCCCCCCTTTAGGCCCAGCAGCATGACAAATCGCTTCCATAATGGGGCGGAAGCTTCTGCCCTTGTCTTCTTGCAAGACAGATGTGATTTGTGACCTCAAATCCCCAACGCAAATTTTTAGAAGCATGCCTTTTCAATATGGGGGGGGGGATTTTTCCTCTCAATAGATGGTGACGAACGTGCCGCAATCGGCGTCAGACCAGCAGCCCGCGGTCTACCCCCCGCCGATGGGCAGCGGACCGCAGCAGCCACCCATGGTGTACTACTCCGACCCGCCGGCGAACCCCCTGCAGCTTGCAGGCGCATCGAAGAGTAGCCGCACGGTGGACCTGCATCACGCGCGGGGGGACAACATGCAGCTCCAAGCGGAAAATTATATCAACAAACCGAGCAGCGAACAGCAAGGGGTAGAGCAAGTACAACAGCAGTTCCAGTCTACTGCTCTCCAGCAGCCACCACCGATGATAAACGGGGTGCAAATTATATCGGGAACGCAGCCCGCGATGTCCAGTTCCTACGTGCCCGGCGCTGGCCCACCATCTACTTCGGGAGTCTCGCCCGTGGCTGTGCAACAGCACTTGCAGCATCAACAGCACCAGCACCCCGGAGTCACGCAGAGCCACGTGCCGCGAACGATCAACTACAATGACGATCACGTTTCCCCCCACCAGTCACAGAACTCGCAGTTGCAGGAGGACAAGAATCCGTTTTCAGCTGCGCACCAAGCCGCGACAGCGGGGTATCACGGCTACGGATCGGTGCCGGAGCCGATGGGCAGCAGCAGTAGTGGTTTTCATGACCACAGTGCTCCGACAAGTCGCAATCAGCGTCAGCAACTATATGGCCGTACTAACTACGGATTTGTCAAGTAGTCCAAAAAATTTCAGGGTCCGCGCGTGATGGTATCAGAGGAGGCAGCACAGCTCACGCATAAAGGCCTCCTTGTATTTTTTTGCATCGTCCGATCCTTAAGCTAGCTAGTTAGGAAGGCGGGCCGCTTCCAGTATCCCCGAGGTCCTGGTACATAAATTCGTGTCGGAGCGGGGGGCTAGCCCGCAACCCCGAGCACCGGCAACAAGCGGCACAGGCTCCACGCAACGAAAAAGCTTCCGGGAAACGAAGGCCGTGGCAACCTGGCTGGCAAGACAAGAGCCATTCTTTTAGGACTCGCGACACAGTTCCGACGCACAGTGTCAGGACTCCACGCAAGACGGCTATGCGATCGTGAGAAAACGGCGCCAGGCCTGACCCCAACAAAAGAAGGGCACTGGCAGCGGCTTCTCCCACAGGCTGGGCGCACTGTTCATGGCCCCCCGCTTGCTTGGCTCGCCTCGCCTGACACTCACAAACGAAATGCAGGACGACCCGGCTATCGCGCACTTGCATACACCTGCCAAAGCCCCCGCTAAAGATTGCAGGCCACTGCCTCCGGGGGTGCTTGGGTTGGGTAATTTGCCTGGCGCCCATTGCAGCGGTCCCAATCCTTCAAAAGCGGGGTAGCCGGTGCCCGGCAAAGCTCGGCCCCCATCAAAGACGTGGCCAAAGCAAAACCTCAGAAACTAAGCAGCCTGCCCCACATCGCGACGGCCCTCGCAAAAAACCCAACGCGGGCGCACCTCCGGGCGGGCCGGCTAGCGCTAGTGTGGCTGCGCTACTGAAGCGCGGCCCGCCTGGTTCGGCGCCCACTGCTTTATGCAAAAGCAGGTGGGCGCAGCGCAGAAGCAAAAAACCCGGCAGGTGTGGACTAGGGCGAAAATTGAAGGGGAAGGTGGGGGGCCTGATATTTCCAGCGAAGGGGGGGTGGTGGGTTGAAAAGAGCAGCGGGAAGACTGGGTCTGCCACGCATCCTCTGTCGAAGGGGCTGCGCGGGACGTGTCGGAAGAACTGCGCAGCACCATCGTGGATGTGACACAGGGCCACAGTTTCAACGCCTTCTGCCTCGTCGAAGAGTTCGGGGTCTTCACCTACAGCCCCGTCGCACATTGGGAGGGCAAGAAGCTCTGGGAAGCCCCTTGGCTTCTCTTGGGGGTGCGATTGCCTCCACGCCCAAGAGGTCCTTACGAAAGATTCAAACATGACCCGGGTCCGCAGCTCCAGAAACTGGCGGCCCCAGTAGCAGCCTGCCTAGTTAACTAGTTCAATGAATCTGCGCACTCACAGCCTCATTAGTGGGCGACGGATTTCGCATAAGCAAAGACAACACGGTGAGGGATACGCGCGGAGACCCTGAAATTTTTTGGACCACTTTGAAAATCCGTAGTTAGTATGGCCACAGTGCTCCGACAAGTCGCAATCAGCGTCAGCAACTAGTCCGGGTAGACGCTTACGGAAGACCAATATCATCCTCATCCTCTTCCAATCGTAATCTATCCAGCAGGAAAAAAAGTGTGTGAGTCTATACCGTCTATAGGCACTAGGAGCATCTTGACAAATCAGTGCGCCCCCATGACAAAAAAAATTCCAAACTGTTGAGCGCAGCTGGTAGAACGTGCATCAACCCCTTATGAAGAAAGAACAAGGTATAAAACTTTCCATGATAGTAATCTTCGTTTTGCATGAAGATCATGACATCTGTAGAAACAGTCTTGGTCGCTCTGCATGATAGATAATTGCTTGTACTCACTCAGTTTTTTCTTGGATGCAAGAACCCTTTTCAGATGCACGACGATCCTCAGTGGATCGGGAGTTTGGTGCAGCAGTACCACCGAGGGGGCAGTGCATCCTCGGTTGTGCCCGCGCAGCAACTACAGGGCTACAGCTACCACCCGCAGCAGCAACCGCCGGTATTCACATCGCCGACCAGCCGCGCGTTCGATCCGCCGCCCAGGTTGGTGATGAGTAGTACGGTATCCTATGTAAAAACGTCCCAACATGGGGATTTTGCAACACAAACCTTGAAGTTTTGGGAACCAAGCATGACAAATTGCAGGCTGTAGTGTAGTGCAGTTTAGCAAGGGAAGCCGCATAACAAATCGATCTCCTTATGCTGTTTACAGCATTACAAGTTCCAAAACGCGATTGATTTTGCCGATCATGGGATCGCGCATTACAAACGCTCTTGTGCTCGCAGATCTGCATTACAACTCTGGGGTGGGGACGTTTTTACTCAGGATATACGGCCGCAGCGCCCTCCGCGCAGCCGCAGAGTAGACCGACGTCGGCCTTGCAGCAGTTACGCATCAGGCAGCAGTATCAAATGCAAAAATGTCTGGGTCTGGAAGAATGCAACTTGTGATGCTGCATTTGGACTCCAAAAAAATCTGTATTGCATGAGTAGCAAAGGGAATGCAATTTTTGCTACGCTGAGAAGGCATTTCTCATGCGGAATAGGCATCAAAAAGCCCTCAAAAAATCTGTATCGCTAGGGTATGCATCACAGACATGGTGGCTCATGCAAAACGTGCATGACAAGTGTCAGAATCTTCCAGACCCAGACATTTTTACAGTTGATAAGCAGCAGATGCAACAGCTCGGCCCGGCTGCAGGATCATCTTACGTCGGCGGCACCGTGCACAGAGGTAAATACAATTGATGTCATTTTATTCGTTTGATGAAAAATCAAAATGCTTGTCGTGCTTTCGCTTACTACTTTGAATTGAAGAACCTACTTCGGCGGCACGATGATTTGATCAGCTACAATTCCGGGGGTTTTATTCGTTTTGCTCTTGACTTTCTTGCCCATTTCTGCTATCAAGGTGCGTCGGTTCCGAATCCGCAAATGCAAGCGTACGGGCAACCACAGATGCAAGTCGCGAGATAGCGCTTGGTAGTCTGAGAACGGGAGGGATCAACAAACCCAGAAATTGCTCGGAAAGTTTCATGATCTGGAACGTCGTTGAACGTCTGTCTTTCTTCAATTTCAATCAATTACAAGCCAATACTTCATTTTCAATCAATTACAAGCCAGTTTTTATCTAATGACTTCAGGGTTTGATATCGCTAAGAACTTACTAGGAACTGCAGGCGCACGGTCGGAGTGAAGACACGTTGTGCCTGCTCAGTTCTTGTCCTGCGGCTCTCCAGGGTCGCAAAACAAAATTGAACTTTTCTCGCTTTTCCATGCCACTGCGTGTGACATCAGGACTGGGTGATGTAGTTTTCATGCAATTGCTCTCGTGGTTGTGGTTCCACTTCTTTGCAGCTAGGAGTAATCCAAGTAGAACTCCCGAGATCTTCAAATTCGAAAGCCTCGAAGGGATGAAAAATACGTATTGAGGACACGTAAATCCAACGTAGTGGTAGTCGTTCTGTAACTCCCGGGCATTATTAGAGCACCACGTGAGCAAGAGCAGGCTCCCGCCAAATAGTAGACTTGAAACTTCGTCCGATTTCTCTACCGCTGTGACCACGTGGTCATCTGGTCCTGTAGGTCTATCCGCGCATGGCAGCACAGTGCGTTTTTACACGCCGAAAAATTAAAGCAGCGGAAGAAGGATTTTTATCGGAAGTAGAGGAGGCTTCGATTTCAATTCCATCGCTGTGTTATCAATTATCGACATTTTTCTCTTGTATCTATCCCTTTGTTTGGATTGGAGCCGAGGAAAAGACTCTATGAACCAAAAAATGCACGAAGCAGCTCAGGTATTTTGTGAGCTGTGGAACGAAAATCAATGGTGAAAATGTGGAAAAATAAAGTCATCAGCCTCTAGTATGACGTCGCTGTTGTATTTGTTGTGAAATACTGTTTGAACTTATCAATTGTATGATAACGGGAAACTTTTTTCGGCATTATCGCAAACTACAGCGAGTTTGTTAATAATCCTGTTCCGCAACAGGCGAAGAGAGTCCTCTTGGTGTTCTGGCTTCAGGCGTTTGAATCGCAAAAATAATGGCAATCGGTCAAGGTAGTTCATCTCCGCATAGTCGGTCGTTCGGTCGTGTGCAATTATAAAACTTCTTCGGATGCTTCTATGTGCAAACTGGCTGCAAAAATGCAGGTTCGGTCGAAACAATGTAGATTTCGTGCAAGTTAGTAGAAGAGCTGCAACACATTCCTTCGGTTCGTACAGGATGAATATCAACTCGCGTTTGTCGTTCTTTTCGTCCAGATTTATGCTCCGCGGAGCAGCAGTAGCTTCGTGCAGGCAATAGAATACAGTTGTGTGATGCATCAGGTTTGGTACTATAATCTGCTTCTCGTCGCATGGTAAAGTATAGGTAAAAATTTCTACAACCAGGATTTTGTTGTATTACTTGAAACCCAATAATGCCCCCTGCTTGATCTTGTGGTCCCACATTATGTGATCCCGCAGTTGTCAGCAATCCATTATCTCTTTTGTCCCACCCGTGTTTATTGTGTGTCACCCACCTCATTGTTTCGCTACTTCATTTCGAATTGATATTGACCATAAAAAAAAGTACAACGCCCACCATGGCTATACTAGCTTCACAGAACGTTCTCCGCACCTCCGGCCGCTCCTCCCGGCGGCAGAAGAAGGGGATATCCGTGATGACGGCGGTTTTTGGGTCGGTTGTCTTTCTCCTCCTCGACACACAACTCTTCCCTTACTTGTTCGGCGACCAGCACGTCCCCCTGACGGCAGATTTTTATATCAAAAAAAATAACTCTCGTCGGGAACAAAAGATGCGAACCATTTATTTGAACGAGAATTCAGTTACGAATCCTATACCGCAGACGGGGGAGCTGCTGGTCGAAGAGCACCACACGGCAAGAACCAGTACATCGCCCGGAAGTAGCTCTACAACAGCGGCAGATGTTAAAAATGATGTCAAAGAGCAGGTGTTGGGAGCACAGCAGGAGTACAACGATGATATTAACGCCAATTCTGGCGCTCCGTCCTTGTTCAACATCGCGTCTTCATTCGGTAAAAATGGTAAAAATGCTGCTATCACTCTGGAGGAAGAGGAGCTCGAGGTTTCCGGGAACGTGTACGTGTTAGAGATCGCCGTGGTCATCATTCTCTCGCTGCTCTTCGAGTACTGCGAGGACATGCTCCGCGAGAACCTGGCGAGGAAGGAAAAGGAAGTGGCGCTGGATATTTTGGACTCCTGTTTCGGAGAATTGACCGTGCTGGGCTTCATCGGTATTGAAGGTTTTCGCACGACCAAAAACTAGAAGAGGCTCCTTAAAATCATGTTGTATATCGACCTGTAAGGTGAAATATCTCAAAAATATTGTGGTTTTTGCAAACGCAAGCTCCGCGTGGATGACCACGTCGTCGAGATTGATGTGAACGTGAAATACTACTCGCTTTTCAAAACTGTCAATGTCATATACGTACTATCATCCCAGGTCTCGCCGTGTTTATTTCCACGAAAACGGGGGCTGCGACGAGATTAGCGGAGCGGCTAGTGCCCGGCTACGACGGCGAGGGGGAAAACCCACTGTCCGAGTCCTTTGAGAATGTGCACATGTGCATCTTCTGCGTGATGATGGTATTCATGTTCCAGGCGGCCACGTTGATGTACATCGCGGAAGACTTGGACCGGGTGTGGGACCGATGGGAGTCCATGTCGCCCAAGGGCCGGTCGAATTCTATCGAGGCGGTGCTGAAACGCGCGGGGTACGTGGACCGCGACGGGAACCGGGTGCAGTCGTTTAGCCCGGGCACTTTCCGCGAACGCATGTGGCACCAGAAAAGCCACAAAATGGTATAGATGCTTGGAATTTGCACTTCGTATGAACCCATGAGTTTAATATTACGCTGTGATGTACTTGTACTACTAGTCGTGTATGTGCAGTCGTGAAGTAGATTTGATGAAGATGCCTTTGACAAGAACACCGTAGATACCAATTTGTTTCATCTACCACGACAATTTCTTCACGACAGATGGTTTTGTGGCACGGGCTCCGGCATTTGTTTTGCTATCCGGTGGCGATCGACGAGGACGAAAATCATTTGTCCGACATTGTGGAGGTCAAGGACCCGGCCTCCTTCGATTTCCGGATGTATTTGTCCAGCAAGATGGGCCAGCTTTTGACGGATCTCGTGGAGGTCGACAACCGCACGTGGCTCTTCGCGCTGGTGGTCGTGGTGCCGTTTGTGTCCGTCGCGACCACGGTCTCCCCGGTCGTCATTATGGTGATGCAAACCGTCATGGGGCTGATCTTCTCCTGTACGATGAATTATATGATTGTTGTTTATAATGAAAAGTAAAAACTTGTGTGCGGCCACTCGATTGGTGGGGGGGATGGGCGGGTTTACGTTTAATAGAGGAACTATCTATTGCACAAAATCAAAATGAACTTGTTGCGTCGGAACCGGAAGTTGTTGGTTTTTTTGGATTGCGGCTGCTCAGTCTTTTCTACTAGTGGTACTCAATGAAAAGCATGATGAAGATGTACTTCATGTACGTTGGCTTCGATTTTTAATCCAAAACCAAAACAGGTATTTTCGCGTGGCTGCTTTCCGACCTAACGCGTGTGGAGTACAACCTGTGCCCGCAGCTGGGCGCGGACGCGCCGGAGTGGCTGGAGTACATGGCGGAGAAGGAGTTCAACACGATGAACAACGCAGACAAGATATCCTGAGTAAAAACGTCCCCACGACCCCAGAGTTGTCAAGATGGGGACTTCGCAACACAAACCTAGAAGTTCAGAGAGTCACGCATGACAAGTCGCACTGCTTAGTGTAGTAGTGTCAAGCGGCAATCTGCGGCCATGGTGCAATGGGGGGGAAAAGTGTGTCGCATTTTGTTTAGCATGACCAGTCCGGTCGTGTGGGGACGCTTTTACTCAGGATACAAGAAGGGTCGCAAAATCGTCGCGATGGGCGTCACCCGCGAGTCCCAGGCGCCGGGGGCAGAGCACATGGCGAAGGGGGGACTGCTGAACGGGGACGGCATGAGCGCCGAGTTGCGGGAGCGGTTGCTTTTCAAAGAGTCCACCACGCTTGCGAGCCTGATGGCGCCGGTGCACTTCCGGATCCTGGAGCGGCGGTCCGAGCTGGAAAAGAAGCAGATGGAGAGCAGCAGCAAGGACGAGTACTTGGAGAAGGTCGCGGAAGAGATGGGGGAGAACAAGCGTCCGCTGCACGTCCGGCTGCTCGGCGGCAAGGAGGACTACATTCCGCACGAGCACTATCCAAGAAAAAAACTGTGTTATTGTAACTTTCTTTGGCTGGTGACAGCATCGCAAATTTAGATTTTCTCTACGTGACAGAGAAAACCTGTCATGCGTGGCCCTTCTTGTAAGAGAAAACACACATGAAGAGAAGACTTCATGGCTGTCTGGCATGACAGGCGTAACTCTGTTGCATGTTCTGCATTTTTACAGAGTTCCACTCACAGAGTTTTTTTCTTGCATAAGCACGACCGGCTGTTCCACTTCCACGAGTTCGGGGTCGGGGTGTGCAACCAGATCATGCGTACCATGATGTTCATGGAGGCAATCCTCGTCGCGTCGCTACTGGTGGTCCTGGTCGTCTTCCCCAAAGGCCCGGTCGGGTGGGGCTTGTTCATCTTCTCCATGCTCCAGTGGCCGTTTCAGTTGTTGGTGTTGCTACCGAAGATCATCACGAAGTTATCGCGAGGAAAATTGCCCCCTCCCCCAAGGTTGCAAAAAGTTGTGATGCGAAGTTTCCAAATGAAAAACTTTGCATGAAAGGAGTATGGATCTTTCTGATGCAGAGGCTAGGCGTGTTGCGCATCGCTTGCATGACAAACGCCGCTCTTGCTGGGATCTTTTGCAATACAAATTTCCGCTATTCACGATCGAAAATCAGCACGCTGATTGATGCAAGAGGGCGAGTGTTTCACTTGGAAAGGTTTGCAATACAAATGCTTTCAAGTTCGGGGGTCGGGGCATTTTTCATTGTAATAGAAGTACTGCATCGTGTCCTCCATCGAGTGCTACAAGGACCACGAGCTGATCAACAAGGTCACGTTATCCGTGAAGGAGCGCCGCCTCCGGGAGGCGGTGTCCCTGATGCAGATGGTGAAGCTGCGCGGCCGCATCGAGCGGCTGGGCGGGCACCGGTTGTCCAAGCAGAAATTCGACGAGCTGTCCGAGAAATTCGACCACTTTTCCGAGGACAAGCTATTACAGTGCACAACTCCCCCTCGTTCTCATTTCTCATGCAAAACACCAACTCCACGCTTTCCCTCCTGTCACTATTATTTTTGGTAGCCCAAATCGCACTATGCCCCAGTGCAATTTGACATGATGATACGTTTGCTGCCTTATGCTGTGCTCCTTTTCTTTGGCGCTAGCAAGGCAATAAGATTTCATTCTCATGTCTGATCGGCAAGATACTCTTCATCTTTTTAAATATTTTTAAGTGCTAAAACATGATATTTGTTGGGTGCCTCGCTTTCTTCTGCGCCTTTTTCCGCTGGGGCTCGCTTTCTTCTGCGCCTTTTTCCGCTGGGGCTCGCTTTCCCGCTGGGGCTCGCTAAAACATGATATTTCCGTCTTCGGGTGCCTCGCTTTCTTCTGCGCCTTTTTCCGCTGGGGCTCATCTTTGCATGACATCGGAGAATATCTCAATATAGAAACAGGGCTAGTAGAAATAAGTAAAAGTAAAAATTTTATTGGTTTACGTAACCGGGGGGCGGCTTGATGTCTGCGGCGGATGATGACAGTGTGCACACTCCTACAAGTATATGGCTGCCGGGCTGCTTCCCGGTCGGTCTAGTACAAATAAACATTTCGCCACTGATCCGCTAAACACCTTGCTGCCAGCCCCGCCCGCTCGGGGGTTAATTATCTCTAGACAGGGCACCAGCTGCGGTTGTCCTTTAGGGCGTTCGAGTCTAGATAAAAAACTACCATGCGTAAATCTTCAATTTTGCATGGGCTCTTGGTGGCTGCTTCCACCGCGGGAGAGTATAAAAACGCAAAACATAAGTCATTGACCACTGGGTCGCTGTGACGCCGTGCCTGCACGCACCATCAGAAGTGCGACGAGGTGCCAATCGTGTTGATGCACGCACCATCAGAAGTGCGTTGATGCGCGAGGGTCGTGAATGAATGAATGAATTTGTAAGCTTATCGGCCGTTGTGCCATCGGGACTTCCTGCCCGCTGACCACCAATGTCATGCAAAACCGGCATTCGGGCTGATCCTGATGCTTGTATTGCTGTTCATGCTATACAAATGAGGGGGAGGGGGAGTTGTGCACTGTTATACAAGCAGCGCCACATCGAGAAGGCCTTCGTCCACATGGATTTCGACCACTCCGGGCAGATCGGGGTCGAGGAGCTGGAGAAGTTGATGTCCTCGATGAACATTCTAGCCAATTCCGACGTGCACAAAAACGCGAAGCAGCTGGTGCACATGGTCGACATGGACAAGGACGGCATGGTCGATTTGACCGAGTTCAAGGTCCTGATGGCCCTCGCGTACGAGAAGCAGGACCCGATGGAGGAAATCCAGGACTTCGACAAATTTTTCGACCTCATCGACGTGGACATGGACGAGGCGCTCGCGTTCCAGGAACTCGCGCAGTTCTGCCGCGACAACTTCGCCATCCCGATGAACAACGCCGACATCGGGGAGCTGGTGTACCGCTGCTTCCGCACGGTGAAGGCGGAGTTGACCCGGGACGATTTTATCGTTTGGATGCGGTGGCTGCAGGACTGCGAGAAGGGGCAGATGAGCGAGGACGCGATGCGGGTGGATCGCGGGTTCGGTTTACTGTGAGGAAAAATCCCCCCTCCCCATATTCAAAAGGTAGGTTTCTAAAAATTTGCGATGCGGGTTTGCGACCACAAATCCTGTCTCTGTTGCAAGAAGGCAAATTGAAAGAACCCGCCGCCTTATGGAGGCGATTTGTAGTGCTGTTTCACCTACATGGCAGGCCTCTGTCATGCTGAGCGCCTACAGCAAAACACCTCTACGCAGGCTGGGGCTTTGCCTCTAGTGCTTCACTGCAAGACAGGGCTGATTTCTGTACACAAATCCAGCAACAGAAGTTTCCGTTTCAATATGGGGAGGGGGGATTTTTCACTTTGATACGGTTCCGGCTCCGATCTGGACACGCCGGACGAAAACGTGGACCAGTCCGCCAAGGGGTTCGACCACGGCATCCAAGCGCCACTGCACGGCCACCACAAGAGCAGCGACTTCGACGCGGACGGCGTGCGCACCTCGAAGCACCGCGACGACCCGCGCGAAGCGTCGACGGACGAAGATATCCTGGAGGAAGATGCTGACGAAACGCAAAGGCGAAGAACAAGTAACTCCTTCTTCTGGCGCAGCAGCGATGCGCCTGTGGTGGGAACAGGCGAGAACGCGCCCGCGTCGAAATCGCACCGGAAGTCAACGAGGTTGAACAAGCGGGAAAGTGTGGGTAATGGCGCGGCGGTGAACATCAATGATGCTGTCGTTGTTCCAGTGGCGCGAGGGGGCGCAAGTCAACAAACTCCTTCATCTACTGGAAAGAAGCGTCAGTCCCAGCACCGTTCCAGTGGCTTTTACTCGATCGATAACAAGCCGGTGTACATGACAAATGAGTCTAATCAGATGGTCTCCATGCTGACGCAGAATTCCGTGGAACCGGTCCGGCTGGAAATGAGCACAGCACCTGCAACAAATAATGCTGACAGCACGACGATGTTGAAAAACTCGTCAAAGACTGTGCCTTTACTTGCGAATCAGCAACAGACTGTAGTTGTGGACGAGCAGGAGGCCACTTGTGCGAACAACAAACCGCCGAAGAGGCGAGAGAGCACCAGTCGGCGGTTGAGCACGAAAGCGAATACCGCGAACTCGCCTGCTATGCTGGCGCGCGGGGACACTCAGCAAGGCTTGCCGGTACCGCCTTCTTGGCAGAGGGAACAGGAGATGCAGGCGGAAAAAAAGGCGCGCTTGTTGCTGATGGGAAAGTCGGAAGTCCCGGGGAACCTGGAAGGCGAGTTTGTGTGATTTTTCGGATCATCGATTGGTGCTGCTGTCCTCTTAGGTGCGAGAAGATGCCCGTAGCTGCACCATGCTAGAAGTAGCATTCCCTTTGTGTATAGATTCATTGTTCCACCCCAAATGTTGGTATGTACCGCTATGAAGAACTACCCAAAGAAATCTTTCAATATTGGTGTACTATTTTAGCCGTAACCAAAGCCATACATAGATAAATCCAATTATGTCCTACTTACTACCCACGTTGTTGTCACACGTAAATGATTCATTTCAACAAGAATTCTAGTCACGTTTCGGTTTCTGTATCGAAGAAATTAATACACAGATTTCTTCCATATTAGGAACAAACGGCTTATAATTTCTTTTGCAATGACCCCGGACGTACGAGTGACCCCCAATCGCTGTAGAAGCTGCACTGGACCACTGCGATGTGAGTGGGAAGGTGATCCGAATCGATGCTGTGCTAGAGGCTCGTGTCGCAGCAACATCAAGTTTCGCACTCACAGAAGAAGCTGATTGAACACTTATCAATATGGTCGGAGTACTAGATCCAACAAAAGTACTAGAACATGCTTCCCGCTGAACCTGGATGGTTGCTGTTGCAAATGCTAACAGTAACTACAGTAACTTTCAATACGCATACGGTGGTCCGCCGGTCTCGGTTGTCAAAAAAAAAATTTGCAGTTATAATATTTGCTTGCTAGTTGTGGTCCATTGATCTTCTGGTAACCAAATGCGTCCGCGCGCGGCTCCCCAATTGCCGAAACAAATCCGATCGGTTCTTCAATATCGGTGTACTTAATCAGCCTGGTGAGAAGGTGAAACGTGAAATGAGGATCTTAGCTCTATTCGCCCGATGTGCAGTTCTTCAGTTTAATCAAGGATCCCCAGGAGCATCAAAGTTGTGCTTTCCAGTATAAAACAAGGAAGATATCGGTAAGCGTAAAAAACTTCTTCACGCGACGACCTCATGCAAGGATCCTCGGAAACGGAAATGAATTCGATCACCGATAGATCTGCACGAGTAAACGCAAAGTGTTTATCACCGGTCGGCCAAGCATCAAGGCACATCGATATAGAACAAGCAGCATTCATCTCCATCAGGAACGAGTGGCAGCATTGATTTGGAAATCAGGTTCTTAATCCTTAAGTTTTAGAAGAAATAATCCTTCCTACTAGCCTTACATTTGTACTGCTGGGCCTCGTGTCTTGCTGTATTAGGAGCGAATCAGTTCGAACACAAAGAGTATTCTTACAAATTTTCTGGCCTGGTACGCTCGACCGAACTCAGGTATCAAAAAAAGCAAGACTTGCTTCCGCCAGCGGAAAATCATACCAACTCAAGCTCTGAAGTCATTGGCAATTTTTATATCTGCGCCTGCAGTGGAAGCGAAGTCGAAATGTTGCTGGTTACGACGAAGACTCACCTGCCGCGCGGGGTCATGCTGACAGCCCTGGCCGTCGTGGGGGCCGCGTATTTTGCGCCCGGCCTTGTGGACGGTGTCGGCTTACGTCCGGCCTTGCGGACGTTCAGCACAGAAGATTCGCATGAGATCCTCGTACTCGTTGGACTTGGGGACAAGACAGAGACGTTGCCCGGGAACACCAGCGCTGCCGAGGCGGCGCAAAAGCTGCATGACATGGCTGCGGGGCTAGCGCTAGTACCAGCAAACGATGCAATTACCTACGGCCTTACAACGGTGACGGTTGATAGTCTATTGCAGGACCCTGATCGCACGGTGGGCACTATCCTCCCAACCGGTACTGCGATGATTCGCTTGCTTCCTGGGGGCCCGCTCTTGTTCGAGGAGATGCCTGCCAATGGTCTCTGGAAGCCCGCTGAAGTGCGGCAAGAGGGCACTTGGGCGGTGCCGTCTGACAAAGAATCTGAAGTTGAATTTATTATTCGCACGGTTTTGGGAATCAGCACAGACGACTTGATTAAGGATCGGTACGCCGCCGCAGCTAGAAAAAAATACAACCTGTCGGGACCTAAACTCGACCTGTATCTGATGCAGCTGCGCACACAAGCGCAAGCCCATCTTGAGAAGGCTCTTCCGACCATCGAGAAGCAGGAGGAGGAAGACCCAAAGCGCAAGTTGGACCACCAACGCAAGCTGGTCGAGTTGATCTTTGCGTGGCGGAATTTGAACGGGTCCAAGGGCTGGGAGGGAGATTCAGAGTTCGACAAAGATAACAGGCTGATTCAGATTGCCGTCGAATCGATAATGTTCCTTTTCGATGATTATATGTAGTGAGGTCACCGAACGGTTCTAACCAGGGAGTTTCTTTGCCACCTCCCGTGAAAAACGACCGGCAGTTTTGAAGCCTGTAGAGAGTTTTTTTGCATGAAAAAGATTCCAGCGTGCAAGCCTGTTTGGCTTTGTCGGCACCGAATCGCAAGCGGATTCTATCGGTCGCCGCTTGAAAAAACGACGCAGGGGAGCCGGCAAAAGGGGCGCCCTTCGGAGGCGCCCACCGCCTTGGTTTCTGGCGATTTGGGGCGCCCAAAAGGGCGCCCGAAAAAAACGCGCCCAAAATCAGAACAGCGAAACAGCATGACACGGCCGCGATTTCGGAGCATTTTGGGCGGCCGCGAAAGCGGCCGCCTTTTCGCCGGTTTCAGAGCCTGGGAAGCTTTGCAAAAAGCGCGGGCGAGAAAAATAAAAACGCAAAAAAGAAAAAGCGCGCCAGACGCGCAAAGCCAACCCGCATGCTATGGGCCCGATTTTTCCTCGCTTTTTGGGCGCCCCCTGTGGCGCCCGGATTGGCCTCATAGCATGGGGGCTGGCTTTCGGAAAGGAATTTCAAAAATTTGCCAAGATTTGCGACGCTTATCAGACGGCCGCCATACCGTGGGGCCTAACTTTACCCACGCCGGTATGGCGAGCCCAGAAAAAGCAAAGCCGCGGCCAAGGCGACGGCCGGCAAGAAAACGCCCACGACCTCACTATCTCCGCCCCGGCGGCTATATTTGGTACTACCCGTGACACGAATATGTGGGGACCACTGGCGTTCAGTTATTTGTGTACGTACTACGGCTTGGTGACTGGGGAGTTTCGAGACGCTCTAAAGCGGGCCTGGAAAACACCGGTGGGGACTTTGGCTTTTCCTCCGACGGAGATTCGGCGCGACATAGCAGAACGGGCTTCCGAGGCGCTGCTTATGCTCCGTGTTGATGACGCGGGTCGCGTCGCGTGTCATGGGGTCGAGGCGAACAAGGACTCCAGTGATCGTGTTTGGAAAGACCTGCGGAGAGCGAGATTCTGGGAAGCGGCGACAGCAAGCCATCTAGAGGATATAGAAGCTTTGTTGTCGTCGGGCGTCGATGGTAGGGGGCCCGTACGCTTTTTTAATCGGAAGGGGAGGCTAGCGGAGATCACAGCGAGTCGGGTGCAAAACGAGCGCAACGAGCCCGCGGGCAATTACCTATGTCGCAGAGATGGGGGAGGTGGACGCAGGGAAGTGCCCCGGACTCTAGTGCCCATGTCTCAGGCCGACCTTCGCCTTGGGTTCGAGGGGCTGAAGAGCGCTCTGGCCGAGACGGTGGAGGATATCAACAAGACAGTGGACAACCGTTTGAGAAGGCTGAACGTCGCGCAGAGCAGCAGTGTTGCCGGGCCGGTGCCGGGGATGACGGGTGGGCAGAGGCGCCCCGCCACTTCGGGGCGCTGCAGGCTATCGTCATGCAAAATCTCCTAATTTTTTCTACCGCGATCGCCTTTCGAAGATTTTGTGTACAACTACAATAACAATAACCAATATAAAAGGAGCACTGCTCCGAAGCAGAACTTTTGGTCGTAGCAAGGTTGACTTGAAACCTACCGGAGCTTTATTGCGCGCCGCTTCGTGTTTTATTTTTTCTGGCCTAAGCCATTCATAAGTAAAAGTAACCTAGCCAGGTCTTGTTTTTCTTTTTTGTCGAAGAAGCTCCGACAACGTGGGGCGAAAGAAAGACCATTCCCGAACGGTTTTCAACGGTCGGTGCAGTGGAGTCGTAATTACCATAGAGCAGCATAGTGACATTTTGAGTAAGTACAGGAAACGTCATATTTGTCATATGGTAGCAGAACGGGCTGCAACATCCTGAGCCAGTTTAAGTCGTCGAACATGATGTATGTTTACGGCAACAGAAATCCGAACAGTATGCGCAAGTATACGTATTTGACGAGCATGATGTTTAAGATACGACAACAGAAATGAACAGATTTTGAGCAAGTGCAGCAAGTAGTTTGCTAGCGCGATGCTGCAATAGAACTAAATCAGGTATTTTTTGACGGATCTACCACACCCCTTTTTTACGCTGTTAGTGTTTTTTTTTGCAACGATAGCACGCTGAATTTTTCTGGACTCCCTGCGGGCCATCGTTTTCGCCTTTTCAAGACGTCAGCGGGGAGAAACTGCAGCAAAGGAGCAGCACCACGAGTGAAAGGCATAAAAAGCTCGCACTTTTCTTCGTTTATTTTTGTCTTGTCCTCTTAACCTTTTCACGACCTGAGATTTGTCTTAAGGTCAAAACTGTCATGCTCTTTGTGAGCTCGACCACCCGCGGCCCGTCACAGGACTATAAATCTAGAGCGTAGGCGCACAGTTGCGTCAAGATCTTTCTAGAGCAAAGCTACTAGTCCGAAGAGAGCCAGTAAGCTGAGAGTTTTAGCAACAGGCCGAGGAATTTAAGCCCCTAGTTTTGTTTGTGTTAGATTATTATCCTCGTAAGTCTTTCCACACTAGCTTTTATTTTTGTAAGAGCTCTCACACTGAGAAAAAAATCAGAAGATTTTGAGACGCCTCTTGGACTTTCTCCAAGAAACATCGGAAATCGGAAAGCGGTCCAGCAGCTCACCAATGTACAACCCATGTAGTTCATCAGCCGGCAACCGGCAATGATTTGTTTGGATGGTCAATGTTGACCGCAAGAAAATATCGCAAACTGCAACACGAACAGGAGTGCAGCGCTGTGGAGATATTTTAGGAAGGAAGAGAAAATAAAATCCTTGCGGAAACAAATAAACCGAAGGGCCTTTTCTGCTTTCTGCCGCAGAATGGAAGGGAGCGGGGCCTGATGCACGGTGTTCGTCCGAACAAGTGCTTTCGTCCGCCTTCCACGTGTTTTCTTCTTCTGAAGACGGACCATCAGTCATCGCCTCTTCAGAGTACCGGGCCAGAAATTACTTTGCTTCAGTGACTGTGCGTCATCCAGTCGTTTTTTTGCCGAAGCAAATCCGATCGGATCTTCGACGATATCGGTGCGCTTAATCCGCCTGAGAAGGTGAAACGTGAAGTGAGGATCTTAGCTCTATTCATCCGGCGGTGTGCAGTTCTTCGGTTTAGTCCATGATTATTAGCCTCAAAGGAGTTGCGGTTGCGCTTTCCAGTATAGACCAAAGAAGAAATCGGTGAAGAAGTTCTTCGCGCGACGACATCACGCAAGGATCCTCGGAAATGAATTCGATCGCCGATAGATCTTTGCGAGTATATTCAAAGGGTTTATCACCTGTCGGCCAAGCGAGGACGAGAGGCAATCGGTATACAACAAGCAGAATTCATATTCATCTCCATCAGGAACGAATGAAAACATTGATGATTAATCCTATCCTCATCCTAGTTCTGGCTTTCAGGTTTTGATGTTTGTCGAGAACCCTTCCTACTAGGCTCGCATTGTACTTGTAAGTAGGCCTGCTGTTTGATTTGCTTGCTAGTCGTCCTTTGGTACAAGTACAACAAGCATTCGTGTGGTACAGAAAGAAATTTTCCTCGGTCAAGCGAACGCAGTCAGAAATTTACGATCGGTTACTTGCATTGACAGCTGCTCTCAACCTACGTTTCGTTGCAAGAATCGTAAAAATTCTGGAACAAGTACTCGGTCGACGATTGCCTTACTGCTCGGTTTTGTCACAGAGAGAGACTCGTAGAAGTAGTACTTACCCCTTGCTTTGCTCAACAAACCATGCACCGCCATCCATTATGTTTCTATGCGTACAACCAGTACCAGATCGCTTTCGCTTCTGAACAATTGGTTGCTTGTCTCCCACGAAACAGGTCGGGCGTGGCCTCCAGGCGATGCATTTTTTCCCACCAATTCAAAAACCCCATGCCCGTTTTTTTTCTCATTTATATAGCATAATTTTTTTACTTTTTTCCAAAAGTTAAAGTCTCACTATGCCGGTCCTTTACCTTATTGCATTCCATAATTTGCGATACCAATTTTTACTGGTTGGGCGTTTCTTATTCTTCCTACCATAAAAATTCCTGCACACAGGAGTGTCATAACAATTTTCCAGTAATACGAATTTATTATTGCGTCTGCGATGCAAGACAATGTGAGTGTGACATCACATAGGTAGAATTGTTAACCAAGCTATTGCATGAGTCTATAATGCATCGTACAATTTATGTGTGAAGGTTTGTGAATTTATTTCCGTAGATAGTACAGGCAAGCGGCCTTTCATATTACGGTTGTCTCGCCCGAGGTATTTACTCGATTTTTACAGCTGCACAGCGAGATTCGATATTTTATTAGTACTGCTTTTTAACCTTCGAGATCGAGATATTTCCAGAAGGATCGAAAAGCTGCAAGTGGACCACCTGGACGAGCTCTACTTGCACCACTTGATGTAATAACTTTCGTTTGTATAGTCCGTTTCCACCAGCGCCAGCAATTTCTATTTTTTTTTTACTCTGCTTACCCGGTGGAGGAATTGGAGGAGCTTGCTTTTCAAACCAGCACCGGAGTTGTAAAGCCGCAGGGAAAGAACAATAAGAACCACATCAAACAACTTCAACAGCAGCCGATGAACCCAGTGCCCCTCGTCCTCCTTCTCACGTAGTAGAACAAATGGGTGGTTGTGTTGCGAAATCTGCCGGCAAGGCAACTTCCCCCACGGGGATCTTCCGCTCTTTCTCCAAAGAGAAGCAGGACGATTTGGATGCGCGGACCATTCCGGGCGTCGGCTACCACTTTTCCCTGACCAGTCTTTCCAGCGAGAACATCGGCCGGCTCGAGGATTACCCCTCCGACCCGGCGCTGCTCGCGCCGGATGACGGCTGGCAGGTGAGAAGGAACGTGTTCCTCGACCCCTTTCCGACCTACGTCTTCGCCCGGACTCCGGCTTACGAAACGTTGCAGGAGGCGCTGCAGATGTGTATTGTTCTGAAGGGCGGGGGCGTGACAAAAACCGTGGCGGATAGCACGAATGGCGGGACCCGACTCTTCGAGGTCCGCGCCGGGTCGAAGATGCGACCCAGTCCCCTGGGGGAAATCTCCTGGGTACCCTACCCAACGAAATTGTGCCGGGACGAGGACGATAGCTATCTGTTGAAACTCGTGGAAGTGCAGTCCGAGATTTCCCACGACCTGTCGCTTTCCCGGGACACGAGCAAGGGTATGGACGGTTTGTTCGACAATTCTGCTCCGGTGGAGCTCTCCGAGCGCGGCAGGTCCAATATCACACAGAAAAAAACTGGCAGGTCACATTTGTAATGCAAAAAAAAAAAACTGTATTGCATATCCGAAACAGCATGCTATGGAGCCACATATGACAGATTTTTTTGTGTATTTATTTTTGCATTACAAATATGCCCTGCCAGCTTTTTTCTGTGTGATATCCAACTCCGCGCGGGCGACCTCGGGGCAGACCCCGTACGTGACGATCATCAAGCCCATGGACGAAGCCACCGGGATCCCGATGCTGCCGGATATCCTGAGTAAAAACGTACCCACACCAGAGTTGTAATGCAGATTCGCAAAGACAGGAAGACTTGTAATGCGCATCCCCATGAGAGCCATTTCCAATCGTGTTTTGGAATTCGTGATGCTGTGAACAGGATGAGCAGCTGGATTTGTGATGCGGCTGCACTTGCTAACCTGCACTACACTGCAGAGCTCAACTTGTCATGCGTGACTCACAAAACTCCTAGGTTTGTGTTGCAAAATCCTCATCCTAACTCTGGCGTGGGTACGTTTTTACTCAGGATACCGGGCGCGCGGTCCCTACCGGCGGCGGTGAACGGACCGGTGCTGAACAATATTGCGCCGGGGTCGGATATGGATCTGTCAGGATTGAAATCGTCAAAGTTGAAATGATTTGCCATGCATAAAATGCAAGGCATGAAGTGCCTGTCTTGCTGGGATGGCAAGTGAGGCAGATAATTGTGAGCCTATTTAGGGTCGTTTGGGATAGAGCTGCTAAAGGAGCATGACAAAAGCAATCTTCTGTGCCCAAACAGCATGATAAATTGGATTCCGGTGGTGCTCCGAAAATTTGTCATGCGCCGCTTTGAAATTGCTCTTCCAACTGGTATCCATTTTATGCATGGCAAATCATTTCAACTTTGTCGATTTCAAGCCTGACGCTTCCATATCGGACGCCGCGGCGTTGGAGGAATCCTTGGCGCGGGAGAAGAAGCGGGTGCTGGAAAGCTGGGCGAAAATCGAGCTGGACTTTGCGGCGAGGGCGTGCCCGGTGAAATTGAAAATCCAGAGCCACGACAAGTTCATCGCGGGGGTCTACGGGCTGGTGCCGGAAAAGCGCCACAATAACAACCCCATTTGGCGAAAGGAAAACACGAATCCCAGTCACAAGAACAGGGAGAGGGGGAAACGTATAAAAGAATTTGATAGGATAAAATAAAATTTGCAGCCTCTCGCTGTCGTGTGTGACCTTCGCTTTATTTCTTCATTGGTATAATTCGTAAACGAAGCTTTTATTTTCATTTTCACCGTGCGATTTGATGATGCAGCAGAGCACACGCATTGGTTTTGGTGTGCAAAAGCAAATCTTTTCCGCATGACGCAAACAATTCTTTGGCGAGGATGAATCCCTTCTGTATCAAACGCAACGAATTATCCCTTCTCGAACAACAAACAGAAAACGTCTTTCTCTCGCACACCGGCGAGCGGTGGGTTTTGTCCCGCGTCGCGTGCCCGGAGGCTGGGCCGCTGAACCCCGCTTCTGGCCCGATCATCACGCAGGGGCCGATCACGAACGTGGACAACATGTCGCCCCTGGTTGACCCAGTTTGGGAGGACCGGTTCGGGATCCGCATCGCGGATAAGAAAGCGCTAGAAGAGTTCCAACCCGGGCACACCAGCAACGGGTCAGTGACTCCACCGGGAGGAGGAACAACTGCTGCTTCTAACACCGGGACGACCACAACTTCTGCCAACATGCCCGGCGTAATACTATCAACCTCCGCGAACAACGCTGGCGCATCGACAACTACAGTAGATCCAAACTACCGTTCGGAGTCGAAGGAGATCGAAATCGCGGGATTGTATGTCGACCTGACCTTCCCTCCGTCGGACAAAGCGCTGACCGGCACAACTACCCTGGACCACCTGAAGCCTCACCGGTGGAAAGAATTCGAGCCGGTCTGGATGCGCGCGGGGCATCTGTTCAAGGGACAGTCCGTCCGGTTGTATGAGCAGATCACGCCGCTGGATTTCCAGAGTTACAGCAGTGTACTGGATAGCCAGTGGATCATGGCGGCGTTGAGCAGCTTGGCGGAGTACCCGAACTACCTGGAAGACAGGATTTTTGTCGACAAGGGGGACACGAACAACCTCCGGGGGGAGTACAAGGTGAACTTGTTCGACATCGGCATGCAGGAGTGGGTCACGGTCACCGTCGACGACCACTTACCCTGCGACGGCCGGAAATTGTCGTCCACTTTCAACCAGCCACTGTTCGCGCAACCGGTGCGCACGCAGATCTTCCCGTGCATCGCGGAAAAGGCGTTCGCGAAACTCTACGGCAGCTACTCGGCGTTGGAGCCCGGGCAGTGCGGGTTCGCGTGGCTCGCGTTGACGGGCACGACCAGGGTGGAGAGGTGGAGCATCAGCAACCCGTTTTTTCAGCAAAAGGAACAACATTTAGGAGAAGAAGGTACAACTTCTAATCCCGCTGGCGCAAACGGGACGAACAATAATGGTGCAACTACGACGACGTCTGCGTCCTCGAGTGGGGCGAACAATAAGAACGGTTCTATCGAGAGAGAAAACAGTTCAACATCAGGGATGAACAAAAGCAAAAAGGAATCCAAGAAGGACAAGAAGAACAGAAAAGGATCAGGAACAATAAACACCGGTAGCGACGAAGAGATTCAGCCCGGCCCGCAGCTTCCGGTTCCGAAAAAGTCGCACTTTTTCTCGCTGGAAAACAACAGCGACCAGCTGGACTACAGCAAGATTTTCGGCGAGCTCGCCGTGCCCTGCTTTGAAGGCAACCGGCAGGTGTACGCGAAGACGGGTCGGAAGGAGGGGATGGAAGACCTGTGGACCTATTTGGTGGATTGCGACCGGAAAAACTACATTTTGACGGGGGGGATTTCCCCGCACCGACGGGCGCCGAGCGAAACGTGCGGGCTACTCCCCGGGCAGACGTACACGATTTTGAAGCTCTTCACCCTAGAGGTGTCCTCCAGCAGACCAACGTCCGCGCAGCAGGCGAAGGAGATCCAGACCAACAGTAGTCCTGCTGGTGGTTGTTCTACTTCTAACGGCGCGCAGAACATCAACCAAAAGCAGACCGTCCGGCTGGTGCAGCTGCGAAACCGCTTCCTGGAGTTCGCCTGGCGCGGCCGGTGGCACCCGGCCTGCCCGCTGTGGTGCAACCTTCCCATGGAAACCAGGCAGCAGCTGGAGCCGTGGACCTTCAATTTCAACGCGGGAAACGACAACAACCGCCCGTCGTCCAGCAACGGCGCTTTCTACGTGCAATGGGAGGACTTCGTGTATGGGGCTCTCAAACGTTACATTCTCAGCTGTTACATGAATTTGTCATGCAAAAGCACCATTATCATTCTCACGATCAAGCTGCTCCGCATGACAAATTTGCGGAGGGCTAAATAGCACTATACTCCGTCCCAAATCTGTAATGCAAAAGGCGCAATCTTCCTCCTTTCACTTTTGCCCTTCTTGCATTGCAAATTCATGTAACAGTTGAGAATGTAACGTTTGAGAACGCCATATCGTGTGCGTGTTCCAGTCCGTTGGGGTGTGCAAGAAGCGGGACCTCGGGCCGAAGCGCGGGGCGGCGATTGAGCACTACCGAAACACGGTGACCTATCCTGAGTAAAAACGTACCCACCCCAGAGTTGTCATGCAGATTTGCCATGACAGGAACATTTGTGATGCGCAACCCCATGACAGGCATTTTCAATTGTGTTTGGGAACTTGTAATGCTGTAAACAGGATCAGAAGGTCGATTTGTGATGCGGCTTTCCTTGCTAACTTGCACTACCTTACGGACTGAAACTTGTCATGCGTGACTCACAAAGCTCCTAGGTTTGTGTTGCAAAATCCCCATCCTGACTCTGGTGTGGGTACGTTTTTACTCAGGATATGACCGGGTCGAAATTCAAGAGAGCGACGACGGGGGATTTGAGCGCGTCCACAAGCATCTCCGCTGGGCCGTCGGGCGCAAGCATCATCTCGCCGGGGCAGCTGTCGCAGAGCCAGGAGGGAAGTCAAGACAACGGGGTGGACACGGTGTGATGCTGTTCCTGGTTGAAATAAAATTCTGAATTCTGCGGTTTTATTTTTTTCACAGGTTCCGCGCGCCTCTCGGTCTGTTGGTTCTTCGATTTCATCAAGGAAAAGACTGAAGCAAATTATGTTTGTAAATTGGGATTAATCATTCAAAAGTGATACTGTTGTTCACCTCCGGCGACAACGTCATGGTCCTTTTATTCCGAAAAAAGTTTGACGTCTTTTCCTTTCGCTCTTTGCCATTTTGATGCCCTCGTTCTGCTTTTGACTTTTTCCTGTAGTTTTGATGCGAAGTTGTAGCAGCTTTATGAAGTGATAATGTAGTCACATCTGAATCTAAAGATTCAGCACTACTAAATAATTTTCCGCCTCCTGTGCTTGGCTCAAAAATTTGCTGCCATATGTATCGGTACACCTCGCACTGTTAAAATTTTCCGCGAAAATGCAGAAGGAATGTACCGACTAGACCAGCCTTGCATATCGATGGTATAACAGATAGTTATCATTTTCCTCTAACCCCTCGACTTTCAATAAGCATTTAGCAGATCTATTGCTCCACTTTTGTTGCACGGCAAAATCTAATTCAGGAGTTTCTGATTCATTTTTTCCTTGTAGCAAAAATCGTAGCAAATAGAACCCTGTTTTTTTGATTAAACTCTACTGCTTCTTGAAGACGAATTCCTAGCATTGTTAATACAACACTCGGAGGCCGCATATGAAACTGGTTGGAAAAATAAAACGTCGCGTTGCTCTGTCTTGTGTCTCTCGGACACAAAATAGGCTAGCAGAGACAAACATAGGTCATGTTTTAGGAATGTTTGGGGTCGTTTGCCAGGGATGCAGTAGATATGTGTGAATTTGAAACGCCCACTCCATTGTGAATTTCAACAACTTACTATAAAACAACCCTCTTGGAATATAAAAAAAAACATTAGCCCACAGTGGGTTAATTATCCTGGAGCTACAACGAGGGAGGAACCTTTTTGTGTAGCCGAAGGTTCCATCGTCGTGTGATGGAACTGACTAGGGTTCTTCCGGTGCGTCATGCTGAGGTCAGTTATCCAAAGTCGTGGCGAAGTGGCCGCGGTGAGTCGAGGTAATTTAATTATATCACGGTCCAGTACGATATCAAGTTGACGGCAGAGAGAGCATAAACTCAGCAGATTGGCGGCTTCTGTTTCTGCAAAATGGTCGTGTCTACTAGTAGTCTCTGCTGTTTTAATAGTGTAATTGCGCTCATCTTCTCTATGTCCTCCTCGTCTTCTTCGTGCTGTTTGTTTTGTTTTGAGCTAGAAAAAAACGACTTCTCGCTTTTGCTGCAGTCTAACAAGAAACCGAAATAAGTACTTACAGAAGGGACGAGTCAACACGGGACGAAAGGAAAACTTGCACCGTGGCGGGGCTCCTCCCTCCCAACGAAAGGGCCGCGTTTTGGTGTACCAAGGTGCGTTTGTCTTTCTAGTTCCTTGAAATAGCCCGTTATTTTCATCTTTTTGGTCGTGTCGACAAAAAATGGAGCTGCTCCGCGCTCAACTCGCTGTGAAGGACAACATTATCCGGGAACTCGCCGACGAGCTCGCTCTCTACAAGGAAAATGCTGCAGGAAGATCCCCTGGTGAACAAGCACTGGCATCATCTTCCCTGCCGCTCCACCAGAACTACACGGCGAGCAAAGACTCCGGCTTGGGATCGAGTACGACGACTGTACCTCCTACACAGCACGGCGGCACCATCAATGAAGACCACGGGAGCAGCAAAACCGCGAATGCGACGACCAGCGAGGAAGAAAACCAGCACCAAGTGGGCCAAGGAAACAACCAACAAGCGCAGCTGACCGCGGACTTCAATAAAGTCAACTTGGAGCTGAAAAAGGAGAATTTTGGTATGCATTGAAATTTTGATGTTTGTGCCTGGAGTTGGAGAAATAAATGCAGGTTTCTCGTCATGCTTGATGTTGCAAATGAATTTTAAGAACTCTGTGAAGTAGATGCACGAGCAGGAGGAAAAGAGCTTGTTACCTGTCATGCAAAAATGCAGTTTGCCAGCAGCTCAAATACCATACCTGTCACGCTTGACTGCGTAATATTGCGGTTCTCCCCCCAATAGTTCACAGATTCGCATCCCAACTCTCCAGGCCCAGACATATTTGCAATGCACAGTCGCACTGCAGGAGCAAATTCAGCAGTTGGAAGACACGTTGACGAAGAACTTCAACTTGAAATTGCAGGAAATCCGGGAACACGATGCGAGCAACTTTCTCGATACCGCCGAGAAGAAATATCCCAGAGAAAAAAGCTGGCAGGGCATATTTGTAATGCAAAAATAAATACACAAGAAAGACTTGCCATGGGTGGCCCAATACAATAGCATGCTGTTTCGGATATGCAATACAGATTTTTTTGTCTATTTATTTTTGCATTACAAATATGCCCTGCCAGCTTTTTTCTGTGTGATAAGAAAGAAAAGGTATCCGAAGGAAAAAACTCGTATACAGTTACACACCCACTGCCACTACTTCTATATTGGTGAATTCAGTAATATGATCACAAACTCGCCTTAGCCTTGCATGTTGACAGAGAGCAATGCAGAGATCATTACCATAACTATTAGGTAAAATATACATGAAGCGACGCGCGCAACAAGCATGTCGCGCATGACGGAGCTTGTCTGTGGTCCTGCATGTTTTACAACTACACAGTGTGTAATTCATTGTAAAACATTTTTTTCTTCGTATAAAAGGAGATTGTCGAGCAGTACGAGCAACTTCATAAGGAGCAAGTTCTGCAGCATGAACGGCAGGCGGAGGAGATGAAGCTGCAGTTCGAACAGCAGATGGAACAAATAAAGCAGGATTTAGAGCAGCAGTTGTCCCTCCAGTTTTCCCACGAGAAGCAAAAACACCAGCTGCAAGTGACGAAGGAGAAGGAGAAGGCAAAATTACTGGAGGAAAGGCAGAAGGTTCTACTAGAGGAAGTGGCGATATGGAAGTGTCAGAATCGAAATTGACAAAGTCGAAAAATTGATTGCGATGCACAAAATCGACGTCAGTCGGAGCCTCAGTTTCTAAGTGGCGCATGACAAATTTCGGGGGCACCCACATCCAGTCTGTCATGCTGTTTGGGCAAAGAAGACCGCTCCTGTAGTCATGCTACTCTGGCAGCACATTGCATACCCCTAAACAGGCTAGCAATCGGTCTTATTTGCGGCCTGCCCCCCAATACAGGCCTTCAGTGCCCTGCATTTTATGCATCACAAATTGAAACTTTTCGATTTTGTCGATTTCGGTCCTGACACATACATAGGCGAAAAGGGACCAGATCGCGAGCGAATGGCAGCAGGACGGGCTGAAACTGGAACAGGATTTCCGCTTGAAGGAGCAGGAGTGGAAAGAGGGGTTCGAATATCAACTGCAAATATGTCTGGGTCTGGAAAATAAAAAATTGAAACCTGTACTATTGGGTGTCTTGCACTCCTGTAAAATCTGTATTGCGTGACCGACAAAAGCGCGAATTCTTCGTCATGCAAAAGCGCAGCTATTTCTCATCTCATGCGCATTACAGAGAGAAGCATCCTGAAAATCAAAATTTGTCATGCTTGGCTGCTCAGTCTCAGGAGTATGCTATGCTCAATCGTCGCCACTTAGCATCACAAGTTTCCAGACCCAGACATCTTTGCAATGCATATCGGAAAGGAAAGGGAAATGCTGGCGCAAGCGGAGGAAAAATTGACGAAGTTTTCTATTGAGAGGAAAAATCCCCCCTCCTCATATCGAAAAGGTATGTTTGCAAAAATTTGTGTTGCGGATTTGAGGTCACAAATCACATCTGTCTTGCAAGAAGGCAAACCCAAAGAATCCGCCGCCTTAGGGAGGCGATTTGTAATTCTGTTTCACCTACATGGCAGGCCTCTCTTGTGCCAAGAGCCTACAACAAAACACCCCTACGCAGACTGAGGCTTTGCCTGTAGTGCCTCGCTGCACAAATCCAGCAACAGAAGTTTCCGTTTTAATATGGGGAGGGGGGATTTTTCATTTTGATATTTTCCGAACAATTTGAGCAGGAACGGGCGGAATTTGACAACCAGGTGCGGATCCTGGAAACCGAGAAAACGCAGCTTTCCGAGAAACTGGCGGAGACCACGGAAAAAGCCAATCAATGGCAAATCGAGTACGAGTCGGAAAGGCTGTGCAGGGAAAAATTGCAGGACCAGTTCAGAGACCTGGTACTTACTACTTTGGTAGTTTTAGTTGTTTCCTATCCTTGGTGAGTACTTCTTTTCGGGTCGTGGAGAAACGTGTTGCTAATACCTTTTTCAATATGTACTTCCGCTTGTATCTTTAAAGAAGCTGGCACTCGGATTGTATTATGTATTTAGCTACTAGTGCAGCAACAGCAAGCAAGGACAGTATATTGACAAAAAACAGGAAACCGACCTCTCACACCGCCAAGAGCACGCGGAGCGCGCACTGAAGGCCGAGGACGCGCTTCGCGAGAGGGACCGGGAGCTGGCGCAAACGCTTTCCGATGTCCGCATGGCCAATGCGAAACTGGATGTATCAAATGTAAAAATGTCTGGGTCTGGAAGATTCCGAGATTTGTGATGCAGTTTATCGAAGCTCCACCAAGTCTGCAACGCAGGGTCTAACATCACAGGATCTGCAGGCCCTTGGTGATGCCTGTTCTGCATCACAAATGCCTTCTCAGCATGGCCAGAAATGGGCACCTTTTGCAAGTCACGCAATACAGATTTTTGTACGATTCGCAACATGCATCACAAGTTCGAATCCTTCCAGACCCAGACATTTTTGCATTTGATAGGATGCCCAGGGTGACCATATCGCGAAGTTGGAGGAGCAGCTGGAAACGACACTGGAAAGAAGAGAGAGGGAATACAAGGTGCGAACAAAGATAATATGATCAAGGAGCTTCTACTTCTTGTTTTTACTCTCACATTCTTGTCTGAAAATGACACTGACGCAAGAAATAATAAACATATAAGGCGCAGCACTATCGACCTTCATTTTTCATCTGTATGTTGCGAGACGCAAATTTTATGTCTCGCAAATGAACTACAGGAGAACCTCGCCCGTTCCGAGCAGCTGCAACTTGAGTTGATGGAACAAAGCGAACTTGTGAAGAAACAGTCTATCGAACTGGACTCCGCAAATCGCTATTTGGAGCAGCTGAAAAAAGAAGAAGAAAAGCACTACAAACAGGTGAAGGACTTGGACCAGAAACTAAGACAAACGAAGAAGGACCGGGACGAGAATTTTGGGCAATTGGAAGACTACGAAGTAGAACTTAGGCGGTTAGTCCGGGAGGTCGATTCGCTGCGAGAGCAAAACTCGCAACTGAGGAGTAGTACAACACCAGTAGCAGCATTATCAACAAGCGCTGCTAGTAGTAGAGAGCAAGTGCAAGGGCAAGTAGAAGCCTTGGTAGCTGCACGGCAGCCGGCACATCAAAGTAGCACAACTCCAAAGCGGTCGCCCTCCGTGCAGAAGTCGTCTCCTTCGCAGCCTTCGCCCGCGGAGCAACCGCTGGCACTAGATCAGGTCAAGATGAGGGCAACCAGCAGCCCACGATCGAGTATTAGAATACAAATTTTTGATTTGTGTTGCTGTGCTGCGTGTTGCAATTTTTTCGAAGACCACTTTGTCCTCTGTCAACTACGTGCTGGTCAGAAATACGGTCGAGTGCAGTCCTGATGGAAGATCGATCAATCACATGATGAGAGGAAAAAATCATAACAGCTCTCCCCGTGGAATCTCGTGCGCCCTCGCGCCCGCGCGGGGTCAGCAGCGTAACTTCCTCTGCGTCAAAGCGATCGCCCGCTGGTGTTAGGATGAGCTCACCACTGTACCCTGCCGGTGGTACCACAAAGCTGAAGACGCCGCAGGAGACGCCGAACCGGGAGAAGTCGGTACCTTTTGCTTGTTGCGTTGATCAACATTGTCGTGCATGGTGAACATAGATTTTGTTCCCTGGAGGTATGCAAGGAAAAGTGAGCAGATCTAGCATGCGGCCACTGGCAAAAAATATACGTCACAGGCCCACCCCCTCTCCGCTTCTGGCTCAAGAGGCGGACATCTTCAAGGGGGTTTATCGTGAGAAAAACGTGTTACAGTTACAAACCCGGGTGCAAAAATACAAGCAAGAGGACAGAAATCCTCTGTCATGCAGGAAATGCTCCTTCGTGCCAGCCTCATTCCATGCGTGTTTTCATCCCTTACAGTCAGCTCTTTGCAAGTTTTTTTTTGCCCTGCAGAGTGAGCAAGTTTGTGCTGCTGAAATTCCAAGAAATGTTGAACTGTAGCACTTTTTTTCTTGGATATGGTTCTTCCTCTTCTTCTTCCTCCTCATCGAAGCGGTCTGCTTCCCAGTATCAAATGCAAATATGACTGGGTCTGGGAGATTGCGAGATTTGTCATGCTAGTCCGGCACGGCTCTGAACTCTGTATTGCGTGGCCGCGAACAGCTCCTCTTGTCTGTCATGCAAAAACGCAATTTCTCATGCGGAGTACGCAACTCAGAACAACGGAAAAACTTGTCATGCTGGGCAGCGCATAAATACAGTGCGCTCACTATTCCCTTTCTTGCATTACAAGTTTATTCCAGACGCAGACATACACATATGTGCAATGGATATCCAGCCCGCCACAACCAATTACCGAATTGTACCCGTTTACGGGCAAACCTTCTACCAGCCAGCGAAGGGCGATGCCGTCGACGAGCAGCTGGGCAATTTCTTGAACACCCGGGAGCACAGCAAAATCCTGTTTTCTCGCGTTTCGAAGGGGAGGTATCTGTACGGGAGGCTGGAGGTGGAGCTCTCCGTCGCTCGCAAATCTTCTGCTTCGGAGCTGGTGAAGCGTGGCGAGAGCAGTAGTGGTACCAACTACACAAAGTTGCTGAAAGTCAACGTCCTCGTGATGCCCGACGAGTTGAAGCAGGAAGTTGGTGGAGAGGAAGTAGCGAAGGAGATCATGGAAAAACCGTTCACCATAAACGAGTTCGTGCATTTCTTCGAAGATCTAGAGTTCGACGCGTGTGAGCGGCAGCAGGGTGGAGTTCTTGTTGCACAGGACGAGCTGCCCGAAGAGGATGGTGCAGCTGGTGGAGGCGCAGCTGCACGAGAAGCCGCCCATGCGGGTGGTGAACTACAGAAAGCTAGAAGAACCCGTGCCGAAAGGGTTGGGACGAGAAGAGGAGACCACGCTGGTTCAGGGCCAGCTGGAACGGGTACAAGCATTGCAGTAGGGCATCAGTCGGGGGCCAATCATCTCGCAAGTATACCGCATCACCAGGGGCTGGAACCTCAGCAAAGACTACCTCCCGGCCCGGCGAAGGTTTTCTCTTTCTCGTCGAAGGACGGACTGCATGGTGCGCCGGGTCGTGGACCACCTGCAAATTTCCTCCGGAACAATCCCTTTCCCCCACCAGCTTCTTCTTTTTCTGCAACTACAGGGGAAAGCAATAGGAATATTAGCAGCTTGAGAGGTACGACAACTATGGTCCCCTCGTCCGGGCCGCCACCGGCCCAGGCTGGAAATGTTCTCCGCGCTGGCTCCGTTCCGCCCCTCGTAGCTGCTACGGCGGGTCCAACAACATCACAGCGCCACTTCGACCAGCAAAAAATGCCGCTCTGCTCCCAGCAATTATCTACCTCCCAGTCCCAGTCGAGGAGATTACCACGGAATCATTTGCTCTACAGCCTGCAGACACCCTCGCCGAGTGTGGAGGTGGGAGCTGCACAGGAACCTCCTCAAAATGGAGTGTTGAATGTGGCAAGAATAAACTCACACAATTATTCTTCATCATCCGTGTCCGTCGGCGCCCCGCCACCGCGGTTACCCACTAGAATGTCAAGCGCCGGGAGTACATTCAACAATAAGAATTCATCTGCGTCGATCCCCATCCCGCCGTTCACGACCCACGTAAACACGGATGGGTCGAAACTCACCACGAACAGCAATCGGACCAATATCAAAACGAAAAATCCCCCCTCCCCATATCGAAAACGATGAAATTTGTGATGCTGTATTTGAGTACACAAATCGACTTGTAATGCTAGAAGGCCAAGAGACGCAGCTGTGGCCTCGTTTGCAGGCAATTTGTCATGCTGTCTCCCACTTCCAGCTGCCCCCTGTCATGCTGAAGATGCAAGGCTCTTCCACGCCAACCAGCATTACAGTCCGCATCTTTTCCCTTCTAGCATGACAAAGCTGATTTGTGACCACAAATCTGCATCGCAAATTTCTAGTTTGAGTATGGGGTGGGGGGATTTTCCATTTTGATAACCAATTCCAGGGAAAGATCGCACACTTTCGGGACTGTCGCTGGGGAACATGAGCCGCCTGTGAACTTGAGCAGAGGTTATGCATTGCTGTTTTGGAAGTATCGATCTCGGTCTGGAAAAGCAGTGCCAGGTTTGTCATGCTCGGCTAGGCGCGTGACTGGCAAGACTGTCATGCATGGCGCCCAAAAGTTAAAGTGCCACTTTTCTGTGATTCATGCAAAGACGCGGTCGTCTATAATGCAGAAAACACAAGAACATCAATCTACACGTTGTACTTCCAGCATGATCCCCAAACCTTGTCATGCTTCGCCGTCAGAAATTCAGGCTCTCTCGTGATTGTCCAACCCGCATCTTGTTTCCAGACCCAGACGAAAGTGTTTGCATTCGATAATAGAGCAGGTGGCAGTGGGGCTACATCAAGCGGAAACAACAGTGGCAAACTGCTTGCCGCCTCGCTCAGTACCAGGCAACTGCAGCGGCCAAGTTCTGCGGGGGGGAACGTACAACCACAAGGCGCCTCTGTGGGTGCAGCCAATTCCCCCTTTGGCCCCATCCCCACGACCGGTGTGATACCCGCAGCGCATTTGCGACCCCCGCCGGCGCTGAACGTTGCGGCCGCCTTTGCGAACAAAATGGCTGGATCCTACTCCGTGCCGCAAAGTGTGCGGTTTGCGCAATGATGAGTGGAGGTGTCTGTTGTAGTCCACGAACAAGCTACAGAGCCTCGACTCTTCAAGCGGAAAGTTAGTATAGAAGCTGCTTCAAATGTGGTCTCTTTGTAGAAGAAGTTCTCATTCTCATACGTACATTAGATCGGTGACGCAAACAACCAGTATAATTCGTGCGCTGGAAAATTTCAAAAACCACATACGACAACATGGACCGAATGAAATTTCTTACATCGCAAGAACGTCCAAGACCAAGTGGAACTTTTTCACCCTGCTCCTTTGCGCAGATTTGCTACGAAAAGGAAGTTTCTGTCCGATGCTAGTGCATTTAAACGTGGTACTACTGCCACTAGTACCAGGTTCATCGAAGAAGGTCGGTAAGGAAAAAAGTGAGTATTGTCAACGTGCATGAAGACAGAACGTGGAGCACCTCGGTTTTGTAAATATATAATGCTGGTCGCATTTTTGTTTTAGTTTTTCGTCTCGGTTGTACAACTTGCCAAGCAGCTCTGCTACTTCCGTTTAAATTGGCTCTAATAAGTACGTGCAACACCCCGTTTCTACGATACTAATGAACCACCTCGGTCGTGCCACCTCGCATCATGCTCGGTTTTCGTACAGTGCTTCTAGTCACCGAAGTTTAACATCGTACGACTGTAACGTAGCTCGTTCAGGATTACTTACACAAATCGTTTTTCGCCGGTTAAGGTCCTGTACGAAAAGTAGATACGGACCACGGGAGAGGCGTGTCCTCACTCCTTCGTACAGTTTGGGCCGATACTTGTTTTTGTGACGATTTTAGACACAAATAACTTGTGATGTTGTTGAATTCATGGAGCTTTTCCTTCTAAAGCACAGGTGCAGGACCAGTTCGCGCACTTCACTTCTCCCAATTCCATTACCCGTATCAATACTTAGCACTGGTCGGTTTCTGATTGTGATGGTCCTCTTTCGAAAACTTAAACTACATTAGGCGCAACTACTACAACTAGAACTACACTGCTGTATCTTTTTCACATGTAGCGCGACGGCGCGGACCTTTTTGACGACGTACTTTCTTTCCATTTTGAGGCCTTGACTTGCTGCGGCTTGCTCGGCTTCTGATCTACTCATCTTCTTCCTCTGGTGATAAATATTCATCCAGGTGAACAAGATGGACGCATCGGCACCCGAAACGCCGAAGACGCGGCCTGATGAGATGACGGCCGCTCCGGTCGTGGCTACCGGGTCTCCGATCGACGCGAAGAGGATGCAAGAGGGAGCGAAAGTCGACCACATGGAGCTTGCTTTCCCCGAGACTGGAGCAGCGAGCACCGTGATCACAACCCACTTCAACGCACGCAGTCTCTTTTTGGGCTCCTTTTTCTTCTGGTTATTCGTTTCCGCTGGGCGGTTCATTCTGTTTCCGTTCTTCGGCATCATATCCCGAGAAAAATAAACGGTCTCAGTCTCAAACTCTACTTTGCAGTAGACTTTGCATAATAGGTTCGCGAAGTAGGATAAACAAAACCGGCAATCATGCGTCAAAAATAAAGTAAAACCCAAGAGATGAAAACACGCATATTTTTAAAGGACCTCGTAGTTCCACCTGCTCTTGCATGTCGAGCATGTTGACCAAAAACAGTCTGAACGAAGTTCCGCAACACAAGATGAGACTGAGACAGCTTTTTCTTGCCTATACACCACCCCGCTGATGTACTTCTCCATTGTCGACACGGCGATTGTGACCCTGCACGTTTTGGTGCTGTTCTACATGAACGAGCGGTACCACTTTCGCCCCCACTATCTGTACGCGCACCAGAAAGCCGTGGCACAGAACAAGTTTCTGCCTTACGAGCGCCCGGCCGCTCCTGCTTTGACGCCTTCTGCCCCCACTCCGCGGTTAACGGTGCGCGCCACGGAACTCGTCGTGGACGAACACGCACTTGCGGTGATTTCGGACCAAAAGCACCTATCCAACTGCACAAGAACTCTCCCTCCTCCCCATTTGTATGATCTTCGATGTTCATCATCTTGAAGAACAGCAACAGAAACAACAGCAGAGATGTTGTAGCTTCTGCATGTGAAGACAAGTCCACAGGACACGAAAAATAAATAGAAGGACTATAAGGGAAAAAATCACCGCAACCTTCAGAAGAAAATTCTTCAGAAGAACCTTCAGAAGAAAACAAAAATCTTCTGAAGGTTCAAAAATGGCTGTTTTGAAAAAGACACAAAATCGGAACGGATTCAGGTCCTGTTTCAAGAAAAACAATTTTTTTTTTCAGACCTTCAGAAGCTTTTGTCGAGTTTTGACCTTCAGGAAGGTTTTTGAAACCTTCAGAAGAATTTTGATGCACAAAAGCTTCTGAAGGTTTGTCAGCTGTTCACTTTTGACCTTCCTGAAGGTTTTTAACCTTCTGAAGGTGCAATTTTTGCAACCTTCTGAAGGCCGAATGAAAAAAGTGGCGTCTTTTACAAAAAAAATTGCAAAAAGTCGCGAGTTTTTTTTTGACCTTCAGAAGGTCAAAAAACCTTCCTGAAGGCCTTCAGAAGGTTGCAGTTCTTCTGAAGGTCCAAAAATCTTCTGAAGGTTTTCTGCAGCTTTCCGCAAGCTTGCGAACCCAAAAAATGTTTTCTTCGACTAACGCGCCGCGTGGAAAGAGCGCGACTTGGCCTCGTTCGCGTTTAGATGCTTCGCGCACTGCTGTCGCGATTCCCGTCGCTCAAGAAGCGCCTGGCACTTTGACAAGAAACCAAAGCTGCCCGCTTTTGTAAAAACAAAAGGCGAGACCTGGCTAGGTAGCGGACAACAGGCGAGTTCTTTCCTGGTTTCTTCCTGATCTGGCCGGGCCTCCGAAATAAAAGCCGCCAAAGCTGGCCACTATTGTAAAGCGAGAAGCGACCTCGTTGCTTGTTTGTTAGTCTGGGCCTCAGAGACGAAGCCAAAAGCTGACCGTCTTTGTTTTCTCCCGAATTTGGCCACTTCGAGAGAAGCCAAACGCGGCCACTTTATTAGAGCCGACAAAGTCGAGCGCGAAAATTTTTCAGGGCAGACTGGCATGAAAATGGGGCCTACGCTGAAGAGTTGCTTTATTTTTTCCCACGCGGCGCACGCCGCGTGGATTGGTTCTTACTTACTATGTAGTTTTATCGTGTCTTCGGAGTACTGATGTACAACTGCTTCGTATAAGTAACTGCAAGAGTTGATGATGTCCATCCTCGGACCCCCTACAACGTCCCATGGCTGGGATCTTCATTGCAATTATTCGCATGACAAGTAATAGGTGGGGGTTGACGAGTTGTGCACATGGATAGCAGCACCCGCAGGTGCACAAGCAGGTGAAGAACTACATGCGGGCGTCCATGCGGCGGGACAGCACCCGGAGCCTCCTCGGAGGGCCTAGTCCGCACGGCTCACCGAGGTCCGACGTCGGGGCCAACAAGGCGGAAGACGCTGCAAGAAATGCATCCCCGCGATCCGACGTGGTTGCAGCTGCAGCCCAGCAACAAGCTGGTGAACAAGCTGGAGCAGCCCCCCTTGCAAATGTTGATGTTGAGCGCCCGGCCCCCGCGCAGGGGCAGCAGCTGTTGGCGCCGGTGTCCCCAGAACACGTGGATTTCGCGGATGCGACCAGCAACGTTGGCGCAGATCAGCAGGGCGTGGTTCCGTACGTGCCGGCGGCCTGGGGTTCCACGGGCGACAACGAAATCATCCACTGCTTTGCCGTGTTGCACTACAAGGAGCCGGAGGAACAGCTGTACACGTTGTGCGAGAACCTGGCGGACCAGAAGGCCCGGGGCCGCAAGGTGCTCCTGATCGGCATGGAGAAGGGCACGCCGGACAAGGAAAAGAAGATGGAGAAGATTGCCGAGATTGCCAACACCCACCCGATCCGGGGGGGGCCGGGGGAACAGGACCGACCGGCGTTCGAGGCCGTGCTGTACACGGTGCACACCCTCCGGCCGGGCGAAATCCCCGGCACCGGCAGCAACCACTTCCAGTGCCAAGTGGTGGCCGAGCTGTTCTTCGGGCAAGCGGGCGAGCACATGCTCGACAAAGTCATCTTCTTATCACAGGAAAAAAGTTAATGTTAACGGAATTTCAATTTCAATTTGTGATGCAATGACGCATCACAAAACGCGCCCGAATTTGTCATCCATAGCATTCATATTTTTTTATATAAGTAGGCAAAAGTTGTAGTCACGCGTCCGACTGCACTCTGTGAAAACCGTTAACGTTATACTCTTTTTTGTTTGATACTTCTCCAAGTTCGACTGCAACATGAGGCTGTCCGGGCCGCTGGTGGAGGAGATGGAGGCCGCGTGGGAACTCACGCACGAGGACGAGCGGGTGGGGCTTTCCTTCATGCCCAATGTGTGCTGGGCCGCGGACGTGCACGACGAGAAGCGGTCGGCGTGCGAGATCGCGGCGAGCTGCGCCATGTGCTGCGGCATGAACATCGCGCCGTTCTCGATCGCCTTCGTGTCCGGGTCCCTGGCCAGTGCCATCAAGGCGGGCTACACCAGCCCCACGCTGCTCCCCGAGGACGAGATGCTGTTCACGAAGCGGGCCGTGATGGTGCCGCACTCGCGCACGGTCCGCCTGTACTCCCGCGTGATGAAGACGTTCTACCCGGCCGAGTGCAGCTCCTACACCTTCGTGTTCGGCGTGTTCTGGCCCAAGTACAAGCGGTGGTTCGCCGGGTGGCTCGAGCTCCACGCGTACATGTTTTGCTGGCTGGTGCTCGGCCCCCGCTTGGCCTCCATGCACGACGAACACCCGCGCCGCCGCAGCGTGTACTGGCCGCGCGCCTGGTTCATCTTCTTGATGAGTGTCCTCCGGAAGTACATGTGCATGGTCGCCGCCGTGGGCGCCATCCCGATGACCTTCGTCCACATAAGCGCGTGGAACGATTCCGATCACTACCTGGACTACGGGCGCGGGAACTATCACATGGAGGTCGAGGACTGGCTCTACGAAATCTTTGCCACGAACCCGTCGTTATCAACTGCAAATATCGATATTCGCGCTGGATGTCTGGAACATTTTTTGCCGAGTTTGTCATCGACAAATTGTACATGACGCGCTCCCGCAATTTTCATGTTGCCTGCGATGCATGCTCTAGCATCAACAACATAGCTTTTATTGCGAAGCAGGTTTGCAGCCCATGCCTGTCCTGCAGGAGAAATAGTTCTTCTTGGCTACTTTCTAAGTGCCTTTTGCTGCTCATGCAGTACGTCGTGTTTTTGTATGATAGAAGCGCCATGATCGCAAGGGGGCGCCGCCATTCTTTCCAGATCGGAGGACATAGTATTTTTGCAATGCATAGTCGCACGCGTACATGACGGAGGCGTACGGATATCCCCTGTCGGACGAGTACATGCGGTCCCTTATCCTGCGGAAAAACGCCCCCACCCCATAGTTGTCATGCAAATCTGCATGCTCAAAGTGTTTGTCATGCCGAGCCCCATGAGAAGCGATTTCTAGTTGTGTTTTGGAATTTGTTATGCTCCAATCAGCATAATAGGCTAGATCTGTGATGCTGCTGAACTAGCTAAACAGGACTACACTACGAAGCCAACTTTGTCATGCGCAACGGCCAAAGCTTCTGCATTTGTCTAGCAGATTTCCCATTTTGCCTATGGGGTGGGGACGCTTTTACCCAGGATAGCCCTCCAGAACTACCGCCGGGCCCAGTTTCAAACGATGCTGGTAGCGGTCGGGACTTTTTTCGCCGTGATCACCGCCTTCCGCTCGCTGCGGAAATTCTACCTGGCTTTCCCAGGGGTCATGAAGTTCAACGCCTGGGCTTTCTTCAAGGGCTTTCTCGTGACGGGGCCCATGAGCTTATTGATGACGTTCGCTCTGCTGTACACCTACCTGAAACACGGGCTTTTGAACGAGCCGATGTTGCATTCCGCGCAGGGAGATACGGTGGCGGCCATGCAGAAGGGCGGCGCACCATCTTCCGCGTCGCCGTCGGGCGACAAGCCCTCGCAAGAAGGAACAAGAACTTCTGCGCAAAACGTCGCACAACCGGCGCAAGAACTGCAAAGCGAACAAGTGCAGCCAGAACAAACGACGCCTATCCCGTGGAAAAACGCCCCCATCCCCATACCTGTCATGTAAATCTGCAAGCCTGAGAGAGCTGCTTCTCTTTCTCATGCGCAGCCCCATGAGGAGCAGGAGGGAGAGGAGGAGCATTTATTTCCATTGCTATCCTCTGGAAGTTTCAAGTTTGTCATGCTCGAATCAGCATACGCAACCTGCGTGAGGATTTGTGGTGCCGCTTAGGTTTATTCGCTAGCTAAACAGGATTAATGCACGACTGCGAGCTCAGGTGACCATTTGTCTTGCGCAACAGCCAAAGCAAACCTCGGTTGTTGATTTGTGTAGCAGAATTCCTAGCTTCGTGGCCCTGGAGTGGGGACGTTTTTGCTCCGGATAGCTTCACCTGCTGACGTCCTTCCCAGGGAGTCCCAGCAGTCTCAACAGTCGTCCAAACCAGCAGAGCCACAACATCTGGCGGTCCCCATGCCCCAGGTGCAGGTGGACGCAGAGAAATTGGATGCAGAAATACGTTATGCATTGCAAATATGTCTGGGTCTCCTGGATCTGGAAAGATTGGAACTCGTCATGCAAAGTCTCGATCTTTGCAAAAAAGTCTGTGTAGTTGCATCATGAACTGCACCAAAAGTTGGCCTTTTCTTGCTAGGCAAAAGGCGGACTTCTCATTCGCGGTCGGCGTCAGGAGGGTCTCGCAAAATCTGTGATGCTTCTGTGCGCATTCCAGAGCGTACTCGTGGTCCGCGAGATGCATGACAAATAATCTTGCTTTCTTCCAGACCCAGACATGTTTGCAGTGCATATACTTACCTCGTATATGTAAGTCTTTCACGACTTAATGTTCTCTCCCCTTGCTGGGAATCACTACTACTACTACTACTACTACTACTATACTGCTGCAAGGCGGTAGAGAAGAAAGTGGGAAGCATGCAAAAACACGAAAAGTGGTGCAAAGGGAAGAAGCATGCCTTCCCACTAGAAGAAGTCGACGATGATGTCGACGCTGGAGCGGAATAAATAAAACAAGTAGTTCCCTCTAGTAACCCCGTCAGTTGGGTAAATCATTCACTCATTCATACGAGCTCGCAGTTCGATGCTCGGTTTTCTTTTTTCGATTTAAGTAGATACTTCGACTTCTCGGTCTTTTCTCGTTTTCTCGCTGTTTTCGCTTTGTCATTTGTATCTCCCAAAAAAAAATAGAATTTGCTTATGTACTTCTTCTACGCACAAAGAAGGAGTCAGTCGAGCAATTTTTATCCGAGAGCCGCGAAAATGAAACCCCTTGTTCCGCGATCGATTTTGACTAGATGTTTTTTCTCGTCCAGTTTTCTTTTCCAAGTATCTTTACTTGATCTTATTTTTTCTCGCTGCTCTTGCATTCGCATTTTACTACATGTTTTTTCGTTTTCGCATGACAATTTGAAGCACGTAAATATAAATATTTTTTCACTACACTAAAATTTGAATATGAACTTCTTGTTCTTTTTGGTCCCGTCCAGTAAATGTTGTTGGCCGTCCAGCTACAGCACGCAAGCCCGCGCACAACAATCTCAAACGATTTCCTATCCCTCTTTCCACTACTTCGAGTCACGCGCTGTGTCATTTTCTAGAATGAATGTCGCCCTGAAGACAGTTACACTACGAAAACGAGGTTCGGAGTAGTTGTTGGCACTATCATTCATTGTTGTTGTTCTGCATGAAAACATCAATGATGCTTAGAAAAAAGAAAGACTCTCCTCTGGTGATTTAATGTTCGTCCGGTTCGTGGTTATGGATACGCATACTACACTCTTGTTAATGAGTACGCAGGTATTTTTCGGGTCGTAAATTCGTTGTCGACGGCGCCACTCGTAAAATAAGTAGGCTCCTCGAGGAGTCCAACTAGTAGCCTCCGATCGTTTGGGATCGTGGTCGTGGACGAGTAAAGATATTAAGCCACTGCAAAAATGCTGCTGCTGCATGGAGCAGCACTAGTATGATGTAGAAGAAATGATTGACAAGTATTTCAAATACTTGTCAATCAGATGAAGTGCAATCCAAAACTTGACTTCTAGTTCACGAAAAATGAGCCTCCTTCGTCTTCACGTCGACACGCGCATCTGAATAATTATAGTCCGCGGTTTATTTTTTTTCTGTACTTCTTCTTCGTCTTCCATGCCTACTAGTACTACGCGAAGGAAAAAGTAATCGCACGTCTACTTCAACACTAGCTGATCGTGATCCTTGCGCATCAAGCACCAACTTTGCAAGTTGCCGTGCCGCTCGACAAGTAGTTGATACTGCTTTTATTTTTGATTATAATTCTCACGACCAAACAAAAGAGCGTACAACTATCAACACTGGAAGAACGAGTGTTATAAAAAAATATAAAGCAGAACAAGCTTTAACTACAGATTTTTGAGCACTGCAGTATCAGTATGGAGGCACAAAAAAAGGAAAGCGTCGCGAGTAGCGGCAGCGGCGGCAGCAGCATCGCCGAGAAGCTACGCAACAACATTCAACGGTTCGACTTCATCACGGACACCGTGGACGTGAGGGCACTGCCGACGAGTGACGTGCACCTGCGCGTAGTGCTGAACTCGGTGATGCCGGCGCTCGCGCTCGGGCTCGTGCTGTCCGGCGCCGGAAGCTGCACGTGGTTCATCCACCTCGGGCTCGAGACTTGCGGACGGGTCCAGCAGGGTTCTCCGTCGGCGCCGGAAGGGGACATTGGTGCCCCCGGACCAGGTCCGGGCGCGGTGGACTGGCAAGTCCGCTTGGACTGCACATCTACCTTGCTGTTTGGCATACCGATGAGCGCAGTGAAGGCCTACAATTTGCTGACGACGACGTTCATGGTTCTGGGCATGTTCTCGGCTTGCCTGTTCGCGGGCGGCCTGAGTGACAGCCGTGGGCGGCGCGAAACCATGCTGGACTTCGGCGTGTTCGGTGTTTTCGCCCACCTCTTCACGGCCTGCAGCTTCAACTGGCCAATGTTCTTCCTCGGCCGATTTGCGCAGGGGTTCGCGGTGGTAGGCGCGGCCGGGGTGGCGCCAACCTACATCGCGGAAGTGGTTCCGGCGGAGGAACGCGGGAAGTACGGCACCTGGTTTCAGATGATGGTGGTGATTGGCATTCTCGTGTCCACGCTTCTCGCTCTCGTGTTTACCTCGCCACAGGAGGAGTGGACAAATTTGAAAGCCGCCGGACCACTGGACTTCGTTGCCAAGAACGACGATGGTGCAGTTGATCCAACTGCCGCGTCGTCCTCATCTCTCTTGCAGTTTTACTTTGGGGGCAGTGCCACTTTTGCCGACAACGCTGGTGTCCCGCAAGCCAATGTTGGAACAACTACAGCGAGCACTACGTGCGTGGGCCGCGGCTCCACCACCATCACGCCGGGGTGCCTCGACCCGTCCTCAAGTTTTGCGCAGAAGAACGGTGGACCACAAAGCCAGCACTTACCGCTGTCTCTCGATGATATCGCGCGTTCCTACTACTTTCAAGCGCACGTGTGGTGGCGGTTCATTGTTGGGCTTCCGGCGGTGCCGATGATGTATGCCGTGCACCAATGGATGATCAATTTGCGGGCGTTGGAGAGTCCGAAATGGCTGGAGAGCAAGAAACGATTCGACGAGGCGGAAGCAGCCTACGAACTCCTGATGCCGACGTATGGCCAGGCCAGCATCGCAGGCTTGATCAAAGACGAAACGGCCGCCATTGTGGATAATTCCATTCTCCGCAAGTCGGACCGCGTCTCTGAGGAGTCGGATCATTCTTTCGCGGCGCGCTTGTTCGATCCCCTAAACTTGCGTCAGCATGGAGAAAGCGTTGTGGGGATCTTGTTCGACCCGCTGGATATGCATCCAGATGGGGTTTCTAGCGCTTTGAGGAAGGATGTGGAACATGACGGCGCGGTGGAGCAAGAACAAGCCGAGCAGCACGGCATCATGTGGGCCTTGCAGAATCGTCGATTCAGGAAGGGGGTGCTGATCGGCTGCGGTCTGGCCTTGACGCAGCAATTGACGGGCATCAATTTGATGATCACGTCCGCGAAATCGGTGTTCGAACGGTTTGGCAGCGACAAGGCGAGCTACTTTGCCACGGGTCTGATGTTGTGGAATGTGCTGCTGACGCTGCCGGCCTTTTGGCTGATGGACTCGTGGGGTCGCCGGTCCCTCCTGCTGCTGAGCGCGGTGCTGACCAGCGTCACGATGACCCTCAACGCGGGCATGGAGTCCTACGGCCACTTCTTTCCCTACGGTCCGCAGCGGCCTTTAAGCCCCATGTGCGAATACGTGGTGGTAGCCATGGTGTTCGTGTACCTGGCCGGATTTGCGCTGGGCTGGGGGCCGGTGCTGTGGGTGTACCTCGGCGAACTCTTCCCGCAGACGATCGCTGCCGGCTGCTCTTTCGGCGCGCTGCAGATCAACATGGGGATTCAGATCCCGTTGCTGTTTGTGCTGGGACTCTACATGGACGAGCCGTTCGTTCTGTACATCAGTTTTTCCGTCCTCAACCTGCTTTCCCTCGCTTTCGTGTACTTTTTCATCGTGGAAACGAAGGGAGTGGACGTCGAACGCAGTCCGCTGTACATATCAAATGCAAACATGTCTGGGTCTGGTTCTGGAAAGGTTATTAAACCTGTATTGCATTTTTTCGCATTCCTGAAAAATCTGTATTGCATAAGCAGCAAATCAAGCGCCACACTTTCGTCATGCAAAAACGCATTTTGTAATGCGTTCTGCGCATGAGAAAGCGTTTGAAACATTTGTCATGCTGCACTGCACTTACAGGCACAGTCAATCATGACCATTTTTCAGCGTTACAAGTTTCCAGACCCAGACATATTTGCAATCCATAGTACATGTTGGGCGACGATGAAGAGGATGCGGATCATCGTTCGACCCTGGCGACGAACGCAAGCGGCGAGCAGGAGAAACAGTTTTTGTTTTACGGCTCCACGTCCAGCACTTTTTCTCCGTTTCCGCACCAGAAAAGCCTCGTTGGACCGGACAACCAACGCCCAGCGGTGAATGTTCACACGGAAAATAGTGATGTGCTGGAGGAGGGCGTCTATTAAGTTTGAAAAAGAGTTTCTACCTCTGGGACGATGAGATATGTCCCTGTGTGAGGCAGGTAAGGTAAGTAAATGAAAAAATCACTTTATTGATGTAGATGTTTCGGCCTCGTAAAAATCAACGCAGCATGCTAGTATTCCGTTTTAAGCACATCACTTTAACTCTTCAGCTAGGATGATAGATCCTACGCGGCGTTTTGCTCTTGACAGGGTGAATCTTGAAACTCCAGCAGTCGAAGGCCCGAATCGACTTAAGGTCGGGCCATTCCCATTTTCTAGTAGTACTCCACCTGAGCAGAAGCGATAGAACCAGCAATGACGGTAAGAGTAACTAACAGCGCCAATACATTCTGCTCAGCTCGTTCCTTTCTCAAACGATTTATACGAAAGACTAATATCTTCAAGCCATGCTATCGGACAGAATGCGATACACATAACTTAGAGGGAGGACTATATCTCTAGTATTTTACGATTGCGAAATTGAAACTTGTTGTTGACTATTTGACTGTTTGAAAAGACTTTTTGGTTGTGTATCGTAGTTGGTTTCATCACAAAGGATTCTCTTAAAGTTCTAAATTTCATCTGTACAATATGTGTTGCAAACACTGCACATCCATGAAAAAACTCAATGAGAAGCTGCACAGAAACGCCGCGCATTAAAAGCAGTTGATGTTGATGATTATGAGGATCAGCAGCTTTATAATTGACGCCCAGGAGTTTTTGATGAAACGGAAACTTTAGTTGGTTCTCGCTTGGAATTTGACCTGGATCATTTTGTTCTTTTTGAACAATTCAGGTTTTTTCTTTTTGTTTCAGGAGATCCAGATCTGTCTTCCATATTTCTTGGTCGTGCTTCTCCTGTTGACGATCCTCTCTTTCGATTGTGGCAATTCTCGTTTTCACGATATGTTCAAGTTCAACTCCAATGTTTCGGTTTGCAGTTTGAGTTTGTTTCCTCTTGGGTATCATGGGAGGAAAGGTGAAGTAGTATCAAGAGGTACAACCATACACGTTAACGCGATGTCGCAGTCAGAAGGTGGTCCGTCGGGCTCGAAGGGGGTAGAGATGAGTCGCGCTGCTGCTGCCGAAAATGATAAAGCATCTTCAAGTAGCGGCCCAAGTTGTAAAAAGCCGCTGCTGGAACGCGCATCGAAGATGCTCTTCGGGCTGTTTTGCTTTGCGGCGCTTTCCCTGCAGAACGCGTCCATCGTGCTACTGACCAGGTGGCTGAAAATCAACAAGCCCGAACTAGTGACACCAAAGGACGACACTCTGATTGTCGTCGGTGCCGAGCTGTTGAAGTGCGTGACGAGCTTAATTACCGTGTTTGGCTTAGTGATGCTGGGCGACGATAGAGATTATTCAGATGCGCTGAGGAAAAAGACGGACGGGGAAAAAAATAGAAGTACTTCTGCAGAGGCTACAGCTGGCGCGGCTCCTGCTGCTGCACCAGCACAAATTGATTCAATAGTATCACCAACTTCTTCACAAAGCACCTCCTGTTCGACACTTACCACTGAAGCGGGCAGCACCATTAGCATAAGAAAGCTTCGATATCAGCGGCTAGTTCAGCGGGAGCTCTTCAATTTCAAAGAGTTTGCGCACATGGGGATACCAGCATGTATTGAACAATGGCGTGAACAATTTTTTCTGATTGATGTCCGATGTTTAAGTTTGGAATGAAGTGATTTCTTTGTCACGTCCACGAAAACGCCCAACATTGGCCTATACTCAATACAGGTATCTATCTTTTCCAGAACAAGCTGATTTTCCTTTCCTACGGGAAGCTCCCGTCGCCGATATTCCAAGTCACGTACCAATCAAAAATCCTCACCGCCGCCCTTATGGCGAAAATCTTGATGCGCAAGGTCTTCACCTGGCGGAAATGGATAGCGTTGGTTCTCCTCATGACGGGCATCACCATCGTGCAGGTCGACGGCCACGCCTTCATCCAGTCACTGAGCGCGCAGGACCGCAGCGCCGTGGACTTCTCGGTTGGCTTGCTCGCAGCCTTGGGCGCAGTGTTTTGCAGCGGCTTGGGCGGGGTGTATTTTGAGATGGTGTTAAAAAGGGGACAGGTATAAATGAAATATGTCAAACGATGGACGAGGACTTCTTCCCCCCACCCCGTAGGTACACAGATGCTATTAGTTTAGCTTTTGATTGAAGATGAAGAACACGCAAGATTTATTACCGTGCGCGTGGCAGCACGACCAATTTCTGCTCTGTGTTGCGTTCATCTCCACGACGGCTTGCGAAACAAATAAGCCTTTAAAATGTTAACAGGTGAACCTCTGGGTCCGCAATGTGCATCTTTCCCTCGTAAGCGTCATAGTGGGGGTCGGCAGCGCCGTGATGCCGCGAGTCGTCACTTTTGACGAGGAGGTAGTTTCACTGCTCCCTGACTTCAGCCTCTTCGACACAAGCGCGGCACCCCCGGTGTTGTTTTTGTCCCTCCTGACAATCCCCGCAAACACGCTTGCAATGGTGCGCAGTTACATCCCGACGGAGGTGAGGGTTGCGGGTTTTCTGTCAGAAACGATAGACGTCACGCAGGATTTTCTAACCCGACTACAGCACGCGGACCCGCTGGTCTGGGGTGTGATCCTCCTCCATTGCTACGGGGGATTGTTAGTCAGCTTGCTGATCAAGTACACGGACAACATTGTGAAGGCGTTTGCCGCGGCAATCGCGATTTTAATCGCGTCCCTGGCGTCGCTGGTGTTGTTTCCGGACTTCCAACTTTCGCCGGGGTTCATGGTCGGGTTCTCGCTGGTCGCATACGCGGTCTACATGTACTCGAATTGAGAATGGCGCTGCGTCCTTCGATGTCGGGGAGGATAGAACTCTGCATTTTTGCCGGGAAAGACCCTCTGCCGCATTCGCTTTGGGTGCACGAGGACAACGCATCGCCCACGTCGGGCTGGGGCGGCGTCGAGCGTGGAAAAAAGGCGAGCATTGATACTGGAGCAAGGCTATGTATTAAGTACACTGGCGGAGATTCTCTTTACTAAATCTATCTAAACATCGAACTGCAACAGCACTGAAGGCACAGTGATGCAACGACGCAACAAATACAATGAGCAAGTCCACCGTAGGGCACGGACTGCTGGCTTTCTTTGAAGTGGCGGAGGGCAAGAGACAACTCTCGCGAAAGACCACAGTGGAGTATCGCTGTTCGCATTCTGGTTGCTGCGTTTATTACTGTATTTTGACGCACTTCTTGTTCTTCCTTTCGCCCCCGTTCAGTTCCTTGCGCGCTTGCAGTCGTGGCGGCCGGGCGGTGGTACAAGCGGCCGGGCGGAAGATCGGCGCGCGGGCGCTCCTCCGCAGGAGAAAAATGCCACGGGGCGCCCGCGAACGGAATGGGGCGGGCTGGGAGCTTGGCGGCGCCCCCGTCATGCGTATAGATACAGCGCCGGCCACCGCATGCGCCCCCGCCGCGGGGCCCGCCTGTGCCTGCGGGCACCCAGAGGCGGCGCCGCGGCGCCGGTTTTTCGGCGCAGGGCCTTGGCCCGGATGGCCGCTGCCCCGCCTGCCCAGCTCCGCGGGCCGGGGCCGCGGGCGTCCGGGGGCCCGGCCCGGATGCGGCGCGAGCTTCCGCGCCCAGGGAAATAAACAAAACAGGCCCCGATCCAGTCGACGGAGGAGAATTACCGCCGCGCGAAATGACCCAGAGAAGGCATCGCGAAGGCGGGCGCGCGATGGATTTCATCACGCGGGGCGCCCCATTGCCGGCCCGGCGCGCTTGTCAGCCCTTCCCTGGGTTTCCCCGGCCGGCCTGCCTTTGGCGCGCGGGCGCCGAGCGTCTCGGCCGGCTGCGCTTTCCCCCGCCCGGCTTTTGGCGGTCGGCGCAGCGGCCCGCGTCTTGCGTGGCCTTCTCTGCCCCTGGCGGCCGGGGCGGCAGCGCGCAGCAGCCCCACCCCGCCTGCCCCTATTTTTCTGCTGCCGCCGGGCACCAAAGCGCCGGCCGCTTCAGCCGTGTTTTTTTTCCCGGCGGGCGCCAGCACTCTTCCGCCTTATTGTTGTTGGGGGCAATAGGCACGCAGCGGGCACGCCCGGCGCTGTGTTCTTGCTTGGGCAATGAATCGGCTTGCCGCGACTGCGCGCCGCTAAGCCGGCGGCACGCACCGCCCGGGAGGGCAGGCCTGCCAAGCCGATGGCGCTGCCGGCCGGTATGGCAACCGGCTAGCTTTGGGGGCCGAACTCGCTGTGGCTACTTGTTGTGTGGGACTTTACCTTGCTCTTTTTTTTGTCGCCCAACTGCCCGGACGATTGCAAGAAGAAGGAGCGCATTGGCCTCGTGAAGGCTCGAGGTAGCACGGGGGAGCGCTTTCCTTCCTTCGAGTGTTCGCGGCTTTCACTTCTTTGTCCTTGTGCGGCCATTCTGGGGAGAGCATGCAGGGACATTGCAGGGCTGCTTGGGATTGGCAGGAAGCACTGCTCGACCACCACGAGGGCAACTGATAGAGCTCCTACAGAGAGAGGACCTTTTCAGGTGCGTGACAGCCAATCATTAAGATTGATTGGGATTGGCGAGATCGAGCGACAAAATGAATCCGGAAGTTCTGAAGGAGAAGCTGCACTCCATCGTGAGTGACAACCGGAGCTACGCGAGCGAGCACAAGGAACTCTTTGACCGGGCGCGCGAACTGATGGAAAACCCGGAGGAGCTGGAGAAGAACTTGGCAATCATCGCCAAGGAGAGCCCGGTACGATGGAAAGATCAGGATTTTCATTTCTCAATCCGCTAAGTAATGTCATGAGGAGCTACTTGCATCACAAGTAAGGATCGCAGTACAGTAGTTTTACTTCCACCTCCGCTCAACACCCAGGTCGGCCAACTCCTGGCACTCGAAACCCTCGAACAAGCTGCCGATAACGAAAGCGACACCCAGTCCGAGCAGGGGCTTCTGCAAGCGCACGAGAACGATGAAAAAACGAATACGAAATTGAAGTCGAAAGTGGACAAGCTGCAGAAGAAGATCGAGCAGGTGCAGATCGAGCAGCGGATCGCGAAACAGGCGGACCAGATCTTGCACCAGGTGAAAGATTCCATGGTGAACTACAAATTCGACGACGAGTTCAACGCTTGGCGGGAAAAGGTCTGGGCGCAAGCATTGTCACAGCAAGAGGCGGAAGAAGATCGCTTTGCAGAGGCGGATGGGAAGCCGAGGTCGTGGGTATAGGATTTTGAATGCCACCAGGCGAAGATGAAGTTTTTGGCGCTCCTTTTCCTTTTGCTGTGATCATGCATACGAAAAAAATTCAGTCTTTGCATTTGGATTTGACAAAAAAAATGACACACATTCATCGTCGTGTTCTAGGTTCTCCTCCGCCACCTCGATGAGAACGGGGAGCAAATCACCCAGGAGGTCGGCGACATTTTCCGGCGCGACGTGGAGACAATTAACCCGGTCCAGCATGACTACCGCAACGACCCGATTGTGCGGAAGACCAAGCGACATTCCTGGCTGTTCTTTTCCCCAAGTAAGTGGTGCGGTCTGCTGAACAAAAAGGGAAGCGGAGGGGATGGTCGTACGAATAATGGTCATAAAAACTACATGATGACAAGCGCGAGCGGAGTTGCGAAATGGAAGGAGCTGTCCGCTTCGGAAAGCAGCAATGCTTGGAATTTCTTGACAAGGTCGGCGATGGTGAACACAGTTTTCGCAGTTCTTCTCGCGATCGGATTTGTCGTTGGTATTCTGCTGTATTCGGTCTCATTGGGCGGGAAGAGTGACGGCGTGGTTGCAGCTGCCGGCGCTCTTGCTGATCCGACAGTTGTGTTGCAAGGCGGTGCGAGCGGACGCGTAGGTGAGCTGGGTGCCGTCGTTCCAAAAACGGACCTTGGCTCGTCCCACGTGACTTCCGCGGGCGGCGTTTCAAGTGTAGTAGAAACGAATGCACTAACAGCACCAGTCGCAAGAGGAAGAGCGGAAATTGCAGCAGCTTCTCCTACTTCCTCGGGCGTCGGTGCGAAAAGAACTTTGCTGCCACGACTGCAGGCATCTGCAGCTGGATCTTCCCTAGACGTGGAGGAACAAGCAGAAGCGGACATGTCGCTCTACAGTGCCATGAAGCAGCGGACGAGCAGACGCAGTGCCGGCATTGTGTAAGTTGAGGGAATTTTGGTACTTTTTCGATCGAAGCCGATCGATAAGAAAAAATCCATGTGCATTTGCTTGTCCCTGTTCATCATCATTTTTGCGGTTTTCATGAAGCACAAGGTTTGAAGGAGGCCGTAGCAAAAACTTTTCTTTTGGACTCCGAATGAAACTTTCAGCTGACTTTTGCTGCGCCGAAACGAATGAATGCTTCCGAATAAAAATATGCTGTCCAAGTGTTTACTGCCGTCGGGAACATCTGGCGAAATGCGAGTTCAGGTCGAAAAGAGTAAAAGAAGAACGCGTCACACCATCCTCGCTGCGTCCTCTTGCGTAAAAACGTGTTCTCCGTTTTTTGTTCTCATTTTTCCCAGTTTTCCCGTTTGAAGGAAACATATCTTTTTGAATTTCTAGATCCACAAGGAGCCTCTATAATGGAGACAACGACGATGTTGTTGCTCGGGCTGATTTTTTGACGATCACGCGCTTTTCCGCGACAACAAAAATTATGTTCCGCCTGTACGACGACGATCTGAACCCCGAAACCAACGCGAACCCCCTCGAGCCACCACGGCCCCCCGAAGAGCAAGCCGGCAACGGACTTCCGCATGAGAGCAGCGGGATCACGAGCAAAATGTCGGACAGCAAAGCAGCAGGCGTCGGTAATAGCGGCAAAGAGCCGAGAACGAAGCTGCAGACGTTCAAGATGACGCTGTCGGCTGGGGGGATTTTGGTATAGTCATACATACTGTGTCTCTGACATTCCAGGAGCCTGCCCATATCATGGCTCTTGCATTTCGTCGAAACATGTTTTCTATCTGAATTCGCGTGGCAATTGTCAACTTCACCCAATGTTCACAGAACTGCCTCGGCATGCTGATCATGGCCGGGATGATGATCATTCACCTAGACCAGACCGACTTCTTTTCCGTCTGCTACTCCCTTTCGCAGGCTATGCTGTTTTTCGCCGCGGCAGTGTTTGTCTTCATTATGGAGGGGAGGTTTATCTTCCCGCGCGAGTCGGACCTGCAGAAGAACTGGCGACAAAAGCTGTCGGTGTTTCTGTTCAACAAACTCGGTATTATTGACTTGCTTTGCTGGTTGTTTCATGCATATCAATTCTAGGAAAACTACGAAAAGCAATTTCATTGCGTGGCACGTAGGAAAAGCGAAGTTTTAATTTTCCATTTCCGCATTGCAAATCTCCTCCCTTTCAGGTCTTGGGGTCTTCTACTTTTGGATCGGCGCGTTGATCATGGGTGGGAAGAACTACACCCACGAGAGCCAACGAACCTTGGGCCGCTGCATCGGGGTGCTGTCCTGGGTGTTGTTTGCCGGCAACATTTTGACCTCGTGCGCGATGGACCGGGCGACGCCCGAGGGGGAAGCGGCGGACAGGCAGGCGATCGGGAAACCCCTGGACACGGACTTGCACTTCGATGAGCAGGCGAGCCGGGTGTGAACCTGGGATGTGATTTTTCTCCATTGAAAAGCGAATCGCGCCTCCACCTGCGCCAGTATATAATCCTCTTACTTACTTACAGATACAGTATGGACCGCATAATAGAGAACATACTTTAGCAGAGAACCGTGAAAATACAAGTGCAGCACGGATATAGAAGAAGAAGAAGAAGAAGAACGAGAAGCAAAAGCAATAAAGGTGCTTGTCAGACCAGGCGGCACTCGATCGCTTTCAAAATTTGAAAAACTACACTTGTTCAAAAACAAAGTCGTGTCGAACACGAATCAGCTGCTGTGGCCAGAACAAAGAAACGCACATAATCTCTGTGACCACGCGATCAGATTCGAGGTAAAGACAGGATGCGATCACGCCTCTCGATCTATCGAATAGATGAAGGCGTTACTTGCAAAAATGCTTAGTGAGAGAATCTTTGCGACCACGGTACTACACGAGACTCTGATTTACCGTTTTTTTTGTCCGCTCCAAAGATCCTCCTTGCGCTTTCGCGCGACTGCGTTTCTTGTCGGGGTTCTTCTGGTACTCGGGAGTGCAGTTGTCTCCTCAGCAGCAGCAGCAGAAGAATCATCGTCTCCCGATGAGTATTCCTACAGCAGCACGACTAGCAGCAAGCTCGCAGCTGCCTATCACGACAGCCATGGCTTCTTCACGGACATCCCAGATGCCGTCTGGCAAAGACGGAAACAGAAGCATCGAAAAGTCGTCCTTGAGCAGCACAACCGGGGCGAGATTCCGGAGCGGCCGCAGGCATGGTACCAGAGAAACTACGACCCGACACTTACTTGCCCGGACCAGGAGAAAATCGGTGGGGCAAAGGACGGCGGGAAGTGGGTGTGCGACCCGCATAGGATAGGAACTTCTACTGGTGAAGATGAAACTACAAACGCGGCCGCGCATTCGTTTCAACCACCAGCACGTGCTCGTCCAAATAACAGCTCTTGTTTGATCTACAGCATCGGGAGTAACTTTGACTTTGGGTTCGAATTATCCGCCCTCGCGGGAATTTCGGGAAAGTGCGAAATCCACGTTTTCGATCCGTTGTTTGCTGATTTGGAGAAAGCAAAACGGGAATGGACACGGCAGCTGACGCAAAAGAGAAGAGACGACAGGGAATTTTTTCTGTCGACACGGAACAAGCAGCTCGATTTGCAAAATGTGCAAGTGTATTTTCACAACTTCGGACTGCAGGCTTCGCAGGAAGCGAGTGTATCGCACCTGCTCCTCCCCTGGAACCCACCGGAAGAAAGCGTTTTGGTAGAAGCGACGGCTGCGGCAACAAGACGGCGACAGGAGAAAAACATTGCTCCCAAAGGCGTAGTGAAGGTGATGAAGTCGCTGTTCGAAATGCGAAGTTTTTTAGGGCATACCAACCGGACGATCGACGTTTTCAAAATGGACTGCGAAGGGTGTGAGTGGGAAGTATTTGCGGAAATCTTTGCTATTGACGAAAAGGTAGAGGCAGCAACAGAAGCGGGGAAGGGGGATTTAATTGTTGCAGCAAGAACGCCGGCGATTCGGCAGGTTCTGATCGAGCTCCACGAGGGAACCAATCTGCACTACAACAGCAGCAGTCGGAATCCGCACACACTAGCTCGAGGGTGCGGCCCGATACCGCAGGCAGAGCGGCTCTTTCGTACTGCCCGCAAGCACGGGTGGGTGTTGTTTGCGAAAGAGGCGAACATTCAGGGAACCGATGGTCGGTGCGTGGAAGTAAGTTTTCTGAAAATGGAACGAACTTTTTTCGGTTTGGAGGATTGAGTTGCTGATACAATTGCAGGGTTGTGACGGAAAGCAAAGCTGTATTGTAAGGCGTCTTTGTGGTCCTGGTCAAACAGAGGAGGACACCAAAAGACAGTGTTATATAAAATAGTGTTGTTGTTTTCACATTCATAAGGAGAGGTGGTCTACTCACGACTCGGGGAGATGATTTAGATCCCGAATCTATCACACTGACATAGAAATTTTTCTCTTTGGAAAAGATATCAAACCAAGAGTAGTGCAGAATATCATTTGACGGATAGTACAACGTGGAAACCTCGCCACAGGGTACTCATCTTCGGCATGAAGCGAGGAGAGGTGTAGAAGAGTGATAATGTTCTTGTGCAATTTCTATTGCGCCGCCATAATATTTCAATAAAAGTAGTACTCATCTGGATCTACTTCGTCAAGAAGCTGAAAGTCCGCGTGAGGCAGTAACTAGCAGATGGTCGTGCGCTTCTTGCTGCGGTTCTTTGACCTCGGTCCCGCTGGTTGTGGCACTTTGGCGGCGCAGCAAGCAATTTTGTTATTTTGCGCGCCAGCGTTCGGATTGGACTTGGAGGGTAGCTTGAGCAACGGAGGAGCCGCGCATACCTCTTCGCAGAATGCAGAGCCCAACGCTTCACTGCTGCAAGAGAGCGAGATACCAGGGGCGCCTGCCCACGGTGATGCCGGTCCGAGCTCAGCATCGGGAGAGCTAGCCGCCACGAGCAGAAGTGGAAAAGATCAGGATCTCCTCGATGTCCCAGTATCGCCACAGGTTGAGCACGTCGCCCTTGGCCAAGACGCCGAGTTCAACTTCTCTTCACCGAGCGACGAAGCAGACACGGAGGGTGATGAAAGCGTCATTGGTGCGGCTCATGAGGCTGCCTCCATGTTGGCTCCCGCAGGTGGTGGACGAGAAAAAACCAAAAGCAGTGAGCGATCATCTCCTTCGTCTTTCGCGGCGAAGACGACCGGCGCAGCAGCGCTTGCGACTGCTCTGGGAAGTGGCCAGCTTGATGTTCCATCACCACAAGATGGCGATCATCCGCCGGAGAGCACCGCCAGCAGTACTCGATCACTTCTGGAGGAAGCAAGCGATGTGGTGGCTGATGCGGAGCGCGCTTCTTTTTCTTCTGCGCCAGATGGAGCGATGAAGACCATGGGGGACGACGACCCTTCCCTCGAGCCGATGAAGCGAGAGTTGCGTGGTCGAATGCTGCAAGACTTGAAGCGAGAGGTGATGGAAGAGGTGAGAAAGGAATTGGCGGGGCATGATCTTCTGTACCGGGGGGAGATCGAGAGGCTTTCCCAGGAGAATGTGGCGCTGAAGGCGAGAGCTGAGTCGTTTGAGGACGAGACGTGGCGTTCGTTCCAGCGAGTTCGCTTTGGCGGGACCGCAGTGTATCACATGCTTCGATTTCTTCTGTGGGTGTTCATCGGCACGGCGCGGAGCAGCCAGCAGATCACGTTTGTACTGCTCTCGTTCGGGTACGCATTCGTCTTGATTGGTTCCGCCGCGCCGTGGTACTTGGTAATGTTCGCTAGTGTCGAAACGCGCCGTCGCTATTTTTCGCGGGGCCAAGCAAGTACTCGCAGTCGCGGACGCTCCTCCGACCACCTGGCAAAGGACCACCTGCGGGCCGGGACCGAAGCGACGAGGACACAACTGCAGGGATCCGAGAGTGAATCGCTGCTTGCGATTGCTCGCGAAGTCTCTGGTGGTGGTGGTGGTGGTGCCGGCGCTGGAGGAGAAGACGGAAGAATCCAACGGCGTGAACAAGAGCAGACCCTGCCTCTAGCCAAGCATGCCGAGTCCGAAGCAGGTGACAAGACGGACGAGGAGGAAGATGCAGACGACCCGCTGCCAAATGATTTCGCGAAGTTCGGGACCCTCTCTTGCGTGTGTCAGCGGCGCGATTCCGCGGAGGGGCTCGTTTTCACGCTCTCTGTGGTGCTGTATATGGTGAGCTCCCTGTTGGCGGTGCCTTCATTCGAGGCCTACCCGGCGTGGTGCAAGTGGCGAGACGTGGATGTGCTGCTGCAGGGCAACCCGGGGCTTCCGCGCATGCAAAACTGGAAGGAAGTGTCCGCTCGGGCAGTCTGGCACGTGTTTCCGATTTTCTGTTTCGTTTGTGTGGCCGTTTTGCCTTCAACCACCGATGAGGACGCAAAACTCAGGGTGGCACGCGCAAGGCTTCTCACCATTCTGCATGGAGTGAGCGCATTCGTGGGCACAGCGACGCTCATGATTTTCGAGTCGGTACAACTCTTCTGGGGCGAAAACGTGCCGCTCAGTTACTTGTTCGTCATTTTCAATTCGCGGGTACCTACCAACTTCAACTTCTGGTCCACTGAAGCGCAGGATGCCTCTTCGTTCGGTGGTCAGGATTTGAGGGAGCCCCATGCTTGGCACGGTGGCTGCATCGATTACGAAGCGAAGCCCATCCCCTGGAATCGGTGGGCTTACGTGCGTCTGGTAGTGCTGGGCGTCGCTTGGGTACTGGGGCTGTTCTTCATGTCTTGTGGGATTCTGCTGGCTGTCTTAGATGCACCATGTGCACCAGCGCAGGTCAAGGATGCTGGTGTCAGGTGTTTGTCTATCCTGACACTGAAAGTTCGGCTGCAGACAAAAAAACGGCTGGCACGGACGTCTTTTATTCTCGAAATCATTTTTATGTACTCTTTGTTTGCCCTGCCGCCGCTCAGCGCCTACTCTCGCCTCTACGATTCGACTTCCGGCGGCTTTCTGCGAACAAGCAACAACTCTTGCACGAATTGGGTCGACGAGTTTCTTGCCCCCGTTACTTTCCATCGCTTGCTGGATTTTGTGCCCCCGGAAAAGCTGTACCTTCGCGGGGAGACGCGGGAAGAGCGAGAAAAAATGACTCGTTTGTCGTATTTGGACTTTGCCGCCTGGCCCGCCGTCGCCTTCGAAACAGTAACTGCGAACACGGGCCCACTTCTTCGTATTTTTGCGTACCAGGACTTGGCTACGGAGCTAAAATTGAATCCGCACAACGCAAAACTTTTACAGCAGACGTTTCGTCCCTCGAAACGGCCCGGCAAAAAGCCCTCTCTTTCAACCCTGGTCGACCGTGAAAGTACGTCCATCCGCGACGGCGAATTCGCAGAGAAGATGGCCCACTTCGCAAAACTTGAAGAGATTAAGCGCAGAAATAACAACACTGGAACATATCGGGATATCGACCTGGACGAGGTCCGTTTTCACTACAAGAGAGGTTTTCGGATGGTGAACAACTCGGCGTGGAACACGACTCGTACTACGGGTGCCGCGCCGCCTGCTCCAACGCCTGGACGGGAGTCAACGTCTTGAGCTGTTACTTCCGTATTTGCCGGTCTGCCTCACAGCCACACGGTGAATGAGAAGAATAGTAGCAGGACGCGTTTTTCATTTTCAAAGAACAGCTGCATCAAGGTCGACATCGCGTTAGGCTTACAAAAACTGTAGTCCGCGTTCGGGGAATGCAGAAATTGAAACAGATTCTGGAATATCGAAGGCTCGAGATTTTACCTATCAAAATTAATAGCCTGAAATCGCAAAAAAATATCGATCACAGTCTTGTCAAAGCAGAAAATTTAAATTGCAATGGCAGTGTGGACAAGCTTCCCTCTCGTAATGAAGCAAGTACCCCCTGGGATCATTGGAGAGGGATTCTCTTGTTGTTCGAGACATCCTAGTGTGCCAATTCGTTAAAGCTTGTCACCCTGTTAAGAAAGTCCGCGTGTAAGTATAAAAATCAAACTGAATCATGGGCAATTCGGTTGATTTCTGTGTCATTTATCGCACTTCTTCGGTTTGTCTTCGTACGATGCTCCGATGTCATCTCGCGCCATGCATGTGCTTTGACTAAGTGCTAATCTTCCCCAAGGGGACAACGTAATAAAGCCAAAACTGTAGAAGCAAGCGAATAATTTTCGAGGAACCAAAAACAACGCAGTGTTTCTTGGTCAAACCAGAAACCATGCTACCCATCCGTTTCTCCACATTCCTCCTCCTCATCTGGTATGTCGCGTTTCTTCTCTTTGCCGTGTACTACAATTTCACCGTGTCTTGCGTGATCGGGGGCACTTGTTACCAGCGGCACGTCCAGATTCCCTACCCCGAAGGAACCTTTTCCGGACACCGCGACATCCGCTTCATTCTTGCGGATGTCGCCTGCCAGGAGTCATGCTCAAAAATCTTCGCACAATTGCACGGCGTCAACGCAACCAGAACTACAGAAGTACAAGCGTCTATGGGGAGTTTGCCTTCGCCAGCGGGATCATATGAGAACTTCACCGGAGATAAAAAATTTGTAGCACGACGAGAAGCCAACGGAACCATATCAAGAAACGTCACGAAAAATGCCACGAACTGGAGCGCGGATTTCAACCTGTACGTCCCCAAAGACTACGTCATATGCATTGCAAATATGTGTCCTGGGTCTGGAATTTTGACCCGCGAATTCTTGCAAAGACAAAACTATATTGCATGTCTCCAGACCCAGACATGTTTGCGCTGGATACGTCGAGGCGGTGAACGACAAGATCCCCGCCTACCGCGATAAGTTCGCCGTGAATGACATGGGAGTGTCAGGATTGAAATCGTCAAAGTTGAAATGATTTGTCATGCATACAATGCAAGGTGGCGTGCGCGTGCCTGTCTTGCCGGGATGGCGAGTGAGGCGGATTGTGAGCCTATTTAGGGTTTGGCATAGAGATGCTAAAGGGGCACGACAAAAGCAGTCTTCTGCGCCCAAACAGCATGGCAAACTGGATTTAGACGGTTGCGAAATTTGTCATGCACCGCTTGAAAATTGGGCTTCCAACTGGTATCGATTTCATGCATTACAAGTTATTTCAACTTTGTCAATTTCAATTCTGACGCTTCCATAAATGAAACGGATCTGCAAGAAGTACGGGACGGGATTGTGGAAGTCCTCCACGACTCCATTCCGGAACGATGGGAGATAGAACGCTTTAACACCATGGTTCCCTCGTTGCGTTTTAGATTTGGCATCACCATCGCGAAGAAGTGGGCTGGGGAGAATCTTCTTCTACTTCGTGACGAGCAGGGGGAACAAACAGCACTAGAAGAAAAGGAAAAGGTCAAGCGCGTGTTGCAGAACCTGATACCGAAGCTCCCGGACGAGGATTGGCTCGCAGGCCGGGAGGCGGAAAAGAAGAGCACTCTCCCGTCCATGTTGCAGGTGGACGAGGCGATTTCTGCCGGGGCGGTCAAGCCGCTCTGGGAGGTTTCGATGCGGAAACTGGAGGAACACAAATCTGCGGAGGTTCTTGCGAACGTCCTCGGTATGATCCAGACTGCGGGAACAAAAGTAGCTGCGCTCACAAGCTCGTTCTTCGAACAAAACAAAGCAGTTTTTCGAAAAGCACACCGATCCCTACAAGCCGCAGCACGAACTTTGACGCTGAATTTGTATGATCACCAGTCCCACACTTCCTGCAACCGGAACTGCCAGCAAGTTATCGCCTTGCAAAACTCGATGGAGCGGATTCCGGAGCAGATGTTTGTCTTAAAGTACTACGGCAGGTGGGCGTTCCTCCCGGTCTTCGGCCTGCACGAGTTCTTTTCCGTTTTGTTTTCCCTTGGAAACATGATTCCGCATCTCCTGTTCTTTCTCTGGTCCATTGGGCTTTGCGGGACAAAGAAGCGGAAAAAAAGTGAACGAGAAATTACAACGCCAAAAACGACCTCCAGGGCTTTGGACAATGGGAGATCATCTACTACTACTTCGGTAACTCCGAATGAGAACAGCGTTGCGAACATCAAGAACAGTGTTCTTGATAAAAATACAACTCTTGCTCCTGAAGGTGAAAATAGTTCTCCTGCATCTTCTACTGATCCTTCTGATATAATTCCTTCCTTCCCGGGCCACTCCGTGTTCCAATTTTACCAGCAATTGTGGCACTTTTTCGGCGTGAACCTCTTCCTGCAGTCGGCGCTGTTCCACGCGTACGAATCGAAAGTGACCCTTTTCCTAGACGTTTTCTCCGTGCAGCTGACGTTCGTAGTGTCGCTCTTCATGGCGCGGCGGCTGCACTTAATCGGTTTTCAGGTCGAGAAGAGGACTGGGAAGCAAGGTTCTGACCCGGAAAGAGAACAAGGTGCTGTAGAGGACCCGTCGACGGTGAAACGCGAATGCCTCTGCTTCCTTCTCCCGGCCCTTTTTCTGACGTTGTCCTTCAACCTGTACAACGCGATTGTGCTGGACAACGCGATCAGCCCGGTCGCGGTCGGGATGCTGATTGGAGGTGTGGGCACGACGCTGTTCTTCGCCTTACCCCTCTTCCACAACTGCTACAAGAACATTTTGCTCGACGAAGCGGCTTTTCTCGTGGTCATGATCGGGCCGTTCCCGATGGCGTTCGCCTTCGAGGTGTTGGACTTCCCGCCGAGCGAATTTTTCTACTTGCTGGACGCGCATGCCATGTGGCACTTGGCGACCATCCCGATGCAGATCTGGTGGTGGAGGGTGTTTGTGCATTTGGAGAAGTGCTTGGTCACCCATGCGAGTGAAGAAACCTCGAAAGATGCGGTGGGTATCAGAAAGAAGAACGAGTAGAATTTTTGTTGTACCGTGGAGACAATAAACCTATTCGTTGTACTATCTGAGAGGAGAAGTAGAGGAACAACAACGATCTCTGCATATTTCTGAATTTGAAGGAGAGCAAGAACCAGATTTGTATCTGAAAGAAATAAGAAGAAGAACAGCTGTCAAAAACCCGTGTATTTATTTCTTCTGTCGGTATCTGAATGTTGGAAAAAAAAAAGAGAAAGTGACGCTGTGAGACCCAGAAATCAATGGACTCCGCCCGTGCGGACTCGTTTCAGGTTTCCCGGGAAACCTTCGGCTTAGCTCGTGCTAAAGTGTGTTGCAACGCAACTTAAAACGCGGCGCGCGCATGGACTCCGCTGCTGTTTGTGGGCACAACCGCGCCGCGTCTGTGTTGCAGTCTCTTGTGCCCAAAGCGCCGCAGTCGGCTGCGGATTGCGAGCAACCTGGCGGCCCCGGCAAACCGGCGCACATTTTCGCCTGGCCTAACTTGGGCCGCTTCAGACGATCTTCCGCCGGTGGCACGGCCTCGCTTTGCCGTTTTCGGAAGAGGATTCCTCAGAGGATTCCAAAATCCTCTCAGGAATCCTCTGGCCCAATTTGGGCCGTCTTCCGCGCCCTTCCCCCGATGGCACTGCCCCGATTTCGGGAGAGGTTTCCACAGAGGATTCCTCAGAGGATTCCTCAGAGGATTCCAAAATCCTCTCAGGAATCCTCTGGCCCAATTTGGGCCGTCT